GCTAAGAATTCCTAGTGGTTTTGTTTTGTGTATTCATTTAATTAATAATTTGAAATACCAACACCATTTGTGCCTCTTGTGGAGCATTTCACCTACGAAAACGTAAGAAAGTGTGTAACATAAATATTATATTCTGCTATTATTCGACTAATTAAACAGTCAAATGTGGATTCATCACCCGATAAGGAAAAACGTTCAGTCATATTAGTAGGAGCTCGGAAAATGGTCGGATTTAATCCACGATGTAATGCAAGTATATAGTGCAATATTGTCGCGTTCCGTCGGCTGTCTATTCGCTTCCGTTAGGTTCCGTTTATCGTGTCTGTTTATTGCTTTTGTATCTTGTTTCTGTTTGTAATCGGCTTGTTTGCTAGTTTCTGGATTTAAGAGATCATGATTTAGTATTTCTTTAAAAGTAGTAATTATAATTATTAATAATTGTATTGTTTATTATGTTCTACCTCCGCACCTATCACCTCTCTTGGATATCTAGGTGGAAACAGGTAATAGAACTTATATTTTTTCATTTTTTTATCACCCTGTATATAAATTTTCCTTTGATCTCGGCGAAAAATGAGTAATCTTTTTTGTTTTGGGGTGATTTTCTTCATAAATAAAAGATTTTCTTTTGACAACACCCTGTATATAAAATTTTCTTGTTCAGCAAAAAATTGCATATCTTTATTGTTTTGAAGCCATTTTCTTTTTACATTGTTGATTTTCTTTTGGTAACACCCTGTATAATAATTTTCCAGTGATGTCACGTGAAAAAAATAGCCATATTTGTGGTGTTTCAAAGTTTGTCGTTGACGTATATTCTAAAATGATTTTGTTTTCTTTTTGTTACATTAGTTTCCTTTGTATATTAGTTTCCTTGGTTGTCGAGTGAAAACGAGCAAGGTCTATAGTGTTTAGAGTTTTTTTTTTTATTTGCACTGGAAATTTTCTTTTTGTATCACCCTGTATATTCGTTTTCATTTTCAATAACGTAGAAAATGAACTATTTGCTAATTTCCTTATTCCGGTAGAACTGTATGAAATGGTTCTTGCTTATATGTGCGCGGCTTAGCAGGTCGTAAGTCCTGTTTCAATATGGCGACAGGTATTCTGTTGACTTGTAAAGTCTAAACTTGTATTCTCTTGTTAATAAAGAAATAGTAATATATATTGACTTCTTTGATTTGTGTACCCCTTCTATCATTTCAGGAACAGGTCTCTAAGAGAGTTCCCTCTCTCAGGGGTGATCCCCACTATAAAAATTGTTAAGGTATCCTGTGTGATTTGTGTGCTCCTTCTTTCATTTCAGCTACAGGTCAGAACTTGTAAGAATATTTTTAAGTGTCACCTCTCTTGAGGCGACTTAAAACTTAGAAATATTTGAACAAGACCTTATAAGGATTGTCCTTATAACGAGTTCCCTCTCTCTGGGGGTGATCCCCCACCATAAAAATTGTTGATATGCCTGATAATTTCGGGGATGAAGCGCAGAGATATCGTAGCTGTAGGATGGGCCGGGAGCAATGGAAGAATCGAAATAGTGGGCGATCGACCAGAGCGCCGGAGGCGCTCTGGGAGATCGACCGTAGACTGTCTTATAACGACACGTGCCAAAAAATTTAAAAATCTGATCCTCCCCTGTTCTCTTTCTTCTATTTCCTCCTCTTCTCTACTCTACTCCTCTGTTGTTCTCTTCCTTCTATCTTCTACTATTCTCATTCTTCTATTTCTCTGTTCGCCCGTTCTCCATTCTTACTTCTCATATTTTGCCTCCACTTGTACTTCAATTTCTCTTATATTTCGTTGCAATTCATATATGCAACCCAAATTACACCTGATATTTTTATATTTGAGAAAAATGCCTTCTATACCTGAGATTCGATCCGTGTCTACTAGCATGCCAGCAGGTGCACGTATCCACTCGACCACCGAGTGTTTTTATCATTTATATTTGGTTCTTCTATGTATGTTTCTCCTTTAATCAACTTTTTAAAAACAATAACACAAGCCTTAGCTGTGGTGCACACGCTCCACGCGCATAGGGCTTATATGCAATATGATTTAATAAGTCAATCCTGAAAACGACAGAGAGGATGATATCAAAAAGAAATATGAAAGAGATTGTAATATTATATTGTGTTTTATTTACAAACATTATATAAAAATATATACAATTATTCATATCGAAAATTACCATGGCTATGAAATTTCGTTCTCTTATAGAAGAATTGTATACGCATCGCAACTTATGAATTCATTTGTGAAGCGGAGTCAGTGCTCATAGTGCATCGAATAATAAATCCAATATTTGTAGTCGACGGAAGATATCCCACGGCCGGCGGAAGAAATCCAGTGGGCGGCGGTGAACAAGTTCGCACATAATTCTTAATTTTGATTTCTACTCACAATAAATCATTAGTTGCGCACCATACACGTTTTTTTTATTACTATATTTCGTCGATTTCCACCCGATTTAAATACTATAATCAAATTAAAATGTCCAGAAACGGCAAAGATCGCCTGACAGAACACGTGCTAATTGCACAACAACGCCCGACCGACTAAAGGAAAAGATTTGCCTCACTAACAATAACAATAATAAGTACGGAGCCGTTATTGAGGCTCTAACTTGAATTACACTTTTCTACAATTTGAAATTTATTTTGTTTTATTAACTGTTTGATTTTATTTTTAGTAGAAAATTTTATGGTTATCTACCGCTGATAAATTCATCAAACGATATGAATTTTTATGACGAATTGTTATTTGCGAAAAAACAGAACTTGATTACCATCATATCTATGAGGTCACGTTGAATATTTGACCTAAAAACACAAAAATTAATATCCAGAAGCACAAGAACATGCAATCTACGTCTAAAAAAATCTTGCAAGTTGGAAATCATTACTAATTGCAATTGTTTGAAAATACTATTAAGATAAATCGTTGGTCTATGCGGGCAATCACGTAAACGCGTAAACAGTTTTAAAACATAAATTTGATCACGTTTAAGGTGAAAAGACTCACGTGATTGCAATAACAAGGCCCGCGTTCTGTAAAAAGTACGTGAAGGTCAATTTTACAATGCGCTCGTAGTTTGCGCAATGTTTTCCAAATATAACTACTCATGTATACACAATTAAATAATATGGATGTAATACTTTCCTTCGTTATTATATGGATGCGTTGGAATTCAGAAAAAGCAATGCAAACTTGGATTTCCACCACCAGCACAGCAACCAGTACAGCAATTTGTAAACCTTGCCCCTCTTAGAAGAAGAACTCGCTGACATAACGCATCTATCACTGGTTTAAATTATAAGTTTCTAAACAGTAAACATTTTATTAGTGATATATAAACAACGCCGTGTGTGATTAGTACATACTTATTGCGGTGCGTAGAGTAAGTTTTTGCTTTGAAACTATAAAGTAGATACAAACTTTCTTAAATAAACTTTCTGGAAAGCAGAAGCAAGCAATTTTACCAACTAATTAATTACTGACTATCCTTAAGCGATAAATTAATCATGGTAAGTGCTCATAAATTGGTTTGTTTTTTAATTACTTAGATGGTGTCTGCGTCTAGCATAGTAAGGAAAGTATATTTTAAATTTTAGAATCTTTTATCTTGTCTCATGCTTGGGATATTGCTGATGGTGTGTGCACTCGTGCAGGGACAAGTTGCGAGCCGCTATGCGCACCCATTCGTCTTGAGGAACGCCGAACTTGAGGCGACGCTTCCTTCCCGCTTCCTTAATCCGTTCTATCAGGATTTCCAGATTAGGCGGGCGTTAGCCAGGAGCTCATGGTTTGGCCCAAATGAGCAACCGGTGTACACGCGAGCAACGGATTCAATTTCAAGAAGGGATATTTTTACGGCGTTGAATCACGCTGGTTTACTCCCACAACAGCAAATTCGACGAGCAAACTTCTAAACACTGTCTAATTGTGATTGTCTACCATTTATCTTATCGAACACTGTATTATATTCATCTTAAAACGTTCACATTTTTTACTATTACGTAATACTACGCAAGTTGTAAGTTGTAGTTGAATGTTGTAATTACACTTGTTGTAGAGAAATAAAAGTGCTAATAACAAGGTGCCAATTTGTAAATTTAAATTTACACGATTTGAAAATTAGATTTAAAAGAAAGGCAAGCAGCAGATTCTTCGCAACTTAAACTGCTTGTGCAAATAAATCTAAACTCTACAGTGTGTTCGATATGTTGCCAGGAAATTACACTGCGTCCGCGCTAAAAGAAAAATATTACATTATGTTATGTAAATTTCTTACTCTAAAATATACACGAATATATTTACTTTCTAAAAGAGATACTACGTAAACGCTTGAGATGTGTTAATATAAACTTTAGTATGTACTTGTAGGGGAGTTACAGATTGTCATGCAAAATGCAAAGTCGCAAATGCAGTTTACGTAATAATGCAAATTTGAATTGCAAAGTTTTCGCCATCAATAAAATAGCTGATTTGCCGCATTCTGCAAATATCCACTCCGTTGGTTTTTGCTGCACCTTAATGCCAAAACCAACAAAAACACTTATCATAACCATTGGGGAGAAATATTCGTATGAGTCATATGGGAGCGTAAGTTGAACATTATCGATACGCCAGTGTCAGTTGGGGTTTGGACGGATTCGATGCTTTTACAAGAAGCATATACCGCGTCACACGTTTCACAGTGGCAGAGATGGAAAATCGCGGCGCTTGCGTTATGTGCCACTATCGACCAATCCACTGCCACTGCGGGTCCGGATTGCAGAATTGAAAAACATATCTGCCCGCTAGCTATTACAGTGCCCGTGTATCCTGCGAGCACTCGCGAGAAACACTGACGTAGAAAAGGATAGGGTGGAAAGTGGTGGAAAAGTCACGCCACTTTAAGGCGCTTGTACGACGCGAATGCGCCTGTTTGCCTCGTTTCCCACATTGGGAGCGCGCCCGCCGCGCCGCTAGGGCTGGTCGTCGCCACCGCCGCCGCCGCCACAGCCGCAGTAGGTCCTCGTGCGTGCCGCCGCACGCATCGCGCTCGCCCTTTCCGTCCCGAACCACCAAACGCTCGCTCAAATCGAACCGACGCACGAAAAAAACAACGCGCGCCATTTAAAACCTAGTCGTGCGCGGATACAATGCCCCGATCCAAATCGTTCCCATAGAGAAATTCACATTCCGACGGTAAGAACCCGGAAAAAGGTTGTGCACTTTGCCCAATCCGCACAATTCGTATGCGTTGCTTGTCGCACGTTGCGATGCAATTGTCGTAGACATTTGTTTGAACCAGTTGTCATGACTACTGAAGTAGAATAATGCATTACACAACATTCGACGAACTAAAAGAAAATCGATAGTTTAAAGAAAGAAAAACCGTGCGTCTAGGTACGTGTGTGCAATACGAAATCAAATTAGCTACACGCTGGTTTCGCTGGCTAATTTAATTTGTCCGTGGAGCAATTTGTCAAGTCATCAACATCCGTGCGCAACAACGCGTCGAATAATGCACGCGGAGTGTGAGATATAGGTGTTTAGCGATTGCAGGTACACGCTGCGTGAATGATACACATTGCAATCACGTGGAGCAGCCTGATGATGAAGGGAATTGAGAATTACGGCGGCGTTGGCACACATTGGGCGCTGGGCAGCATTGTGTTAGTGGTACTCGCCGCCTCCGAATATTCAGGCGCCGGCACCCTCGTCGCGCTGCCAGTTACGGCAATCGCTGTCTCGTTTGCAGGTATTTTAATAAATATTTTATTACATTTTACATTTTTAATTGTGTTTACCTAGTGAACATCCTGTATAAATATCAAATTGTTTAATTACACATGAAATCGAGAAATGAAAACAAGAGCAATTGGTAGCAGAAGTCATAAGATTTGTGGCATCCCCTTAATGAGTTGCGGACGTGTTAAGTGAACACATTTCTGTTTATGATGGCTGAACTTAGGGGGTGAAGCAAATTTATGATGTGCCAGAGGCGGATTTACTAATTGCGCCTGTTTCTTTCGCAACGGGTTAATGTTTAAACGCGTCGTCGTCATATCTTCTCAAACACAAATCCCACGAGAAACTGTCACCGCTCGTCGAGATTAGTTGAGAATTTTCTTAAATATATCATGATATTATGGTTGTTTGACAAAGTTTGTTGAAGAAGTACGTTGGTAATTTTTAACCAAACCAATTGCGAGTGTGCAATGAATCGCCGTTTCATGTTCTACTGCAAAGTTGGCGCAATAAAACTTTCCGACAATGAAAGCAGCGATAAATTTCTGTAGGTGGTACAATTTTGCGATGTACGATAAAGTTTTCAAATCTCATAAGATTGCAAGAACAACATAAAAAGGCCTTTATCTGATTAAAAGTTTTGAATTAAGTTAGTTTTTAATATTTCAAAATTATCCACGAAATATTTTGTTGAATTCGATATGTTAACGCCATGATTCGGTCAATATGTCAGACATTTCTGTGATATGTGTTGTTTTAAGGACGGGAACAAATCGATCGCAGAGTAAACAATGCGACCTTTATTTACACCGCAATTTGGAATCATTACATTGTCCTGGATTGAAGGATTATAGGTCAATTCCGATAATTGATTCTGTGTATGGTCCGTGCTTAATATCGGACCACCCTAATGGATGACTGCATATTAATGAATCTAAAATGGCGTCGTGCAAAGTTAGAAGTTCCGTGTCAAATTGTAATTAATCATTATGAGTTATTACCGCGCACAGACACAAAAAATATTAATCTACACATTACTAGATAAAATTATTACATGATGAGAATATTTAACAAGAATTTTTATCGTTATTAGCTAATTAATAAAGAAATAAAAGCTTAAAAAAGGCGAAATACTAAAACTAATGTATTATACAAAGCCATTAAGTTTTAATAGCAAATAAACACCAACAAAAAACGATGCGAAGCGTTGTACTCTAGCGCAGTGGGCTTAAAAGCACTATGCAAAATTTAGCGCACGTAATTTTTACCTACCACTAAAACATCCATTACAGTTTTATGCGGCTCGGGCAACGCGGAAAAACAAATAAATCGTCACAAAGGTGTGGTAAACACATTAACGTTCTTCGAAATATGGCTTAACGTCTTGCAACACCTGGCGGCGGCGGCAACATGCGCCCGGGTTGCCAGTGCCACCATGGATTACATGAGCGATCAAAGATCTAGGGAATGGCTGTTTGGCTTGGAATCGCATTCTTTGGGGGAACCGTGGCCAGATGTCCTAGGAATTGGAATCATCGCGATCGTAACGGCGCTATTTATGTTGGGATTAGAGGTAGGACAAGAATCTTTTTCGCGTCATTAAAATTAAATCAACTGAATCTTTCTTTTTTTACAGAAATCACACTATTTCTGCATCTTGTTGTTTTTAAGTATTGCGATTAGCTTTTTATTCTTTATTGTGGTCGGTGGATATCACACTGATATTAGTTTTTGGAATTGGAAAGAAGATTTTGGGAAACGATCTTGGGGATGCGTAAGCTATTATTTTTAAGAAATAAATTTAGTTGTGTTTATGTGAGTAATGAAAATTGCAGTTGTTGACTACGTCGGCAATGTGCTCTTACGGCTTCACCAATTCGTTTCCGAGTGCCTTACAGGCGAAGAAAATTAAAATGTTCGCACTTGTGATAATTCCTCTATGCTGCTACTCCCTAATAGCTACCATCTTCACTCTAATGTCGCATTATCGGTAATGACCCGTCTAAGTGCAAGCATGCAGCAAATATGATCAGGAATCTACTTTGCAGGGAAGTGGCCGGAATCGCAATCCCGCTCGTGCGGGTATTCGAGGTGCGCGACGTCGACTGGGCCCGACCGGTGATGGCGGCGCTCACGATTTGCGTTGTTTGCCTGCCGCTGACGGAAATAATGCCGTCGTTATATAATTTATTGGTGAAGTTGGCCGGACGCGATTGGAAAGTTTTAGCGTCGCCGATATTATACCGCAACGCGTTCACCGGCGCACCGGTGCTGGCGATCTTCACCGCCGGTATGTTTTCACCTCGCGCACAAAAACCTTTTCACAACCGAGCGAACAAAAGACCCATCGACTAATTTTGTTTTCTCGCTGAATTCGCAGGCTCGCTGGCGTCGATCCTGGCGTTTGCCTGCCCGCTCGCATACTTGGTGCGAATGCTCAACGCTGCCGCATTGTTCAAGTGCGCGCTGAAAGCGATCTGTGGTCTGTACCTGCGGTACAAACCGGACGTGGGCGCTGAAGAGATGAGCTTCGGAAACACGCAAGGCCCAGTGCGGTACAGCAAACTGCAGCAGCCAGAAACGACTAAGATCAGCAAATTCTACGATATGCTACCGAGTTATTTGAAGAAGGCAAAGGTCACCATGACCACTTCGGACGTCCGGAATGGTGGGACGACCCGGAAACGTGCGTTTTCCAAATCTCTCGAATTGATTGACAACCGAGTGTATTATTATTTTCAGGTCCGTCGGACGACAAGGAGTATTTACTACTAGATCACTACAGTAAGGCGAACGTCGACTTGATGGCTGATCCCGAATCCGACAGCGACGCCAACGAACCCGTCACTTCGAATTGCAGCGACGGGGAAGACTCCGACAGCGCGACTGATATTGACGCCGCCGTTCAAGAATACCGCGATAGCATTCAGGTATTATACACCCTCGCACACATAAATTAAACTACATAAAAGGAGCTTTTCAAGCCTCTATTCTCCAGGAAACCGACACTATGTGATTTATGCATTCTATTCGCGGCGTGCTACTAACATTTTTATATGGACTTTTATTTCCAGTTGGCCAACGTCAACATTCTCAGCACCAATAAATCGCCGACGGTAACGACAGGGCGCGTCGTGATTTGTTTGATATTCATTCTCTGCATACTCTCGGCGTTATTAACCGTCGGAATCACGTATAATCAATTTTCGATGAACGTCGTGGTTGCGTTCTGTGAGTTTGCTTAATCAATTTGAAAGCCTTGTTATCTGCGCGGGTAATAAGATAATCCATTTACAGGCATTGCAACGTGTCTGCTCACCATCTGCACGATGCCTCAGAGTGCGCCGGATCCCGAGAGTCTCGTTAAATCGCCGCTCGTATTTCCCTTTGTCGCTTTTATCGCCATCATACTCAACGCCATGCTGCTAACTACATTACTTTTCGAAATTTGGCATGCGATCTTGTTATGGACTTGCGCAGGTAAGTGAATATACAAAACGTGGTTGGTTGTTGCACGTACCTGATTGAAGTAAAACTTTTAATCATCCGTTAAACAGCACACAACTCACAAAATGTCTAAGAGTTCTTTTCACACACAAAATACAACGTGCCTACGCGACGGAGGTTAATTCAATACTGCAGGCACATTTGTTTACCACTTGCAACAACAAGATAACTGACTTCTATTTGACATTGCTATATAAATATTCCGCTCTACTTCGTTGCAGGTCTCCTATTTTACGTGAAATGTGGATGTTGTGGTTGTACCGATCACCAAATACATCATTACCATACAAAAACAGAATGTTCGATCGCATCCACAGCGAATGCTCATTATGCTCAACAGAAGATCTACGACATGGATAGCATCTTGATACCAAGATGACACGAATCTGACGATGAGTTTCTCATTCTACATTATGATTCAGACGATCCAAATGAGTAATAATGATTGTTATCTTATAGAAACTAAGTTATTTAACTCTAAGACATCATAATTATTCGTATAAATCAACTCTGAGCGTATAACTGTCGCCCCTTCGGACTTGTTTATAATATATAACCGATGTGGATAAGTAATCAGTGCATTCGCAAAATTCGGTTGTGTATATTGGAACACCATAATACGTAACGTATAAGAATGTATTAAATTATGGCTTTATTGGTGCATCCTTTGACGAGCACGTGGTTAATGCTGTGATACTATTACAAAAGTATTTACTTAATTTTGCTCTCAACATACAAAATATTGATAGAGTTAATTATTGCATTGATCGCTGTTTTGATATAAAATATTTGTAGTCAAAATATCAACGTGTATATATTTTATGCGTTGTTTCGATTGTCACATTAATGCAATATTGAATTTTGATTTACCTACTCTTTGACTGTACCTCTAAGTCACAAAAATTGTGAAAATATTTTTATAAATTGGACAAATTTTGCAACATTGGCAACTATTCTTAAAAGTAAGCTATACTCTTTTGGATGCTATCTGTAGTCGGTGCAATAACAATAAATTTCATCATATTTATGATTCTATTATCAAAATGCATAAACTAATTATATGAAATGTTGTATTATAAAATATTTAATATACGCAATGATAAAATATTTAGTACTGAGTTTCTTCTTCATTTCCATGACATTTTATTTGTGTGGCATTTTAAAAAGCACGCTCTTTAAACAAATGTGATTCTATGACATTTAGTCATAAATTTAACCAAATTAGTTCCTGTGCACATAAAAAATTATTAAACTGTGTTTTTAATAATATTTTAATTACATTCTGCACAATTTAACTTAAAATATTAAATTAGCTGCTTGCAGTTTAACTAGTTCAACACAATTTAACACAATTCAAAGTCCAGCTTTAATTTATAAATAAAAAAATCAATATGTCGCTTAAATTGTTGTCACGTTCAATTGAGTATTGCATGTATAAGTTATGGCGTCGTTGTGTCTGTGTGTGTTCATTGTTCATCAACAGTATCAATGCGGTAATCAATTATCAAGCTATTAGATAAATTAAATAATTGCATCTCCTCCAGTTCACGTTGCAGAGATTTAAATAACAATGATATCACATTTCTTAAATCACTCGAATCAATAAAATTATAATCGCGCATTCTACTACTTGTAACCAAACTAAAACCTAAACACACATCATCCTCATTTTATCATCCAAACATACTTTCACGCTTTACTAAATATTACTAAGGCGTGTCACCACATCGACACCTCATGAATTTTATCGGAATTGTTTCTTAACCTGCACAATAAAAATAGAATGAGCACATAAATGGTCGTCAATGACATTATTTGCTCACCTATTAAATTCTTTGTGAATCGAAGGAACTTCTCGTGATAGTCGTGTCGAAAGCGAATCATGTGAAATCGTCCGAGAGAGTTTCTTCTCGGGGAGTGAGTGCCGCTGCCGGAACGGATACTGCCATGAAGACTTTCTCGGCTCCATCTCGAACGCTTGATTATCGGCGCCGCGCTTCTCCACCATCTTCTCGGGCGTTTTCGAAGACAGGCGTCTGAGCAGTAATCAAGCAGTAATTAATATTATTTTAACTAGTTCCTCTACTCTGCGTACCTCAGTAATCTAGAGCCAAAACTTAGTCCCGGCGGGTCTTCAAGTTTCGTGCTACTTGCGCGTTTTTTCTGGAACCTCCTACCGTGACTGTCCTCGATAATAATGTGACGATCATACGGGGTGTCGTAATCCACCTCGAGAATCGTTGAAAAACTATTGGGGAAGATTATTTCGGTGGTTGTTATTATCACACCACTTACAAGGCATATGCAACCTAAAATTAAACATTTAAGTACGAAAAATAATCGGTTTCTGTTCCCTTTTTTACCTGCAGTAAAAACAAGCCAGAAACACCATCCCAAATGAAAGTACAGCGTGCGACCTTCAAGGTGAATCGTCAACGGGTTATCCGGAAGCATGCCCAAATATCCACAGACAGTAGAAAGTAGAAAAATGCCAACGGCGGTCATTAGCACAGCGCCATATCTAGGCACCACGATCAACATCAAATTCATAAGCAGCCAAAGGGCAAAACACGTCCACAGCATAATAATGGCGTAGTAACCAGCAGCACGATACTGTCCGCCCCAAGACAACCCCTCCTGACCAAGACTAAAATACTCGGCCACTGTGAGAATAGGATACGGCAATCCTTTGAAGAGTGCATCCTTGAAACTGTCACCCATCTGATCCGAAGTCAACCAGTAAAAACGCTCATTGAAGTCGATGTCCGACGAGGACGCGTTGAGCGCCGGTGTGGCTACGGCATTACAATTTGTTACGAATTACACAGCGCACACAATATAATCGACTAATTAAAAACGTATATTAAAACTTGCGCGCGCAAAGACTATAATAAGCTATTGCGCAATCGCGTTACGTGCGGGTAGCTATTATTACCGCGTCGCCCGCATCCGATTCGCGCGCGTTTGAGGATGGGCAGAATTATTTATTGCCGTAATCGTGCGCGGTGTTATGTATAGTTAAACTTGTTTTTAACCAAATAGCAAAAATCCACCTCTGCTGCTTAATTCATTCAACATGTTCGGTATGCTTGCAACCTTTGCAACGTTTGTATTACGCACGCGCAAGGTACATAAGTAATGTGATTGTATGGCCGCAGTTACCTTGAAGAGTGATGTTCACATGATTGAGACCCACGTAGACACCAATGTCGGCGACCACTTTTTCTTTCGAGAATGCCTTGTAGCTGCTCACAATCGACGCATGTCCAACGTGCCAACCGGAACCAAACAGGGAAACTGAAATCGAATGCGTGCTCGTGTACGCGTGCGTCCTTCTCCTTGAGGAGAGGCGAGTCATATTAAATCGGAAATTGCACCTACCTAATATCGTCGCTCCGGTGAAGAGGCTCAGCGTGACGGTGAAGAATGTCGTAAAACGCTGCGAATACATATTATGAATTGCACGCAATCATTACATTACATTACACCATGTTAAATAATTACCTCCTTTCGAATGCCCGGGTAAATGATTAGGAAAGCTACGTAAAGGGTGCAGAATATGATGAGGAATGTGATGATCGTAACATCACCGGTAACCGCCGTGCGATTGTTGAAACTGTACAGGGTTGGACCGCCATCGTAACGGAATGCGTCAAACCAGCCCTTCATGGCACTTTCACTCCTGAAATATTTAATTTATAAATAAATACACAACACTAAATTATTTTTATTTTTAGTTTTTTGTATTTATGGAATTTTCTGTTTGTTGATGTAATTTTTCTTTCTTTGGTTTCACCTTTAACTCACATTTGTGCCATTTTGCAGCACGAGTATAATTAGCACTCGAATCGGAATTTGTGAGATCCGGGTTCGCGGAAAAGCAAATGGGTGAGGCAGCGCATGAAATTTATTTAATCACACTGCACAACAATCACCGCGAATGCCACAACTTCAGAAATAACCGAGTCAACGACTCACTCCAAACGAACATGGCAAACAACTAAAGCAGTCAACAAAAAGAACTGCATATTAATAATGCATGTGCACATTGCACGCGTCAAGTTAGTGAAGTTTCGTGTTGTTTGAAGGCGCGGCACGATTACCCACGATTACTTTTGATTTTTATCCGTCAACATCACAACAATAATAAAATTTAAAATCAAAATAAACTTTAAAATTAATTTATGTTTTTAAATTTAATTAAAAAATTTACCTTGTTAAAAGAATATAATCCTTTATCTAATCTTGCGAGATTTAAAAAGATGCTTGTGGCACACTGACTGATGTGATGAAACTTTTTTTGAAGCAGCGCGGCAAAACTGACATGAATTGTTTTCGATCGCGTGGTGGTCGGAAATGCGGCCGCCGCGTAAAATCGAAGTGATATTAAGCGAGAAAAAAATTCAACAACAAACCGACAAAACGATGGAGCACAATGTTGGGCAGGAAGGAAGGGAGAGAGCCTCTGCAGACAAGGCCGCGAGTCACTTTCCGTGTGGTGACCTTACCGCCATGGCCTGCCGCTTCTGCGGATCTCCCGAACGCACTGCTACATGTGTGTTTGTATCACTACAATAACTCACAATAACCTGACACATGCCTCCGTCGGTTTAGAAGGTGAGCTGATTAAGTGTCCGCCGATGCGGAATCACTTATCCTCTCATCGTTGCGAAACAGCGTGCATTACATGACATTCTTTCAACTTTAAACGCAAACATCGTAATTACAGTATTTTTTACTAATTAGAATATATTCATATTTGTTGTATTACACAAAATCAGATATAATTTTATTATGATTATTAGATTGAGTAACAGGCCTGTGCGCCGATTAAGATTTTACCTTCAACTTTAAGTTGGAATTTTAAGATTGTTGTTCAATTGAACATGAAACATCTAAGGCTGCTTCGGGTAAGATGTGGGTCGTTAATTTTAGATTATTACTACAAAACTTTAATGATTTCCTTTGCTATAACAACTTCTTCTTTATTTTATAACTCAGTTTTTATAGATTTTAATTAAATTATTTTATTACGTAATAAATTCTTAGTTATATTCTCGACTTTTTACCTCGCAAATTAAAAGACAGCGTTATTTTACTAATAATTTATTTGAACTCTAAGTTTAAGTAATACTTGCAATTAAATTTTGCATTTTACTACAACAAATTAGTGGTTTTAACTTCCGACACAATTGTATTTTTACTATTTATAGCTGTGTAAGTAAATAATATAATGTAAATTAATTTGTAAGCCAAATTTCCCAGAAATTAGACATTTTGCGGTTTAGATAATAGATTTTTAATATTATGTGTCACTAATTTAAAATTACCGAATAATTAAATGTACAAATACAATTTACGAATATTTTTACGTACATTTTGTATGTGTCACAAAAAAATCCAATTTCCGCCTAATATGATTACAATTCCAGCACAAAATCAATATATAATTTACCTTGAAGTAAAATGACAAATAAAATATTATAATACCAATAAACAATAAATCTGTGCAAGGTGATACCATGACATTTTCTACAAAAACATAAATGCAGTCTAATATTCATATTAATCTTGATTTCTTTTGCCTAAATATCAAATATTAATAAATTAGAGAAATTTATTTGCAAATTTGCAGAATATAAAATATTGGACAACATTTATCGGACATAATAAAGAATTGTTGACCATGATTCAAATATTTTATTATTATGATCATTAAACTTCTGATGTTTGACCAATAAAATTATATCAAATGATTAACAATCCTCACAAGCTCACACCGTTCTAAATTCTTTGTTGTTGCTATGTACACATTTTCGAATTATTATTAAATATGAATTGGAAATTGAAGCCAAGGTATTCCTTGCAAAATCCACAATATTGAATCAATTTTTACAATCAAAATTGTTTATGAACTTAAGCAATCGAATTGAAAATTGGCTTACCAATCTTCCAACAAACGCGATGAATTTTCATCCATTAAATAAACTATTGCTTATGGCGCGCAATCAAGTGTAGCGTTAAAATGTTGAAATAGTTACCATTACCATTTACACTTTGAAAAACTATAAACAAATTACATTTTGAGACTATTCTTGTATAAATAACAAAACATAATTATTTTAATATTTTACATTAAATAATCATAATAAAAATATATTTAATTGTTTTTTTTTATGTGTCAAGTTATGATGTTGTAATAAGTAGGTACAATAGTTGGAAGATAATAAATAATTTGTTGTTATTGGATATGTTTATTATACCGCTATTCCTCGTAGCTCATCGACCTTCCGCCACGGCATTGGTAACATTTTTGACGAGAAGGTCACACCAATAAGCTGGTTCAATCAATGTTGTTTTTATCTTTGTCGTTCGATTTCCATATTACGTAAAATAACTGTGCTTAAAATGTTATACTGACAAGATGCATCACTAACGCTCACTTTATATAAGCAAATAATGCATTCCTATCACGTCCATTAAATATCTTACCATTTAGGTTGGTTTTGCTCATGTTGCCATTGAGCCAATCTCAGAGAGAACATCAAACACCTTCACAGCTTAACAAATGTTGCATCAAACAACTACAAGTTTTTGTTTTATTATATTAATAGAAACAATCCAATTATTAACCATGTTTGTGGTTGCATAACCTCATAAAAACAAAGTTAACCATTTTATAGGTTATGAATTATGAGATTCATGGCTGCATATTTCAACTAAAATATTCATTTACCGCATAGTGGTTGCCAGGTTGCGGTGTTGATGAGTGACTCTTCACTCGGTTGGGAATATTACCAGAACGTGCGTGTGCGCTACCTGTGTTGCGAGTTCAGTGATTCACAATAAAATAATAAATACACTTTGTATGTACTTAAGTGCGCCGTGCAGTGCACGGTGCGCGCATGTTTACTCACAGCAGTCGTCAGCGAAAGTATGTCAAGTTTACTAACGATCATTTTTTTAATAAAATTATTTTCACTGTTTTGCCTTCTTATTATATTCACATTCGACGGCAGCAACTGATGCATTGTGTAGATAAATCAATTCTTAATCAAGTTTGAATCATATATAATAATTTCGCCATTTGAAAAAGCAACATGTTCGTTTTTATTACACTTGTTTACCAACTATGCATTTGAATGCAATAAAATAGTGGTTTTGTGTAATTTATCTTCAATTAATCTTCATTAAACACTGTAATGTGTTAGGTTAGGATAGGTTAAGTTTTTAGGTCTTGAATTTTAATATTTTCTATGTGAAATATTTTATATTATAATAAAGAACAATGCAATCCACAATATTTCACTTGTCATAGTATTTTGCAACGCGCCGAAACAATTAAAACCTCAAAATATGAACATCCAAAATTTCCCTGGAATGAATAAAACAAAACAAAAAGGACGCAATAATCCGAAAGCGTCGCACTTGGTATTTTATGTAATGCCGCCTCAATTGCAATAAATTCATTTCCACCTCGTTAATGCGCATTTCGGCTAAAGTAACAAAAGTAGCACTAGTAGTCGGTCGCACATAACAAAATGACATAACCTACAAATATATTCGCCATTCGCTATTCAAATGGCTGCCAACACCAAACCAAATTGTATAATGTATAACAAAATTGTTTCAGTCTAGTAAATACACTCCTATATTTAATTTCTTACAATTTTCGTGCACTTTGTAATTATATTTACTTGTATTTATTTATTCTAATAAACAATAAGTAAAGTTTGGCGTGAATAAATGAAATGCACTTCTGCGATCTCATTGTGAATGTGATTTTAAAATGTAGGCCGCAACTTTTATTTAATATATAGCTTAATCTGCAAATTGTGAGTTTTCTGTGAGATGCAGTTCGCTATTGTTTATGCCGGTATTGTGTTGTATTCTTATAGCTTTATTTTCAGAATGTGAAAGTACACAACTAAAACAAAATAAACTATAACTGGCAAGTAATTGCATCAGTTTTCCAATTAATTGTGTTTATTTATTACAAATGCTTTCAATCGTTATTTACGTGTTTATTTTTTGTGTTATATATTTTATTATATTGCGTATCGAATTAAATTGTTATTAATTACCGTAATTACGATTGAATACCTTTCAATTTTATTAACACACGCAATAATTTAACACTTTTAACAATTCTAAACTTTTTGCGATGCCGTTACCATAGCAACCAAATACGTGATCACATGATGCAAAATTTTGACCTTCAATTAGCGGTCATTTAATTTTTTTCGAACCAAAGTTTTAATTTAATTAACTTCTGTGAGTTAATAAAGACTAAAAATCTTGAACTTTGAGAAAAAATTCTCGATGTGCAAATAATTTAATAAGACATAATTTTTGCAAAATGATTTTTAGCTTGTTAAAAATTCGCACGATTTCATTAATAATAAAATAAAAAATCTATTGTCTAGTGTTGTTAATTGAATACACCTAAATGAATATTAAAAAAAAACGTGCCTGAAACAATCCGTTGTCCTTGAAACTAATTACCGATTCATTGGCGATATTTTTCTTTTCGAAATTACAATGCAAACACACAAATACATGCGAGTCAAGGCGTACTCGTAATTAAAAACAATTGAAAATCAGCCGCATAGCTGATTGACAACTGACATGTGACCATAAAGAAAAAAAGAAAAATAAATACTGAATTGATACGAAGAGAAAATAATTTTGTATTATTTACAATTATTATGATCGAAAGAATCGAAGGCCACGCAAGAATCATCAGCGTGTCAAGTTTTGACAAAGAGTTGCATTCAATATGACGAAATATAAAATGCAACTGCAAACTAAACTGGCATTCGATATTCCGAGAATTATTTGCATCATGATTAATCTTATATTTAGGTTATGCCATTTTTACTCACACACAAATAAAATTAGTTTCCAATTGAGTGAAATCTAAATATCACTTCAATTATTTTCTTTTATAATTATTAATTAATTAGCTGTGTTCTACAAACAAGAATATTAAACATAAATTTTACCTCTGAAAATGATGATGAGATGTTTCAACCAGCTGTACTTGTGTTTTTCTGTATTTAGTTTGCACTCATATTGAATCGCACACACAATCACAACACAAATTTATGCACGCCGAACTAATCTCAATATGACCGTGTGTTAAGTATGTATCTTGAGTTAATGTTTGCGAACGAAGTCTGCGCGGTGTGTTTCAAGGTGATGACGATTGTAAAAGACTCATTTATAACTTCCGGTAACAAAAAACCGAAATCCGAATCCAGTTTGTATTAACTCGCGCCGGATCACGGCGTGTCGGCTGATTTTTACCATTTGTCTTCACGTGTGTGTGCTCTCTGTTCTCGCACCTACCTGCGCACTGACTAAGTAACTAACACATGCGCGGTAGGTCGTGGCCGGGACGGACTACGGACAATTCGTCGGACGAATTCGCCACCCGAATTCACGCTCGCACTTCGCACAAGGAGCAATTAGAAGTGAAACCGTGAAAACGCGTGAAACCTTCCATCTTCTGGCTCATGACTGACGCGAACTGAAGAGAATAGCGTGCAGCCACGGCCTTCTTCGGCGAAAGTCGGTAAATTCCATCATCATCTAGTCATTTTACTCACACTTCTGCTTCGCCCGTACTCGCGCCATTCATTCAGCCTACTCGGCGCGCGCACGCATGAATTAAAACCATTAAAAAACCCTTTTTAGTGCTTTTTAAACAACCAATTAAAGAAACATCTTCAAAAAACTATAAAAACTTGTTTTTACATAGTACTTACCAAATTAGTAGCGTGTAGAATTATCACTCAAAGAAAAGTTTTATATTTGATTGGAGTAGCGAATTCAATTAAGCGTTTTATTAGCGTGTTATTAGTGTTTTGGTAGAAAGTAACTTGCGTAAATGAAAACAACAAGTTTTAAGATTTCTCTCTCGCTGTTTGTATCATTCCGACCGCAAAACTATACTCAATGTTTACAATTTCAATGTGACCAGATATGAAAAATTGATTTTAGATGTTTATTGTGAAATATTCACTTTTTTATCTTCACTATCTTCTTACAATTTAAATACAGTGGAATACTGTGTATGTTTAGCCTTAGGCGTGTTTGTTCTTAGTTGAATAGATGATTCAAACGGAATGAACACAGCCATGTAAAGGACATGCACTCTTAGCATTTCACGTAAAAGCACTTAAGTCGGTATTACCAAAAATAATGCATGAAGATTGCCGATAACCCACTTTACCGTTTTTCTAGACAAGTTAATACTGCATTGAATCAATGTCAAAATTCACGTCAAAATATGTAAAGCACATCCAGTAAAAAATGGACCCATCGCGATTGTCCAATTTTGCAAGGCAGTACAGATTTGCACATCAATTATTAAGCAACAAGAAGCTCTCCCGTCTCATCGAAATAATAATAATCATCTACTGGTTCAAGCTGGTGATTTTCTCCTTCATCTCTCTATTTATGCAAATCTTGTTAGTTGTGATTTTAATATTATTCGTCATCTTCTATGGATGCTGCATCTATGGCAAATAAATTTCTTTATCTGGATGGTTAATCGTCAACTTTCAACACAATTATATAACATTGTTACATTTTGGTTTATAAAAAGATGTATAACATATATTTTTATTAAATATAAACATTGATTTAAAACTGAACGTTTACACAGAATTTTATTTGTATTACTCTTCGGATGACTTCGATATGCGTTTAAAATTAAATAATTTAATGTAAAATTTACTAATTGGCTTTCTCAGCCGAAATTTTCGAAGTGATGGATGAAGTACGGCAGTTTGCGTGCTTTATTAACATCGTCACATGCGGACATCACGCTCTTGGTTAACGGTCTCGGGCCACAACTGAAGACGCCGATTTTGCTCACCTGCAATGGTAACAATGAGGCCAACAATGTTGACAATCAATTATTGAGGTTTACTTACATAGCTGTGCTTTTTCTGAACAAACTTCAGGAACGACGTCATGTCAGGCCGGCCAAAATGATTGACTGCTTTCAAACCGGTAAACATTGACGTTTTCGACAAACGTTGGAAATGATTTTCACAAATGTACTACAAGAACATGAATTTTATTAATTTTATTGATCTGGATGTGCATTGGGATCAGATGTGCGTTCGCTTATTGCATAAAATAAAATGCGTAAAAATTTCTCCCAAGAATCAGCAAGGTCTTTGCGAAAACTGCGCGCATCGTAAAGTTCTTCTAGCATATCGAGCAGGGTGACGCGCATTTTACTAAATTCGGAATCTGCGATTCGAGGATGTGATTGTCCAACAAATTCAATTTGTTTCAAAATAACATTGGGATTCTTGATATCCTTTACAATCAGATCTATTATTTTCATAAATTGCTGGCAGTGAGTGTAATACTTCTGGTTTTGTTCGTGTTCATCGTGTTCATCGCCGAAAAATAACAGATGTGCGGGAAAGTGCTGCTTGAGTCGCGCGTAGAAGATGTTACAGTATTTATGAAAGTTTGGAACAACAAATCGGTTCCAGTGATCGGTTATTTGATTTTTATCGTCGTCGCTTAATATTTCGTAGACTTTAAATTGTGACATTTTCAATTTGTGTGATTTTTGACAGATTTATTTCACTTACCAACATGGTTGTCCTCAAATCAAATTTGTGGAAAAACTGTGTGATAAAAATGTGGATTTCTAAGACGTTTGTCACATCTTTTTTCTCCACATCTCGAAGGACATCAATAAACCACTCGAAATGTTTGTGCGACGGGCAAATCCACAAGAAATATACCTGTGAGGAGGAATTATTATTTTCTGTAGTGGAAATATTGATTTCAAAATGGCATTTATTACCTTTTTACATGAAACACCCGAATATCGATTTGTTGACGTACCAAACACCAAATCGTTGAGAATTGAAGCATAAGGAGTGACACCAATACCACCTCCGACCATAACAGCGACCTCAAACTTGTACCAATCTTGATTTCCCCCACCGAAAGGTCCCTCCAATAATATCTTGGGCTGATCCTCTGGATTGTAATTACATGGATCAAAATAATTCCTCAGCTTCCATGTCCACGGCCCTTGCGCTTTAATGTGGCACGACAAGAAGTTCTCATGCGGCGCAGAGGTGAGCGTGAAGGAATGCGACTCGGATGTCTTGAACGCCGTGCATGCTAAACGCACCCACTGCCCGGAGAGATACTTCAAATTGGGCGGACGATAAAACTTGATCTTGATCACGTCCGACGGCAGTAGTTCTGTCTCGATGACATCCAACGGAATATACTTCGTTCGCAGACTGACTACTTTATCCAGTGTGAAGATAATTCCCGGCCCGATAAAGAACAGCCAGAAACGCGGGGCGCCTGTGAGTCTTGCCAAGCCGTGAATTAAACACAGCGCATACAAAACAATATAGAGACTGTGAGTCATCCAGAAAAAGTTGTACGCTTTTTTGCGGATCAAAGGATGCGCGAAGACGAAAATTATGCACATCGTTATAAAGAGCATCACTCCCGTGGCGCCCGTTATGGTTTGGAATAACCAGAATGTAATACCCGGCTTGTAATCGGATGGGAAACGGACTTCACTGGTGAGACATTTCAAATTCTCAACAGGTTGTGTGGAGACGTGGTAAAAGTTCACAATGTGTCCCACTGTGTGTAATATTGAGAAGAAGAGTGCTGTGCACGCGGCTATTTTATGGAATTGAATATGAGCATCTAAAGGAATGTATTGCTGGATGGAGAATTCTTTGAGTTTTGTTAGTAAATTGCGGGACATTGTCAAGAGGAGCATGCTATAGCAGAAGGACAACGATGCGGCAGATCCTCGAGTTATAGCAATGCCGACGCCCATGATGTGACGCAGATCCGTGTGTTCAGCCATAAATGAATAATCTGTAAATATATACAATAAGATTAAATTAATAATTAAATGGTTGAAAAAAATTACGTATAAATCTCTCAACGAAAAGCGCGATCGTAATAACGTAGAACACAAAAAGGTAAAAAATATTTTGTCTGTTTTCTTCTAGGAATGTAGTTACTGAATTCCACTTCAATTTCAGATAACCCTCTTCGGCGTCTGCGGGTTGCTCAATGTGGAAACTTGTCATTCTCGCGACGTTGGTTGATGTATCGAGGAAGTTTTGCTTCGCTCCTTTACAATCCAATCCAATGGCGACGAAATCACCCTTATACTCCTTCATCATCTCCTTGAAATCGCTATAGGTGAGGAATTCTTTATGTTCTAAACCGGCATCCTATTTTTTTAGAAATAACAATTAATAAATGAGTTATTAGAGTAAGAAAAGTTAAAAAAATACCTGGAACATTCCGTCGATGAGTTCGGTAACATGAGCATCAGACAAACTGGTTGTTCGCGCTATTTCTACTAATGACCTCATCATCTCGGAAAGTTCGATTTTATCGATAACTCCGTTTCTATCATTATCACACATGTCGAAGATAATTCTCAATTTGTCTTCTGTTTTACCTCGTGAAAACAATACTACAGTATCCAAAAACTCTTGGAATGAAATTCTGCCATCACTGTCTTTATCAACAATATTAAACATTTTCTTAACAAATACGGCATCGTGTTTCATGCCTAATGCATTCGCAAACTCACTGGTTGAGAGCGAAGTTCTCATTACCGTTACAACCTCACCATCCGTGCTGGCATCGGATCGCCTACGCCGCTCTCCAGGTCGCAACCCAAATGTTAGCGCGTAAGCCTCTCTGAAAAAGTGCTCGAGCTTACGTTGTCTTCGCTCTCGTGTTTCCGCCTTGGCGAGCATTATTTCACGGACTACTTGTATACAAATAAGGTTGCGCTTGTGGGAATTCAGGAATAATTCCAGTTTGCTAATAAATTTCTTCCTCATCCCTATCGTATCCAATTCGAGGACCAAGTCGTGTTCGCGTGGAAGGCGAATTAAAACTAGGGGTTTCTTTTTACCGTGTACATCAAGTGATTCTTCTAATGTAACAGTTTCGACATTTTTAAAATTAAGCGTGCGTAGTTTTTCACCTTTTCGCCCCACAATATGTAGAGCTAATTCAGGACCGATATTTACTTTGACCAGTCGTTTGTGATTAGCATGCAGCCATTCCTGCACAATCATAGTGTCAACTGGAAGTTTACCATCTACTGAATTACGTAACTCTTCTTGTTGTATTTTGAGTCTCCGCCTGCGTCGATTTTGCAGTTTGACAACGCCATAACCGGCACCAGCGCACAGTATCGGAACAAACCCGAGGAAAACGCAAGCATAAATATATACTAACTCGTTGTTTTCAAAATAATCGTACCCTCCAAGTACTTTACAAGGTTCTAACTGAGATGCATTGAGTTGCATTGGTTGTTGACATGGATCACCAACATTCCAAAAGAAGACATTACGTTGTATCTCCTCTGGTTTGATGTCTGTGCTGTTGACAATAACATCCCACAATTTAATTTTTCTTAACTCTTCAATTTCTTCAAGAGTAAAAATTTCGTTGTTTGTGTTTTCGAACCAAAAACGATCCGAGTCACGAATTCGCGTAAACTGCTCGATTATGACCTCCGCAAATAAATCACCAGGTTTACCATAACTCTCCAGCATACCTCCAATGTACACATCGACGTTGTTAATATCATTATTATAGGCAGAAACTAACACGCGCAGAATTTCCGGATTCTTTTCGAAAAGTTTCGGATTTATATCATTCCACTCCTTATACTTGGGCAATTTATATTGCGCACGGACGGTGTTGTAATCTGGAAGGCCATTGTCCCTACCGCGCATTATATTAAGCGCACCTAGATCCCTCCGGGAAAACTCCATCGGGCCAAATAACTTATCTCTGACGTCAGAGCAGAGAACGGCATCTTCGCGTTCCGCCAGCTGCGAGGTCATGCCCATCAGGAGCTCCTCCACCGAGTTGTTGCTCAACACATCCTAAGCAAAAAAATTACACGTTAATATCATCATGCACGCTAATTACCGCTCATCAATATTGTTGTGCTACACGCGCAGTGTATTTAGGAGAATGTATGTGTTTACTTACATTCGAATCCCACCATGTGCTGCAGAGACGTATAGCAAGATGTCCCATTGCCGTCTTCTTAAAATTGCACTTGCCGTCACGACGGTACAAACCAGGCGGTATCAGCGAGTGGCCGAAACGAAACGCCGCCGCTTGGAAAACGTGCGTCACGCCAGGATGCACTTCTTGCCGGTAGCCGGTGTACTCCGGCAACTTTCTACCCAAAAACGCCGGCAAATACTCGTACATTATGATATTCTACAATTACCAAGCAACAAACACAACAATCAATCATCATCATCAAGCGCACGTTGATTTCTAACACGCTTACCTGAATAGTCCCGATGACGATTCTTCGCGACCTTTGGAACACGTCCTCGTCGGTCCAATCCGGATGTTGGTGTTGCACTCTGGCCGCCACCACATTATGCCATCGGAAGAATAATATACTCAGAGTTAAAATAGCTGGATTTTGATTTGTTCTCGGATCTCCCAAGACTGAAAATGCATTTAAGATTAAAATAGTAATAATAATAATAATAACGCGTAATATACACATCTAGGTGTGAACAAATAGTAATGTTGCAAAATCTGCTGCAATGAAGAAGATTTCTTGCGAATACGCAAGCGTAATCTTCAGTGTCGGAGGAATATGACGCGACCTCACGAATTTCGCTCGCCGCTGTGGCGCGTAATTTCATCGCGCATTGCGCAAGAATCCATCCGAGTTCTCATGCAATTGTTGTTGGTACTTACGAAAAAGCCGCTCCGAGCTGAGCATCCGCATCACCTGCGGCACCGGATTGTTGAACAGTGGTACCCGCATCGAGTTTCTTATCGGCATTTTCCCGGATGCGTCTGTTAACAACGTGCCATTTTGGAATGAGCGCATTGTGTTTATCCACGGCTCGCTTGTACTGTAGATGAAACTACCGTCCATCCAACTTGTTACTTGGTTCATCTATAATTCATAAAAAGTAAATATGCATAAATTTTAAATTTTAAAAGAAATACAACCAACAAGAATCTTATTTTAGATTCAAGTCATTATATAAACGAAAATAACTTCGAACACATTTCCGGTTCCGGTTCGAAATAGTTTAAGGTGCTATTCATAGCATACCTCAACACCGTGTGACAACTCCAATTGATTCGACATTCAAATCACAAACATATTCAATTCCATATATTCCTTAATATCCGCAAGACATAGAAACTCTTTAAAAGTGTAACAACCTTCTAATAAATATCCACATCTAAGGAGTTGTGCGTTACCGCGCCCATGGCTTTTTGTTAATGAGACCGCGAGTCGCACTATTAAGAATTAACAGATATCGACATTTTATTTTTTGATACACGCCCGATTAATTAATTTACAATCGTCAAGTTAAATATATGTGATTTAATCGCAGCATAAGTTATTTATCACTTGTTTTCGTATGGAAATATAGGTCAGTGTGTGGAGCTTGAAAGTGAAATGAGAATATAAATATATCACAATGAAAATCTAGACGTTCGCAAAGACAAGACGCTTAAAGCGATATATTTTCTTGGTAATTTTAATTGAATGAGCAACGTGCACGAAATAATGCGCCTACTTACGTAATTTTAAAATTCTACGCTCGGATTTCATGGTCAGCACTGCATTAAAATAATAACTCGTCGTAATATATTTTATGTGAGTTTTTTTTTACTAGAGTATCATTGTTCACACTTTGCAATGGGAGTTTTGTCAGAAAAATGCCAAAAATACATTAAAATGCATTAGAAACATTAAATTTCAAAAATTTTCCCTAAATAATTTTAAATAATCACAAAACTAGGTAAGGTTTTCTGTATATTTGAGTTTAATATCTATAGGTGGCGCTGCATGTTATAAACATAACCTACCTGTTCCCTTGGCGCATTTGGACTTTGCCCAGTATGTCTATCGTACATCGCTCGATGAAATGGAATATATCTATCACCCCGACAGTCTTTATCATAAATCTCATCACATTTTTCAATCTCGATGTGATGCATCTCAATAGGACAGCCACTCTCACTAGCCATCACAATTTCCGACGTAACTAATTGTCCGAAGAATGCCAGCAGCGCTGTGCGATTCTGCATCGAACTTAATCCGTCGATGCCTTTCATAAATAAACGACTTAATTTCCTAGGGCTCGGCCGATTCTGACCGGCCATCATGTATACGCCATCCGAATACGCCGGCGGCGCTTTCCTTATCAGGTGACTATCTGTAACACGCAAAAGACAATTATATTAAAACTAAACCAATTCAAAACCATGACACATCATGTTGATATCTTGTTTAAACTTATCTGCGACAGTTATATATGTCTATATTGAAATTCGTGTCGGAAAGACAATAGATATATTTATCAACGCGGGCTATTATAGTTTTAACTTTCTTATTTTTATTTTATTTGAGTTTTAAGTCTAAAGTCTAAACAATGGGTTGTATATATTCTAAAATAGAAGACAGCTCATTTGTCAACTGGTTTGCATATTAGCTCCAATTCCGTGGTGCAGAAATGTGGAAATCGCGCTCGTAAAATCCGTGACTAATTTTACGAGATGATAAATTCGGTGTAACAAATTAGAGAACACGGGCTGAATTTTACATAATATACGCATAAAATATTAATCAATAACCGCAGGACGTTTTCAATCTGATCAGAATACAAACGCGAATTATTTGATCGCGAGGGACAAGCAGTCTGCGATTGATAATAAAAATATGACCCACATTTGACGCATAATGTAATTTTTAAAATAGTTGAAAAAAAAAACTATGCGAGCAATAAAATTTTCGAATGGCAATCAAAACTGCAGCAATGCCGAATTCTTTCAAATATGTATCGATATATCGGCATATCAAATTTCACAATATTCACATTATTTAAATATTTAAATGTTGTGCAATGTCAAATAATAATAAAATTTCGGAAACATGCTCCACAACATCAAAAAATAAGTTTCTTCTGTTTAAAATCTTCATCTTTTGGAATAAAATATTCAAGAATATATTTAAATTGTATAGAAATGTCTTTAAAATATAGTTGTAATTTGATACGCTCAATAATTTGCCTAAAAACATGTAACGCTAAACTATTTTATGACTACAAACATTAAACTAATGTTAAAGTATGCTATTTATAAACAAAACCCACTTGTAACATTTTCAACGTTCAATTTTCTATTTATATTTTATACAGCATCTTTGCATAAAACATTTTAACATTTCTAAGGCAATTTAAGTAAATACATTTAACATGCGTCTACTTTCGTTCGATCAGTTGGTACACACACAGTTAAAGAACAAATAAACTGGAAAGAGAGAGAAATTTACACGCAGCGCAAAGTAATTACACACAGAAAATGTATTTACACACCTAGGTAAACACACACGCACGGTTAATTTGTCTCGATCCCAAAATAATTGCTTTCTTTCTCAATTTATGTATTTTTTTAAAACATCCTCTTACAAATTATGTAAATGTATTGGTAATTTCGTATTTCTTGAGTACCGTGGTAAATTATAAACGTCTAAAATAAATTCGTTTCATGTGTCGAATAAAAATGGTAGTAAATTTATGGCATTTAAATATTAAAAGTTGATGTTTCGTATTTAGTGCGTGAAAAATTAAATGTTACGTAAAATGATGAACGTCAAAATGTAAATAAATGATGTGATGTCTTAAAGGTATCATATTAACAGTATTTTACGTACAAATTGACTAATTTAAGCTTTTTATCTGTAAAATAAACTTTAACAACCAGTAATGTTTGATTTGCAGTACAAATTTCGAACGCGAAAAATGACAAAACTAAAAAAAACATAATTTTTGCAAATAATACCTTTATTATTTGCAAAACTACGGTAATTATATGCAAAATAAATATAATTGTTTCACCTGGTCACGGCAAGAATTTATTTATCTGTTTTTTTTTTCTTTGGTGTTGAAACACTTAAAAATTTTAATTGATGATCATATTACGTTTCCTCCAGAAGTGTTGTTTAATTTGTTGATAAACTTGACGAACCTTCTCAGAATTAAAAAATAACACAATAGAAGACACCAAACTTAAGTCTCCTCATTAATTAAAACAAAGTACTTAAATTTTATATTTCTTAATAACGAACGGAATTAAAATACAAAATTATAAAAAAATAAATAAACGAATTATAAATATTCATCCACCTAATTAATATTTATAAAACTCAAACTGCTACCACATCCTCCTTGTGATTTATCTTAGCTCTTAATTAATTAACTATCTATGGCCACGTCACGGCTTCATAAATATAAATGAGAATAAACCTAAGATCACTCAATATAAATACGTAGGTTGGTATTGTTTTAACAAAAGTAGTAAATCAAGAAAAGCATAAAAATAGCTGCATTTGATCGATTTACGAGATAATCCTGTTTTTATCTATTTTCTCTATAATGTAAATAAATTTGCATAGTTTTATAGTGTGTGGTGGTTGTCAAGTTGAAAATTAATGCAGAACATGAAATTCGAGATTGATGCGTGTAGGTATGCAATTTTCAATCGTAAATCAAATTTTTATTTATTCGCCATGCGTTGGGACGGTGTCAGTCGATACTTGATTTAACAGCTTTATAATGATTTATCGTTCTCTGCACATATTCAAATTAAATTTAATTTAGAAAATAGTTGAATAACATACGAGATAACAAGCTGAAACTAATAAATGCAAATACCTTAATTCGTAATGTCGTATAATCTGTTACAAACGACTTAACAATTGCTTGTTATGGGTATTTATAATATTTAAATTAATTTTAAATACGTTCATTCATGGAAACAACCTTCTTTTAAGATTAAAGTTGCACAATTGCATATTTTATTCAAAAATATTCCTTAAAACGTAAAATAGGCAATAATGCCATTATAAGAGGCGATAACTTTATTTCTTTTTACCAAATATGAGTTATCCAAACATATTGCGGTGTGATTGCAGTGAAAAACAAAGGAAATGTGTAAAATTGGTTGCGGCGCAGCGCCTTCGTCATTTGTATAGCTCAAAACTAATTATAAAATGAATATAAGTAATAAAACCATGATAATCATGCACAATATTTTATTATGCTCTCAAATTTGACTGATTTGACTTAAAAACTATCTTTTATCTACCTTTAGAAAAAACATTATTCACGCGAAAATAAAAATTCTTTGTGACATGAAATAACTATCGCCGTCTAATTGCATCGGCCTGATCTAATAAAAACGCCATTTCCCATAATAAATATGCAAATAAAATAAATACTACAAGTACTTTTCTTGAGCACTGAGAGTCTGAACTTAATTCATAACAGCTTATATTACGCGATTATTTTATAGAGTAGGTACTCGCCATAAAAATCGTTTCACATTGTAAACGTGATTCAAAAGTGTGGATACCGCTGCATACAATACCCATGCCTAACTTAACTAAGCAAACAAAGATCCATTGTTTTCATAATTATTTTAAACATATAATTGGTAAGATATAAAGTTGTACGTAATAAAAATATGCGTACAAGTGAAAATTTCCATCTAATCCTTAATATTTATTGTTATCGGTCGTGTAAAATTTGTAAAAAATCTATTTTTTATCTATCCTTTCACAAATTATTTATTGCCATCGATCGGTTAATTAATTAATGCATAAAACAAGCGTGGGTTTGATTTCATCGCTTTATAAACAAATTCACAATAATTGGTTTCCTATTTTACGATGAATGAAATTAATTTATTCCGTATATGCATGAGGTTAGCATTGTAATTGTTTAATTATCTAACATTAAACTGGATCCTGGACATGTGCACAATATTTTCGGCTCATTTTATGACATTTTAATTAATGGTCCAGTCTTATCATGCAGACATAGAGTTCAGTTAACCGTTTAAGTAATTAACTTTTGAGATTTTCGACAGACGCACGTGCTTGCCGAAATTTTGAAATTTCTAATTAATTTCCAGCGCGAATATGTTTTAATTAAATAAAACTTTCGAACGATATTCAAATTAATATTAATTATTTCCATACTTCTGCATAAACCTATCTTTTGGTTTTACGACATTGTAAAAAAGTCGAAAAATGAATATAAAAATCCGATTTGATGAATAAATCTAGTTTCTAGTTATTGCGTGAACCGAAATGGGAATAACTAAAATTTCTCGAATTCTTTGGAATTACGAATGATAATAAAGTTTGACGAATTGCCAAATCATGCGCACCAATAATTCCAATAAGCAATAACCTTAAAGACGAAATGAATTTCTACTTTGATTCGGAATGATTGACATAATCCCTTGCAATAAGCTTGACTTATTGGTTCTAATCCTAATTTTATAAGAGACGCAACACTTATTTGCCCGCCTCGCTAGCTCTAGATCTAGATATACATAATTTGTCAATTTACATAATAAATCGATGAGACCGCACCATCTGAGGTGGTTTCTGTGTTTCTTATTTTATTTTACGAAACAGTTTTAAGCTAATTGACATATCACTTTTATGGCGTTGCACGCGTGCTCGCGATTTGTGAATTGTTTTATTCAGTATGCACACTAAAAACACCTAAACACCACATTATAATAAAGTACCATGGTGACAATCAACCAAAGTTGTTGATAGCAAAAATTTGATCTCCAGAGATGTTTCCTTGCCTTTATCTCAGACAAATTTTTAAAACAAATAAATTTTGTTTCATATTTATAAATTTTCACTGTTGCAATGTCCTTATAACAAATAAATAAATTAAAAATTGATTATAATATTATCATCAACTTTGGTTGATTGTTCTCATGGAGCTTTAAACGTGAGAGAGGGTGTGTCGTTGGTAGAAATTTATTCATTTTATCAAAAAATTATAGCCATCGAACAAAACGTTGACAAAACTTTTACGCCTCGAACCGAACAAATTGGCTACCAAATTGCGAAACGCGTCCCTAGTCAGATATAAGTCTAATTGGACCGTGTCGCGTTATATTACAACAGATCCCACACGTCTTCCTAAATTATCCGTAATAACGTATTCACGGACAAATTTCAACGTTTCGGCAATTTAACAAGTAAATATATTATTTATTTATGCAATTATTTGCCCGCGACGCTACGACGAATGCTATGGCGATATTTATGAGACGCGGCTTCATTACAATATTTATTTATCGCGCGCGAGAAAGCTACAGAAACCGAAATTAAGAAATTAATCATAATGCTATTGATGCAAGGTGTGATGGAGCAATACGACACATGTGTCATGAGTGTGTTTTGAGATGTTGAGCGGATGTCTCGCCGTGTTGAATGAGATATTATAGCTTGTATAATTTAATAATAGTGTATTCGACAGGTCGATTGCGCAGAGGTTGGGTTACAAACTAATTTCGTTCGGATTTTTATTTTGTATGGGATATAATAGGTGGATAAGTGCTATATGAACATAGTTTTGATTCCAGTACAATAAAAGTTGATGTTTTGTACTAAATTAACTAAACAATTGAGAATAAATGCAATAAAAGGTTATTCTTTGTTGTCAAAATGTCAAAGCTTAAGTTGTCAGTGATCTTTAAGAATAAGTTTCACTTTATTTTTGCAAATGTTTAGGTTATATTAACATAAAAATGAAAAATGTTAAGAAATTGCATGTAATAACTTAAATGTTAACTTTTTATGGTGTTTTGTACTGAAAATATTTAATGTACAGCGAAATAAATCAATAAATTTGAGAAAAAGTTAATTTTAAAGTTAGTTTATCATAGATGTCTTTTGACAACTGACAGGAAATGACGAAAATAACCAAAAACTTCGAATTTGATTTAAAAAATTGTACAATTTCTAAGGAAAAGCTTGTTTTACATGTTTCTCTCTAAATAAAACTTAAATCAAGTGAACTTACTTGTAGCACCCCAGTGCGGATGTGCCAAATTATTAAACCATCCATCATATCTCTGCTTTTCGGAGTGTCCCAGTACATTTTCTGCAAACAAAACAAAATATATTTATCAAATGTACATGACGCAAATGCGTAGTTAATGTATAATCGTGAGCAATATAATGTTCAAACTTATAAACAACCTACTTATTTTTTCAAGGAAATATCATTAAAATTATAGAATTAAACAAGTTCAAACGTAATTATTATTATGAGATGAATATTTGTATTTAATCCTGCTTGACAAAATAATTGCGTCTTCGTGATGGAATCAAGTATCAAGAATCGAGAATCAATATTAGGAAGAAACGGAATCGAAAATTCCACTAAAGCAATGAGTATCAATTACCCATTAGCTACGATTAAGGCAATGCGCATCGCTTTATCGACGTCCCAAGACGTCCATTTACATAAAATGCGCGCGCGGATTGCATCACGACACAGCTCATCTGCGTGCTGAACACATTCATGATGAATGTTTAAGCCAAAGCTTAACACGTCATACCTACAAGCATACATCGATCTAGAACGTCCACGTAGACATTGCATTCATCGAATATTCGAATAGACGAATTGAACTGGAGTACTTCGAGAGCTCTTCGGTGCTCACAGTGCTCACGTTAGCACCGTTGTCCTTGTAATAATTAAATTCGATCATATAGATTATCTTGAGCAGTGAAAGCGAATCAATCTCGTGAGGCGACACGAGTTTGTATACACGTGAAAATTTTTTTCGATAAATTCAAATCTAAGTGTATTTTTTCAAGCTGACATTCAAATGAATTTATGTTTATATTATATTTGGATAGATTAGTGCTTAATGTTATACCACACGTCAACAACTCAACTGGTCCGCAACTATTTCATAATCGCATTTGAAATGTTTAAAATTGATTTTTATCTTGTCATGTTTTCGGGCGTAACGTGTCAGAAAAGTAATTTCTTTGTCACAATACTGCCAAATACAAAAATTCCAAAATTCGGCGCACAACTTTAGCGCTTATTAATTAAGTCTCACTAATTCGTTGATATAAAAATTCGCTGGCAATTAATTACAACGTTCGATTATTTATGTATAGATGAGAAAAATCTCCATATAAATCATAGGTATTCGAGTAAATTACACTTGTAATATACATTGACCTGAAAACCTATATGCAAAGTGTTGAGCGAGTTCGCTACAAAAATAACACTCGTAAATGCTTAAGGTATTTAGAAAATATTTAATCAATTTTTATTCTGTGTGGATGGAGCTCGCACGTCAAGTTTGGATGCTTTTTTTAGATCTCCAATCAGATTTTAAGATAATCAAGTAGTGATATTATAAAACAAAGTCAGAAAATAATTGTTTCAAAATAAATTAGTCTACGCATACTATAGTGAAGTGTTGATATGTTTTGTCTATTGGGCAGGTGAAACTGGACTGGAGACGGTGTACAATCTCTTTTTAATTAATTTCAGGGATTTATCCATGAATTGCAAAAAGACACAGTTATCGCTGGTTTGATCGCAAGTACATGTTTAATATGGGGTTTTAATTGTCTTTTTTCTATTTGCGGACTGCGTTGAGTAATGATTTTAATGTTTTTTGTTGATGTGTGCAATATTTGATTTACCTCTTTGGTATTATCAAAGTAATAATGAAATATCGAAAATTAAATTCATTAGAATAAACGTAATTAATAAAAATCTTTAAAAATAGGTAAATATTAAATGTTTTCTTAAATAAATTTCTAAAATGTTTTTATCGCTATGTACAATTATATCAAATGTAAACCTAACCTATATTTTGTAATTAAATGCCATATGTATAACCTAACCTAACTTTATATGATTTATATACAAAAAATATCATTTTTTACTGAAATAAACTATTTATATTAACCTTAAATGAATTTTAATGCTAATATAATTTAACTAAAACATTATTGTTTAAATAATGCTTATTATACTCAGATACAGCATAATAAAAGTTAAAAGTTTAAAATTTATTGATTCTTACAAGTACTTAGCACACGATTTTCCGGTTCTGTGCACGTTCTGATCATGTTATAAACTCACAAGAATATGTATGTACACGCCAACATGCATAATATTCAGATAACGATTGTGATGTTCCGATGATGTTGCTGATGTTATTGAAAGTACGATTAGACGCACAATACACAACTCACCATTCCACACGTGTTAAATATTGTGACAGGATTTACTACACATGCTACACACAACTTTTACAACAATCACAACTAAACAGATCCAACAAAACACTTGTAAAATTAATAACACTCATAAAACCAACAATAATAACATCGTGTACGAGTAGGCACCGTATTGTCCAGCTCTACATCCAGTTACATCACACACATTTCGAATTATTTAATTGATTTGTTCATTATTTATCTATTTTTAAATAGTATGTTTATCCTTGATTGTTCGAACGTGAAACGTGAAATGTTACTTGAACAGAAATAAATCAATGCATCATCGGCTGTCAATTATTGTATATTGCACGCCGGAAATTCCGGTAGAGCGGAATTGATGAATCATGTTTATTTAAAGTGCAAGAAATATATATTTTTAAGTTTTTAATTTTATGCTTTATTTTAATTGATAAATATCAATTTGGACTATATATTAATCATTTGCAACCGATTTTGGTACGGCACGATTAAATAATATCAATGTACAAGTATTGGCTTGTGCAATACTTGGGTTTAATTGCAAGCAAGTGAGTAATGATGGATTTTTCCAATGTCATACGCCTAATATATTTGTGAAAGTTTTCACGATCTTAATAATTACTTCAAGAGCATTTAAATACGTAGGTATAAAGAAATCAAACCCGTATTTATCAGTTAAACAAACATGAAATAAAAATAAATCGTTAAAATTCGTTAAATCAAGAAAATAAAAATATATAACCTATATTCTAATGCAGGATGTTAATTTTAGGCAACTTGTTGTACAATTTTTAGTCTATCAGATTGTCTACATTAAATCCGCATCAGCATTTTCCATCTAAATTTAAATTAATTCAGCCTTTTAATTGATTATTCCTGATTGAAATGAGATGCAATACAATGCAAATTTCTATGGTATTCATTAAAATACTCAATTTTTAATAAGACTAAAAAAACTTTTAAACAATGATTTAATTTTTTTGCGTTCAATGTGCGCAAAAATAATAAACTGAAAAATTAACACTTGTTCTTCGTGTTTCAAAGCAATTAATTAATTATTTCGGATATAACTAGACTCCATTCAATTCAGTTTTTTATTTCCTTGAAGTGACTTAATAAATTGTACATTGTATACGAGTAGTTTTGTTCGAAGTTGACTAAAGTTTAAAAGTGATATATTTTTTGTTCTTGGCTATTAAATCATAAAGAATTTTGTGATTGAGTCAAGCAGTCAACATCCAAGGATTTATGTTGATATGTTGCAAACTTCACATGCGAGCGCTATTTCTATTGACTTAAAACACTTTTTAACATCTACATAAACTTAAAAATTTTTAACATTTCGGAAGGTTTTAAATATTTACTTTTTGAATTAGTTAAGCATATACATATCATCTTAATGTAATTCTTGGAATTTTAAAAAGTAATTTGTATTGTTTACATTTACGCTCGACAAGAGGTTAGTATGGTCATTGACTTTGTAGGGCAGACAATGCAAAGCAAACATGACTTTTGGCACACACACTGCAAGTATTTAAATGTGTGTTCCTTTTAAATGAGACACTCACCTGCGGCAACCGCATCGGTAACAAGCAGCACAATGACACAACACAACGCGACGACCGCGCAACTTCGACCCGGACGTTTCATATCAGCTGATTGATTATTCTCACGTTTCTCACGACTTTTATTTGTGTGCATTTTATTTATTTTCGTTGCATGAATATTAAGCAATTTATGTTTTCGGTTGCATATGCCGCACGTTCAGCATTTTACTCTGAAGACTAGTAGCGCAAATCGCGTAAAAGTTCCACTTTACTTTTGCACACGCGCATATGTTTGAACAATGTTAATTCGTACGATTATTCTTGTGCGAAATGATGTCGGTAGCGCACACGCGGGGCGATCTTCGCTACGTGAACTGAGTACACACACACAAATGCACTCAACGTATTCATCGCCACATTTTCGATACACGCGCCTGAGAGAATTCCGAGCACCGACTGCGAAACTTGCGTGGAGCGCGGCGCACAGCGAGGCGCGTTTGGTTTTTTTCTCTCTACAAGAGATTGTGCGGCCCCGCGTTGTCGTAGTCGTCGCACACCTCACCGACGAAGCAGAAGAGAAAGTAGATTTTATTTTATAACCAGACATCGCGCGCGCCGGCGATGTGTAAAAGCCCCACCAGCGAGGTGAAGTCGCGGCGCGGGCAGTGGCAAAGCAAAGTTTTGAGTTTTGTTAATGAAGACACGTTGGAGGTAGGAAATTTACCTACGGATTCTGAATGAATCACCATGCTATAATCAAGTGTGTTTTATTGCTTGCAATGACACAATTTCAACTTTTATTTGAGTTTTCCCGATGATAATGTTATAAAAACTGCACTGCGAAAGTTTCTCAGGTTTGATTTGTACAAAGAAACAGTTGGAAATCTTTTGAATGCTGTCATAGTATAGTTTTATATGTATGTTGGGTTGCCTATATCACAACAAGTACCCATCATCAAACATGTAACAAAGTTTTTTCTCAATAAACATGCTGCGCATGCGTTTATTTAAACGTCAACGTTTCTTAATTATAACTTAATAACTTATCACATATTTTGTAGTATAAGTATCCTGTATAGCCCTCGGAGTATAACTTATACTCATTTTTATTTATTTTTCGATGCTGTTATTTTCGAACCCAGTTTTTTTATCCTACACCGTATCGTAACATTTGTATCTTTAATCACTATAGTCGAATTAACCAAGCAAGCACTTTTTTAAGCTTGAAAGTGCTAATTTCATTAAATTAATTTGCTTCACTATCTTAATTATCCCTCAATTTGTGAGGGTTGCATATCTCTGTAATGGTTCATCAGCGCAATTATCCTGGGGTACAGATAACGCGGTGCCAAAGGTCCGATAATAAAGTCAAAGTGCGAAAATCCATCAATAGTAATTTTGTATGAATCCACTATATTTGGTATATATTGCATGATCCTCTCCACTTCCTAGAAATTAAATATTTTATTATAACCGCAATTAAAAACATTAATAACTTACCGTATCCAAGAGAAACCAGTCATTATGACAATAATAAATAGCAACAGGCGTTGTGGTTCTGGATAAGTCATACTCTGGCGGAATTTCCGATCCATAATTGATGAGGTTTTTCTGAGGTGTCCCGAAATTGAATTTCTCAAACCTCTGATCGTTCACCATTAAACATGCATGGATAAACTGCTTAGCTGCAATACCTTCTGGACAGTTGGTTAACAGTCTTTGAAATTGATCCTAGAAAGTGGGTAATTATGCAACTGTACTTCGTGGCTTTTTCAAACAGGTACTTTACATTAGGTAGACGAGCTGGTGGCAACCCGGAAAACAAGTATTGGAGATATTTGCATAACTCTGGTACCATGCTGCACATCATACCGCCATATTCTCGAATGTAATCACGGCCGAATGTCCATTCATAAAGTCCGAATTTCTCGACTACACTCTTGAATATTATAATAAATAAATAAATAAATAATTGTTATAAATAAAATAATTATTATAAATATTCTTACTTGTAACGCTTTGACGTGTGGAGCAATCATTCCAAGCCATGGATGCGGGAAGTTGTTTAATGTGGCAACAGGAGAAAGATTCACGAATAATTTTACTTTATTGGCGTATTCTGGTCTATTATGGCACATTATGTAGAAGATCATGTTACCCTGTGAATGTCCGACGTACATAATCTGTTCATGATTTGTTGTTTTCAAAATATAATCGATTAGTGCTGGTACATCATAATTTCCAAACTCGTCCATACTGAAAATAAATTTTAGGTTAGAAAATGTCTACCAGTCAAAAATAGATGGCGTTTTAATAACTTCATAACAATTGTGAACAGAATAGAATAATTGAATGGTAATTTAATGCAGCACAAACGTGTTTGATTTCTAATTGATGATTAATTGCTTTATGTACGAGTATGTAATGCAAATAAATTTAATTAAATCGATCATTAAATCGCCATTTAAAATTACGACTACAATTAAATTCAACTTACGATATATCCCAATACGCTGGACCATTCGGATTGAGACTAACATGATGTCTAGAATAAGAAACAGTCCGCACATTCCCGATCCAAATATCATATCCCTGATTGTACAATTGATAAGGTAAAGCGTCCGTGCAATTCAACAAGAGAAAATGTTCAGCGGACCCGAGTAAACCATGCATGAATAATACAGGAATACTATTTTTACTTTTGCCTCTGATCCGTTGCATGGTCAGGAGATATCCATCTTCTGTTTTCACGTTCTTATGAACTTCGCGTGGGTATCCGCAGTCTGATATCAAATTGATCGCGTAATCTATTTCAGTTGTCTTACGAATTATTATATGCTGATCACCCACGGTAACACTTATTAAACCAAATAATATTAAAACTATAAACATATTTTTTATACATTTAAAATTTGTTGTGTTTACTAGTCCACTCGACATTTTAAAATCAATTGTTTAAGAGATACTCGAAAAGTGTATAGATTTGTATAGAAATAATAAAAACACAGACGAATTTTGAATCGTTGGCCCCGGCTACTTGTGATAAGATAATTCTTAAATTGCGTAAATATATATCGAACTGATTGGGATGCTTCGCAAATGCTGTCGACCGTTAGACTGAATGCAGCGATTTAATTTTATACTACTAGTGTGGCTGCATACATTACGAAAATAAGAGTGTGTTAGTGCGCGTAAATACAAAGTCACACATTCCACAACCGCACGAGTGCACTAGTGTGTTATTTGTTTTAATTAATATGTGTCCAACATGTGGGGAGTAAATATTTCGTTTTGCCACTGCACGTGGATAGCGAAAGTGGTTTTTTACGTTGCCATTAGCAACGGTCGGTTAAGAAGCAGATATTGCCATTTGGATGCAAGTAAAGGTCATGGAACTATGAGTGCAACTTCTTTTAATCCATCTGAGAATCAATATGATCATTAAAGACAAGTAATCGTATGTAAATGACTGATTTTATAGATTTAAAATGTACTATTGTATCATTAGACAGTGTAGAAAAACTTGTTATTAAATCTTGATGGATTTTACAATCATTTTAATGTCTTTTCATATTAAGCAAATTGAAATAAAAATAAAACGTAGTATTAAAGTATTTTTAATTTTAATTATTATGCAATGCTAATAATATGTACCAATATAGGTATTAAATAGTAAATAATGTTTTTCTTTTCTTTGTTGTAATTATTATGGTTTTTTCTACAGAAATGTGATACGGATGTCAAAAGTTGACAGGTTGAATAATAGGTTTGACGCGGAACGTGTCGAAAAAGCAAAAATTCGTATCACATCACGCGAAAAAACAATATAATTGCAGAACATTAATATATGAATAATGCATAAACAAAAACTTAAAAGCAATTATTGGTGGTGTCAGTTATGATAACGTTTTAATTACAAAGTAAGAAACAAACAACTCTTAACTCCTGAATCTCTCATTTCCTGAATAGTTGCGTATATTTTAAATTAATTGAAAGAAAGAATTAAGAAGTAAAAAGTAAAATTTTATCAGTATAATTAATTGTGTTAATTGGTTAATGGCGTTTCCGAGGGCGTTTCATTACATTTTGTAACAAAAACCTTATTTGTATCTATTTTATCTTTGTACGTTTGATTTATTAATTTATGACAATGCAAGATTTATATAGTAATTTACATTCTGTTTGATTCAGTACTGAAAAAACATTCAAATATTTAGTTTTATTTGTTTCAATTGTCAGCTGTAAATGAGCATTTGATTTTATCTTTGTCCACTTGATTTATTAATTGAAATAAAGTGCAAAATTTATATAATTATTTATATTCTGTTTAATTTAGTATTGAAAATACATTGAAATACATAATATTCAAAATGTACTCAATAAAAATCAAATTCATTTTGATTTAGATAAAATAATTGTTGCGATAGGTGATGTGCATATATTTAATAATGTAAGCATCAGTACTACCATAAAAAGATAGTTATTATCAGTTGCAAGTTGCCAATAATAAGTGTTATCAATAAAATACGTGCTATTGTGTTTAATCATTATGATACAAAATAAGGTTGCCGTAAATCATCGCTTGCAATTACTCTGATCGACGTGCCATGGCTTTATATAGGAGTCAATGTTATTTTAAAAATAAAACAACTTTGCTCGCCTCTGCAATAAACTATTAACGTAGCAATAAAAAATGATTACTTTTGCAATTATAGATACGGTGATAGATGCTCCTCTTCAACAGAATGTAATAAAACGCAGCCATTAGCCGTTAAAATCAAACAGCGCCATCTATTCCAGTTAAATGTATAAAATTCAGCCATCTTAAAGATATTTATAGTTTTTATTCATTTTAGGCCCAAAAATAGTTAATTACATAAGTACATACGTCAAGTAATTAATAATAATGTACATATAGTGTACATAAACAATGAATGCATCGATAACATATAGGTATTTTTATGAAATCATTTAAATACATATGTATGTAATATATTTATATATTTCCGTACTCGCGTTGACGATAGCAAATCGATTCACAGAATCACTCACTACACGCATGATGAATGAACAATCAGAGTAGTTGTAGTAAGTACAGTACTGTCGGTATGGCATTACTTAGATAAGAGCATCCATTGCTAATCATTGCCTAGGTTAAGTCCTAACTCATGCTCTTTGTTTCATGCAAGGATATTCAACATGTGCAATACGCAAGTACCGAAAAACGACTTAAGTCTCATAGTAAACTTAGTTGGTATTGATTTTTTTTTTATGTCGTCCTGCTTTGCTTTTCTGCATGGGTGTTGTTGTTTTCACTTAAGACTCTAAAATCTACGAATTATTATGAAGTAGGAGAGTGGTGGCTACGTGTGTAAGTTAGTGTAAAATGATTGAATGCGTTTCAATTTTTTGTTCAAGTCCATATTATAAATTCGATCTTGTGTCATTAGCGAGAGAGCAAACTTAGGCGGCTCCTACATTGTCATCATACATATGGCACACATATACAAGATAAAATGTTTTTTTTGGGAAAGTTTCATGCGTTTGTATAAGTGAGTCCAAAAAACTTGCATTGCGATTTATGTTACAATAGGTTTAAAGCAAGATAGACACCAGACAAAGTTGATTACAACTTTGTTTAGTATCCACCGCATTGTTAATGACTAAATAATTAAATCATTATACAATTAGTAGTTTTATCTCGTGGTTTTTTTTACGATTTTAGTGTTTTAGTACAATGAATTATGTGCTGCGCGTTCAACATGACCGCTCAGACTCAGATTTCAATCAGATTTCAAAGAGCTATTATTAATTTTTGTTTAAATTTAATATTTTTAAATCGTTTACTCCGTCATATTAACTGTATTAATAAGTATTATCAACATTTACAAAAATGCTATATATATGTAAGATTCAGTGTTAACTCCTGTGTGTTTTTTTCATTTTCATTTAGTAAATTTTATTTAAGTTAGTATTTAGTAAGGATTAATCGATTAATCGAAATCTTGTGTTTGCCAACAACTCTCGTCCGCTTACAAAAAATGTTCAGATATCTGTTTATTATATAAAATTTAAAAATACCGATAACTATCTAATTACTCGTTAGTGTATTTCTCATTCAAAGGGAAGAGTTGAGTAAAACGATGATCAAAAATGCACGTGCGACTAGTGAGTTGATTTTGCTTTTTAGTTTAACACTAACGATACGCAAATTACATTTGGTTTGCAAGTACGAAGTGGAAGAGGATCGAAATGTATTCATATATGACTGTCTTACAATGTTCAACATATACAGGGTGTACGATACTCTAAGAAAACAAAAACAACAAAACAACACTAACCTGTTTTATAGAAACTAAACATTTCACCTTGGCATTTGCTGATTCGACGATGCGTACGTTTGTTTTACACCCTGTATTAATTATGCAACTATGTGTTTGGGTAATGTGCAGTCTGATTCGCATGAATAAGAAATGGTGTGATACTTTGATAGTAAGATTTCTTAAGACTTTTCAAAGGGCGGATTTGGAGTGTATGTTAGAGGCTAACTTTTCTCATCTCAACGCTAATCACGTTAGTTGGTGTAGAATATACGTACAAATAAAATACAACAATTCTTTTTTGGTGCTCTAAAAGTTTGTTTGCATTATTTTTTGTTCGTTCGTTTGAAGATATTTAATAATAATAGACAGCTTTTTAGTTGTTAGTTAATTGTTGTTCTTTTTTTTTTGGTTGGTCGCAGTCCAATTACAATAAGAAATACTTAGCTGATATATTAGTACATTTATTAATGCAGTAATTTTTGTTTATGTCATAGTTGATTAAATAGTTTTGTAGTTTTAATTAAGAATTTAAATGTTAATGAGAATAATCAGAAAAGTCATCAAAAGTCAGAATTGAAAAATTCAAGTATTATGTAATAATGATTCTTTTTTTCTTTGTAATATTCCTTTAAAATCTATTCATCTATTAGCACGTATTTGTTTTGCTTTTCTTTTTTGTTTGTTTGTAGGTTTTCACATCACGTGTTCGCTTCATTTTTTAATGTTAATCAATTTGCATGAATCGACAACTCATCGTAAATAGTAGTTTCTTTCATATCATGATGTCGCTCTATAAGAGCCAATATAATAAACTTGTACGATTACGCTGGCGACATCCCAGAACAACATTTATGGCCAAACGTGTTGTAAAATGTCGCCGCATGCGATCAATTCGTCAAACTAATTAATCGTAGCTATCGATACAAACTAACCAGCGTTTTTAGCTTTAGAAAACAATTAATTATAATAAATAACACTAGACAAAATAGTTGAAAATAGACAAAGCCATTTGTTGATCAATACAATTCGTTTCATATTTTTTGTGTGTGTTTTGTTTTCTTTGGTGAGTTATTCAAAACTTCTATATTCGTACATGTACCATACGTCTATAGTTAACATTTTAAAATGAGAATAACAACAAATCGTTCAATTGCGTCAGTAATGTAAAACTAGAAGAGGATCTCCACCTAATATGATTTGGTTGTAGCTACAGTTCGACAGCGTTCTGCGCTTAGTTTTAGTTTTTAGTTTCATTTATATAAGTACGCAATTTGATAAACCTTTTTTCATTGCACGTCGACAAAATTGTGTGCAAGATACACGATACATTCGAATTATTTATTTCTTAAGTAAACAATCGCCTTGTTTCTCTAGTGGTGCAAGTGCTAAGAAGTGAAAGTCACAAAACTGGAGGATCGCTGAAAAGTTCACGCACACGCACACTGGAATTCTTAAAGATAAAAATTGATAACAAGATTATGTCATAAGTAATAACCGTCCACGTGAAAGTAAGTAAAACACATTCAGATGTTCGTGGTGGTGGTGGTGGTGTGACCAAATATTGCACAAAGAATATACATTACTAATACTGAAAAATTAACAATCTTTCCACGTTTTCGTGTGTTCATCAAATACAAATAACACTTGTTTAGCGTGTTGGTGGTGTGTGACTCGAATTCCATATCAATATCTTCTGCTTTAATCCTACGTTTCTGTTTATCATTAGCCTATGCATAAACAACATTTAAAGACGAAATCAATCGGATCGATAGACTTCACTTGCACACCATCAACAACAAGATATAATCAATAATATCACCACATATATACACACAAATTACAATAAATTTGATTTGAGACCGATTTGTTTGTGTTTGTTATTTTTTCCTGTGGTTTTTCTTTTTTATTTTTCTCATGCGTTAGATACGTTTTCTTTTAATAATATTGTTCCAATCCAAATTGCAATAGATTAGTAATTATTTATATATGTATATGCTTAAGTTGCCTGCGACAGTTCGTCTCTCACGTCAAAGTGTTTTAGTTTAATATAATAATTATACAATGTATACAATACGACTAAAGTTTGAAAATCGCGTTGCGTAGCGTCCATCATTTTACAATTATATCCATCATTAATATATGTAGTGTAATATTTTCCTGCTCATATATATTATTATTTCAAATTAAATAACAATTTGTGTAGTTCATTAAGTACATAATGGTAGTAGTAGCGTTGTAACGTTGTCCATCTCAGTAATCTTAGCGATTGCGTTTTTAATAATTTTTGTGTATAATTACCTAACACGTTCGAATTGCTCGTGGCACATCCCCGAAAATTTCTCCATCGCCATTGAATAGTGCTGTGGTACCGAGTGTGTAACAATTGTTAAGGGCAGGGGAGTGGGTGGTTGCTTTTTTGTTTCAATATACTTCCTCTCATTGATGTCTGTGGTGTCTAGTCATATATAGTATCCTTAAAGGTAATTAATTTATCATTTATCTAGTCATAGGTGGATAGGTAACACGCGATGGTTAGCGATGGCGTTAGTTTGCTTCTTTGGGGTTGTCTTATTCTGTAGATGGTTGGCTATGTTTTTTATTTTATTTATGCGAGCTGAAACCGAACGCCGCTCCGCCGGTGCCGCCACTGCGATGGAAATGCACATTCTGCCACTTGTGGTCTCTCTTGTGCCACACGCGGCTTTCTTCCGATTGGTGAGTGTGTGCCTGGCCATGTCTAAAAAAATTAAAAAATATTATTCTCTACATCCTCAAAACAGTATAAAACAGGTCGGTTACAGGGTATAGTTGGTTGCCTACTTCAAAATCGTAGTAACTTTTGTGAATAAAATTGCGATTTAAACGAAACTTACTTATCCATGTATTGAGTTAAGCGGACATATGCAATGCAGGCGGCATCTTCGCCTAGTAAATGAACGTGCGGATTAAGTATAGTAGTATTCACCGCTTTACAATTCTTCCCTAAGACTGAAAAAAATAGAGCAAAGTAAATAAAATCAACGTCACATAAATACGAATAAATCTAAGTTTACCATTGTCAAAGTAGAACTTATGGAAATCCATTCCTTCCACTAGATTACCCATCGCCTCAGGCTCGAACGCAGTGAGATGTGGATCACATATCTTACTGTAAAGCGAAGATGGAAAAACCGTCAATCAATATCACAGCTCCACTCAATTAACATCCCGATTCTAGGAAATTCGCTACATTAACTTGCCGCTAATTGCCAGGCACTTACGTATAAGCTTCAAAGTCGCCGGTGTTAATGGCTTCGATCAGCTGCTCAGTCATCTTGATGATCTCTTGGCGGCGCGCTGCATCGCAAAAACAATCGAATTAACAGCACGTCAGGCAAAGTGGCGGTCGTGTCTCGTCACACGCAAAGATGAACAACTAGTGTACGACACCTTATTAAGTAAAGTATATACGGACAAATCGGGTATTATGGCAACACAAATGATTAATTAATTGTTAATTAGGAACTTAAATACAACATCGTACAGATATACACGTATTTTACATCGAAATTTAGTGGTAGTATGATACAGTTAATAATAATGATGAATATCTCGCTTCGGATCCGAGAGAGTTTGGAGAAATGAGAGATTGAAGCCGGCGTGCTTACATTCAAGTAAATATATAAATGTAATTACAGATGAAACGACCTAACGTTCCGACTTTCAAATCTACGAAAAATATAATAGACACATATTATATGTGAACCCGTTTGACCATTAATATTCAATCAATCTTAATCTTAATGATCATTCGCGTTCGGCGTTTCGATGCATGATCAGAAAATATAGTCAGAAAGTATAGTATAGTCGATAGTAATAGTTTAGAAATTACGTTGATTTGTTTTTAAGCGTCCCGTAAACATGATTCTGTTTTTTGTGTAAAAAAATTCGTTAAAAAGCAAAATTTTCCAAACTACTCTACGTAATAACGTAACTTTAATTACTCTGTAATATATTTTACACACATCACTTTAATAAATCTATTGTTCCTATAATATTCAAAATATACGCTGCTTTAATTAGCCAACAAAATGAGAGCTAAAGACAAAACAAGACACCAATTACCACTGGTTTATAAATAAGGTGTACGTATTTTCATTTTCACATTCATAAATTAATTGTTATTTGTTTACGTCTTCGATATTAGGAAGATTATTTAGAAGATAGTTTTAGTAGATAGAATTATTTGTTAAAACAGTGCACGGTTTATCATGAAAATTAGTAGATAAGTAAAGAAAGCATGCCAATAGAATAGCGCAGAACGAAAACAAAATGAAAAGCAAAAGATTAAAGATTAAAGTTTATAGAGTTTGAAATATTTAATGCCACGAAGAATCGATGAAAATATTAGTAAAATCAATGCATACATAGCATTTCCATTTGCGCATTAAGCTTAAAACCTAGATGAATTTTTGCATTTAGACATTTTGAGGTTAATTGAGGTTAATAAAGCCTAATGGAAATGCTCTGCATGGATTGTAATATTTGCGCTAGCAATTGACATACTGAGTGCAGATAAATGCGTCAAAAATCGAATCGAAAGGCAAAACAGATTGTTACTTCACTCGGTATGACAACAACACATTGTTCGAGACCTCGGCTCGGGCTCATTTGGTTACTGAAGATATTTAGTAAGATATTTCTATATAAGTAATAGCATACCTGATGTCTGTGAGTTTGTGGATAGCTGAGTGTACGGCTTGTCTGGACAAACAATCCTTATTTCTACAAAAAGAAAACCGACGGGGGCGAAAACAAGCCGAGTTAGTATACAGCATAAAACATGCGATTATTTTATCTTTTTTCTTTGACGATTTCAATATCAAAACTCAACGAAACAAAAAATTTAAAAAAATGAAATTAAGTTATACTCAACTTAAGTGTAGGTAGAAATTGTAAAGTTAATCAAACAAAAATTTTGAAGTGACGAATAAGTCTTGTATTGTTCGTTGGAATTGATTTCAATTAAATATGCGCTTAATTGAAACACGTATCGATGGATTAGTAGCGTTGTAATCGATACGAAATGCTGTTACAAATTACAAACATGTCGAATAGGGTGTATTGTAATTTATGTATGTGTGTTATAAGTGGATTGTGTTGTGGTGTACATTTGCTTACCGTCAAACTCTTCGGACAACTGTTCATGCAACACGGACTCATCTACAAATGCAATAAGGCAAACGTTACAGAAGTTCACGACTTTGGTGCGCTTCTTTTTGACACACAGCCAGCATTTCCATAGCGAATCGATTACGATTGACATAAAACAAACACACACACAGAGTGCCAACAACAGCGATAGTTGTGTTGTAAATGTACAGGTCCAACAAAACGATCAAAACATGGAACTATGTTTCGTGCGTGGTTTGCAAGCGCTACTTTGGCAAATGTGTAAATGGCGAAATACGAAATTCGCGAATTTACGTATGTAAATACTCGTATATTCGCGGACGTGCTCGCGCGGCGATCAGCTCGGATGTTGATAAAATGCTGTTGACTCGATCGGTCCAACCAGAACGTGCAATAATGCTCGAGATAACGATAAGGACCGTAAGTTTATGTGTATGCTCAGTGACTTATGCTCAGGTGGATTTATATGCTGTAAATTTTCAACGCTTACTGGCTGTTTCGAATTGCACTGTGCAGCAGTTAACGATTTATGTTTAGTTGCGAAAATGTCGAGTCATTTAAGAAATGGATTCGCAATCAATAATTCGAGAAGGGAATCTAATGAATATTTAATTTACAGAGTGGCGTTATTTTTTAATGGAAGCAAAAGCATTTCTTCTGTTAAAAATACTAAAGCGTACGAAAAGAGAAAAATAATTATTTTTCTCCAATTTTTCAGTCACTATTCAAAGCATTATAATGTTAAAATGATTAATTTTTAGTTAATTAATTTTAAATAAATGAATTTGAGTAGGGTGCAAAAATGGCGTCAAATTGAAACAAACCTGAATCAGATAATGAGAGTCGCGTATAGTTTATCGTCGAGTCCACCCAATCATTGTGCAAAAAGATGCGATCTAAATAGTGGATAAAACATAACAAAAACAAAACGTATCGTAAAATCCCAGTCCAAACAGGCAACAAAAAAACGTGAAAAAAAATACACACAAAACACATCCGACAAACGATCGAAATTAAAAGATAACGTAACAGCCCAGAGAGAGGAAGCGATCGCCAAATAAACATGCAAACACACAGAGAGTGGCAAAAAGAGTCCAGAGTAACATGTGCGCTTAGTGCCTCCTCAATCGAACACAGGCATTCGTCTCGAAATGTTTACACACCAGCAGTGAATTAAAATTAGCCACGACCGCCAATCGCAGATGTTCTCTCTTACTTCTTATTTCTTAGGAACGACTCCCTCAAGTTGGGAGCGTTGTGTGTTTGTGTGCGATTAGGTAAACGGACGCCACGGTACGAACAACGACGCACAACGAGATTAATCGTGTCTTACTTTTGTTATTACACTTTCGGGTTGTGTAAATTTAAAGATGTTTCAAACATATATTGCTCACACGTTGTTTAGATTGCGAATGCGCTTTATTTAAACAACGCCCCACCAGCGACATTCTGTTTTTTATGCTTACTTTATCCTACTTTACAAAAACCACACGAGATAAAGGATATCAACCCTAGAAACAAAACTCGGTGTTAGTGTCACATCCCTTTTCTCCTTTAATTATGCGACGACGTAATCAACGAGGGATTAATTGTAGTATTATTCGAATTAATTGGATTCAAGATGATGATGATGATTGTGGTGGTGGTGGTGGTTAATTCGCAAAAGTTGGAAACTCTCAATCAATCAAAATGGCGGCTGGTTACGTGCTGGTTTTAGTTGCGGTGCTTCAACTCCACATAGAGTAGTCGGTTTTAATAATCATTTTAGTTATCATTATCATTATCATGAAAACGCATTCAACAGTGCAATGGCCGGTCTCCTCTAACCTTGAACACCTTGCACCAGCGCCTGGCCCAGATTGAGCGGCACTGGTCTGGGCGGCGGAGCGCTCGCCGTCGAGACATTTGTTACCGGCGACGGCGGGTTTGCCGGCTGTTGGCTGACGACGGTGGTGGCAGCGACGGCGGCGGTTGTCGGGCCCACGGCAGTTATCGAACTGCTTGGCGAACTGGTTGCCGTCAACTTTGGGGATTGTGGTGGCGTACCGCCTGGCCAAAATACACTCGTTATATTATTTTATCCCCGTCATCCCAATAAAACAATCATTAACGTTTTGGTGTAGATACTCGTAATTTGCAGTTCATTTTGTTCTACATACACGCAGCCACACATACACACTACGTTGCTATAGCAACACGAATCAAACAAAACCTGTTTTATGTGTGTGAGAAGTTTAATTTACAATTATTGTCGGCGCCGCGCCGCTTGGCCCCCAAAACGCCGGCAACAGCTGAGAGCATCTTCACGAAGAAACCAATCTTGTCCGACCTTGTGCCACACAACACTAATTACGCAACGTAGTCAGTTTATAAGAATAATAATTCAGTCAAACAAGAAGTAATCGTTTATTTCGACTTCGCTGCGAACGTAACATTCCACCGGTCGGGCTGATGCACTCGCATAAACAACCGAAATAAAACTGAAGTAGTTTTGGTCTATGGCCAATTCGAATTACACCAGCGAACACCAGTTTGCAGCGAGAAAAACGACACACACACGGACAACAACTCAAATATGTGAGAGTTCATCTAACACCAGAATGGTCCAAATTTATAATTATATTTTCACTGGTAGTCCGGCGCGTAGTTAGAGAAGAAAAAACAAGAGCACCGCCTAATTTTAAACCCAGACAAAGCGGACGAGACGTGTGTGCTTATGCGCAAACTGTAATTATTGTCGATCGAGAGTGTAAAACGGGCACATTTCTACTTAGATTATTTCATAGTCGCCACGCATGCACACTAAACACTAACACATTCTTATGTAATACGATGCTGTGCTCATTAAAACGTACTGATATTGGTATTTTTCATCTTATTGGAATAAGTCTATAATAATTGATAGTAAATACATTCACTTGACATGCTCGATTAATATATACATTAAAGTTCAACTTGGAGACGCCGAGACTTTTGATCTGACAGCAAATTATCGACTTTTAATAGTTTCAACTTTACTAAATCGACAATATAACTGATTTTTAGCTGTCAAAATGGCCGCAAGTCTCTGCGTCACCTACATAACCTCAATTCTTTATGTTTACGCTTTGCTGTAATCGACAAATTCGTGTCTTATGACTATGACTAGTAGGTATGTATTGAGATCTCGTCTTCAGTGAACAAAACTTCCCAAAACGTTCAAAAATGTGTAAAAGAAGTTGCGTATTAGTACGCAGCAGGTTGTAAAAAAAAGTATTCGGAAAAATCATTAATAGAACGGTAAAACTGAGAACCAAAAAAATAGTAAACAGTAAAACAAAAATTAAAAGACAGTTTATGTAGTAGTAGATTGTGGTTCAATTACCTTCTGGGTCTTTTGCAATAACCGTCGAACTGCGATCCACTCCGCCCTTCTTGTCTTCTGAGCGTCGCCCAGAACACAAACATATTATCCAAATAGTCGATAAAAATGACCAAAAACAAAAGTTCAGAATAATTTATATGCTAATTATATATATGTATTATATTATTATCGATCAAAAACTAATTATATAGGTATGTTTTAGGCGTGGTGGTAGTGGTGGTGTACTTTAGAAAGTAATTTAAATATTCGTGTGAATATATAATATTATAATCGTGTACGGTGCAAAATTATTACGATCCTACGGGGAATATATTGCATTTGCGTATAGGCTACATTAGGCACCACTATACAATGTGTATTAACAGTTATTCGGGGGTGAAAATAAGGGTTTTTGGTTGTGGTTGGTGAACGATCCACTTTCACGGCACTACACTACGTATGTAATTAAAATTAAAACAAGAAACAGAGAAGCGAGGCGCAATGATATTATTTTGGATGAAATTAATCGAAAACATTTATAAGAATCGGACTTTTCATTCCGATCCAAGCAAATAAATGAAAATAGTTCAATGTTGTAGTTATTTACACATTACTCAAAAACTATTTAAGTTATAATTATAATTCTTTCACATATATATTCTGTATTAAATTCTGTATCATCTAATTTTTAAAGTATATGTTTCTACCTAGTACTCTCAAAGTTATAAACAATTAAAATTAAATTTTGCAAAATAAATGTTAAATTAATACAAAACTGCTTATATCTCTTGATAAAATCACATTATTATTATAATAATTATAGAAAATATTTAGAATTTAATATGAAATGGGCTGCTAAAAGAATTATTAATTTAGGTTAATTAGTTTTTGAGTAATTAAGTAAAAACTAAAACAATTCAACTATCACTTTCGCTGCGTTTTTCCAACATAAACTTAACGATGTCTAAACATCAAACAATAATCAATATAAAATACACAGCCCTAAACACATCTAATACGCTAATACATAATAATAACAATAAACCAGTGGTATGGTCATATGGTGAACAAAATATACGCAATAATGAGAATGACACTGTGACGATGTACGCAACCATCAGTGGCAGTGATAAGATTGATGTTCGGGACTTTCAGCAAATGAAACTTTTGGAGGTAATATAAGTACATTGGTACATATTTCGGTGAGTATATACTTTGTGCGTTGCGTATAAGTTGATAAGCGCGCGCCTATCCGTGAACACAATTATTTGCTCGCTACCACAAAACAAAACAACTCAACAAACACATATGCGTGACCGACAAATGTGACATTTGACATTTTCTGGATAGCAATGAATAGAAGAAATTGGACACATACCTTTGATGTCGTCGTCCTCCAGCGTGGTGGAGCTATCCGTGGATTCTTTCACTTGAGATCCGTCGCCCTTTTTCACAATTATGCTGCGACCTATGTGGGCATACAAGCAACAATATGAGTAAACTTGTTTTCATGATGCGCGTCGAAAAAACTTGAAATAGCAAACTATGCTATTTTAGTATAATTAAACTGGAGCCTAAGTTTGTATTAATTAACTTTTGATGCTATTTTATTACCTATGAGTAGAAATATAGGAAATATAGTGCTGAATTAGTTATAAATATGTAAAACTTGATTGATTAAGAATAAAATATAATTATATACATTGTGTACGTGGACTGTTTTTGAAATTTAATTAAAATATTTAATGCGATACTCTCGGAAATTATTAAGTGGCATATAAAAGTTTGATGTAGTTCCAAGTTCTTATCCTCGACGACAAGATGAATTGAATCAATAAAGAATGTTAGCAATCATTTCGCAAAGCACACGAAGTTCGGGACGAAATTACACTCATAAATCTTTCAATTATAACTTGATTCTTCATACTATCCTAAAAATTACTTCCCAAAGTCCAATACGTACACAATATGACTAAAATTGGTGCATATCAACGCTATGAAATATAACAAGTACTAAAGTTTGCAAAAAGTAAGCAAATATTTTTGTAATAACTAGATATAATTAATAATTAGAATAAGTAAATGTGAAACATTATCTACGTAATGTAAATGTCTGGCTATTTCTAGTTGGAAATCTAAAAAATTGTCAAAAATGACAAAAATATGATTCAGAGTCAAAAATTCGCAAAAAACCGTTGCGTTGATGTTGCATCATCTCTTGAACGAGTACGAGTATTTTATGACATTAAACATCGATTGAACAACATCTTAAAACACACGTCAAACACGTAGTATGCGATGATTGAGCGATTTGACACACCCACACACACACACACAAATCATTCAGATGATGATTAAGTTGTCGACAGCGCTTTAATGTAAACTCCGAAGATGTATCTTGCATACACACACAAATATGTCAAATATCAAATATTAATGTACATTGACGAAGTGAATACAGCACAATTGCTGATGTCATTTATTTTTTATGTTGTAATGGGGTTCATTGACTTTTGATAACAAATGTATCCGCGATCAATTTCAATGAGTTGAAAAATTAAAAAATTAAAAATCCAACGATTGTCGGAATTTCTTTTTTTCGTAAAAATGTAATAAAAATATTGATTTTTTAATCTTAATTGCAAGAGAAAATTATTCAACGAAAAATGTTTCATGCTGATGCAAGATGCACATTTGTAAAATGAAATTAAACTGAATATAATTACATTTGCAATGTTCGATTTGAAAACGTCAAGTCAAATCATAGGAATATGCAGATTTGGTTGCATACATTGAAATGATTTTATATTCAGTTTCTTTCATGCAGCATTCCTTGGATGATTAGTCACGCACATTTAATAGAGTTATCAAACGTTTGAGGTTAATTAGCACAAATCACGAAAGGCAGTACAAAGAAATAACACTACACCACTTCACGAACGATTTGCGCAGGGTGTTAACTCGTTTGCGCGAACAATAATGCGGCTAATGTCTAAGCTGCCAAGCAAAACAATAGTCCGAGAACACCCCCCGCAGACAAAGTCGAAAGTCAAAGTCGATTCGTGAATAGTTGTTGTTTGATGAAAGAAACGAATAGATAAAAAAAGGTATTAAAATATTATACAGAAGAAATTTGAATTAGAAGAGAAGAGTTAGAAGATTTAATTGAACAAAAGACCTCGTTTTTGTGTTCTTACCACATTCTAGTTGCATCAAGGTGAAGTAGTGAAGTGAGGTAGTAGGGTGACGTAAACAAGTCCGCCACAACCAACAAAACAAAGTTACCAACTACTCAATGCTCGCTAAATATTTATAATATTCATCAAATGGTATATGAGGATGTTTGGAAATAATGTAAATTAAAAGAGAGAAAAACTTGAACAACATTGTGTTTTGGACGCGACTGTGAAGCGTAAAGTTTGTCAAATTAGTTTTTCGCGATCGCGCTCCCCCATTGTTTTATTGCGTCCGACCCCACACAAAAGCAGGGCGAAGAATTGAAGGTAGTAGTAGCATTTTATATGTCGCCCGACACACGTTCGCTCCCCGCTAGTTTTTTCCTTTCTTTAGAAAATGTTCAAAAGACCTTTTTGCTTTTTTGCCTTTTCCACTCCAGCCTATTATGCTGGAGCTTTCAACGATTTCTCCGCCGCCCCGTGAGTCATTGTCCGCCATTGTTTCACCGCGAGCCCGGTGTGGAAGGGTCGCGGAATGGAAGAAGAACAAAAAAATGAACAACTGCATGCGCGGAAAAGTTCTGACTGTGTAAGCGCGGTTGCACAACGCGACGTGTTTTGATTAATAATGCGACGGTAAACCACGTCTCGTTTTTAATTCCAAACTTTTTAATTTCTAATTTCCCAGCCGAAAGAGTCGTCGAAAAGGAAACCAATTTCCTAAGGACACATAGGTGGCCATAGTGGTTCAGAAAAGTGCAGGCGTGTAAAACATAGGTTAAGACTGCAACCAACATTACATCATAATATTTATGATGACTTTAACTGCAGTTTTCTGAATTATCACTATGTGTACGGTCAAGGAAAAAGGTCCAAAACAACATCTAAGTACAATATAGATATTTACGCAAAAATACTAATAAAAATCAAATGAAATGTAAATCATATTACGCAGTATTAGAACAAAACAGTCTAGATAAAGTAGTAATGATTATTTACACAATAAGAATCGCGACAAATGAAAGACAAATACACGTTATTATTTATAGGTACCAAAAGAAGAAAAAAAGAAAAACGAAATAAATAAACAACGCAATGAAACATTAATCTCTCTCTCTGTGAAAGAGGGGCCAATTGTTGGTAACGCGGTGAAGATTAAAATTAATAATGCGATGCTATTTAATGCATATGTATCAGTCTTTCCCCCTCTCAATATATCCTCAATCATCTTATTTACGCTGTCAGTTGAAATGGGAATTAAGGAAGGCTTAAAACAATACTTACTGGAGAAGTTTCTTGTCGCCAGCATCGTCGTGAGAATGGCGCCCTTAAAACGATTAAACAGCATGAATTAGAAATGATTTATAAGCGCATTAGAGGCTTGAGTGTTGTTTGCCAACACGTAGGTACACACCGGTACAACAATAATGTGAGTATATTCAGCGTACTCACCTTGAGCTTGCGCCTCGCGTTGAACTTCTTGAGACAGTCCACGGTCTCTTGTCTGTGCACCACTGACGCAACACGTTCCCGTTGCTGGAAAATCACGAAATAAATAAATTAAAGTACATTTAAAATGTATAATTATTAATCTTACGCAAATCCATGGGTGTTTAAGTGCCTCAGCGGCGGTAATCCTCTTGCCTGGATTGACAGTCAACATTTGATTGATTAAATTCTTCGCCTCTGGCGTGACTGTGTCCCATTCAGGACTTGGATACTGAAAAACAACAAAAAATTATTTATTTTAAAGGAAAAAAGAGTTAAAATAATGTTTAAACGTACATCATAAGCACCCGCTTTAATCTGTGCGTATAACCTATGTTGATCCTCGTCCCAAAATGGCGGATAACCAACGAGGAGGATGTAGAGGATGACACCGCATGCCCAGATGTCAACTGGTTTGCCATACGGTTCCTTCTTGAGGACCTCTGGTGAGAGGTAGCCAGGCGTTCCGGCGAAGCCAAACCATGCCTGCTGCTCCCCCTGCACTTCAATGGCGAGACCAAAGTCGGCCAACTTGACAGCAGCTCCCTTGGCTTTGCTCGCCAGTAACAAGTTTTCAGGCTGAAATAATACGCAAAAAAACCACACGGAATTTAAAAATGAAATTATCTCTGGCGTCAAAATGTGCGCATGGTAGTTTTACAAGAAGGAAAACACTCAAGGAACATCGAAAATGACAACTTGCTACATCACCGAGAGTACATTAGCGTTTACCTTGAGATCTCTGTGTACGACACCATTCTGATGACAGTGATTGACTGATTCTAAAATCTGTTGTATGCAGTGCGAAGCATCCGCCTCCGAGTAAAATTCTCTAGCGACGATGTCCTCGAAAAGTTCACCGCCCGTCACCCTAGCGAGAAAGAGAGAAGAAAGCTGTGAATATGCACACAACTTGCGCAACCACCACACCAGCAGCACACCGCATTTATATTCAATGAACTTGCGCGGGTTTAGTTATTGGACCACTTTGGCCAACACTATCATAGCCTATGCATTTTAAAAAGCTATTAACTGGCGTGCGTTCGGCGGGGCGGCGGCGCGAACATTCATCGCCTGGCATGAATAAAATATTTTTGTTTTTTTACTTTTTACATATATATATAAACACACGTAAACGTGGTGAGCTACTTACAAATCAAATACTAAATAATGAAAATTTTCTTCTTGTATACTGTCGTGTAATCTCACTGAAAGCAAAGAACAACGCCACATTAGGTATCGCCAGTCACGTCGCGGGTGCGGGATGCGAGAGCGTCATAATTTTATACAATAATAATTCAAGAAAGAAAGAGAAAAAAAGACGGTGAGGGGTTGTGATGCAAATATGGCTGGTTTTGAAATTAATTATAAGTATTTGAAGAGTGAAGAACGCAGAGTGGCAAGTAGCAGGGGTTGGTGGAGGAGAGCAAGATTTCAATTTAGAGTGAAGTGTCTCGTTTCGCATTTCGCGTGTTCCGGGGAAAATCGATGTGATTTAATCAAATTTTCCACGCAACGCAGATATGGAAATGTACTACTTTGAATGTCCATGTTCATGAAATTATTAGAAATATGGACGTGATTGCAATTTTTCAACATTCACGCCTGAATTCAATTTGATAAAAATTCTAAAAGTTAATCTTTGATGCTTTTGCTCTAAATTGTAACCTTGTTCTCGTTAATTTCTTGCTCCAGGTTGTGAACGTGTGAAGTGACTATTATCATCGAGGATGCGCTGCACCTCGAATGATAAAAATAGATGATTGGGTGCTGTTGCTATTCTTTGGCCACACAATTCTTTTAGTCATATGCTAAAATGGACATGAATAACTTAGGAATAAATGCAATCTGCGCATGCAATCGCTTCTAAGTGTATGCAAGTGATAAACAACTACGTTCAAAAGAAACACAATCAAAATGTTCTTATTTTGCTCCACTGTATTCGCAAGGAGCAATTTGCATGAGATATAGATCGCGGAAATTTATCGCTTTGCCAACATTTGACATTTGAATGAAAAAAGAACCGAGAATCGGAACTGAGATTCGACAGGTCTGAATAGCAGTTCCCAATACACAGACAGAGATAGAGATGAGTAAAAAGCTAGAAGAATATAAACAAGAACGTCAATCAAATTCAAGCAGTTCGATAAATAATAAATGTTCATAATGATCGTTTACCTAAATGCTTGAGAACGTCTGGATTGCAAACTGCGCAAATGAAAAAGAGAACGAAGAACAATACAGATACTTGACACATTTATCATGATGTTTTCAACTAACAGTTATTACAGTAATGCTAAAGATATAATAATATTGAATAAAAGTTTGGTTAGTAAGAGTTATATTTTCGTGATGATAATATAATAGTAGTAATATTGATGGTGATGTGAATGAGGTGAGCTAAGTTCGCGATGATCAACTAAGCGTTGAAAATTATTCAAAAAGAGAAAATCGTACCAAATCATATGGGCGTCTGTGTGAGTATGAAAATATTGAATGCGAAAGTATCCAAGGCAGGAAAATGTATCTTACCTATATTGGGGTGTTGGAGTTTTCTACAAATTCGTGCCTCACGTTCTAGCTTTTGAAAATCTGCAACAAGAAAACATAAAATGTTAAAACAATGTTTTTTAATCTATTATATCAAATTAAGTAACAAATTTTGTCTTCCCACGAAACTAGATATTTATACAATGCTACAAAGAAAGTTTTAAGCACTAGAGCAAAAAATTCGGGATTTATGAACGTTAGAAGTAAATAAATGTTTAAATTGGTGCAGAACTCAAAGTTATAGGCTTAATTCTTTGTTTTTCTTTGTAAAAACTAGGTTTTTATCATCACGAGTATTACAAAATAGTTTTTTAGTAGGTACTGCATACAATCTATACAAACAACAAACAAATAAGTTATTTCTGCAAAAATATGAGAATAATAGTTTAAATTTATCATTTTAGCACTAATCCAATTGTGCAACAATATTTTTAGCTTTCATCCCAAAATAAAATTTTTCCGCCATAAAATACGACAAATTTTATTGAACGTCAAAAAATTTCCGTGGAATTACACGAAATAAAAATAGATTTTATAGGATTAAAAACTTTTCCAATATTCTATTGCACGTAACGTTGGCGGCGTGTAAAAATAGCGTGCGGGTTAATATCGCAACGATGATTCGTTTCTGATTCTCCTGATTAACTTGTTTTACTCCCATTTCCGATCACGTCCGCACCTCGCAAGTCAACCAACTAAACATTTGCGGTGTCAGCTGCGTGTAATAAGGATTTGTGTGCGCGTCAAGATACTGCAGATCGATATCACATCACATCACATCACTCTCCTATCCTATAGACTATAGAGTATAGTGCAATGCGAAATAATTTCCACCTCAACGCAGAATAAACAATTTGTTTCTCTTAGATTTTCACATGGATGCAATAAAGTAGTTTATGTTGGTTAAATATTAACCTAGTCAGAAGAACAACAGACGGAAAATATCAAATTTTATATAATATCTTTTGATGTTTAATCGGTCCAATAACATATTTATACTGGACTAGTGGTCTACTGAGATGATTTAGCTTGAATAATAAATTCGTTTTATTGATTCCTTCGCAATGCTATTTGACAAGTTGTGTGCGCAGTGAAAACACAATGAATTATTACTTGGTAGAACAATTATGGCCATTTTGTAAATACGCAGCAGCGACATTTATTGACTAAGTTATTGACCAATGTCTGAAATGGCAACCCACACGTGTTTATCCAAATTTCCTATGAATACGTTATATTAGTGCTTGATGAAACGTATTTTCCGTGTCATTTCCACAAGTACTAACACAAAATAGATTTAGTATAATAACATTTCCATGTGGCATATTAAATTATATTATATTATAGGTTATAAATGTTTTCATGCATGCTATATTCATGCTTGTGTATGAATTGGATATGAAGCAAGCTTTGCTTGAGTTATTAATTAATTATTCACATGTATACGCTTTTATAAATTGTGAAAAAGCATAATGTTTGTGTTTGACGCTTCAAAAGTTGTGGATTAATTTAGTTTTTAATTCATTACACAAAAACTAATAAACATATTTCAATAATTTCTTCACAGGATAATTTCGTATTAAATTCTGCATTTATTTATGCAAACATTTTTATAATAAATAATGTTTATCAAAAGTTACAAGCTAATTTATAAGAATTTTCATATTTTAAATTTTTTTAATTTAATTGTTCATAACATTTTATACAATAAATTTACAAATAAATTCTATATATATTTGAATGTAAAACTTAATGCTCAATCCATTTCTGAAAGAATTATCATTATATTGCTAATAGTTTCAAAGATATTTAACTTTTTATAAACCTTTTATTATTGCCGTTAAATAAATAGGTCATTCCATTATGAAAATTATGAATAATTTATGCGAGCACCATATGAGTGCTAATATAATACTGATAAGACTTTAAAAAAAGGAAAATTGTGAAAATTGAATTTCACTTTTCCCCTAAAAACCCTCATTCAATTCCAGCACACCAGAGCATATCGCTAAGTTATCCTAAGGGAAAGTTGCACACGCATGAATGTTGTTTGCAACGATGTATAGATACTTTTAAAAAGATTAGATATCACCCGACGAAGTTTATTCAAGTAGACACATCGATAGGAAAAATGCCGTCCCTGTCCGCAATGTTTACGCGCCGGCGAGTAAGCCGAAACTTGAAATTTCAATACATATTCGAAACGCGGCCCGCGCCTAGCACCATACTAAGTAGGTGTCGGTTGTGGTTATATACGAGAAGCGTGGAACTGGAAAACGCTGAAAAGTGGAATGCACGAAACAAACGCGCAGACAGTGTGTGGTGGAGTTTTCGAATAGCGCGCGATGTCGCAATGCGTCTTTCAGGCGGCGATGAACTAACTCCCGGCCCGTCGTGGCGGAAACAAAGAGAAACGCCAAACGGCGTACGTCCTTGCACTCCTTTTTCCATTTCTCTCTGCAAGTATACACATTATACGCGTGTGTGTTGTGCTTTTTTAGTATTATTTTACTTTTATGCCACATACTATTTCGCTGCAGCAGCGAAAATAAGGCGTAGAGGTGATTTTATTATTATGCTTGTGCGGTGCACACAGTCATAAACCGGAAACTGAAATATTCCGTATGAAACCTATTTTTTCACACATTTAATAAACGTTAAACCGCATGAGGAAAAGTATTGATTTTTATAGTAATTATAAAAATTAAACGTGTGCGGTTTTATGCGGCGGGTTTAATTTCATTCTCGATAGATGGCAGAAGTTTTTAAACATGTTTCCGGCGAGCCGGGATTGAAAGTGTATTAATAATTGTAATCATAGCTTGATTGACGGATGGCGGCATGCGCGTTTATCATACAATGGAGAAATGAGGCGGAACAGCGCATCAATCTTTCTTCGCTTCTAATGAAAACTGCCAATATAATCGTATAGAATTTCAGCGTCATACTGGACAAACAAACGACTACAAGTTGCATTACAGCACAAGTATTCTTCAAACCAGTGTAATTATTCTAGATTTTATACAAATATCTATTTAGGTGCAGATATTTCCTTTATAATCGTCATGGTGGAGGTGCCGGGCACATGTATTAGAAACGTTTAGATAATATTTTGGTTTTTAATTAATTATTTGAAAGCTAATTAATTTATTTTCATGAATTCTTCGAAAATAAATTCAGAATTAAATTCTATGTCAACTCCTGTATTCATTTTGTTTATAACAATTTGCTTTCTAAACTTTCAGACAAATTTAAATTATTTCTATCATTTTTCAATAAAAATATCTACTTTAATTGTTTATAAGTTAATATGCAAAACTCTAATTGATAAAATTATTGTATTGATAAATGTATTATATTATTCTGAATGTTTTTTCAGTAAAAATGATTAATTTATTGTAAATAGTTTAAAAGTATCTCATCAAAACTAAAATAATTGCATAATTGCATTATTCTTATTTCACTACGTAAATTAAAATAGTTATTTATTAATTATATCTTACCTCTGGCTGATAACTTCTTTGTGTTAATTATTTTGGCTGCAAATTCCAGTCCAGTCGACTTTTGTACACATCGCTTCACCACCGAGAATGCACCTCTGCAAAAAAGAAAATAACAAATATAAATAAATGCAATAATTATACACATTTAAATAATTGCAGCGATTTTCTTAATTATATAATATACGTGTTTGAAGAATTCCATGAAACTTGCTCGCATTCCGAGCGCTTGAACGCTTAAAGAAAAACAACATGGACGATTTCCGTGAGGCGTAAAATTAGCTAAGAGTAAAATGCACTCGTATTAATTCGGGTCTATTTTTAGCGCGTCGCGATTATATCCGTAACACAGCGTGCTATATTTGACTGTAGGTGCAATGTGGTTTATATTTGCAAACACACAGCCGTCGTGGTAGACATCGACATAAATACGCCGCACGTTGATAGCAAGCAATGCAGATATAGGAACGAATAATGCACATTCATAAGTATAAGCATTACTATTACAGTATTTAATAATATTGGATATGAGTCAAATGTTGGAAATATATTTTAATGTTATCGATAAGTGTGTATGGAATTATAATATGCAAGTTATTGTTTTGCATTTTTTAAAAGAAATGTAAAACTGATAAAATATATTAAATAATTTTCTTTAATGGAAATTGTTATGGGAAATGAGTTTGTATTACAAAATATGAAATACAAAATATTTAAATGGAAATATTTTAAGTTTAAAATTTAGTAGAAATACGTTTTACCTAAATACGAAAAGTTATTAATTAATTACTCCCAAGCCAAATAATTTATTTTAACACTTTTTTCAGATAATGATTAAGAATTTAATTCTTCATTTATCTAGGTAAACAGTTTATTAATTACTATATCTCAAAAAAAGTTAGAGCCAAATTAAGTAAATTTAATAACGTTTTTTCAAATAATCAATTTTATTAGCTAATAACTTTTTATTTAATAACGTAAATAACAAAATATATATTGAATGTATTGTAGAATTTAATTCTTAATCCGATTTTAAAAGATTTGTAATAATATCGTAAATAGTTTTTGAGTTATTAATTAATTCTTCACCAACACAAAGTAATAAATAGTAAAACATTGAAAATTAACTTTCAATAAATAACAAACCGCTTTAAATAACAAACAATTAATGAACGTCAATAAAATTAATTACCCATCTCACGGTATTTATCCACTTTTTAACTTAAGTTATTGCTACTTAAATATGTCAATAACAACAATAGCAATAAAAAACATGAAATTAACCAAACAGAAATTATCTCTCAACTTATATTCCTATATTATTATTTTGTTACAAAACTCAATGCAGCAGACACTGTTGATTTCTGAAGAGTTTATCAACATAATTATTAACGTGTCCTTTCTGTCCTGCGCTGGACACAGCAACAAAACCGTGGATAATATTCCGGAATAAACACAATATTTGAGTACCTGTGTGTGTGGGTGTATTACACATGCTGCTACTTATTAAGCTCTTTATTATTTATGCGTGTATACAACGGGTTTAATAAACAAGCCTCGGCTTCCATATGTTTTCGTCGTTCATTAACAACTTCGTTAATTATTTTGAATTGCACGTGCCGTACGACTCACGGCAAACACACCTAACCGAACCAAATTAACAAATTAATTCAATTAATTCAATTCGCAGCCGAACTGTGGGTATCTAATCTATGTATTGTATAATTATATATTTGATAGGGTATTATCAAGGGGGATAATAAAATATATGTTTGTATATGCCATTATGTTGATACCAATTAGAAAAATTATGTAGGTACAATTTTATTTATTATCATGTAAATATTTACACATAAATATTTTTGATAATAAACCTTGAATACCACGTCCAATTATTTTTATTTGTTTTTATTGAAAATAAATTTAAATTATTTTTGGGGCATTTTCGCGATAAAGTTTTTCGTTTATCGTAAATATAACAATGTAAGTTGTAATATTTATGAATCAGACATTTACTATAAATGTCGAGACATTAAAATGTTGTTGTTGATTGCGACAATCAATCGCACATTTATACATTTAAATAAAAGCATTACTGTAAATTGTACCAAATTACTGTGAAATAAACGCGGTGATTCGATAAGAATGAATATTACTATAATATTACATTGGGCTGTAATATCGAACCAATTTGATTTCGTTGCGTTCGCCGATATTGAAGAACTGATATTCCGTCAAATTCCTCGATCGAATGAAATGGCAATACCGGACAGTTTTGTAGGTTACGCGTAAACCGGTAACAGTGGTAACGCAATAGAGCAGGAATAGATAGAGTATTCAGATCGTTCGCAGGCGGCAGTAGCCACCCTCGCGCCCGCTCTCTCTGCAGTATTGATCTCGGCGTGGCGCACGAGGCGCTTTAATAAGCTCGCCGACCGACCGACGTCGACGTCGACAAGCCAGGAAGGGAGGCAGCGCACACGGCAAATCTGCAAAAGGATGCCGTAACGTGCTTACACACTACACCACCGCCCCTCATCGCAAAATTAATATGCCAATATGCCGCGCGTTTTAAAAGCTTCCAACGCAGCAGCAAGAAAAAAAACACGCTCCAGTAGTAGTAAAATGCGATTTTCACGAATGAAACTTGTACCTATGAGTTGTGCGAGTGTATTTATATACAAGTGTTTACCGACGAGTGTCTAGATGAGAGCACAACATATTTATTTCGATCCCGAAATGCGCCATCTATATTTAGACGCGGACGCGCGATACTATACGAAGAGGTGTGACCTGCCGTGTATAAATATTATTTATTTTCACACACACGCAGCGCACGTTTCCATATATGCATGCATAAATTTCCAGCGCGTATAAAACATCCGGACAATAAAAAAGCCATATGGCCGGCTAACGATAATGGCTGCTGGTGCACGATAAGATGCAGTATGCAGTTTAGTTTTTGCGCTGCCGCCACCCGCCTGCCTATTTCTAAACGGTGAATATTTATGCAAGCATTAAAAATTTAATATCTACCTAACCTAAGTGAGTGTATATTTATAAACTAATTTGTTTCTGTAATAAACTTGGTTGTTTTTATCATTAAATTACTTGCTTTGGCGTGAAATTGCCGTTTTTATTAGATATAATAAAGATTCCTTTTATTTTGAGGTTAAAATTTTATAAATTGGGTTAGTTTAACGTTTTTATAACCTCAGAAATTAAATTTTTATAAATTTGGTTAAAATATCATTTAAAATCAATTTATATACGCTTGACTTAAGTTTGTCCCATGAGTTGACATTTTGTACACAAATCTGCTCGTGTAAAACATGTCGTTTAATAAATAAGCGACGCACACATACACACAGAGAGAATTTTCGTGTGCTTCGCAGGCGTTAATAAAGTTCACGACGAAGCAGCGACTGCAAGACAGCTAAAACGACATAATATGACAAGGAAATATATCTCTGTGTTAAGCGGCAGCGATGCGCGCTCTCATAGCTCATCTGTGTGTCAAAAACTAGCGAACTTTCCGCGTCGCGTCGTGCTGATCAGCGAAACAATGCGAAACTGGAGCAAACACAACAACGCTTTGGATAAAAACGAAATGCGCTGCAAGCTGGAGAATTAAATTATACGTGCCAGTATTGCATGCCCGGCATGCATGTGTGAGGATCAGGCTAAAGCTAAATGCAAATAGAAATACAAATAGCAGAGTGCTGTGTGGTAAAACTCGCGAATGCACGCGATTCTCAGACACTCGTCAGTAGGAGTGTGGGTCAAAAGGGTTAATAAGCAATCCAATATTGATTAACGGCTTAACTGGCGCGACCTAAAAGGGTGAAATACGTACTTTTCTTTGATTAATACCATTTGCGCAACGTAATTATTTATTTGCCCAAAGGGATAAATAAAAAGCAATATTCCATAAAAAGAAATAATAAATAAGAAATTAAGTATGAAAAATTGCAGTTTCTGGCACGTAAATTGTCATTAACAAGGCTAAAACTTCTGAAAAGTCATTTTTTAGCTTTTTATTGCAAAATAAAGAGAAAAATAAGTAAAAAATTCAAATTATGCACGTAATTTATAAAATATTTTAATTTTAAAGTCATAAATTAATTTTACAATAAATTTTCTATTCAAAAATATAAATATTTAATTTTTAGCAAAATTTTATGAAAAGTTTCACGTCAATTTGTTCCAATTTCACATTTTTCACAAAACCAAATTTTAATTGTTTATAACTTTTTATGCAACCAACTAATTAACAAAATATAAACTCAATTAGACGTAGAAATTAACTAAGAATCTATTTCTGAAAGAATTATAACTTTATCTCTGATAGTTGTCGTATAATTCTTAAATAACTTATGACAACCATAAAATTATTATTTTCCCGATGCGACTATATCACTATTGTTGTGTAGAAATGTATAAAGTGTAACACGCACTAGTTTGTATCGATTACCACTGTGTAACCTTAACGCTGTCACATTATTGATGTCCAAGTGATGAATTATTTCGGCTGACATCGATCGCGTCGCTTCGCTTAATATTCATTTTTCTGACATTCACAGCGTGACATTAATTCATCTTCACGCAATCATCGCGCACGCACGCACAAATAAATCAGATATTCGCATTTGACACATTCGACACATTCGACAGTTTAACAGATATCGCGTCATCAGACATCAACAATTCCACCACCAGACAATCCTGATTAACACCTTGAATTCGTCTCGCCATGACCGCGATATCATCCAATATATTGGTAATAATATACAAACAAATAGACGAAGGCAATGCGAGCGCAAGTTAGACAGTCAAGGGTTATATCATTTATCGATTGAAATTGCGCGCATTTGGGGCGACGTTTCTATTAATAGCCACGCCGGCGGCGGCACGTTTTAAGAATCATCCTCGTACCCCAACCCGCCTCCGCCACTACCACTACAACCACCCACTCACTCGTTCGCCGCTGCCAAGTTTTAATAGCCGTGACGACGACACTCTGGCCCGGGGGCGGGTGGCTAGCAGGGGCCGTACGTTACGCGCACATATATACTATGTGCTAAAATTCGGTGTCATGTCAGGCGCACGCACGGCGGGTATTTCGCCACCCACCTGCGGACGTGGAGGCCTCTTTTACGAGTTTCGCATTGTGATTGTGACAGACGTGGATATATTGTTCAGCGGCGGCGAGTCGATAAAGATCGAACAAAGTTTTTCTTTCGCGCCGCGCGTGTCGTTTAGCAAAACTTTAACTGCGCTCGCTTACTTTTGTCTTTTATTGGCGTCGCGGCGTATTTACTCGGTGGCTAATGGCCGTATAAACCCTGACAAGAGCTTTCTGCGTAATAACCCACACAAAATACAAAGAAATATCACGTTATTTGATTGGTATTAACCGTGAAGAATCAATACTTTTAATTATTGCGGATATTTTTAGCTCAATCAAGGAATAATTAAAGACGGTATTAATTTTAATTCGTCCAGCTGTCAAATACAGATTCGGACAGAGAAGGTCGAATAGAATTCGCCGCCACTATTTAATGCATGCGCGTCGCGATCGTTTGTGCTTTATAAAATTTGCAAAATATTTCGTCGGAGGGGTGCTGACGCATTTTGCGAGCGCGCACAAAAATAATACGACTCGCTGGCGACGCTCCGGCTGCGCGTTCGGTAATTTCAGCCATAACGGGAGATCCAAAGTGCGCGCTGCGAGTACGCCGTAGGTCGAAATATGGGTCATCCAACTCGTCAGCTATTCACCCTTCCTGCCACCACCACCACCACCACCACCGACGGTTTTATCTGGCGGCCAAGAGTCTTCCCGCACGAGCTTAAATAAACCAAACCCCAATTCGTGATACCCAGACTAACAAAGCGTGGCGTTTACGCCATGAACCCGCACCGCCATATTTATCACAAAGATGCAGACGTTCCCAGCCTTATATTTCACTTTACGTACGCGTTATAAAATGATACAAGTATGTTTTGCGCTTTATTGCCGAATTAGAAACACCCCCACATAAAATATGCGCTATTAGTATCTATCTAGGGGTGTGCAAGGACAAAATGTAACAAAATTCGAGTGTGTGCGAGATGACACTGCGCTTTTTTTTACGTAATGTTCAAACATGTAATGCGTGCGCAGAAAATTTAATTAATTCCCCCGCGAGATAAGCGCGCGTAGAGGAGAGAGGGGGGCGGGTTGTTGAGGGTGCGTCGCGCGTTACGGCACGTGCCCGCCATTCGTCTGCGCGCTCCGACAATGGTAGCGAACGTCGACAATCTTCGCTTCCTATCTACCAACGAATAATGGGATAATACGTGCTCTACATGCTGTAGCGTGTGTTGGAATAATAATACTCGTAACGTACGCTTACAATGATAGAAGAAAAAACGAAGAAAACTGTAATAAAATTGCGTTTTTGAATCAAAATCACGAATTGCGGTGAAATGAAGGTGTTCCTTAATTGCAGAGTAAGTTAATTCGAGCACACGCAATCACGAAAATGTGCCCAATTTCGACGAGAGCATCTTCACATCTTCACATTAATTTCGTCCTTGCGTCCACAATCCTCAAAGGTTAACAAGCCGGCGGGTATTTTTATTGTGCTCAGCCGCTTATTAAATTACAGCCGTGACATTTCCGACCGCACAACCGCAATCATTTTCGTGCACAAAAACAAACAGATTTCCACCGGATTTACCCAGAGATGAAGTGCGCTCATGCGTTAACTCCATTAAACACTTTATACGTTTATATTTCCGCCGCTAGGTGGCGCTGCTAGTGTTTGACAGTAGTTGACAACCTCAAACTAGCGCGATTAATTTACAGTTTAGCCGATGTAAAGCGTTGGATGTTAAAAAGTTAAGCAGTGATGTAACAACTATTGATCACCGGTGCTCAGTGCTGGTGTTATCGCAAACTCTATTATCCTGGCAAGCACTCCTGACGGATTCGGCTCTGCACGTCGCACACTCGACCGACACTTTTCGAAGCCTTTATCTTTAACCGCATTAACGCATTAAAGTGGGCCCCGCCGATACGCCGCATCAAGGACTTTAGAAGTAATCAGATTAAGCGTACATTCATTGGCCGTGACGACCCCGACACCACCTTCGACGACGTCACATTTTTCGGTAATACTCATTAAACAAATTGCATTTCCAGCAGCTGAGCAGCTGAACACTCCGGATGAATCATGCCATGTTTGCAGTTTATTAACTGGGTTAGAAACTTATTACTTATTTAATTTCCGAAATTGAATTACAGACACCTTAGAACTAGCCGGGACGACACCGACACGTGGATCGATAGCGCGCTACCAACAAACAATGAGCGCCATACCGGGGACGAAAACACCGGCTAGACGTCATAATCCCTTCGAATTCATGTTTCATGATCCGACATCGTGTCTTTGCTACCGCTCTAGGCTCGCTCATTATTATTAATTGAAAAGTCAGTTCGCAGTTGCGCCCAAGGGTGAAATTATATTTTCTTGGCAATACACACATGAATATTAATAATCATTATTCCCACGAGCATTTGTATACTTTTTTCATTACTACGTGCGCTTAACACGCAACGCATATTTCGTGGATTATTATTGAAAACAAATTTGTCATACATTAACCATTACGATAATGAAGGCAGAGGGAGTAGGGTCGCCAGATTCAGGTCATTCATACATAAATATTTTCTTCAACTCTACGCCAGCGCCGCTATCGCTGCTTCCCGGGTCCCAAAATTTCGTCCTAACGGCCCGTAATGGACTGCGCGATAAAGAATGATCTGAGGATGATTTCCGTCCGCCGAATAAATCATCGACATGGGACGATTGCAGCATTTGAAATTCCACCCACTTGATAAAAACTCCGCTCCAACTTTCCAAGGATAAAGGGAAGTGGAGACCTTTCAGCGCCTTTTCACTCTTTCATTATTGCCATGGAAATACGAGACCTCTCTGCGAGCAGTTGTTAAATTACGATTTCATTTTTGTTTTGTTTCCAATGTTTGAATTGGGCCTAAAGGTCAGGCGATTCAATTAATCTAAAAGTTTCTACACATGTTGCGGTCATGAGGTATTCTCAAGATGCCCATATTGTTTTCTTTTGTTTCAACAAGCAAACAAAAAAAGTAATCCTAGCCAACTTCACAAAAAAATTTCATCAAAATTCGTGGAATTCACTAAGCAACAATTTCTTTATTTACTTTTTTAAGCTGAAATATGTCAAATGACATAACCTAACATAACCTTTTTCCCTATTTTTTTTCTGCTTGAATTTTACTCTTGTTTTATACACCAAAATAATAAAAATAATAATATCTAACTATTTTTTAATAAAAATTCTGAATCCAATTACTTATGCACTTTATAAAACCAAAATATGACCTAGAAAACCAATATTTTTGTATGTACGTATTTATATAGATATCATTCTATCGATGACTATGTGAACGGAACAAAACCCGTTTTCCCGCTTTGATGTACGCTCGCTGAACAAATAAATATAAAAATTGGGCGTGTTTACACGAATTCCGTCAACGTTGTAGACCGCGTGCGCCGCTGAAGCTATTATGATACGTTTAATTCCATAAACTTCAACTTAAGAATAGTATTACAATCGCTATGAATACGAAATGATCTCATCATCAAGTCATCCATCTCGATAAACACGGTCTGCGGCGAGGCGGCGCGAGTCATTAGCTCGACGCATTTTTCCCTTCGCATAAATTACGATGTCGGAATGAGAAAATATTGACATTGCTTGATGGTCGCGGCGAGATTTTGTCGCTTTTCGATATTCGCGATGCCGCAATGATCGAAAGGTTGATTGGCTGGCGTGCTTCACATTGTTTGACTGGCACTCGACTGCCGTCGCCGATACCATACTCACTCACAGCTCGCTTAATTGATAGTTTATGTGAGGAAATGTAGGCATTCCTAGACAGGCTATTAATTAATTCCTCGGATTGTTATTTGCGTACCAGCGCGTACGACATTCTTGCACCGCATGACTTTAATTGCGATATGATATTTAAGAACAACACTAGAGTCGATTTATTTTTGTACGGTTATTAATATAATATAAAATCTAAAATGTGTGTAAGTATAGCAAGGAATGATCTGATTTTAATACATAATATGCTGTACATCGGCGCTTAGGTACACAAACAGTTCGCGGCGTGTGTATAAAAATAAATGACATAATATCGAGAATGTGTGCGCGAGGCGTGTTGTGTTGATATTCGAATTCGGGCGCAAATTGCCAGAGATATTTTTGTAAAAATAAATAAAGGCAGGCCACTTAGGATGACACACACACGAGGGGAAAGGTGCAGTGGACTCATCCAAATAAAAGTATCTCGCGGCCGACGCCATTAAGGTGCGTATACACAATGCGGCCATCAAACAAGCGCATAAAACGAAAATAATGCGCGACAATTCTCGCCTTGGCTATTTCTAAACTTTGTCTGCGTAAAACTATGACTTTTACTGCTTTTACACGGCCCACTGTTACATGATAACTTACTTTTTATATTTTATTGCGGATTTTTACGGAAAAAAAATATATTTTTTACTGCTGCACGCGGTATAATTTATCTGATGATATCAATCGTAACCAAATTGAATGGTTTGCACAAAAATCGTTACATGTGTCTCAATTTATTACAACAGACAGTTATTTACAACCCAATAAACATTACGACAAACATTAAACAAGTTAAATCGTCCTGATAAATCAATGCAAGAGAAAAGCGAATAATGATGCGAATTTATTGCATGAACAATTCTTTCGATTTTCATATCATATTCATATGTCGTTAGTGTATCAAGAATCAACGTAAATTGAAACTTTTCGTAGGCGTAGCTATAAAATCAATACGTCTACACGCGCAAACAGCGAGAAACCAAATTTATTTCCGATTTTATATTTAGAGGTGTAAATGTAATCTTAAATATTTATACAATGGGTACTTGAGTTATTCGTTGAAAAAAAGTGTGTTAAAGGTCATGTAGCTGGCGAAAATCAAACAGATTAATCTAATCGAGCAGCGGTGACGATAGCGCTAATAAAAATGGGATAAAATCGGTTGCGAAAGGAGCGCTCGCTCTCCCTGGCAGTAGTAGTGTCACACACTCAATCTCAAGGAATAAATATTATGCCAGCGTGACGTGTGTAAACAAATTAAACGCAATGTATATCGACCGGGCGAGGAGATGGGCATGGGAAAATCGCGCCGGCGAGAATACAACGCGCGCAACACTTTCCACAACCACCTGTCACATTAAATGGCATGGCAGGCGGGCGGTAGGCGCACAGGACAGAGCAGAAAGTTGTCGGTCGGTTCGCGGTAGTTATGCCTCATCGGACGGGAGTCTGTACGGCGGCGGCGGCGGCATGGCCGCGGCGACGGATGTATTTTTGTACGCGTTATATTTCGGTAACGCGCGCACGCGAGAGAGAAGCGCTGCGCCGCCCGCCAGCCAGCCAGCCAGCCAACACCGACGTCCCATATTGATTTTCTCTATGCAATGCAGATATCCAAGTTTGTACATGTGTTCGGTGCGTCGCGGCGGCGAAGCGAACGGAAACCCTGGCGTCGATTACATGCACCACGCGCGACAACCCCCCGAATGTATGCCGGCCAGGACGAGCACACAGGACTTGTGCTCATCAATAGGTGGTGTCTATCTAGGTTTTTGATTTATCGGCGGCGGATTTTTCCGCGCGCGCGGCGTAGATGTAGCGCGCAGGTTTTCCACCGGTTTATTTTCGGCACACACAAACACACACACGCGCGCGCGCGCAGCAGTAGTATAACTGCGCGCAGGACAAATTGTAAATTGCAAATTCTTATCTTATTAATATTTGTACTTGTGGAGTAAGAAGCGAATTTGTTTGATTAATGATTCTTAGCGCAGTTGGAAAATTCATTTCGTCCTTCATGGCGGGTGTGAGCGCACGCAGGATAGAGTAGTGTAGTACTTACTTGCCGAGCTCCTCTTTGAGGTCGTAATTGTCGCTGAAGCGAGTGCACGCGACCGGCACCGACATCCTGAGTGTGATGAATTAATCTAACTTTTCAGAGGGTAGTTGGTGTGGTGTGGTGGTGGACTCTCCTCGCCGTCCTCGGTCGTCGTCGTCCTTTGCTACCCCGGCGGCAGGAATGGAGAGTGGTGCGGTTTTTCCCCGGCCACGCCACGAACTTTTGCGTGTGTATCTCTCGCGCGGCGTTTATTCGCTCTCGCACTGCCGACGCTACTGCCCGATAGCCGATAATAACGCACTCGAATTTATTTACTGCGGTGCTCTCTCCTGCGCGCTCTGTGCGTGCATGTATAGCGCCGTGCGCGACTACGAGCAAACTACACAAGCGCAATTCGGTCCGCGCGCCGCCGGCCACTCGCTGTGGCTCGCTGGCTGGCAAAGTCGTCTTCGCTCTGCTGTCGCTGCGTGTTGCCGACTCCGGCCGACTCCTGCGCTCGCGGATGTGCCCTAGCTTGCCGATTCGTGTGTGTGTATAATCCATGCGCGCGCGATTAAAACGACGGCGCGCCGTCACTCCGTCTAGCGGCCGGCCGCGCACTCCGCGATTTCCGCGCAACTAATCAACTTTTTGAGGCGTCCATCAAACGCACGCTCCGCGCGCCGGACAAACTGGTTTCGGGCAATTCGTTCGCGACTTTCTACGTCGAGATGAAGAGCTTCCATTTACATCTTGCATTCGGAGGTTTGAATTCGTGCGCTTCATGAAATTAATCAATACAGGCGCACCCGTCCGCGCCTGCTGCCGTCTTGCGCGGTATGCATTTCAACTTTTCCAGGTGATGCATAGCAACCAGGCATCGAATCAAACCTTTTCATCTTGTAAACTAATTGCTAAGTAGGTTACTGTAGCAGAAATGAGTATTATCCCGCAGCATTCAAGAAAAGTTTAGTTAAACCGGAAATTTTTCATTTCACATCATAAAAGTGCAATTAAGCGCAAAAATAAAGAATTTAATGAAACATAAATGTCTTTTCAGCTTTTATACAATTCAGAAAAATATATCAATGCACCGCAGCATTTTTTTAATACATCACTAATCATTTATATTAATATTTATAATAATCTCATTTACGTACATTGTCACAAATATAAAATGCTAACAATCACTTCAACTTTTTCGCTTTTTCTTCGTATTTTAACCAACAATAATTTCGTAAGACCGATACACATCTTCTACCAATTTTTGTGAATATAAAAAAGATTCCTTTTAAGTAGAAATTTTAGAATTATCTTAACATTTACATGATTTATATATAGATATATTTCTTTTATGAATGTATATGTTAAGTATGTGTGTGTGTGTGTGCAAGGAAGAGATAAATGCTTATCCGAAAGAGAATTCGCCCTATTCCACAGTAACACTCTTTGCCAGATTTCTCGGACAATCCACATTGCAACCGCGAAGCACAGCCAGATGGAAACTTAACAATTGCATTGGAATAACAGTCAGAATGCCCTGAAGACAATCGACGGTTTTCGGAATTTGCAGTGATTTGAACGCCATACTGGCAGTTTCATTATCGCCCTCCTCGCAGATCAAAATTGGTCTTCCCTCACGAGCAGTGACCTAAAAATAATTCGATTATAGTACAGAATTTACTGCTGGAAAAAAATATCATGCTTACCTGTTGTAGAGCATTCATGCACTTGGCATAAACAGGATCGCGCATAACGATCATCAAGACAGGCATCTGATCATCGATGAGAGCCAACGGTCCGTGCTTGAGTTCACCGGCCATGATACCCTCGCTGTGCATGTACGTCAACTCCTTGACCTTAAGTGCACCCTCGAGACACGTGGCGTAGTTATAGCCACGGCCCATGATGAGCAGCGACTTCTGCTGATACAAATCCTTGGCAAGTGCCTGTACCTCAGCGTCCAACTTGAGCACGGCTCGAATTTGCTCCTGCAGATTCTCTAAACCTTGCATGATCTGTAAGGATTCATAAATTTAAAAAAGCAAAACATGAAGCAATATCGTAAAGTGCTATCTATCGATTAGCAAACCGAGTGAAAGAATAATCTCACCTCAGCTCTGCGTTGACGCAGAGAAATGCGATCCTCACTCATCACAAGCGCAAACATCACCAGAGCGATAAACTGACTCGTGTATGCCTTAGTAGAGGCGACACCAATTTCCGGTCCTGCATTAATATGTACACCACAATGCGATTCGCGACAAATCGAACTGCCTACTGTGTTGGTGATACCAACAATGAGCGCACCGCGCATCTTACAATAACGCAACGCCATCAAAGTATCAGCGGTTTCACCTGCACGCAACCGATAAATATTTCATCATTAAGCACGTAATAACAACATTAGTCAAATTAATTATATACCTGACTGTGAAATGAAAAAGCACACATCATCTCTGAACACAGGCGTGGTCCTGTCTAGGAAATCACTAGCCAATTCAACCATGACAGGCAATTCGGTGAGTTCTTCAAGTAATTGTCTTGTGGCAATGGCGCTGTGATAACTAGTACCGCAGCCGATAAGCATCAGCCTCCTGCAGCGTTTGATTTCGGGAATGTATTCTTTAATGCCGCCCAAGATAATTGACTGCAATGTCATTTTTAATTAGTATACTTTCACTTTTCTTGTTTTTTATTACACTCACCTGTGTCTCGAAGTTAACACGGCCACGCATGGTGTTGATCACAGATTCAGGCTGTTCAAAGATTTCTTTTTGCATGAAGAAGCTGTAGTTGCCCTTCATGATCTGTTGAAGTTCCATTTTAACTGTGTGGATTTCACGAGAATGGGGATCGTCCATGTTGCGCCTTAATCTGTGAATGCTCAAAGCGCCTTCTTTTACAGCAGCAACATCATCATCCTTAAAAATGTCACAAAAGTAATTAAAATGCTTACAAATTTTAGGTTTTTAATATCTACCTCAAAGTAAATAACACGGTTGGTGTGTTCAATAACAGCAGCAGCATCAGAGGCAAAGAAATATTCGACTTCTTTATCTTCCAAGGGTTGAAACTCCGAGGTGGACTCAGTGCGTGGCAGGACAGGAATATCTCGCATGTGTGGCCTATGTTCTAAAATAATCAAACGAATTCATTTAAATTAAGCACTTAACTCCACGATAAAATTCTGAGTCATTTCAAATATTTGCAAATTATATCGTTACACTAATCCGCAATATGCGGACTAATTTTGCAAACAGTTTGAAATGAATATTTGCGTCGATTAACTTGAAAGCACACGCACCAACACCGTGATGGATGTGTCGTGTCGATGAAACTTACCAACTGAAAACGGAGATGAAACGTTTTTATGATCTCTGTTGAATGAATAAAAATTGTAGTGTCGGGTGATTCTGATGCGGTTAGAAAGCAAAATGCCGGTAAAACTACGTTAGGATAGTGATCATGTAAAATATAATACCTGAGTGCGCGCTGTCTGATGGTTCTACAAAACGTGGGCAAGCGCATTTGCAACGAACAGATAATAAGCCGGAGAACAAACAAAAACAACATTAATTGATGATACAAGTACAAATACACATAATAGAACAAAACACAAACAAATAAAGCAAACTACTAAAACATCTAAAGAGGTAAAGTCACACAGGTATTAAAATACACGTTATTACAAGACCGAAAGTGTACATCGTTATCAAATTTAAGAGTTTCAAATTTATACACATTGACTATTAGTGTTAAATTAAGAAAAAGATAGAGAACAACAAATAATATTAGAACAAGTGTCGGTGTTGTATATAAAAAACAATAAAACAATAAACCCGCACGTTAAAATTTGGAAAATTGCATTTTATCCAAAAATTATCACAATAATAATCAAAAATAAGAATCAAAAATGTTGTAGTACCTTTTGATGCAGGTGTATCGTCTGACGGAATTTGTGTTCCATGCAATAGAGTACAACATCGTGGGATCGATTATAAATTACACCAGAAAAGGAGAAAACAAAAATATTACGTTAGAACAACGTTTAAGGTTTTTTTTGTGTCAAAAAACCAACAAATTGATGAGTCCTGAATAAAAATAATCATTGCATGCTATCCTTAATCGATTAAAAAGTGTGTGTAAGTGTGTGTAAAATAAATATGTTGTAGTTAGTGAAGAGGAAGAAGAAAAAACACATATCGCCAAGTCCAGTAAGTGTTAGCTGTTAGTGAAGATTAATAAATACAATAAAACGTCCCAGGTTAGTTGCAAAGAGCCAAAAGCTACGAAACTACTTTCACCAACCGTGCAGTCTAAAACTTTATCTAAAGTTGTTTGTTTCTGAATGTGTTCGATATTCCGGAATGAGTGCCGAGCGCAAATAAAAACCAATATACGCCGCTGAAAACGAAAAAAACGATGCGTGATCAATGCGGTGGTGATTTATACCTTTTCCGTAAAGGATTGGCACGTAGTCGGTGGAGAGACGGGTTTTGGTCTTGATGCCCACAAGAAGTGGGGAGCCTCTTCGGGTGGCGACGCATTCGCCTGGGAAATGCTTGGATTTGAAACACAACGCGAATGCACCTTCCTAAAACACCCACGGTTATTTACAACAAACTTATAATTATATTATACAGCTTACTAATTGTTGCACAACACTCTCAACGAGTTCCCTGAACGAATAAGTGGGATGCTGGATGTAGAACAAGTGAATCAATTTGGCAATAATTTCCGTATCGGTGTCACTCTCAAATCGATAGCCTTTGTTTTGCAGGAACACTTTCACTTCCTTGTAGTTTGTGACAATACCATTATGGACAACAACAAAGGAGTGGGCATCGTCGGAGCGCTGAGGGTGCGAGTTGGTCTCGCTTGGTACACCGTGGGTGGCCCAACGGGTGTGTGCAATTCCACAGTGGATGTCAATGGCGGTTTCCATATCCATCTCAGCGCAACCTGAATATAAATTTCGTATTCAACCCTAAAATTTACGATCAAAGTGATATTTCGTTAAAATTTCAACCCACGTTTGTTTATCTCCTCTTCGAGCAGCTTCACCTTGCCGGTCTTCTTGATGAGGGCAATGTCTTTGTTGTCCGTGTCGATTGCCACACCTTTTTGGTAAAATAAAAGGAATTTTAAAACAAATTCGATATATTTTTTATGTTGGGATTTATGCCGGTCACATACAAATTGAATGAAAAAACGGTTCGAATTTTACCTGCGGAATCATAGCCACGGTATTCCTGACGCTTGAGACCTGTGACCAATAAGTCCAAGATTTCTTTGCGACTTTTCGGAGTCAGGTAATTGATATATCCAAATATTCCTGTAAAATAAATTTTTTTAAATTAAAAATATTTTTTAATTTGATCTATTTAAAGAAAAACTATGCGTGTTTATGACGTCAATGAGAGAATAAAGCTTCTGCCAAGGTCAAATAATTCATATTTAATTTTTCTAGTTTCACTTTGATGGTAATTCGAAAAAATTCTCCAAGTAAATTCTTTATAGTGTATTATATTAACAGTAAAGAAAGGTAATGTCTAAGGAAGAAATAGATATTAATTAATGTTAATGTAATCATTGGCAGGTAATAAAATCAAGGTTACACATTTCAAACCGCATTTGTACCGCGACTAATTTTAATAAACTTTTACTATTTTTTGCTTTAATTACGCAACAAAATTCAAGTTTTTATCAAATAATTGTTAAATAATGCATATATAAAATCACAACCGTAAAAATCGATTAAAATTCTTGAGCTTTCAAAAATATTTTATTGCTTCGACGTTTTGAACATTCTAAATTATGTTTACATTTTTGTTTTGCATGAAACAAGTAATAAATTTGCAAATTTAAGCAACGATCGAATAATATGCGAGAAAAATTGAAATCGAAAGTAATTATTACGCAAGCAATGCGCTCGTCTCGTTTAGCCTAGTAAACTATTGCTTTTTCTAAGTCGCTTTTGCAAATCAATTAGAATTTGACACTCCTTTTATTTACGGTTACGGCTGTGATTATAACCCACCTGACTGTGTATTAGAAATTTAACGTTGCATAATAAGACGCCTTCCAACGCGGAATTGAATATAATGTCAAGAATATTAACTAACCAGCGCACATAGACGATATGCATATTCGAATGTATATTCTTATTCAAGTCGTACGACTTTAAGCAAAGACTTAAGTCATTGTTGTAAAACTAGTTTTTTGGCATTTAAGACTAGGTATATATTAAGCACAAACGAGTAACAAGTTAAGTAGCATAATATATTTGCAAATTTGTTTTGAAATTTTGCAAATAAATCGCAAACATACGAATAAAATATTCCAGATGATCAGGTTAGAAATAAGTCATGAAGTCAACACATTTCAAGATAATTTTCACTATCAGATTTTAAATAAATATATAAATTTCATGAAAGTACGAAATTAGTTAGATTAAACAATGTACGCTTTTATCAATAATTGTTAAACCTGTTAATCTCATTTAGGAAAATTCCAATGTTTTCCAAAATTTTGTAAATTAACACAAAACAACACGTTGTAAATCTCGAAAAAGGGTATTCCGCACAATTTTGTAATATTCTTCAAAATCATTGACCTTTGCAGTGTATTTTTTGTAATGACTTACCCATCTTTATTATTATCACGTTTTGTACCACTTGAGACTTGTAATTAGGTAGACATGAAGTCACTCATGTGTGTATAATTATATTCCTCAAAAAAATTCTACTAAAAAATTTATTTTACACCGATATGTGTATTTAATTGGCCACTTTTCGCCAATAATTCACAATGAAGAATTTACTGAAAGGTGCGCACTTTCCTCGCGTGTTTCGTGACCGAATATTCTGCTATCGGTATAACGTAATATATTTATACTCGTCTATATTACTGTACAATAAAAAAGGGTACGAATAGATTATCGTCTATCAGATTACAAACATATCATCAAAGAGGTATAAAACGCTTAATGATAACGATTTATCACTAATATTAATTAGCGAGATTTAAATAAAATGTTCCTAGTTTTCATAAAATCTAAATATTGAAATAAAAGTCAATTGAAAATATAATGCAACTTAAGTACTTACATACATATTTGAATCAGTTCCTAGTATTACTTACAGTCTTACAGGATGATAAAGATTAATTCCTTATGAATCGTTTTTATCACGAAGATTAGTTTCAAATACCTCATTTGTGAAGTACAAATGATAAATATAGCAATATCCTTATTATTAAACATGATTAAAAATCTAATTGTATCCGGAACGAATGACAAATTTAATTTTTTTCTAATTATGTTTAGCAATTATTCTAAATTTGCAAAATTATTTAGTGTATCGCTTATCTCTACCAAAACCAAATCCATCAACATGTGAAGCGGATGTTTTTAGATTTATTATTACCAGCGCATTTCGGACAACTAATCTAATATAAGTACTTCTTAAACTATAAAAACCATAAGCCTATATTAAGGGCTGAAATACAATATATGCAGCGATTATGTCACCATGTGTACCTGGAAAGTGCCCAATTTCTAACACCTGTTCGGAGATTCAAGACGGAGATACAAATTAACATTTTTCCCTCTACGAGTATACTATGATTACCGGATACTTTTATCCAATAATCTCAGCGCTTATATACTATAATTAAAAACTGCAATCTTTCATAAAATTAAACTAAATTCAACTAAAACTAAATAAATCCAGTTTTAATGCAAGCCGGATATTTAATTAATGTATCAGTAGCCAAAACTATTAATAATTTGCTACTCTAAAGCTTCCGCGCAAAATAAAAATACTGCAACACTCAGGATTACAAATGACGCAATTTGAAATCTTAAGTAATTACAAAATTACTTAAATTACTACGTAATTTTTAATTGAGAATTTTCCATATCAATGGATTAAATCTTATCTATGACATTTCGACTAAGTATAACATTAATCCGAATCATCCTGCTCAAAAGTTCAAAACACAAAAATATCTAAAGGTGCAGTTACAAATAAAAAATGTTAATGATTTATGACTAAATCTTTACAAACATCCCGTGTGATACAAAACATTTCGCAGATTACGATTATTACACTCGCAATATTTTCAACAGAAAAAATCGTAAATCCAAAATCAATCGACAAAAATAACTTTATTGCCAATTTCAGGGCCAACAAGAACATTTATGGGAACTTGTTAGTAGGTTTAAATATTACTGCCAAATACGCACAAGATATAATTTAAAAATTCGTGTGGAAAGTAAATAACCTGCCGAACCACCTTATTCTTGACAGCAGGTACTAAACTAGAGAATATGTTATTGGTTCAATAAACTTTCACTCACTTCATATATCATGAAATACAAGAACTAAGTATGAAGTAAACAGGTAGGTATATGATTTTTGTAAACAACGCTACTATTACGTCCACGCAATTTCTGGCATATCTAATGTCTACTTTTACATTCAAACAATTTTTGTTTGTTTAATTTAAATTTTATTTTTTGTTTAACATATGCTTAAGTATGTCACCGGCAATAGCATGAACAATTAAAAAATTGCCTACAGTTCATTTACAGCATTGTAAACAATTCGTTTATTGCATCAGATCATAAAGTTTGAAATTCCTGCTAAATGCTTCCCGTAATAAATTTGAAAACAAAAGATAAACAATTTGCAGATAGTGTAAAAACTATAAACAAACTAATTCTAGGTTAGAAAGTTGGTGAACGTCTGGCGATGTTCGCCAGCAGTAGCTTTCGCCAAAACGCGGGCCCAGCAGGAAAAGAAAATTACTTACCGCACATTTTCACGAGTTACTCCTTCAATTGATGTCGGCGAGTGTGAATGGAATGATACAAATCAACTGTTGGTACGCGCCCGTCTTCGTATCGAAATAAATCAATTTTCCACCCGTTCCTGCTGGCTGTCAGATGCGTACGTAAACCAAAATAGCGTAACCGACGGGGAAAGCGCCTACGTTCACGCTCGCTCACACTACAACTCGCGCATTCGCCTGCGACATCGTATTTTATATATGCTTGCTATCCCCTGCTTACTGACGGCGGTCACGTGTCGTGCCGAAACTCCCTTTCTCTCAGCGTTCACTACGTAGTGCCGTATGTTTGGTGCTGTGTTTATGCGACGCCGCAGCTGCAGGAAGCTACGTGTCTTTCCTGTAGATCCGTCGATGGAAGTTTGCCGAGTCTCCAGCTGCTACCAACCCATGCTGCAGGAAAAATATATACGTTTAATAAATAAGTGTCTGTGGTACATGTTTTTTTGTTATGTTTGCAGGAATTGAAAACGCAAAGATTGATTTTGTGTACAAATATTTTGAACATGGTTGGTTCATATTTTACTTCTTGAAAGAACATAGGTTGCCATCTAGCGGAGATTAGTGGAAAGATTTTTCTAAGTTTCTGTTGTAGAAATCATAGAATTCTTACATTAAAAAATGTATAAAATCTTGAAAATAAAGATTATGCAGATTTTGAAACCCTCTTAATTATTTACTACTGTATTACAATGGTAAATTACAAAGCTGAATATATCTAAGTATTCAGAACTCCTCCTCTAATGAATACCTATTGAATACCTACCTACCATAATTCAAGTGTTTTTGGAAAGAAACTCAGAGATCAATTTTCTTACTATTTGCAAGTGGCCGTCAAAATTCTCAGAATAATTTGTTGCAAACAACATTAATAACAGGTTTTATTATTATAGCTGTTATTTAGTTAGCAAATTTGCCATTTTTATAAAATTAATATGAAAATTGACATTAAAATGTCTCACCTAACATTTAAAATGTTATTTTTATAAAATTTTAAAACTCTGATGCTTCTTTCTAGATTGCATTTAGTTAGGTACTACGTGATCCTCTATTTCCGATTACTCACAGCCCTTTAATAAATAAAACAATTTAGTAACCTTCGTCATTCGAGTAACCCAATTGTTACGCATCATCGTGCGCAATAATAAATTGAATAAATAATCGTACTCAATGTTGCCCAATATTATTCTGGAAAATTGGTATACAAACCCATAATTTTAAACGTTTTACACTTTTGAACTGAGGTCAATAACATTGCTTTAATACTAACCACAGACAAATATTAAACAAAATACATGTAAAACAGTAAATATTTATCATTGGTCTATTATTAAAGCACTAGGTCATTCAATTTAATTCATATACCTAACTAGGTATATGTATAATATGGATTTCCTTAATGTTGTGGTATAATTGAATATCAATCGCCAGCTTCCTTTCTCAGTAACCGATGATGCTCGGAGCAACACAAAAGTGCGGCTGAGATGCCGCCGCACAATCATTTGGATATGTTCCTCGCGCAAGTGTGGAAGTGCTCAAGCCGCCTCGACCGAGTTCGGAGCGCGGTCAGTTTCCGTTAAATTAGTGAAGTTCCCTCAAAGACGTCTCACTATGCGCGCCGCACTGGTCACAGTGATGATCCTGTTCATGAACTGTTATCAACTTCGCATCTCGGCGGCTGGAAATAGCAACGAAACGCTCTACAAGGAAAACTTGAAGAGGTGCCAGGCGTTCAGATGTGGTACTCCGCAACCGCACGTCCTCCGGTATCAAGACCTCTTTCATTCGAATGAAGTCAACCCATGTGAGGTAAGTTTTAAAAAGTTAAAAAAAAAACAACGAATAATCTTATTGTTATTTAATTTTATTTTGCAGGATGTGCACCCACACGTGGCAGTTCTCCACCGATGCGATTCTACAACTGGATATTGTTCATCATCGGTAAAAAGTTCCTGTGGACCAATACATCTCGAAGAAGTTTCTATTGGATTCATGATCACGTTGAAGCATTCCTCGGGAGGCTGTATTACAATGCCGAAACAAATTCGCTATGTGCAAGTGACGGCAATAAATCATACGCAATGCGCATGCACTAAAAAAGACGATATTAAATAATCAAAAAGTTTCAAGTGCGATGGGACGAACCGGAAGGACAGGTTCCGCTTAACAAATTGTAATACGGTGGGATTTTCGTCTGTGATAAATGGTGCAACAGTATTCTACAAGCAGCTTATTGTGATTTATTTGACAAATGTGTGTGAGTTTGGACCTTGGAAAAAATATTTAGAATTATGTGGCTTTTATCAATTCTGTCGCGTGTTGGTGAAACGTGACTGCTTATTTATTCATTAGAATACTTATATTATATTCATTGATAATTAGCAAACACGAGTAAATTAGTTTTCTACTTTTTTTGGAAAGACTAAGAGTGATACGTTGCGAATTTGCAAAAGCTGCAGGTGTTGTTCAGTGCTTATTTTAAGTAATACAATTTTGCAACTTAAGTTTCCGAAACGTAAACAAATCAGAACCGTAATGTTCACTTTCATAGTCATAAACATGATAAAGTAAATGTTTATATACACATTTTTCAAAAACCTATTTAGACTGGTTAAAATTCTAAAAATAAAAATTACAATTTATACGAAATTGTGCAAATGCCAAAAACCTACCTTTGAATGAGTGTTTGCAACATGGTGCAAAAAAAGGTGTATATTTATTTTAGAAATCTGTGAATAGTTTGTTTATAAGCATCTGTGTGTTAAGTGGTGACACGTCTCGCATAATTTAGGTTGGAGGGATTTCTTTCTCCATCTTCGTGAGAACAATATTCCTGTCGGTCTCTGTGGATCTTGTACCAGATGAGTCAGTTTTCAAGCGAGCGCGCAAGTCCAAACAACGAATGTCCGTCATCATGCTTTGGCATTTGTTCTGCAGATCGATATCGATGACGACCTGCTGATCTTCCAAAGCGTTGTACGTTGTCTTTGCGCAGTATATCTTGTCCCTAAGATCTTTTTGAGTTTGACGCAACTGTCGCACTTCTTCTTTAAGACACAGTTCTGCTTCGTCAATGGCTAATTCTGCACCAGGTCTGAAAGTGCGATTTTCTAAACGCGTTTGGCAAAGTTTCAATGCATCAGTTTTGTCTTCTAGAGATTCTTCTAGGGACTTAATCTCTCTTTGTACTTTTTCCATTTCTTCGCGCATTTTTACCAATTGCCATTCCAGTTCATTGCGTGATTTTTGTGTTTCGTAGATGCGTTTGCGAAGAGTAAAATCAACGCGATCTCTTTGAGCACGCATATCATTTCGGGCACGTTCCCGCATCACAAAAAGAGCTTCACGTAGTTTATCAGTATCTGCCAATTCATTATCAGCGAGTAATTTAGTGTATTTTGAATTTTGAAGCCAAGTTTCATATGGAATCGCGCTGAAATAAGTGGTATAAGAAAACAACATGGCGTTGCAGAGGTTACTTACTTCTTGGCAATTTTAAGTGGATCAGTTTTGTAACTGATATTTGCACAGTGTTTATCCAAAGTTAGTTGATCCTTATCAATCTCGATCGTGTCACATTTATCGTTTAGATCAAGGGTGACTTTAAATTTAACTTCTTCTAAACGATTGATTTTCTCCCAAGCGGCTTGACATCGCTCTACCAACAACTTACGAACACCTTCCAACACGCACAATTCCTACAGAATAATAATGAAATTACTAAATTACTAATATGATTCTTAATGATACGATTGATTAATAATCATTACAGTTTTTAATTCGGTATCTCCATCATCATAAGTCAATTCAAACCCTTGACGTCCATCTCGCATCTGCAGACATTCCGAAACAATTCCAAGCGGAATCCCCAACGAGTCCAGTTCCTGCTCGGTGGAATACTTCTCATCCCTTAGGCTTTGTATTTCGTGGTTGAGACGATTTAAGCAGGCAGTTAAAGTATCGCGCCAACGATCCAATTCGGTGATGCGATCCGCCAGCCGGACGTTATTGTGGTACGTGTCCCAATTTGTCTTAATCGACGTTTCATTGCGCAATTGGCGCGCTTCATGGCGCAAATTGAAGGCATCACTGCGGCGTGTATCGTTCGTCTGCTGATTCGCCCATTGCTTGGCGTACCAATCGGCCAACCCCGTATGGGGCACGGGCTTTTCATAAGCAGTTACTGATCCTTGCATTTTGGTCACGAAACGGGAAATGAATTAAACTGGATGAGATGTTTTATTAATTCGGACCACAGCTGAGCGCAAGACTATAAAGACTAAACAAAACTTCAGTGACTGGTTGCAATAAAAGGCAAATTGGGGAAATGAAGGAAGAAACGAAACGAATTTATTGATTTATTTATTTGTATGTTGCTTAGTGATTATATTGATAAAATAATTTTGTTTTCTAGAAGTTTATGAGGTCAACGAAGACACACGCCATTTTGATCAAGTCTTTGAACTTTATGTATGCGTCCATGACATTTAAAACTTCAAAAAGTAGTAGACTTTGTGGTTGACTGCCAATCTCAAAACATGTGTAAATTATAGAACAGATTTCCCATGACCATTTTTGCATCCATTTCATATCATTTATGGGTATTTCCCGTAATTGTATATATAGACTGGATAAAAATAATTTATTATCTCAGCAATAAAATTATAATTAGTGCTAACAACAATTACGAACCTAATAATAGTTTCTAATTGTATAACAAAACTTCACATGTACATCAATATAAACCATTTTTATTGCCTCCTAGAGAAAAACATTACAATTTTTAAAAAATCGTAAGCTATAATTCATAATTAAGCAGCTTATAATGACATCACAGCAGTTATTGATGTGGATTTCGGGAATTCGTGAATCCGCAGATAGTCACTCCGATGCAACTTATGAAACCGGTTTAAATTCGATCGTACATTCCGCACTTTCAAAATCACACCGGAGCGCATAGTCGAAAACACTTGGCATTTCCCGATTACCGAGCAAACTCACGCCTTGGCGCGAATGCACGTCCCATTGAACGGTCTTGCCCACTTCAGTGGCTACCACTGGTCCGCTCGTCACCGTCGAATATTCTGCTCGCTCGTCATCCAGTATCCAATCGACCCAAACCGCAATACCATTGCATTTAAACCTAATTAATATAAAGAAGAAGAAAAAACATGAATCATCTCGAGAATTTGCATGCATGTTTATTCATTACCCAGGCTTTACTTCAAAAGTTGTTTTTAGATCTTTGTTGCTCTCTTTGTTTGGAACATGAATGCTAAAAGAGGCAACTTCTATGGTCTCAGATACAGCAAGACCTGGATATTCCCAAAGTGGTTGAGCTTCAACTACTTCATCGCTTATCTCACAAGACTGCTATAATAGTAATTCACATGTTAAATTTATTACAAAAAAACAAACAATTTCTATCATTCCACGTTAAAAGTACATTACCTCAATTAAATGATCGAATGGTTTCATTAAAAATCCATTACATGTGCCAAGTGGCGCTCTAATTTTGTGTAAATCATCAAACTGCATTGCTACAGCCTTAATAATACATTTTTGAGGAAATATACGCACGTCATCAGTGAGAGACGCTTGAAACTTCTTCAAAAGATGCAATAACAATAAATTATCCCATGGTACTATACTAGTAGTGTAATAAGGTTCAGCTAAAACAATGTTTGCTTTTTCAGCCAATAATACACCACTAGCATCAACGATTTCCACATTTTCAAGACCATTTTCTTTTATAAACGATGCTGTAACGTAACGAGATACCTGATTCGTTTCTAAGAAATAAACTTTCTTAGCACGTTTCGCAGCGACCAATCCAGCGTAGAATCCCTGACTCAACACCAAAACGACGATGTCTTTATTAACATAATCATCAATAATACGCAGGAACTTCTTCGTTCGTTTGGCGTCGTTTAATTGACCGATTCGCGTCCGTGCGTACGCATTATGCAAATTGCAATCACACTGAGGACACTTATAGTCAGCATCTGTGACTTTCAATCCTTCTTTTATATTAAACCACAGAGAATATTCATCATGACAACTTATCAGACTTACTTCTGAACCTTGACTGACTTTTAATTCTTTTGGAAAGTAGTAAATTGCTTGCATCCAATGATCTCTCCATGGAATAGCTTTGCCAGTCTTCAATGGATGAGCCCAATGTGGAGCACAAGACAAGATAATTTTATTATCAATGTCCATATTCAAATCCCACCACATAAACACACCATGTGCAATAGCATTTCGTAAAGATTTCACAATACTGACTGATGACCGTTCGTAAATAAACGGCGTGCGTCCGGAGAAATCAAATCGGAAGACAGCTTGAGGTTCAACTAGACTATTAAAGGAATGTTCAGAGAGTTGACTTAACTGTACATCATGCAAGTTGGCAGTTCCTTTGCAGTTTTTGATTGCCTCTGGAACTTTGATTTCCAGTTCACCATCATTATTGAACACATTATTTAATCTATTCCAGCTGGCTAGTAATGGACTTTCAATAATTTGAGCATAAATTGTACCACTATGCGGAACTACAATGCAGTCTGACTCAAGTAAACACTTGTGTGCATGTTGAAATGTTCCCAGTGCACCTTCACCAATTAATTCAGTATCAAATACTTCTGTTACTAAGATATTTGCTTTGAACTCCATATCTTCTCCTATGATTATGTCAGTGGATCTTTTAGGAATTACTTTTATTTTATCATGGCAGTTGTTCAGTTTGATGACTTCTAATGCACATGCCCCCATTGGTTTGAAAGCTTCACAGGCAACAACAGAATCTGCTTTGTGTCTCACTGCCATCATTGATAATAAACCTGTGCCAGTGCCTATATCAAGCACATTTGCTTTCTTACCTTGTGCGTGCATATGATCGATTGCCACCTTTAGAGCTCTTTCATACATGTTGTTTCGTTCTGTATCATGAAGCATATCAGCAAAGGCTGCTCTTGCCACTTCCTGGTGATAATCATAATCTTCGTTTAAAACTACCCATTGATTTAGACCAGTGAGTGGATTTAGTTTTTGTATGAACTCGCTCATCGTGTGCAAATTTCGATGTTTTAACAAGGCAGATAACATTCGCTTACTTGAAAGCGGTTTAAAACTTGTAAACAAACTGCACATAACCTCGAGACACCATGCTGTAGTATCCACTCACTTGTATATAGTTGGTCGTATATATACAACCAACCCAACTAGATTATGTACATGTGTTTCTATTCAAAAAGTGACTTTTTATGATTTCTGTGGTATTTGATTGCTTAAAAAAAAGGTTTTAATTCTAATTTCTGAAAATTGTTATTTATAGAACTTGGTTTAAACAAAACCCTGTAACAGAAGAGCTTTCCAATTCAAGGATAATCTTATTCAAGGGCCTATCAATTTTTTAATCATCTGCAATAAGTTTAACATACAGAGTTGATAAAATTAATGCTCACGTTGAAGGTACTTTATTTGCATTGGTGCTCAACATCTGTTCTTAAAATTAAACATCCTCTACGTTCAAAATGCGTTAATATCTTGCTACCATAAGCGATCCTGACCGTAACACTAACAATGACCATTATTGTTTGCACAAGAATCACAGAAAAATATATAAACTATATTTGTCAAAAAATTGTAAAATGTAAATAAATACATCCGTAAAATGTCATTAAAATACTTCGATCAAGAAAATATAAATGCTTTCTTTTTGATTCATTCATACCATTAACAAATCTTTAGTATTTTTGTGCACAATCACATGTACGTGAAATGTATAGAAGAACTAGATTTGTTATAGATGTAGATAGATATAGACTTTGAATATTTTAATAACAATGTTAAAAATATCGTATGTAATGTTGAACTTTTAGCGTTTGATAGATGAAGACTTTTAAGATTCGGTTTTCTTATCAAATGTATCTTTGTTTGCGTAACCGCTGACATAACCAGAATTATCTGGAAGGTCTTTTCGTCCACTGATACCTTTTCCTTTACCAGTGTCATCAAAACGTTGTTTATGTGTGCCTGTGTATTTTGATGTGTCTGTCAAACGTTGTACTGTATCGTTTGCTGAACATTTCTAAAACAAATTTATTAGAAATATTGTAATAAACATACAATTGAAAAACACTTACGGCTGATGCTCCAGAATGTCCTGGAGCTCCACAAGATGTCATCTTCTTTTTAAGATCTTTCACTTCAACCTTCTTTGCTTTTGCAAAATCCTCCAGGAATTTATTGTAGTCCGTAATGGAGACTTTCAACGATTTCAATTTCTTAAAGTAAATACCAGTATCCGTCGTCGTGATTGTTTTGCCATCGATGACTTTGGCTTGTTTCATCCATTTGTCACTCTGTGAGAGAGTGATTGTTTTGCCATCCGATTTGAGGTCGCCAAACTTGGAGAAAGCTCTAAACTGTTCGGTAAACGTTGGTCCTGCTTCGGCCTTTTGTTCAGTTTTCGCGTCGCCATTTTCCAATTTAACACTCGCGACAGCCTCGGCCACTTCTTCAACTTTCGGTTTTTCACCTTCGGCGGACATTTTGAATTCTACAATGTGCAATATATAAACAACTTGTTGACATGTTACAATATTTATCTTATCAATTTGTCAAACATATTGTTAATCTTGTTTGTTTGTTTAGAAATATAAATATACTGGTAATACAGGTTCAAGCACATGAATGGCATTCAAAACCACTTGAGTATCATATTGAGCATTACTATTTCCATGTGATGATGAGATCATCTATTAATAGTATCTGGCGGCAATGTACTTTCTATTATAAATCTAATATATTTGAATATTTCCTCATACTTTGCCCAACTCTTGCTAGTTTCATACAAAACGTGCGTAAATATTAAGAAAAAGTGTGAACGTTTTTTTTATTACAAAATGATCTCATCGTAAACAGGAATAGAATAATTAAACCGTTTAATTTTAAGGTGGGACCACAAATTGTACCTAAAATTAAGCAGAAACAAAGCAATTGCCAGGGCAGGCAATAATTGCATCGCCGATTAAAACACCTTAAATGATATAAATAACTTCTTAATAAGTTTTTACAATAATTCAACTCGTATTGTTTAGTGATTTGTCATCTCAAAGAATTACGTGATGTGAATGACGTAATGCAAATTTGGAGGCTTTGTTCAATTCACTGCCAAGTGATAAACAATCAATAAATAAAAAAATACTTCATAAACCTTGTACACACGTATCTAACTGACTAGGTACCATCAAGCACGAAATATTTAAATGAGTTCTAATTAAGTAGATTTTATTACAGAGAGTGCGAAAGAGGTTTTTCTCGCACGCATCAAATACAAAAAGTGAGTGCGTGCACATGGAAATGCTGGGAAGTTCCGACATTCCGACCAGCACGCGTACAATGGCTTTAGTTTTGAAAATGGGCCGCGCACATTTTGTGTGCTTAATGTTTTAGCTGCTGGAATTGTTTGCGCACGCCGGGCAGCTAAGTTTCGCATGGAAAGTCTACATTAACGGATGCAAATGTAGTGGTTTTCACTACTGAATTCAAATAAGTGTCATGACTATAAATAGCTTTGAAAATTCACACTATAACTCACTTATCACGGGTCACGGGCGCTACTTTCTGTTGTTTTTTTGTGTATCTATTCACAGGAAAATATTTTGTTGAATTTCGGTGGATTACTTTGATTCTATGCGAAATTAGCTGCATGAAAACGTTCGTGCTTGAGATGTTTATCTTCCGTCAGGTGATTTATCACATTTTGTTCGTTTTCATGACATGCGTGTAAAGATAAAACTGTGTTTACTGTTAAGGGCTTTAATTTGTATAATTATAAGTGAAGTAAAAGCTGGTAAAGGTAAGTAATTAAATTTGTTCGCATTTTATTCTTTCTTTTTTTCTATTGATTGAGTCATAGTATAGGGATGTGCATGACTATTTTCTATTATGAGAGCGTGAGTCATAGCCCAAACAAGGAATTGTTGAGGGTTGCGAAAGGACGCAGCGTGCATCGCAACACAAAGCTTTTTGCCTGCGCACACGTCCTGGACGCAATCGATCGTCATCCCGCAAGCCCTTATTCTAGCTTCCCGGCGTTCCCGCGCTTCCCTTGCAAATATTCCGCACAATCCAATTTTAGATCAGATTAAATTCACTTCAACAAAACAACTGATACATTTTACTATGAATCTACGTCTTGGAATTTATATTTTTATTTAAATTTATTTTCAGTTGTCATGTTTTGAATATGATTTAAATTAGTATTCTGGAGAGTGAGTTTAGAATTACAATTGAATATGGTAACAGGTACTTACAATATTAATAAATTGCGTGTTGCGTATCCAATGATTTTGATGGGGAACTTAATTGATGTGTGTGTATATCACTGCGTGTTTCCTTCCAATTAAACTGGGTTTTCCATCTGCGTTCGTCGGCGTCCAGAATCGCACTGTTTTGCAGGCGGCTGGTTTTATCGCTGTGCGCGTTGAGGAGAGAATTTCGCGCCCACTCCTCTAACGTGTAACACGTATAGGTATCAGTTTGAAGGATTGATCCAAACATTACAATAATTTAATTGTAGGCACATTATTTAAAAAAATTATATTGAGTTTCTTTATGTGTATAAATTTTAAAATGAAAAAAGGTCCTTACAAGGATTAGTGTTATTTGTGTTGCCTACTTTTACCTATGAAATTTATATTAAACTACTTGTTATTTTGAAATTTATTTATAAAGTTTATTCATTTCTCGGTCTTGGCAAGCATTTTATTCGTCCCCGGTGGTCCACAGTTAGTCAGTCTGGATCTCACATCATCCCGTTCTAATTTATATTCCCGACACAGCGCGTCAATATATTTCATAAACACGGGAAATGTTAACGTGCGTGACCTACAAGATAATCGAAGATAAAAATGGCAATGTAAGCAGATGCAATAATGTAAGTTTTACTTAAAATAATTGAAAACGATGCCGGTGTCGGTGACAGTGATGGTGCGCCCGTCCAAAATAAGAGCTTGCTTCAACCATTTATCGCTTTGCGTCAAGGTAATTGTTTTACCATCGGATTTAGCGTCGCCAAATTTGGAAAATAACACAAATTGATCTTGTAATGTTGTGCCCATTTATTGTACATTGGATAATTGTAAGATTTATGTATTAATTTATTCTGTTGCACTCAGTAAATGTGATTATATTGACAGGAACAATGAAAAAATATGATTTCATGGCATTTCATGACATTTAATGATAACTAAGTTTTCAAGGTGTACATGGGTTACAACAATAAAAAAAATGTTTGTTTACTACCATCTAATTAATATTGTGAGGAAACTTATAAGAAACATGTTGATAGCACAATAATATGGGTAACTAAAAAATTTATGTCTTTCAGTGCATTTATTTATATAGCATCTTTGTCAGTGGGTTCATACAATTAAACGTTGTAAGGCCAATCGCAAACTGCAAGAATTGGGTTGAATACAAGTCCTCCAGCGCAATCTTTCTCCCATTGGCCATCGTTGGCACAGTGGCAGAACTTGTGGGGGTCTACAGGGTGGGCCAGATGAAGGTTCGCATCTATGGGGTAGGTAGGAGGACAGACCGATTTGCAAACATTAGCAGGTGAAGCAGTTGGAGCAGCAGTTGGAGTAGCAGTGGGTGTAGGAGTAGAGGGTGCAGAGGTAGGTGTAGTTGGTGCTACACTTGGGGTGGCAGTTGGGGCAACGGAACTGGTGCTTGCAAACGGACAACCAGCACGGTAAGGCCAGTCACACACCATCAGAGTGGGGTTGAAGTGAAGTTCAGCGGGACAATTTTTCATCCAGTTACCATCATTGGCACAGTGACAGAACTTAGTGCAATCATCAGTATATGGCAAATGCACGTTGGCGACAATGGGGTTGTCAATCGGGCAAATGGCGTCACATACATCTTCGGGAACCGGTCCCTTGACAGCAAGTGCTACTTGCACAAACAAGCAGACACAGGCGAATTGAAGTACAGCTGTAACAAAAAAATTGATTAGCTTAGTTATTATGCTTAAATATTATATAATTTAATTATTATTTTATTTTATTTTTATTTTCTTCTTAATTATTATGTTTGAAATGTTTACTTACAGTTCATGATGAGCTGGGGAAATCGTTGGTAAGACAAGTGAATCTACCTTGATTGGTGGTGCTCTGTGAGTGCCTAACTGTGCAATTTTCGTTCGTTTTATACGAGAAAATTATCCAAAAAATTCAAGATTACGTTAACAAATTTTATCACAAAATATTTTATTAATCGCATTTCTATGAATCTGAAATCATTGCAATTGAAACTATTTTTATTAATGCGTTAATTACATCCTAGGATTAAATGAATAATTAATTTACGATTGAATCCTTTGTAAATCAATACATAATAGTCGGTAATTAATAAATTAAATCAGATAAATTAAATCAGATTAGTTAAATTCTCTGAACTAAGCCGTTTTTTGTTAATTGAGTAGCAGTTTGGACATCTTATAATTTTTTCTCTCCAAAATTCTGATACCAAAATGAAGTTATGCTAACTATTTAAAGTAAAACATTGACTTTTGTTTTTAAGAATAATTTTACAATGACAGAAACAATTTATTATCCAAACAGTGTCAAAACATCAATCTGTTAACCATTTTCGTTCTTCCATATTAATTTTCATTAGTTTTACAAAATGGCTGGCCGAATGATAAGAGTAATCTCTGCGCATGCATCTCGAGATCTGGAAAAGACTTATGGTTTACGCACTGACACTGGCAAGCAATTCACATTCTGGAAGCGGCAGATACGCAAACGTGAAGAACCAAAATATCAATACGACGTCGATAATCAATGGAGCCAACAACACTGCTTCTACTTTTTCTTTGCCCTGCTCGGAAATGGCTTTGATACAATGCCGCACACAATGCGCTTTGCGTTGAAAACCTCTGGTGGTCTATTCGTTGTCTATGACTTTTTCTTCTCACTTTTAATCACATTTCCACTCTTATACACGGAAATGTTCCTAGGCAAATACAGCAATTTGACCAACAGTCAAATGTTCCGTATGATGCCAATATCTTTCGGCGTTTGTGTCCTGACGTTACTTCAAGATATGCTCTACGCATCAATGAGTTCACCATCAATTGCAATGTCGCTCATGGCAACATTTGATCATTTATTGAAATCAACCTGGACTTGCCCCCCTGGTGATCCCATTTGTTATGATTATAAAGTTGAGGGACCACTGGGTCCAAATTGTACCAGAATCAATATGGTGCTTGATTGCAACGGGAAAAAACGATTAATAGTCAGCATGCATCATTATTGGTCGAATTATCAAGACAGGCACGACTTTCAAGCGAATTGGTCACTAATACTCGTCACGCTCATCACATGGATGTTTATTACAATAATTGTAAACCTCAAAATGAAGTTCCTGGAATTGGTAAAGAACATTGCTTTGTTTTAACAGAAATAACAATGATTTTATTATTTAGCTGTTGAAGATATTAGTGATTCTGAATGTGATTTTACACATGGTGCTGTTCTTACTTGCAATTACAAGCTTAGGTGCAAGCAGAGCATTATTCAACATGTATGATTTTAAGATACGATCGATAACAGTGTATTCTGTACGTAAAATCTTTATTTAATTTATTTTGCGCTTTCCAAACTATTATTTAAATGTTTTAGGTAATATTATCCGCATTTCTAATGCCAGTGAAACACAACACACTCTATGGAGGCGGTTACATGACATATGCTGCAAGCATTAATTACAAATCTAAATTTGGGCTAACCACAAACAGTCTTCTTCTTTTGTGTGCAAATTATACTTTGAATCTGTATTATATGATAATTTTTCATGCAATTATTGGTGTTCTGGGAGAAGCTACTGGCGTCAACTACAAAGAAATATTTTTTCCATGTAAGTATAAACTTTTATTGCATTTGTGGAGCGTCGATTATCCGAACGTCGCTTAACCGAACGACCGCTTATCCGAACGAAAACATTTCGCAACACTTAGAAAAATTTTCGATTTTTTTCGATTTTTTCGGCTAAGTCCGAAAATCGACACTTTTAATATTTTTTCATTTTTTCGACTAAGTCCAAAATTTTTTCAAAGACCTGCAAAATTCATTATGTTATGAAACTTAGTCGATAAATTTATATTACAAGTCGAATTTGATGTACTGAGCATATGTAAGGTCGATTTTTTTGGTTTCAGAAGGTTTTGACGGCGGCTTAGGATTCGTTAAAATCCGAAAATTCGATTAGTTCGATTATCCGAAAAAAACGATTTTCCGAACACCCATGTCCCCCAATTAGTTCGGATAATCGGCGCTCCACTGTATATAATTGCATTAAAGTGAATCCAAGATAAAAAAAAAAAAGACTTAATCTGTGTAATGATATCAGTTGTAGGAATGTACTACTCTCTCGTATCGGAGTTTCTGCGATTAATGAACTGTCCTCATGTGTTTATATCAATATATCACTTGTCTAACTGGCTTCTAGAATGTACAAAACTTACAATTATAATTCGTATGCATATAAACGGATTGTACGACTTTTTTCCGACGATTGTTCAGTTTAAAATTCATACAAGAATTGCATGGGTTGGCATATGCACATTTATAGGTCTTATGGATACAATGGGGGTTTGTTATTTAAATTAATCCAAAAGGAATAAAAATAATAAATTATTTTATTGTTTTCTGGTGTGTAGATTTGTATAAGATTGATTAATGAAGTAATGTGGATGGCCAACTTGTACATGATGAGCGGTATACAACTTTTTATACGAGTAAGTATTGTAAATTAAAAAATTAGATAAATGTTTAGACTGTATTGTTACATTATCAGAGTTTGCTGTTATTTTATGGCTATGGAGTGGCGAGACTTAACGATGATATTCATTTCTTAAGTGGCTACAGACCGCTAAAATTCTGGCGATTTATTTGGTACCTTTATCCATTTATGCTCGCATTTTTATTACTGACATTAGTAATCAATGGTTGGAATAATCAGGAAGAAATTGATTTCATTGCAAATGATTTTCTAAGTCATCCGATAATGGATGGCTTTTGGTATGTTTGCTGTGGTATAAGCGCCCTCTGTATTTTTGGTTTATTTATTACATCATTTCTTTACGTTGTTCTGCAAATGCGTCAATCAATGGTTATTAATAGTTATATTTCTTTGAATTACTTTTATTGTGATACAATATTTTAGAAAATTACATTGATGACTCCATTGTTTCATTGGGGACCTAAAGACAGAGAACAACGAATTGCACGTAAAGCATTCACGCCTAGAGTGTCAATTAGATCACAAAAACCCAAGAAACAAAGGCAAAGATTCCGAGAACATTCTGTGCGGCAACAACATGAAGTTGAATTTGCACAAAAAATAAAACGTGGAAGGCTTTTCGTTGATAAGCAATTCTTTGCTAATCTTGGAGTAAGAAAGAGATCAAAAAGTAAAGAGATTAAAGGAAAACCACCGGTGATTGTCATACGACAAAATGAATTACATCCAGATGCATAAATACTTATGTAAAAGATTGATCCATTAACTGGGTTTTGAGAGCTTTCAAAAGCTCCGTGTTTTTGTTTCATGAGCCACCACCAGAGGCCTCTAAAGGTACAAATAACAGCGCCAGAACAACAAGGCGAGCTGATTATACAACTTGTACAACATTGAATACAGAGAGAAACACTTCAAAAGTTCCACGTGCATTGCAAACATGGAGCAACAACAAATACACATTCAAATTGAAAAGTCGGAAGCATTGTCAACACGTAAAAAATCAAATGTGCAACTATTACCTTTCAAAATTCATGCCGATTGCGAAGCAAAAGTGGAGCAATACTTCAACAACTTTGTACAAAAATCAGAAAACGGTTAGTTTAATGAAAATTCGGCGCCAAAACGCGTAACCTCAATTGTTTCGCCTTACAAAACAAAAGTTATTCATTTATTTCATATTACAGGACAGCTTAGCGGTTCATTTCGAGGATATCCATTAAAAGGTCAAACTATTGAAGTTCCCAAGGGATACAAAGGTGTGATATTTCATGAGAGTAAATGCATGCAAAAGGAGAGAAATTTATATGCTGTCAACAATTTTGATACCATTACATACTGGAACTGGTCAAAAATACCCAGCAAAAATGATGCAATAATGCAGGCACTTGACTGGATAGATATTGCTGAAGCTGTAAGCAAAATTTATAATTTTTAAATATTTTTAGTGCTAAATTACATTTTTTTCAGTTGCACTCTCCAATTAATGAAGAATGACATACAGTTTAGTTTTTAAATCATTGTTTTACCTTGAATGGGAGTATGGACAAGTCAACATCCCACTATGATTATTTATTTATTGAAATGCCTAATAACAAACTGTAAACTTTGGCTTTCAGGATTATAATATAACTTTTATAAAATAAATTAAAGTGTGATTACAATCATAAATAATGCCTACTACATTAATATAGATAATGACTAGATTACATTGTATGAATACCTTATTAAAATGCACAAAAAATGCTGTGTGTGGAGTTGATATTGATAAATATAAAGTTTGACATTCAATACACATAAAAATTGGCAAACTCAATCAGATTTACAAACTGATTAATAATTTAATTAAAATTAACATTATCACATTGGTGAATCAATAATTTATATAAATAAATTAGGAGATTGCAAAATGCATATCAATCAAAGTAAATAGTTATTTTTTTGGACTGATGTGAGAGTGAAATCTCACTTATTAGCAAATGTAATCAAAGTTTATATCCACTTGTTTGATGAATAGCAATATTAGTATTGCTAGAGTATCCTGTACTTTTCATGAGATCAAAAAATATTTCTGTTTGCATATTTGAGTTGATACTACACTTTCGTTATATGGCAGGTTTATAATCGTAAATGCGTGATGCGTCATATAGCATATCATAGTCGTATACATAAAACAATTCAGCAAGATTAACATAAATTACTTAAATTAAATGATAACCACAGAAATAGTTAAGTGACTTAATTGCTAGCAACATTACGATCGCCATCTTTGGCCGTATCGATCTGCCTCATGCGCTTCTGCTGCTGCTTGATAAAAGAGCTAAGCTTTTCCAAGAGGAATTGTTTATCGTGCCCCTCTAGCACGAGTTGGTTCTTGAGCACGACCACCATATGTCTGTTTGCCATTGTAACCGCCGTGTAGTAATACAATAAAAGCAAGAGCAAGATTAAAACAGGCACCGCAAAACCTGCAGTTGTCAAAAAACTAAAAATACTCTGTACCGGTGATGGTAACGTGTGGAAAGTATCTGTTACAATTTCCCATGCCGTGCTGACTCCACGGAACGGTCCGCATGACTTCGACGGCTGAAACTCCGCAATCGAGAATACAACCGGGAAGAAAGCGAAGAAGAATGACAGCAGCAACACCAGCATAAACATTGAATTCGACCGCGAGACGCGATACAATATCAAACTGGGTTGTGAGTTCACCAAACACGCAAACTTCTTGATGTGGAACATCAGAATAAAGATGACGGTGACCATCAACGGCAGAAAAGGTGCGTAGAATGAACCAAACCAGCAGACAGTCTGCAGGTAGATAACATCCAGCACATGTCGTGGCAGTTCAAATGATTGCGCGCCGACAAACTTTGCGCATTTGCTCTCAAACTTACCGATTCTCGACCGGATGAAATTCACAACGAACGTCATCACGATGTGATTCGCAAAATCGGTGAGCGCAAGTTTGTACATTTGTTGACCAACAAACGTCTCCCAACAGGGCATGTTTTGATGCAGTGAGCATTGATCATCGCTTCGTGTTCCATTAACTTTTACATAGATGGATACATAAAGTATACCCAAAGATGCAAGTCGCAGGACGATTGTGCGCAGTAGTGATAAGCGTACCTGAATTACAGGACTGTAGTTCTCGAACTGCGCTACGGTGTTGAACAGCAGTGGCACGGCCATGTTGAGGAAGACGATGACAATACTGGGAAGAAATTCATTCAACAGCCGCACGACATCGTCGTCAACGAAGAATAGACTTGTTTTTGACTCGTCTCGGTTGATTTTATCAGTGTTACTCGTAGAGTACTCGAAGACTATATAAATCAGGAAGCAGGCAGCTGCAAGTATGGTCAGCACAAGCATGTGAAACAAGCAGCGCATTATGATAATCTTAGTCTTTTCATCTCTCGTCCGGCTCTTCCGCTCCTCCTCCAATCTTTCACTTTCTAGACTACTCTTGATCTCTTTGAAGATCGCCTCGTGTTTCTTCGCTGCGGACTTTTGATTCTCAATGCAAAAGTCCCAACTTCCAAAGATCATGTTACAATACATGTAGAACTGACCTTCGCCTTCAACCAAGCGCTCTTTGAAGCCTTCAGACGCCGCTCGGACAATCGCAAACAACGTCAGCAGGAAGCAGACAACTGTTACCGCTACATACGCCAGCGGCATGTTGTAATAGAGTAAATTATCCTGTATAATATAATCGAATATGACGTTTGGATAATGCCCATAGAAGAACAGAGTCTTTTCCATTTCTCCGGTGCCTTGAAACAAGTCCTGGACGATGTTTGTATCGCTTGTTGTGTTAAAATAACTCGCTGAACAACATTCTGGCGAATTTGGTTGCTCGCCTGTTGCGCATTTCGTGGGATTTTCATATCCGAACAAAATCGTAGGCAGAATTACTACCAGAAAAAGCAACGTGAATGTGAATAAATTCAAGAATATCAACCATTTGATGAATAAGAAGTAGGAGACGACGCCCGTACCGAAATTACCTTCGATTGTCTTGAGCGTACCGCGCCACAGTTCCATTTTCTGATAAATATCCTGCATGCGCGTTTTGGTCTTCTCCCAGAATTTCCGCCGCTTCCATTTAAACTGTTCATAGCCTTGTAATCTAAGGCAGGAACCTACCTGTAGTTTTGCCTTGATTTCCTTCTTCTGAGACATAGGGATTGGCATTGCCTTGATCTCCTGAATTTCTAACCATGTTGTCTTCTCATTTGCACTGAACTCTGATAAGTCTGGCATCATTGAGAGTTGGACATCATTTGTTACAGACTGGCGTCTGATGGTTGCGGATTCTCTCCTCATGGTCGGCTGACGACGAAATGTTCGAGTGTCGGTTGTGTTGTTTCTCAAACGCATTGTTGCAGCAACTACACAAAATAAAATAATTAAAATTTAATTGTATTTTATATTGCCAAATATATTTTGTAAGTTATAATTGCAAAATAAACCTTCATACCTGCTCTAGTTTGTTTGCTTGGAAGTAGTGTAGTCAAATGATGAGGGTTGTGTTGCAACACATCAAAATCATTTGGATTGGTAGGATAACTCTCCTGATAGAATTCCACCCCTGCTTCCTCCCAGCCCTCAGATCTGTGGCCCTTTTTCTTGGCTCCGCCAGACATGTTGTTAATCCAGGTGTGTGACAATCTCAACTGAAAGGCGGATGTTGTTAATAATGAACTTATCTGCAGTGCCAAAAATTTCCGAAAACAATACTTACATTATCAGCAGATGCCGTTTTTGATAAGCTACGTTCATTGTGGTCTGAGATGAATCACCGCTACGATTGAAGGTGACCGCGCGTATTGTTTTGATAAGTTGGTATCTTTTAATCCGCGGAATCATAACTTAACTTCACCTGACTCGTGAATCAACAACACCGGCGCCATTTCGATCGGCTGTGCTGCTTGTCAGTGTGGTCAGTGTCATTCGTCACGCTGTCAGCGTTGCACTCTGTCGCACTAATCATTCTTCTTGAGTTGGGTGGGTAAAACGCTGCAACCCTCCTTACACTGATCGCGCCCACCTTCAACAAGGATGTTTAATATTAAACAAATGCAAACAAAGATAAAACCGGGACAATTTAACGACTACAGTAGTAAAATACTTAAAAGATTAAAGTGTTTAAAACCATATATCAGTTGAATATTTAGGTACATTTTCATTAAAACATGAAGTTTAAATAATACTCCGCAGAGAATTTTTGACAGCCCGGCTCCTTCACCTGCATTACACTCTTTTATTTTAAATTTTACTTCAATTTTATTTAAGAATTTAAACAATTTTAACTTAAGAACTTCCAAAGGTTATTCTAATTTCCTATGAACAATTCATTCTACAAATAGAAATTGTTGAATAGTTTATAATTAACCATGTCCATAACATACATACACAGCAGAAATGAATGTAAAACTAAACGTCGATCACAATATACCCTCGCAATAAATGAAAATGAAGTGGTTACAAATCATAGCCCTATTACAATCTACACATTGTTCAAATCTGTACAGACAACACCAAGAAGAGTAGTACGGACTTCTAATCAGGTAATGAAAGATAAAATCCATCATTCTGTAACAGCTTATGTTCACACGTGAGCGTGCATGTGCATCACATCGTGATAATACGTAGTTAACACGCAATCGCACCCATATTAGCCTAATTTGGCAAACAGTTTCCCTCTGCCAATCAAAATGGCCGCATCAGTCATTATACAAAATATGTCATGCAAATAGCAAATGGACGAATTTCTTCATTATCATTTCAATGTTATAACGTGAACTAGACGATTTCATCATATCATACATTAAATTCTTACGCCTAGCTTATATAATCAATATTTATAATGTAGGTTCTTCACTTAATAATCTCATAATTATGAATGTATCACATGCGCAAATAATGTATTTATGTACAGTGTGAAATACATAAAATAGTTTATGTTTAAAATCAAAATGCGTCGCTTGAGCAAATAATATACAAGAATTAGTCAGCTTATCGGTAAAGTGTAATGAAAATTTCGTTACCCGACGCCAGCGAGGGTGGCATCAGTATTTGTTCTGTTCTTATATAAAAATATCCTTAAAAGCTACCAACTTTATACTCAGTTTCATAATTGATTCTAGAAAGACACACGGTTTGAGAGGAAACCATCCAACAAGTGAAAATCAAGTAGCAACGGTTTCGTTAGAAAATTGGCAAGGACGAGCGAAGTTTTGTTCAATCCGTTTGCTCGTGAACAATTACACACACGGTGGCAAACAGACTTATTGAACTAGTTCAACAATAATGTGCTGGTGAAGACACACACGTTTTTCTTATAAACACGTATTGGTAACAAACACAACTCTCATGATTATGATAAATATATAATTTCTACATTAATTTTGCGTATCGATGTCGTTGATAGTTCTATAAAATATCAATAAATACGATTGATTGCGTTATCTACGTCTGGAATGTTGTGCCTTTCTACTAATCCGGTAGATAATATTTAATTTCCAGGTATATTGTACTTGAATTTGAAATGATTTAAAATTTATCTCGATGCTTTTCATATATGGCAATAATTTCGTTCGCTAAACTCTTATCACTTCCTAAACAACACACACTTCTTCTGCGCCTTAATCCTGCTTACTAACACTATCATGAAACAATGTGGACTAGATTGCCGCGAGTTTCCTCAATTGACCATTTGATACTTCTATGTTTGTTACATATCTCTAACATTGCCACAACATTATTACTCATGATGGATTGCAATGAAATCTCTCAGAATTTGCACTAATCTCCGCTAGTTACGCGTGTCTAGGTGTGAATGTTGTTGTTCTTGACACGCGCGTCGTCATAGTTGCTTATCTCTAGGCTACTGAGGCTACTCAATGACGTGTAGGAGTTGTTGACAATGTGCGGCGCCTCGTTGAACTCATCTAACTCCTCTGTATCGGCAGCTGACATACCCGCTAACAGGAAATATTGTTCCGAACGAGTAGGCCAAAGCAAATGTGCCATCACACAGTATGCCACACAGTCGGCCGAGTAAGTAATACCCAGCAGCAGCTTAAAACGCCACAACGCTGACACGTGCAGCGCAATCAGCGCCAAAATCGGCAGATAGATGAACCACACAAGGCTGGAGGCACCAAAGTGCAGCAGAAAGTTGAGCTTCTGTGTATTGTGCTCGTACAACATCGTCGTGCGCAGTTCGTACAAAAACCAAATCATTATTAGCGATCGAAACACAATCATTAACCAGCCCGGCCATGTTTGATACTCGTCAATGTCTTCTATTATGTCTACTTCAGTCTGTAAACAAAGAAAATATATAATAGCATAAAAGAAATAGCATTTGACTTATAAATAAAGTAATTACGGAGTAAAAATTTCTCCACTGTATTTAATAACACTAACTCGTATCGTTTGCTTAGCAATGCGTAACGTGTTTTCTTCCATTTACTTAATTATACGCTTGACTGACATTAATAAACACCGCATAACAAACGCGCACGGAAAGAATAATTAAAGTAAATGAAAATATAGATAACGCGGAAAAAACGTAAACGTCTGCTTTAACCGGGAGTGAAAATTATGATAATGAATTCATATTTAAATACTAACCAAATTCCATACGTAGAGTAGAATGTGAACCACGCCGTAGCACAACCAAATTGCAAATACCAGTGGTTTCCATGTTAGTTCTAATCTTGTAACAGCCCATCCTTTTGCCAAAAGTAACAAAAGTAACATGAATGAAGTCTGAAACAATCAAAACTATTATTTTTTAACTTTTTAATCAAAAAATAAAACTTACTCTTGCTAAAATATCAAATATGTCGCCTGCCATAGCCAGTTTCGGATATCCCATTCCATCTAAAGAAAACTTCAGTGTGTGGATCATGATGAGACATAATGCAATAAAGTCCAATAGAAGACTAGCAGTAAACAGCTTGGTGACAGGATGTTTTTGTATTCTGACTGCATACAATTGCAGCGGTACCAGTACCATGTAGCACAACCAGAACAAAAAGTATAATTCAAGTGTGTTTTGTCTATCAAATGAAAATTGATAGGATAGTGTGCTGAATGATGATATATTTGGATTGCCATTAACCAGCCAGAGATCATATTCCAACTCATAGTCATTGCCCATATCATAGTGGTTCCATTCACAGGTTGTTTTATTCCTGTAGCATGCCACAAAAGACACATACCAGAATGATGGCTGTTTTAGATCTTGTATCACATAGGTCAACTGATAATCCTTGACTACATTCCAGGCAGAATCCTCATCCACACATCTCTTGCCTTTTGGACATGGCACTTGTCTAAGATAATCATTGCCATTTGGTGAGCATTTTGGGTCAAATGCTTTGGTCTTTAGCTGTGCAAACATTCGCTTGCATGCTTCTGATTTGTCATATAATACATGATTTTGATAGTAGTCCAGAAAATATGATCTGTCTAATACTGCAAATGTAACTGGCACTGGGAAGTGTTGATTTGACGTAATATTGCCGAAAATATATCCGTGGGTGTTTTCTCGAAGGTGTAGGTCGGTCTTCTGGAATCCGAACTTGACGAGGAACTTGAAGAAGTCGTTACTGCGAAATTTGCCTTTCAGATGTGTGGTGTGATTCGGGCAGAAGCACAGCGTCAATAGGTAAAACGCGAAGAACCAGCGATGCGTATGCATCTTGTGTGCCAAAATCTGTTTTTCATAGATGTTTGTATGGCGGCAGGTTATGTGCTTCTGCCAGGGAGCGATTGCTTTCTCCCCTTTCACCACAAGCCACTGCACAACAACTGCAAAGTGTACAACACCAGCAGAAAACACAGCCGTGTACAACACTACGAGCTCACTGGCTACTTCCAACACGACCAGGCACGAACTGTACACGAACACAATCGAATGCAATGTGTAATCCTAAGCGTGTTTATCTTGAACGAATATAAACGAAAAGATACGATACATTAGCGTCGCAATTATATAAAAGTGAAAATCGCGAAATAATCGCAAACTTCATAGTGATACCTTGATTAAAGTTGATCAAGTTAAACTAGTGCAAAGTAATTGGCCAACAGAGAATTTTGCATGGCAATGAACCGTGCAGCGAACAATGCTGACTTTATTAACTCCGCAACGAATGCTATATAGTGCAGAGATCTGATAAGTTTCAGTTGGGGATCATTATTTTTAGATTAATTTTTTTATCATTCATTGCAGAACAAAAACTGTCCTTGTGTGTGTCCATTCATAGCAAAATTGCGCACATTATCATTACATTGATTACATCATAGAAAAGTAGCATATATGTTGGTATAGTAGTAATCTATGAACTTGTTTCAAAAAAAATACCAAATAAACTTATTATTTAACGTCTAAAACGGTTTTTATAGTCATCATAACTAAAATACTAAAAAAATAATCATTTTTATCAGCAGGTTTGAGGACAAAACAGCAAAATTGTTTTCACTTTAAAAACTATTCTATGACATTTGTTGACTTGAATAAATGCACAAATAAAGTTTAATTTCTTTATATTTATTGTTGAATAATAAATACTATCTGTCTTCAATTCTAAACAAAACGCTTTACATTCAAAGTAAAATATTCTACAATGGGTATAAAAACAATTCAAAATGATCAGTTATTAAATTTAATTTATCGCAACTGCAAACTGGAATGTCACCACCTACAGCAGCTAGAATTATTTATGTAGAACTTGTAAATTCGTAAAAATAAAAATTAATATTTCCTATAATACAATTACACAAACGATACTTTTATACAAAAATTTTCAATTGTTTCTCAATTGCGCGTGCGCACGTTAATTCATTAATATTGACAAGTTCTTTGCGTGTGTGTTTCTGTGTGAATTTGTTACAAAGTCAACCAAAAAACGTAATTATTTCCACGGCGTGTATATAAATAAGTTGTCTTTGAGGTAATAAAATAATTAATAAAACAGGATAATCAGGATACGATCTTAAAACTTAAATGTGTTGACATAGGTAGAATAATACAAATGCAGCATGTAAAAAATAGGTCTTGCACGATTTGTGTGTGAACATAATTAAATTGTAAATCCGAAGCGCGGCGAGTCTGACTGTCGTGTGAATACAAACCGAGTACGAATACGAAACTTACTATCAGCCGGCTCGCGTGCTCAGCTTCTTGAGCACATTAATGCCCTGCTCTTCGTACTCGTGCTTCCACAGCCAGAACTCGTCGCGGTCCTTCATCACCTCGGCCAGTACAGCACCGCCGATGAAAACCATGTCTTTACGTCTCGGTGGGTCCTCAATTCGAATTTTAAACTTGTTCAGTTTATCAATATCGTTCTTAAGCACACGCTCCAGATATAATTGTTTAATTTCGCGCTCCAAACGCGATGGTAAACCTGGATACATCGTTGATCCACCCGATAGCACAATGTGTTTGTAAAGTTCTGATCGCATATCAATATCTGCAGCCTAAAAATTAATATTTTTTTATAATTTATAGCTCAAACTAAAGAAATATTAACAAATGCTTACTTGAATTGTTGAAAATACAAGCTCGGCAATACCCTGCCCTTCGACGTTGATCAGATGCGGTTGGAATAGCGCCTCAGGCGCTTCGAATCGCTCACCGCCTACTTTGATGACTCTACCGTCGGGTAATGTGTATGGCTCGACGAGGACAGTCGTCTGTAGTGCCAGCCGCTGTTCAGTCTCGATATCGTAGCCGATGTAGCACAGCTTTTCTTTCATCATGCGCACAGTCTCGAAATCGGCGGAGTGGTTGAAGGCGTAGCCTCTGAGCAATAGTAACTTAATTAGGTAACGTGTGATATCGCGGCCGGCGATGTCCAAGCGGCGTGTCAAATGTGGCAAGGCGTATTCTTCATATACGGGGCAAATGTGAGTTACACCATCGCCGGAATCCACCACAACACCAGATAATAAACCCTAATATTAAAAACATCAATAGTTAAGTTTTAACTAGAATTATTTAAATAATACCTGTGCATATAATGTAAGCACTGCTTGTATTGCAATGTAACTTCCGGCGAATCCGTACGTTTCAAACATGACTTCAATCATCCTCTCTCGATTTTTGACTGGATTCATTGGTGGTTCCGTTAATAAAATCTAAAAAATCACCAATTCAATAAAAACTTGTCAATAGAATACAAATTTGAAGTTTTATACTTTTGTTTCACTAGGAACTAAGTCCATCTTCTTGGGACCAAACGTATAATCCCAAACGTGACCCATATCATCCCAATTCCGTACGACGCCATTCTCCATAGGATAATTCACTTCTAGGAGCGATCTTAAAGCTGAAGCTTCATCACCAACCATCAAGTCCTATAGCACAAAATGATCTTAATAAACATAAAAATCACTGATTTACTAGAAAAATAAATATTAATATTGTGAGATGCTTGGAAAAAGTTGAAAACATTTGGGTTACTTACAGGAAGCGTACTTGCCACTCCCTTTATGCATGAAAAATTCAAATTCATAGTCACATTAGCAACATTAGTATGTGAATTAATCAAACAAAACAACACTACTAATATTAATACTACAACAAATTAAAGGTTTATTCAAAATGTTAATTACTTTTTTAAGTTTAATGCAGACACACTCAAAACAAATCTTACAGAAAAATAATTCTTACTTCAACATGTAAACCCTACAAAATTTAAAAAGATTTAATTAACTTTTAAATGACTAGACTTAATAACAACTTAAATACTATTACAAAGATAAGAATTGAAGTTGTACCATTATCAGTATTATCAGAAATAAAATATGAGAGTATGAAATGAGGAAAGAGCAGAAAAGATAAGGCTCTGTATGCTTACTTTGACTTCAATGTCTCCAATTTTGTTCACAGCCCTAATGATGGGTCTGCCCACCATTGACGGGAAGATGTGTGCTGGGAAATTGCTGCCGGCATATCCGCACTTCACAAACTGCAAACGAATAAATATCCAAATGCAATAAATTCCAGTTGGGGCTAGTTAAGTTGCTTCGATAAACATCACCGGAAGGTTATGTTTATTAAAGAGTTTTCCCACGGTGTGTGGTGTTGTACTTACGCCGGTGCCGTTATCACACACTATTACTTTCCTCCCCTGACTATCCATTGTCTATGAATTATTAATTATTTGTTGCCTAAACACTAATAAACGTTGTCTTATTCGGTACTTTTGCTATGATTCACTAAACTAAAACAGCCCATACCACACCTAAAGCAAACTCCGGTGGATATGGAATCGCTGTCAAACGCGTTTATGTCAATGTCAAAAACATTATGCTACAATAATATTTAGAAGTATTTATTTTAAACGAACAACTTGAATATCTAACTATTAAAATAAAGCTTAATAAATTAAAATGTTTTATTTTACAATATTTGAATGTAATTAGTAAGTTAGTATTCTTAATTTTAAATTCAAAAATCATTTTATTTATTGCGCATGCGCGCATATGCATTCTGTTCTGCACTCTTTACGCTGACATTTGCGAAATTTAATACACCACAATCACAATTATTCATTGTGAATTGAGTGTAATCTCTGTATCACATTCTACGAATCCTCCCGTCTCAACAAAATCATGTGTCCCGACCGTCCCGATTAAACACAACGGATTATTCACCTCAAATCAGTGTTTTGTGCTCGCAAATAAATATTATCAGTTATTATTTGCACTTAACCTATACAAGCTTTGTCTGACAGCAAGATACGCATTTGCAATCGGTGTTTTTAAGCGGATGCAAGGAAGAAAACAGTGCAGTGTTTACCATTCAATGAGAGTATGTACGCGGTAGAATGAGCGATAATGAATTTGTCGCTCAGCGATAGCACCGGAGCGCGTCAGCGATGCCGGCAATGGACGCCCCTTATCACCCAACAGGTATGTTTACTTAAAGTTTTTATAAATTTTAGGTAAAAACTGATTTGCATTTTTTTGCAGCTGAGATTGAGACATCTGTACCGGATTATTGCGTATAATCTGGCAAACAGTAACACGACAGATGGATTTCACTATACATTGCATTCGACTGCGATGTCGGCGCCTTTTTATACCAGTGAAGTGATATGCAATTCTAATCCAAAATGGGGAGAAATTGATTTGAATGATTTGCCAATACTTGCATGCACAGGTAAATAAATATAAAGGTCATCTACACAAAAACAAAAAGTAATTTGGTTGTTATTCACTCAATAATTGTTTATTACTCATCAGTATTTTAATTTTATGTATTATCTTATCAAATATTTCCCAATGTTTTTGCCGGAATACATATATTAACAATGCCTGCCTAGGTTTTGTCCTGAGGATATGGCAATCATCAGAAATTCAAATCACCTGGGGAATCCACCTCTCCGGCTTGGTTTTCCTCGGCAACACGCTTTCGGACATCCGCCCGGAGCTTTTCCTCCCGAATACTGTGATATTCCACATGCGCGGCGGTTTCTTCACGAGCTGCAAGCAGTTGAAGTCAGATCTGTCCCGCCCGCTGCCCTGCATAGACTCGCTCAACCTGCTGAGCACCGAAAGCGACACCAAAGTGTATAAATTAGCGCGCATTAAAATGCCACTCACCGAAATACGCAATTCATATTCACTCGCCAAGCTTAAACAACTACAGGCGATGCAGATTAGTATACGCAATCGAAATTTGAACGTCTACGCAGTACGCGAGAAAATCAACGCTAGGTTGAACCCTGCTGTGCCGAAACACGAAGCGCATGCGCCTGAAACTAGTGGAAATGTCCGATACGAACCGCAATTGTTAACGATGACACATTTAAATAAAATGTTACAGGTATAGATCAATAATATTTTATAATAACAGATATGGAATTTAAAGAGTTTTATTTTTAGGATAAACCAACAAGAGTTCAACGTAGTGAGATAATAAAACTGCAGAAAGAAATTGAAGTATCACGTTTGAAAAATAGGATACTCCAACAAGAACGTGATAGAAAAAGTGGAGAGTTGAGACTGTGTAAAGAAAAGTTCAACAACCAATGTGATGAAAACGAGGAACGAAGTATGTATTATTAATTTTTAAAACTTTACAAAAAATAAATGTAATTTTTGTAAGGTTCCCAATTAATGGAAGACTATAGACATCTAAGCAAAGAAATCGAAAAACTCCGCGAATGGAAAAAGGAGTATATACACCAAAGAGAACTGCTGCAACAACTGACGAAAAAATTACAAGCCAGACGTCGACAACTAATGTCCGAATTGTTGCAAGTCTATCCAATAACCAACTCGAAAGAGAAATATTATATCAACGGTATTGAGCTGCCCCACTCGGATGTGCTCGTCGACAGCTCCGAGGCCAGTTTATCGGTGGCGCTTGGTTACTGCAGTCATTTGCTGATAATGTGCGCGTCGTTTCTGCAAATACCACTGCGATATCCGATCCGTCACTTTGGATCACGGTCTGTTATCGAGGACCACGTGTCGCCTTATAATGATAAACACAAAGAGTAATCATATTTATTATGTTTATGAATGTTTTTATTACTTATGTTTGTTTATTTGTAGATTTCCGCTGTATTCTCGTGGAAAGGATCGTATTCTCTTCAATAATGCAGTGTACCTGTTGAATAAAAACATTGCGCAATATCTGCACGCGCTGGGTTTTAAACCGCAGGTGTTGCATACCACATTGCCTAACCTTTTGCTTCTTCTACAAGCGAAGGATCAGCGAGTGTCTGGTAGTGATGTGGAATCATGCGCGGGTAGTCCACCTGAGGAAGCGGTTAAAAAAGTATTGCAGCATAGAGGTAGTCAGGAGAATATGTTGAGGCCGTTTCCGAATCGGCCGCATCATGCCCCCGATCCCATTTTGGATAGTATAAGACATGAGGCACAGATGCAACGTGCGCATAGTCCGAAACGACGCCCGCCGAGAAGTAAAAATGCGCAGAATCCGGGTCTTAGTCAAATCTTAGCCATTCCGGAAGCTGTTCTCAATAAGCAGATGAGTGGCAGCACTTTTCTCACTTACATGCGGGGCGATTTATCGCAGTTGGATCAGCCTAGTACAAGCAACAATAGTGGTACGTCGAAATTTAATTAAATTTATCGTGTTTCTTAGTTTAGTTGTACTTTTAGATAGTGAATGTTCGACGAAATTAACAAACTGTGATATAAAAAAACAACCAAGCATTGAAGAAGGCACCGAGATGATTCCAAGCAGCAACATGCTAAAACTTGCCTCAAGTGCCCCGCAAACAACTGCAACACTTGCGAATCAAAGTGAAAATGACAATTTTGAGAGACGTCTGAGTCGATCAGTTGGCTCGTTTGATGAAGATAAAATCAACACTACTCCGAAACATTTACTGGATTCGACCAGCTCTGATCCGATGATTAATGTCTCAATTGAAACGAACAATAGCCACGATGTACATTCTAATGCCACCCCGAATAAAGCGACATCTCAGTATGAGATCCAGAAGTGGATCGACAGCGGGCCCAATATGTTGGTGCAGTCTGAAGAGAATTTATACCCTGATGAATTTCTAGGCAGGACTGTGGAACAATCTACTGATGGCACGCATGGGCACTTGACCTTGCGCACTGATGCGCTTGTGCAACGCAAATCTTTTAATTTGGTCAAACCGAAGTTTTAATCTATTATATTTAAATTCTTAACTGTTATTATTGATGCAAGAAAGCAGGAATGAGAGAATTGATTTGAAGTGTAATCATATTTATTTATTTACATGCAGCCGCAGGAAAAGGGATGGAATATCAGAAGTAGTTCGAACAAATACGGATGACATATTGAGTAGATCTTTAATTCTTGCAAAAACATGTGTAACATAAGAGACTATGAGTATGTGCAAGTGAAATAAATAATATTGTTGAATAAATAAGAGTATATTATGGATTAATGTGTTTGGAAATCTGTATATTTAAAAAGAAAATTGTTTTTTAGATTCTAAAAGTGACAGCGAAAGCGTGTTTAAAAATTGTGTATATTGGGTTGCCTATAACAAATAAATTATTTTTAGCTACACAAAAACTTCGGTAAATAGAAAAATAATAAATAAATAAATAATTTTATCAAAGTTCTCAATGTTCACAATAATATTAAATTTTACAGTTTTTTTTTTCTATTATTAAAAGTAAAACTTAGTAAAATAAGTCTTTTAACTAATAAAATGGCTAAAATTACTAAACTTAATGAGATGTGCTATATGTTGTTCGCATTTATGACCAAAAAATAAATAAACATGAAATAAACAAGAAATACACATGAATTTGCAATAAAACACGTAATTTTAATGATAATTTAGTAATCACAATCTAACTAGAACCTAACCGACCTGCTTATGAATGAATGAACGTAAAAAAATGAACGAATTTAAAAGTTTTGTCCTTGCAGGTAAATATTTGATACAAGTTATTAAAACCAAGAAGATAATAATTCATGAATGGTCTATAACTTTGGTACTCTATCATAAATTGAAAACCAGCATATACATGGTTATCCTTATCGCAGTTATCGCGGCCCGTTTAGCGCGTTTCGCTTGCCGATTCAGTGGGAATCGGTTAATGCAAAGGACGCGCCTGCGCCGAACGCATCTCGGCGATGGAGGGGCATTTTAAGAATGAATAACGATTCGGCAACAGCGTCCGCCGCGTTCGTTCAGCAAAACGCGCACTCCACAGGCTGATTGTGAACCGTGTTGGCGCCGGAGGTAGACGAACGAGGAGCGGAGCGGCGCTGAACGCGGCGTGTGTGGAGAACTGCGGATCCATCTCTCGCCTCATCGGCATTGCGCGCCGTGCGCCAGAGCGAGCACGCAGCGCGACGACGACGAGCGCCGAGAACTGGCCCGACCGACGTTTCGCCAGTGAACGAGCGCCGACGAGCCGACCGATTCGCTGACCGAACATAACCGTAGTTTTTAGTGTCGCGCTTCAGTTCAATGAAAATTATCATCGCGGTCTAGTTGGTTTGATGTTGTTGCTGAAAAATGGTGGTGTTAACCAGAAGCGGGACCGTCTGTAGATTCTACTTAAAGACAAACCATGACCGATACTTCTGAAGAGTGAGTAGACTTTTCCTATGTTCTCTCTGCGCGCCCAAGCCCACAAGCGACACCACAGACACTCAACTTACACCAGCCCGAGATGGCATTCACGTCTAATTCGTACAAACCAGCATAAAACAGCTCAATTAAACTCAACAACCACAAAACAATAATCATAACTTAATCAGTTACCATGTCTACACCCTTAAAAAAACAATTGAAAACAAGTGCTGTAAACATTCAACTGCTTTATTTTTCACACAAAGCTAGTGTTTTCTTTCGCATTAGGGCTTTGACACCTTGACACTGTCCTGAGCCTAGAAAAACACCAGCTTTCTTTGAATGCCTTTGCATGTGCGAGTTGTGCGTTGGTGTGTGTAAGTTTAAAGCTCTATTTTCAATGACAACTTTCCTAGTCGCTGCTGGTCGCATTCATGCTTTTCAGACATACAGTGTGTCCGCAGCATAATCACCGGTGGTGGAAATGCGATCATTCATTTTCACACTATTCTAATCAATGGCGCTCATTCATGAATATACTTGTTACCCAATACAAGGTGATACAATACTTTTTTTTTCAAACATTCAATCTTATCAATTGTTAAATATTATTTCAAACGCATTCCAGCATAATTTAATCCTCGTCATAATGTCTCAATTGCACAAGTAATGAGTGACACATCAAAGTTGATTGTTTTAATGAATGAAACTCTAGATTGGTATGTGTGTGTTTGTGCGCACCGCATTCGATTATAATTGAATGAATGTGAATGATAATGCGCGCTCGATTTCGATAAGAATATACATTTTGTTTCGTGAATGCAAGGAACGCAATATCGATTGCACCTCCGCGCTTCATTCATGAAGGCGCAAGTAAGCGATGAAGAACGCACATGTTACCAGGTGTGTGCAACAGTCAAGTGCTTTATCGATGAGCTATACCTATGGGTAGATGGAGGCAGTCGATATTTTCGGGATGCAAATTTTCGCGATTGCATTCAAAACGGCCTGGGTGCTCGCAATCATATCGCGTAGCGTTGCTCTGGGTCCGCGCTTTGAAAAACAAGGTTGACCTATATTCGCCGCATGGTCGTGTGCACATCTCGTAGGCAGCGAGGTATCAACAATGGGAGTGTAAAAGTTTCATATAGGCTTCAATTATTATTTATTGTAGAGATTTTGTTATTATTTTTGTAATTTTTGGGGTAATTATGAGTTTGATATTTTTGACCAAAAGTTTAAGATTTTTCCCCATTTTTACGTATTTTTGCGGGAACATGTGAATGCTTATAATTTTAAGCACAAGAGTGAAAAAGTACTTTTGAGTACATTTGTTAGCTAGTTATAATAAAATTTGCAAAGTTTTTGCTATTTTTGGACATTTTGCTTGGGTTTTTACGTGAATTGCAAACATTTATCGAAAAATTTGGATGCGTATTGCTGTAATTTCAAGTTTTAGTATGGAAAATTACACTTTTGAGCACGTTTGTTAAATAATTACATCGAGAGCCACAAATTTTTTGTAATTTTTACAGGTTTTTGCTTTGTTTTTATCTAAGTTGACAACTTTTATGGGGAATTTTAAATGTGCAAGGTTACAATTTTAAGCCCTAGTTGTTAAAAAAAACCCATTTGAACATGTTTCCAATTGAATTTATCAAATATTGTTTTGTTTGCTTGATAATCAAACAAATAAAATCATTAAAATCACAGTTTTTGATGATTTGAAATAAATTTAATTTGATTAGTGTACATTTATTGTATTATACAATACAATACATTGTGGTAGATCATTTTGCAACAATGCGCTCGAACTACCAACGCAGTACGCGTACGCACCAGCACACTTGAAAATATCGAGTGCATTACACGCAGAAACGTGTCATTATATGTGAATACGGCGCGCACAGGAAGTGCATTTCCGTCCGATATATTAGTAATATGGCCGTCCTCTCTTCGCGGCGGTGGTAGTAAAATTTCGGTCCGCGTTGCTGCTGCTGGCTGGCTGGCTGGCTCTGCTCTTGCTCTCGCGGTGTGTGGAAACCAGCCAGACGAGAGATTCACCCGCACGCCGGCGACGAATCGCCTGACATAACACTTATTAGTCACACGAGGAAGCTGACAAAACGGCGGTTTACTCCACCGAAATAGTAGGCAAAAAGATGCTACGATGAGTATTTTTTTAGCACGCATCAAAGGCGCTCAACAACAGCCCACCCATCTGCTATCCTCGTATTCGCGTCGTGTTGCGATCAAAAGTTGTTCTTTTATCATCAGAGATTTTGCTTTTCTCGGTGTTGTGAGATTATTACCTCTCTTTCTTTTTCTTAAATCTTTCACTCTCGCTGTACATGTTGTCGCTGTGCACTGATGCAGTTTGCAACTCGTTCCAGCCTCCATTCAACGCTTATTGCTCTTTGTTTCAAATCGTATCGCGTTTCATTCATAATCGTTCCAGTCATTTGCTGGACATACAAAATATCCATACACTGCAATAACTTGTGATGTTTTTAATATTTTTATTTGTGTGTGTGTGTGTGTGTGTAGATTTAATGTTTTAATGACTAAAGTTCGATATCAGTCGTGCGCGCAGAGACCAACGCCATCAATGGCTACCGGAAACGCTTATCGCCGACTTCATTCATCAACATCAATCGCAATCGTTCATGTTCGCACCTTTATCGCGCACTACACACGCATTTATCTGCGTTCAGCGCTCATATTCAAGATCGTCACCTGGAAAAATCGAGCACCTTTTTTAGTCGCTTATCAAAATTGCAAGGTAATGATTACCTCATCAGCATCTAGTTATCAATGTTTGGGAATCAGTTGATTGTCGATCACATTCCTGCATGTCGCACAGGAAATTGACACTATTTACACGCTGATAACACGCGCAAACATTCCTAATGTTTTGATATTCAATAAATTGCGCGATTTTTTCGCTGGTTTGATTTTTATTGGAAAAATTATTTTAATGAATCAAGTTTGGTATGGTTGGTGCGCTCATTCATTCATATATTCGCGGCTCCCACTTCCCCCACCCCCCCTCGAATAAAACTTGAGCGTGCACTCGACGAAATTCGTCAAAGCGATCGAGGCAATTATTTTATTCATACACTTTTGATCATTGATCGTGACGATTTGATTGCGCACACGCGAAATAGTTGGAAACATCAAATTGAATCGCACTCGCGCGCTCATGTAAATAAATTGGAATCGTGCGGTGAATGAAACACCTTTTCTAGCTACCTAGAAGTGTCTAGTTGCCTAGAAGAAAACTAGTTGTGATTCGTAAGAGTCATTTCCGTCATTTCCAGATGAAATCTTTTAATCTCCTCTCATTCATGTCGTAAATTTCAGTGAGGATTATTCTTTTTGGTTGATAAAAATGTGCACTAGTAATGTATGAATGTAATATGATTAGATTGATGGCGCGCTGAGGCCGATTCGGGTGGCGATGGCGCGCACATGTAGTGAAAATGTTTTCATTCATCGAACGGCTGGGGAATCGTGTCGCGCCCGGCCCCGGGAGCGGCAAGTTCGTTCACGAATCTCTCTCGCGGCGCGATTCCAGTTTCATGGTGCTGTGCTGCACACCAACAGAGCACCAGCAGCAGAGGCCGCCCGCCGCCGCTAAAAATAGCCGCACACCATCCTCCTGGCCTGGCGTAATAATATATCCGCAGGACGCGTGGCCGCGTGTACGTGCACGCCGGTGGCGGGTGGTTTGCGTGCGGCGTGTGTGGGTGTGTTGGTGCGCGGCGCGCGTGCCGCTGACCCAATTTCAGCTGTTTTCCCCGGGTTGTTACCCTTTTGCAGTCGCCCCATTCATGTCGCGGAACTGGGTCACGGAATGCAGCTTGGGGTTCTGTTTACCTCCGCCCCACCACGGCGACGCGCCGCCGCCGCCGCCGCACGTTGCCGCGCGCGGCCCACCATTGGGAAATTCGAACGCGCTGCCTCGGCGAGCGCCAACCGGCGCGCCCGCTTGCCGCCGTCGTCACCGCTGACGTCATCGCGCCGACCCGCCGCACGCCGCCGACCGACCGACCGACCGACTAAACGACTGGTGCTTTACACGTGGCCTACTTGATGATTATGCCGAAGTCGTGTTTATTGATGTTTCGCCGCTTTTCCTCCTAGCCTATATTTTCATCAATGCATGTGCGGGTACAATGTATGCGAGACTTTGTTTAAACAATTTCATCAAACTCGCGAAAATTTTCTCATTATTTTAACGTCGCTAGCGATGCAAACAATCGACATTACTTATATTCACTTTCATCAACTAGTTGTGGGGTTGCAATATTTTTAGAAACAAATTTCTCTAAAATTTTGTTGTTTATTGATGGCAAAAATAGATATTTTGTTGAAAATGTGATTCGAAGACGATTTCGTTTGAGTTGAAATGTGTGGAATCCTCTGGCGGGTGGAAATTCTGCAAACGCTCTGTGCGAAACAGCGCTTCTATTTTTAGCCCACCGAGGCGACCCAATTACGCTAGGGTTGTCGCCCTTATCGGCCATTCATGCCTGCATATAGGTCATGCCTGTCGTTTCGGCCTGCCTCTACCCCCGGACGGGCTCGCGAGTTTCGTTCATGCCCGCATTTAGATCCCACCTTATGACGTCAATGAACGCCTGGGATATATTCGTCCCGTGCCTCCCGGTGGTGGCACGGACCCCCGGATCCTTCATCCTGGATGCCCTCGCCTGGAACGCGCCGCGCGCGCCTAGGCGCTAAATTCGGCAAATTGGCCTCTGCCTGCACTAGCGGCAGAGTGTTTGTGTTCCACTTTGTTATAAATTCGACAAAGCGCCGCGGATAAGATACTTGGATGCAATAATGAGCTTTGTCGAGCGGCGACGACGAGAGGACCTGCTTAAATTGAATGACGTCTTTTTTCCCTGGCACATCTTGAGTGTGGATATATTGATCAAGTTCATCCGCGCGATGATGTGACACACACGAAATGACGATTGTGCTCGTCTTAATTCGCGTTAATTGGCGTTAATTGCCCATCGGACCAAAGGGGACGATTAATTGCTATGTGCGTGAGGACTGGCATTTTAATTAATTAACTAGCTGATAGTGTAAATTGTGCGTTGTTGTTGTGTTTTTTTTTTCGCTCTGCCGTATTTGCTTATAAAATTATGAAAGTGCCACTCCCATGCGTTCGTTTTTATCGTAATTTTGCTAATTCGCTAATTGCGATTATTGGAAAGGTCTAAAAATAAGTTTATTTATGTGTGATAATGTTTTTAAATTGCACACTGGCGCTGCAACATGTTTTAGAAATCAAAATATTTAATTTAGCAGGAAGAGATGATTCAGATTCATATCCTGGAAATTTTTGCGGTTAATTTCGGAGTTGTATAAACACAACCGGACTTGATTTTTAATTTTTATCGTGGAAAGCATATAAAAAATGTCACAAAAATGTTGCTTTCCTCCGACAATATCCTGTTTAATGTTTGAATTATACGTTTTTTTCGGAATTTTCTATTTTATACATGTTGATTCAGTATTATCGCGACGTGAGGGTTGTGCTCTTACGAGTCGGATTCATTTATGACGGCTAAATACAACCGGATGAGGGAATATTTTTATTTCCGCTCTTTTTGTACACAATCCAATTGAATGCTGCGTGGTAGTTTCGTCATGCACAGGCAATATGCGCTTCCTCATTGGAAGTACCAATCATCGTGCGTTCTTAGAACGGATTATTCTTGTATTTATTATTTCTATTATGGTGAATGCACATAACACAAACTTTTAGTACGCCGTATGCCGTGTGAACGCTTCACAATACAAAATTGCGAACTGAATAATTGTGCTGCGTTTCTGATTACCGGATGAATCAAAAGTCGCGCAATTAAACCAAAGCTCTAAATATGGTATTCTCCATATACGCACGTAATGACAATAGATTTATTTGCGCTTACATATTGTGTAAAAATGCGCGTGAGTAATGAATGAATTCACGTCGAGTTTGCAAACTGACATTTTAGCGCACGTCGCGTGATGTTCATTCATTAAAGACCACCGCCATGACGGGCGGCACTGTCAACACAAAATAAGTTGCACATGAAGGTTAATATTTATTTAATAGCAAATCATATTTGCATTTTAAGTGCTCTTGTCGACGTAAAACACATGAAATTTACTTGAATGAGAGATAATTATCTGTTTACACACAGACTTAGTGGTTATTTCTTATTTTTTAACAACAATTACAATTTACTTGAATGGGTGAATACAAAAAAAAACTTACACGATTACCATTCACATGAAATATACAATTATTATTACCTACATTCTCATGAGATTTTTTCCTTCTTATTCTTTGAATTCTACGAAATGAAAATTTAAATTGTAAAAGCTCGCTTTGTTCAAATTGATATTTATATAATCCGCGTGTTCATTTCATTGTGGGATTGCGTGCGATTCAGTAAAACGCAGCAGTAGCATCACCATTATCAACTTGAATCCATAACCGATTGATAAACTCGGAGCGCGCGGGCGAGCGCGCTGCAAGTTCGGTGTCGGATCGGCCGTTGAACTTCCACCCAGTTACCTACAAATCCTGGCTCACGTGCACCAGGAACAGGGAAAACTGTGGTGGTGGCGGCGGCAGCGTGGATCGAGGTGGGGGAAAACTGGAACGAACGACGCGCTTTCATGAAACGGGACGCGAAATGTATGAACGGCACGCGCGCGCGTGCGACCACTGCTGACCTCGGTCGGGGGTGGGAAAAGGATGGCACCGGGGGGTGTGCGCCGCGCGATGACGTCAATAATGCGTCGGCTGTACACGTACATCCACAACCTGCTGATTGCGAATATAGCGAAATGTTGCTTTTTCTAAACTATGTCAATGCATAACATAATATAACAAATAACAATGTAAATTTCAACTTAATTTTTAAAACAAGAAAAAACTTGTTTATGTTTACTATTATTATAGTTAATTATATGTAATGTAATTTTTTATGATTACTATTAGTATTTCTATGATTATTTATGAGTTTTTTCTTCTTTTGCAGTGGCAATTACCTCGTGCGTGTACGTGCGCAGGTGATGTCGCGGGATGACAGCTCCGGCGGTTGGGTACCGCTCGGCGGCGGCGGCCTGAGCAACGTTTCGGTGCGAAAACGACCGCGCGTCTCGTCGTTGACGCAGGGCCCCGAGTCCTCGAAGCAAAAGCACGACTATCTCATCCACGGAATGCGGATCAGCGACGAATGCCAGGTGCTGGCGTGCACGATCAAGAAGGACTTTGTCTACAACAAGGTGATGCCCACCTTTCACCACTGGAAGACCGAGGACAAGAAGTTTGGCCTCACCTTTCAGACCGCCGCCGACGCGCGCGCCTTCGACAAAGGCGTACGCAGCGCTGTGGAGGAACTGCTGGACGGTAAGTTGAAGTCCTTAATTTTACCACCATCCACCACGAAAGCATCCTCATTCATGCGTGTTTTATGTTTTGAATAATTTAGTCAAGTGACTGAATGCGTGTGCGTTTTTTTTTTTAACTCGAAATATCGAATTAGATGAGAATGTGATATTAATAGAAGTCGGTAACTATTTCGAGCGCGATGCCCTTCATTTCTTACGCATCTCCACGGCCTGAGCTAACTCAAAACACTTGTCTTCCCATTCAGTGATTCACTCATCAATCAATATAGCGCCCACTCTCCCGCTCGCTTTCAACGCTCTCAACTCCGAATGGCATCGTTCATTCATTGATTAGTATTAGGTGTTATTAATTATTCTTATATGCTCTATTTGTAATTTTTTCACTGCTTTCTTAAACAATACGGATTTTCTCCATGGTGAGTATTTTATTCGGCCGACTGCTACGTTTCGATGTAAAATTCTACCTCCGCACAAATGAACCGACGAGAAAGGAACAAATGTCGCGCATGTTGTACTCATTCGGGTTTCTCTGCTTGTAGGTTATTCGGACGTTTGCCCACAATCCGCCTACCAAAATGAAATGCTTAAAGATGTTGGAGACGATGACGTTTTCATGGTAAGCATAATAATTTATTTAATGCGCGTGCGCGCGTTACATATTGAAACTGAATTTAATTTGTTTCCAGACATTAAATCTACCACAAGAACCCTCGCGGAGTTCGAGCGATTCGAGCAGCAAAGGATCCGAAACTCTTCATCAGCAACAACGGCAATACATAACCAGTACAAAGGACAGGCCAGAGTTGAGACAGCTTGTTTACGATACGCCAACCAAGGGCACTGCGGGGAGCGAACATGAAAACGGCGGCGAGAAAAGTAAATTCAATGCAAATGAACGCGTTTCAAGGTGTTAAATGCTGTTTTTTTATGTGACTGCAGGTGATAATTATTCGTACGTGCAGCTGACGTCCGTGCACGAGTATATGTACCCGATCATGCCGGACGAACAGCAGAAGCCTAGCCCGGGTCGACGCGACTCAGCGTCCAGTCTGAAAAAGTCAGTGGAGATGGTGAGCACGGCACAACCGCCCGCGTCGCATTTCAAGAGTGGCAAAGAAAAGGGTGGCGTTGGTGGGCTTGGCGCGGGCGCCGGCGGCAGCACGCGCATCAAGTATCGCTGCCGGTACTGCCAGGAGCTGTACTTCGAGGACCAGAATCGACGCGGCGCCTGCGATGAGGCGCCCGATGGTTGCAAGGCGGGCATCGAGAAGATCACCTGCATCAGCTGCGCCCAGTGCGTCAGCTATCATTGCGCCTCGGACGCCGAGGGCGACTTCGCGCAGCATCCGTGCGACTGTTCGGACTATAACTGCGGCAAGCGGTGGATATGCCTGACTTTTTTATCGCTCTTCGTGCCCTGCCTGTGGTTCTATCCGCCGCTCAAGTTGTGCCATTGGTGCGGCGTCAAGTGCGGAGTGTGCGGCGGCAAGCACCACGTGACGCAGAACTGAATCGACGCGCGCTCCGCGTTCCATACTAGCGTAGAATAACAACACGAAGCGTAATACATTTCAACTTCACGACATTTAGATTCTCATTCGCATTCGAATTCGATGACGATTTAGAGTTAACTGACACTGAGAGAGAGAGAGAGTGGAAGTGACAAAGCAGCGACGGCGTTGTATATTTTCGATAATAAAACAAATGAATGCTTCAATTTAGTGTATATGCATGTTCTATTCGTACCAAATCTACTAAATACTTTAAATGAATCTATCGTCCAACATAAATACCTTACGAAAAGAACCAATTCACTCTCGTGCGTTTTGTTCGGTTCTCTCATCCGCATCGCAATCTCCGGCTTGAACAATATTATTGAATGCTCACCCATCGGTTGTGAACGCCTCTCGGTTCATCTCCAACTTCTATACTTAAATACAGCCATCGTATGCATATATGTTGAACGCGGTATCTCTATTACGAATTTTAAGATGTAAAACGACTTTAAATCTTCGCCAAGGATGCAATCTAACGAAGGCGCGCGACTCGTCCGCGCCGCCAACCCAGTCGCATCCGAAGATAACCAAAGTAAAATGCTAAGCAACAAATCACTTAATTTATTTAAGCGCATTGTGATTTCTCACTTTAATTATTATTTTTTACGTTTTTATTATTAATATATTTAAAATAAGACTGCGTACGTTCAAAATAAAATATGAAGAAGAAAATGATGAAGCAACACACAAACACACACACACCCTATTTAGCTCTTAAATGTCATATTTACACTCTCGTCGTACATAAATTACTCGTAATACATTTGTAATTAAACTGCGGACTGCGCGCTCGGACGCAGGCCGGCCCGACAACCAAATACAGTTCACACTAGAGACTTGTGTGTACATATGCTTGTAGAATACGATCACACAAACAAAATACCACACGCGCTTCGCATGTCGCGAGCGTGTCACATTGGATGTGTTCTAAATGTTCTAAACACATTGCGCGAAACAAGCAGAGATGAACTTTGTCGACTTGTTTTCTTATGCGAACTGAAAAGACCAGCACCCGCGGCACACGGTCGCAGTCATAATCAATTACTGCCAATTTATTATTATTATAAATATAGTAATAAACTCTCAAAGTCTGTGGACGCGCGGAGAAGAATAATAAACCTTAACGAATGTGTCGCCATAGAATAACAAACGATGAGACCGACCTTAAGATGTAACAAAATACACTCACTTCACCACATACCAGCACCAGCTTACAGCTACGTTATACTCGAATCACATATTTGTATTGTATATCAATTCTCTACATCGGTGGTGCCTTATTTTCGCAACAAAAATTGAAATTGCCAAATCAAAATACCAATTTATGTGAATCAGATGTTTGTGTTTGTCATTCGAATCACGTTGCTGTTAATTGTTTGTTGCATCGTTGCGCCACACGGATATCATTCTGTTTTCAAACTGACCACAAGATTCACAACACCACGCACATACACACGAGACGGACGTCATTTCGATTCTTTGAATGATCTTAATCGAATTTTCTCATTGATGCATTATGTAAGATTTTAAGCATAGGCGCGAAACAAAACATAAATTATCTCCAGGGTTTCGATCAACACGACATCAAAAATACAATAAACGCGTGTGATCCAGCGACCATTTTGCGAGTGTAAATTATCGGGGGGCAGGACGGTGTTTTCTAAACTTGCGACATTTGCCGACTGCCATTTGAAGAATACGAATTATATGAGAAACAACTATCATCATACGAAACAAATACTAAAAAACACACAAATTGTACATAACAAGAGATTCTATTATTATACATATACATATATTATTATAACAATGCAAATGTACAATGCGAAAAACGAATAGTACGAAAAATATGATGACGAGACAAACACGCAGACCGAGCGTCGTCTCACTGCGAACGCGCATAATTAAGTTTTCGTAAATTTTAATAAACGGCCGAACAAATTACATATATGGAACACTGCGTTGTTTTGTGTAATTTGTTCGAGAAATTGTTATGTTGCAAGTGTAAAAGGTGTCTATGTCATATTTCCACGGGCTCGGGGAGTATGTAGTCGCATTTTGCAGAGTAAAATGTTCGTACTCAGGCTTGGAACGAATAAAATTGTTCGTGTCGAATCTGGGTCTCATGCGGCGTTCGCACTGAGACGCGTTTCTTTGTATTATAGCCGCAATCTGCTGTATTCTAGGAAACCAAACAAAGACAACACAATGAAGTTTTCGCGTTTTAAAAATTATTATGAGATGAGACAAAACTGAGAAATATAAATATATATTATGAAACCTGAACCGAGTGGATCTTGGCGTTCAGGATATATTATAGTATATATAAATATATATTATATAGAAGAGAAATGAAAATGAGAACATTAATGTGTATATAAATGTTAAATTAAATACAGAAAATATAAATGCAACTATCTCGTTTGATTTCAGCTGCAGGATACGAATTATCAGGAGGGACAAAGTTTACGATTGAAATAAAAGCTATTTTGATCAATTTCAAATCAATACAAAATTTAAATAAAGCTGAGAAAGTTTTAATTGACAAATTTAAACAAGTGACAGCTCACATCTTAGCCCAAGAAATATTCCTGCTGGCCGTACAGCTAGCGCCATCTATGAATCGTGCCATCAGCTGATTCTTTGTTTTGTTATGTTTGTCAGATGTATTTGTCACTTCTCAACCAGCAGCAGGACTGCAATCTCGGTCCGCACCTGAAATCCTGCACATTCTGTCTTGGCGATAACATTTTTCACAAAACGTGCAACGACCACGTGCTGGCAGGATGAGCATCGGTCCGTACATTATATTTCTTCCGGACATCGCCCTGGAAAAGATATTTTCATTTTTATCCTACGATGAGATCGCCCGAAATAGAGAGGTATGTTGGAATTATCGGAATGTTAGCGTTACGAATCCTATCTATCGTGTTTCATAACTGAAATTTGATGTGTCTGTATATAATTAAAAGAGATTCCATTTGTTAAATGTCCTGATTACGCGGTGTCATTAACTTTATAAGAAACATTAAAGAGAGAAAATCGCAGGATGTTAAATTAGCTCTTTAAAAATGGCTGCGTTTGATAGCTTAACCTTCAGAAGGTTTTTGACAGTTTCCTGTCGGTCGTTTTGGCGCTCAAAAAAAAAGTAATAAGTTTTATTTCGCTCGTGTTTTGCGTGTCGGGCACTTTAAATGATACCATGGACGACGATTTCTTCAACAATTTGTTAACCGCTGTTGAAGAAACAACCGCAAAACCAAAAGCAGTGTTAAAAGATGATCCAAATTTTTTAATACCGAAAAAGTTAGATAAAGAAGATGAAAGTTTGGTGCACACCGGACTCACAGACAGTTCAGACGATGAAGACAATCGTGATTTTCAACTAGCAAAGTACAATTCATTCGGAAAGGCCGTGAAATATAATTTAGCTACAGCACCCAATACATCGCCATCAAGCACATCTTCATGTTCATCTTCTTTGTCATCAACCTCTTTTAACTGGAGTCAACAGAAAAAACACTCGCCATTAGATGGCAAACAACTGCAGGTCCCACAAGTACAAAAACCACCAACTGCTGATGGATATACAGATCCAATTTTCGGAATAAGAATAATTAATCCTTTAGTACCAATAGCAATACTTCAAGACAGAATGCAAGGAAGGCAAGCAATTAATTTAAACAGGATGAGATTGTTTGTTGAATCAATACCAGCAAATGCTGACTGGGTGGTATCTGGAGTGATTGTGCACAAAACTGGAAGGACTTCTCAGAAAGGCAATCCATTCTCCATTTGGACACTCAGTGATATGCATGGTGAATTAAAAACATTTTCATTGTTTTTGTTTGGCAGTGCTTACAAAGATTTATGGAAGTGTTCAATTGGCACTGTTGTGGGTGTACTTAATCCATCTGTGTTTGAAAAGAAGCAGGGGTCTAAAGATGAAGTAAGTATATATAACATAATACGTTGCTATGGCAACGGTATACGTACTTAAAGGACGTGTTTGCATTACAACCTGTTGAATTGCTACTAATTCATTGATTATTTTTATGCTTAGGCAGTTTTGAGTGTGGATAATGTGCAAAAAGTAATGATAATCGGCCAGTCAAAAGATTTCGGGACTTGTCGAAGTACAAAAAAGGATGGCACACCTTGCACAGCCTTTGTCAACCTGAACCGATGCGAATATTGCGTTTATCACGTCAAACAAGAGTATCAAAAGTGTAGTAAACGATCCGAACTTCAATCATCATTTTCCGGACGCGGTTTAAACGCACTTCGCAACAAAGTTTTGGGTAAAAATGAAGTTTTCTACGCTGGGAAGTCATTTTCAGCGGTACCCGCAACACGAAGCAGAAAGCTGCAGGCTCGAGATGAAGGAAGAATGAATTTGTTGTCAGGAAGGACTCAAAAAACAAATACTAATGCAAAGGTAGATAATTCAGCAGCTGCAATGAACGCAGCAGCTAAGAAACGAGCGGCAATGGTTCAACACGTGGAAGTTTCTGCGAGTAGAAGACAAAAGGATTTAGAGTTATTAAAAAAATTAGGAGGTGGCGGTGGAGGTCAGAAAAATGACGGGGTGTCCGTTGATGTTGTTACCAATAAAGAAAGTTTGGCTACTTCTTCAGAAGTCACACTAAAAGAATCAAAAAGTACAGCATTAAGTGTTATTGCTAAGTTAAAAGCAAAGAATGCTTCTGTGCCTTCTACAACTTCAGTTCCCACTCAAGATGATGTTGTAAATGATGGTAATTTAAGTGATATTGATTTTGGTTTGTCTGATGATGAGATTGATAAAGATTCTAAAAAGGTTTCGCAGAAAACCGATTTAAAATCGCCCGAAGCTGTTGAAAAACCTATCGAAAAAGTTTCCATTCCGGCAAAACCACCAACCACTCAAAAATCTGTGTTACCTACAAAATCAAAGGCATTGCTTGTGTCAAATTTAGGCACATCTGCACAAGTTCCAGTATTATCCGGAATTGGAAACAAGTTAATTGATTTATCCAGTCCAATAACAAAGAAAAATATCAATCGTGCCAATCTGAACGCTCTCAAATGGGTGCAACGCAACGGACCTATCCAAAAAGAAAACCCAAATCAAACCGCATCGAAAAGCGGAAGGAAAAGAGTAATGGAAGTTTTGGAGAAACAAGATCCCAAACGCAGGAAAATCCAAGAAAGTGATCACTTTTCCCAACGATTTAAACAAATGATGGCAGCCACTTCAAAACACACTGATCTATTAGAACAACACGACAATGACGAAGCTGAGAAATATTTTAATAAACTGGAGATGAAAGAAAAAATGGAGGAGAAAATGATTGGTACCTATAAAGTGGAATGCAAAGCAGTTAGGTGTTTGCAGTGCAAATACACCAGTTTCTCAGCGGCAGATCGATGTAAAGAAGAACGCCATCCATTGAAAGTATTTGATGCAGTGAAGAGATTTTTCAAATGCGGAGAATGCGGTAACCGCACAGTTAGTCTAAACGTGATTCCAACTCAAAGCTGCAAGAAATGCGGCAGTGGTAAATGGGAGCGCACAGGGATGATGAAAGAGAAGATAGTTGTACCTAAATCAGAACTTTCAATTCGCGGAGGAGAGCAAGAACATATTAATTCAAATATTACAAACGCGAATATCAATTTACTCGTTCCTGAAAATTAAGTGATTAATAATAGTTTATGTACTGATATTTCTATTTAACTATTATTAATATATTCTGTCAAATTGATATCCTTTTGTTGTTCCTGAAATGATTATATGTATAGAAATTATGGTAGTTTTGTTATTATTGAATTTATTTAGGTTTGCACCAAATTCAATGATGTCGGAAGTAATCTCCTATCACGAGGATTCCTGCAGATTGAACGCCGCCATGCGGCCATTTACAAACGCGTCAAGTCACTGCTGCCTCGTCGTGAGTCCGAACGGCGTGCGCATCCCTTATTCAGACATTGCGATATACTCTCCGCAGTGGATACCAGGATAAGCATGCTGAATATGACTTATTCGAAATACATTCAGAATGAGATGTGTTGCTTCATACCAGGCAAAGTAAGTACACTTTTCGCAACTGTTATAAATGCTATAAGTGAAACTTCATACATTGCAGGTATTGGATGAATTAGAACGTGTGTTAAACGTTGTTGAAAAACCCACCTCTCCACCAAGAGCCAATGAAATATTACAAGAATTGCGAGATATCAGTAGCATGGCAATGGAATACTTCGATGAGAAAATTTTGCCAGTTATTAAAGGACCAGTAACACCAACAAGTAAGATAACTACTTAAATTTTAATCCATTTGTTTTGTTTTATTCATTTTACGATAATATTGTAGCCTCATCGTATACAACGCCTGCGACAGCTACCAAAGCACCGAAAGTATTCTATATTCAATCTGCGTTACAAGATGAGAACAAAAAACTTGTTAAAATTAACAAACGCCAGTGTGCACATAATATGAAACTGAGCAAAGATGTACAAAAAATGTATAAGCGTATAGAGAGACAAAAGAATCGAATCAAGGTACAATCTGCGATTATACGTGATAATGTGACCAAAATGCAACAACAGGAGACTAGAGCCAATGAACAGGCCGCAGCAATTGCAGCACTACAGAAACACGTCGCTGAATGGGATAAGAAATTGGCCACACTCAAAGCTGAAGTTGTGAGTTCACGCGAAGATATTGTCAAAGCCATCTTTCCATTGCCCGCAGAGATTAATCAAAATAATCCACCGGCTCAAACGCACAAGACGGTAATTCGTCCGCGTGTCGCGCAAGTTCAGACTCCGAACACATACATTTCTGAATTGGAGCGCAAGCGTAAGGCCAGTATGGACGTTGACATACCAAACAAGTTGCGCTTTATTATGAAGCAGGACTCGAATGCGTTGACTCTTAAGGAGCAGGTATCGAACAAGATTGATGAAAATATCACACAGAATATTTCGAAAAATATTCTCGACGACGTGGAGGACACGTCGAAGAAGAAATACGACTTTACCTCTCTGCTTAGCTCATCGATGGACGCCATTATCAGAAACTCAATCGGGAATATTAAACCTCGTAAGCGGCGATACACTAGTGATGGGACCGAGGCTGACGTATTGGTAAATTTGCATTGATTACTCATGAAGCGAAGAGTGCATGCATGATTCTCATTATAAATATAAATAAGTAAAATTAGTGCTTTTACGGAAGCATATCTGGATCTATATATGCGGGGACCTTTATAATTATATGAAAGTAAGATATTTATGATTAGTTTAACATGTAGGTGACGTTTTTTGATGAAATGATAGCGTATAGATTATTTTTGTGTATTGCTTTTTGACGTGTTTTTTATTCTAGTGGATAGAATATTTATAAGAATTTACTCATACGAATTCTTAGTAAGTGTAAAAGAAAAGATTGTGTTCATTGGCTACGATTTGTGTTGCAATATTAATATCCAATTTAGACTATTGACTGAACTATTAATATTGATATTTTATTGATTGAGAATTAACGTGTATTCACTTATTTCATTTTACAAATATATTACTTTGGTATATTACATTCAAATTTGTGCGTACATTTGTCTATAAAACGTGATTAATTGTTACCTATTATACTTCTTAAACTTTTGAAAGAATAACTTGACATATCTTTACGCGCACGCGTCAAACACGGCATGCGAATTTCAAGGTTAACTATTTCATTTATCACGTGTAGCTCATGTAAGTCAATCCAATATGAAATTCATTATTTCTTTAAAAGTAATTATTAATTAACAGTGACAGTGACTGAATATAGTGCACGTGAGGCTATTGTTTTTCCTATTAAATGATAAACTTTACGGGAAAAGCATCAAAAACTTACTTTAGGAATAATGGTAAGTATAGGTTATGATCGACATATTTTATTTGAATTTGCGCTGAGTAAAATTTTAATTCAGAGATTATAAATATTTTTCTTCAATTTAGGATGAAATTGTAGATAGTGAACAGTTAGCGGAACTAGAATCACTTCTGTACAGTCAAATTCATTATTCTGTTGATACACAACCATCACTGCCACCAGCAGAAATGTCTTCAGAATCACCAAAAAACAATCAAAATGTTTACGCTCGTCCGAGATATTTTGGCCGGAATCCTCCAGCAACACATCCGAAAGAAAAGGAAATTGTAACACAGGTTTTGAATACAGATATAATTCCATTAACCCAGAATCAAATGGTTTCTCAAAATCCTCCCAATGAAATGCCAGCAGTTCACATCCATCAACCAATTCAATTCAAAATGCCTCAGTTCTATCAGCAACCAGTTAATAATATTGTATTTATGCCTCCAAATATTCCACCAATGAATTCAGTTCAAGTCAATAATGCAGCCAGAAATCAAAGACGAAAAATTAACAAACAATTAAAAAAGTCTCATGAAATGACTGTGCAGCAAGCTATCCATGATGCTGAGGTGTTTAGACATTTAAATCAGGAAGACAGATCTAGAGTTTTAAAAATACAAAAAAGACAACGGTATTTGGCAAGAAAAAGGGAGAGAAAAAAATTGTTGAAGGAACAGGAAGCAATTGAGAAATTTAATGCATCTATTAAAGATAAGACTGCAACCAAACCAGCAGAAAAACCATTGATTGTGAATGAAATAATTGAGTTATCTGAGTCGGAAGATGATGAAATTGTTGCTGTGGAAGAGAAAATTGAGACAGTAGTGGTCAGTTCAGATGAGGAAGATAAACCACCTAAAATAGAAATACCAACACCGACACCGAGTATAGTCACAGAAGGGGACGATGGTTCAGTGCAATTTGTTGAAACTCCTGTTGCGGAACCGATCGTTCTCGATATTGAGCCAGAAATTGTGGCTGGTCCTTCAAAAACCGACGCTGAGATGATGAAACCGCCGTCGGATCCGGAAACTAACTCGCTTGCTTCGTCTGCGTCGGCTTTGTCAACTGATAAACATGATATGAATGCACCGATTACTCCAAAATCATTACGATTAAGGCAAAGTAGACAAAAAGAGCTATTGAACACTCCTGAGTCATCCAATGATTTCTTGGATACGACTTTGGATGTCTCTCAACAGAATTTTAACTTTGGTTTGCATGGAAAAGACCTTTGCGTAGAGAAAAACATCCTTAATCCACGAGTTTTGGCAGACGCATGTGAGAGTGAAAGTAGTTGCAGTACCAGTGATATTTCGTCAATAAAACAACCTGTGTTCCATGAGATTGAGTTTGAAAGTCCTGCTAAACAGTTGTTTTCCGAGGTTGATTTGGATTCGTTCAGTGAATACATTACGCCAAAACGGAAAGCTTTAAATACGTCGGCTTTAACATCAAATATTGCATCTCCAGAAGGACCTGATGAAGCAGAACCTTCGAAACAATTAAGTGCTAAGAACACTTCAGATTCTGAGTCTAGTTCTGAGAGTGAACTGGAAGATGAAGGTGTGAATGTACGACCTGTGGTTCCTAAGCGAAAACGTTTGCCTAGTTTGTCACATTTTGATGTTTTGGAGACTCCGGCCCAAAGCACTCCTGTTGCCAAAACTAAAAATAAAAAAATTGTTAAAGCAGCGAATAAATTTGACTTTATCAAAGATTTTGTTGAAGAACAAACTAAACAGGATGAAGTTGTAGAACCGGAAACACCGAAAGAGAAAAAACGCAAGAAACGGAAACGAAAGAATGCGAATGGTAAAGAGAAAGCAGATACTGCTCAAACAGAAAATACTGAAGTTAACGATGAAGTTGATCCTAAATTGGGATCAAAAAAGAAACGGAAAAGACAAAAGAGTAAGTCTGATACTGAAATAGAAAAGCCTTCAACAAACACCCCACAAAGAGGAAGTAAAAAGAGAGTTAGTACTAAGTCTGATAGCGAAATAGATGACATTCATGAAAATGACAAGAGGAGCAAAAAGAGAACGACTAGCAAATCAGATACTGGCACATCGGAAGTTGTAAATGAAAAAGAAACAGACGACACTACCACAAATCAATTGCCAGTTAAACGAAGAAAACGAAAATCTAGAAGCGAATCTAATGTAGAAGAATCGACTCCTGCTTTAGAGCCATCGAGTAACGTTAATGATAAAGAAGATGAAGTAACAGTTAATGTAGAAGTTGTAGATGAAGAATCTCCGCCAACAGAAGACGAAGACGAAGAAAATTGTGACTCCAGTGTTGAAATCATCGATATACCTCCGGAATTAATTAATATATCATCTAGCGAGGAAGATAATGAAAAAGATGATCATGAACAGGAGCAGGAAGCTGATAGTACCGATGAAGAAATGCCTTTTGATCGGGAGGAATTGGAAAGTTTGGAAACCAATTTGGAGTTGTCCAATGTTCAGAATGATACACAAAATTCGTGGGATGTTCAACACGATCCTGAACAATCGATCAATTATGATGACACGCAAAGCGAAGACATAGTTGTTTCAATAGATGATAATTTGGAAACATCAAATGAAGAGGATCTAGCGGTACACCAAAGTTGGTGCACGCCTGGGTTTGATTTAGAAGGAGCCTTAGCTTCTATGTCAAGTATGTAGAACCAGACTATATTTAAACAATCATTTGATTTTGGTTTTATAAAATATTACCTTTATAACAGGTGAACAGCGAAATTGGAAAATTATGGAGCGTGATCGTATTCATGTCAAATTGTCGCAGCGTGGTATTCGTTGTAAAAGGTGTAGAGAGTTTGGTCATTTAACAATTGATTGTTTGCGCCAAATCATACGCTGCTGGTTATGCGGAGAAGTCGGTCATCAAGAGCCGAGATGTCCACATAAAATATGCACGAGTTGCGGTCGTAAGTGTAATTTTTTCACTAACAACTGTGGATATTGCAGGCGGTTTGCTCACCGAAAGTGCAACATTTGCGGTATCAGAGGACATACTCATGAAATGTGCCCTGACTTGTGGAGAAGGTATCATTTAACTGTAAGTTGTATTAGATTTAATGTGCCGTTTCTTTATGTTTATTCAAAAATTCAAATTTTCAGACGGAACCCGGCGAAATTATCGGATCTACGCTTGGTCCTAAAATGCTGAAATCTCGCAGTAACCGATGGTGTTCCGGATGTGGTAAACAGGGACATTTTGAAGACAGTTGCAATTATTACAACCGGCAACTTAGTCGTGTCAGTAACTACATTCATAAGTACATAGACGTGTACAAGATGTCTAGAAATCTAAAGCTAAAGCCAAAGTCTGATAAATTGACAGTTAAACCAACACCAGCACCACCCGAGCAGCGAGTTGAAGAAGAGACAGAAGAAGTCCATGATCTATCAACAGAAAGCGGAAATGTAGAAGTCGAAATAGTAGACGAAGAAGCAGTAGAAGAAGTAGAGCAAGAGGAGGAGGCAGTAGAAGTAGAGGATGAAGCTGAAAAAGGAGAAGAAACACAGAAAGAAGTAGAAGAAGAAGAGGCAGTGGAAGAAGTCCAGGATCTAGTAGAACATGACGAAAACGAAGTACAACACCAAAAACTCGAGACGAGCTTTCACATGTGCAGAGTCGCAACTGAAATGCTTCGTACGGCTAAAGGTAATGAGTTCCTAAAGTCACTTTGCGATCATTTGGACATGAAATTCACCTTTGAATCAGTAGGAATTACTAACTTAATTACATTGTGCGGTTATCCCACTGACTTGATTGAGGTTTCGAAAGTAGTAAAACAATTTATTTCTAATCCATTAATGACTGAAAAGAAATTAAGTCTATCAAGTAAAAACTGGAAAAATGTGAAAGCCAATTATGACATACTAGTGCAACTATCTAAAAACTTTAAAGTAGCGGTCACATGGTGCGCGGAGAAAAGACAAATCAGCTTATTCGGATCGGTCTTTGATATATTATTAGCTGCTCATAGTTTAATCAACTCAATATCGGCTGAGACGGAATTGCCCGGTAAAGATTCAATTTGTTTTAAACCCAGTATAATAGAGTATATAAGGGGGCATCCACGGATGAAAGAACTGGAGGAGCACTACTCTATCAAGTGGAGCATTAAGAAACGGCAAGTGGTGCTTGTAGGAGCCACAATCGATATCAAATGCATGAAACAAGAAATTAATAATTTTGTAAAGAAAGATACCCGTAGACCAACGTTTTTGTTATGGAGAGTTAATGAAATAATAAAGCACACTGATAATCCCCAAGTGATAACTGCCGAGTTTGTGGAGAATTCACTGAAAGCCGAAGACGTAACTCCATTGAATGCCATTGTCTTACGTGAGGAGCCATTTTTTCAACAATTGAAACAACTGCGCGACAAACTCGAATCTCGGCAAAATGTTGATAAAAAGCTGTCACAAGAAGCGGATTTTTTGATAACTGAATTCACCCGAAAGCGAAATAAGAAATTTTATATGAATTATTTAAGCAAAATTGAAGAAGAACGAAAGACGAAAGAAGAAGAAAGAAAAAAGAGTGATGAATCACTAACTTATTGTATGGACTTATCGCCAGCTCAAATGAGCCACGTTTTGAATACACCAGAAGGCATTGATTTTTTAAAAGAATTAAACGCTGACTTCCGCGTCGAGGTAATGGAAGATCTGTCAAAACTATTTCTGTACTGCAACGTGGGACAGAAGGATGCTGTAGTGGACAAAATAGATTTGTATTTTCTCATTTACGATATACAATTGCCGGTGAAACCGATTGAGCTCCACAGGAAATTGGCCAAATGGTTGGCGTATGCCAAACTGGACTATTACACCACCACTTGCGGCATACTTTTCGGAAGTATTGATAATGAGAAGAAAAACAGCATGCAGTTTAAACAATTACACGGATTGTTCTTTGCAAAACATAAACTTTTGGATGGTCATAAGCACCTTGATACGATTATGCATTACATGGAGATTCTTCCGCGAAAAAAGAACTCTACATTGAGTCTCGCGGAATATCGCCGCATTAAAATGGCGGCATTATATTTATTTTGTCCAGTTGCGATGGACATTCCTTATGCCAAACTTATTCCATTGACCGTACCGCCGCAAGTTCCTCGAATTCCTCCGGAAGAGTACGATAGCACGCTCGCAGAGGTGAAAAATTGCATCGAGTTTGGTTTAGCTAAACTTTCAAAGGAGTGTGCTGAGACAAAGATTGTTGAGTTAGAGGTAATTAACTGGTATTTGAAACGTCATGAATATTCAAAGGGTTCGTTAGAAATTGCGAAAGCGTTCTTACTTGAAAATGAACTGGATTTTGGACAGTTGAAAATATAAAGTTTTTGATATTTGAATTAAGATAGAATCTATTGGACTGGAACACGGTAATAATGTGTTAGAATTTGTTGTTTTGTTAAAATGTTTCATTATTGGCGTATGATATCGTTTGTTGATTGATTTAGCATTTAAGGGCATTAGCGGATCTTTTTACAATATTTTTATATGCCAAAATTTTGTTAATAATGAACCAAAAGTGGATATTTATTGAATAAATATTTTCATTTTATAGTAATTACGAAATTTGCTTCAAATTTCTTTACGAGAAGCTGAGATTTGTACATTAAATATCAACTTTTATTTGTGCATAGGTGGCTCTAGGTAGGTATATAGGCAACCCATATTACGTTCATTACTAAACGTCGACGTATGACAACAGGTTCAGCTGATACTCGATTTTGTATCCACTGTCCTTTTAATTAATATCGTTGATAACAATGCCTGAATCTTCTGAAACAGATCATATTCTGTCCAGGAGACTTAACAAAATATTAGAAACACGATTGGAGAATGATCCGGTAAGAGAAAATAATAATTTAATTCATCTTATCCCAGCTTATATTTATATGATTTTAGGATACGATTGAAGCTTTAAAACAACTCTCCACATTCTACACTGAAAACACCTTGCAAAACAGACGATGTTTACGCAGTCAGATCGAGAAACGTAGCTTAGTAATCAATGAAAACTTTCTGCTGGCATTCAAAGAAGTGAAAGAAAGTTTTGATGCTGTGTATAATGACATTGCTGAAATGAGTTCAGACCTTCAGGATATGACTACAAGATTACATGCTGCAAAACTACAGACTAGACATTTATTGGATCAAACTACAGCTCTTCAGAATGAAACGTAATTAAATCTAAGGGTTAGTTAATAGTCTTATTAATTATATTTGCCTTTAGCAAATCAACTGATATGAAAATAGAAATTGCTAAAGCTTTTATTGACACATTCCAATTGAATGAAGATGATCTAACTGCATTATATGGTTCAAATCCAAAGAATCCGTCACCTGTTATGGGTGATATTTTTACTGCACTTGAGAAAGTGCATGCTATTCACATGAATTGTAAAATTTTGATGCAGTCAGGGCATCAGGTGTTGGCAAGCAATCTAATGGAACAGATGACAATGCATCAGGTATAAATTTTAACTTCAATCTATTATTATTTTAATTTTTACATTAAACATGAAAAATTTAGGAAAGAGCCATTGAGAGATTGTACAGATGGGCACAATACAACTGCAGGAATGTTGAGAGTCCAGATTTTACTGAAACATTGACTAAAGCAATGGAAATCTTACAAACAAGAGGACTACTTTTCAAGTAAGTAAAATATTTGTTCACAGAAAGATCAAATTATCAATTTATTATATTTAAGATATGTCATTGAGGAATACGCAATGTTTCGTCGCGGTGTAGTGGAAAGTGAATTTATTAACGCGTTGACCCGCGGCGGTCCTTCCGGAAATCCCGCACCCATCGAAATGCGAGCTCACGACCCACAAATTTACGTCACTGACATGCTCGCCTGGTTGAATAAAGCCATTCCAGTAGAAAAGCAAAAAATGAACTTGCTCTTAAGCAAATGCACGAAATTAGAAGAATGTGAACAACACTTAGAAACTGCATTCTCGTCAATTTTTGAGGGAGCATGTCTACCGTTGAAAAATCGCATGGAGAAGATATTGACGGTGCCCACTGAGCCACATACATTGTATGCAGTCACAAACTTATTGAGGTACTACAAGAAAACAATGGTAAAAGTGGTTAAAAATGGAAGTCTTGCTGAATTACTGCCACAAACCGAAATTAAAGCTGAAGCGGCATTTCTAAATTGCTTAAAAACTCAAGTTGGAAGTATGTTGGTAAGGGTTGAAGCACCACCGAGAAATTTGTCACCTACGACTTCAATTAATAATCTACTTGCGTTGATGCGCGATATTTTATCAACAGCAAGTATGAGTGAGGGAAGAGAATCAGATATGATTAAAGTAAGTCAAAAAGAGGAAATTATTCCGTTACAAATTCAAAACTCTTTTATTATTAATTTTTTAGATCGCTGCAATTGTAATGGATCCACTCCTGCGGGCCGTCAACGAGCAAGCATCACGCTTACCACCGATTGACATGGCTGTGTACATGCTCAATTGCATGTACGCCATGTACACCTGCCTCTCCATGTATCAGTACATGGATAACCGCCTGGAGCGCCTTCAAGCGCAATCCGAAGCGCAAATCGATACGTTAACATCTGAACAAGCTAGTTCACTTGTCGCGAATTTAAACCTTGGTCCTATTTATACCATCCTGCAGGATACATCCCATGGTCCTTTATCGTCCATTCCAGGTATGGAGCCAAGTAATCTTAGAAACTTTTTGCACAAGTTAGATACGCTTATAATCAAACCAGAGACGTTGTTATTGCCTCAAATTAACTTACTCGCGTCATCACAGCATAAGAAATCGGTGCAGAAACGTGCTTTTGATGTGTTAATAGCGATTTATAAACAATTGCATCAGGCTGTGATGAATCCAAGCAATTTGTACGAAACGCCCGAGAATATTTTGAATAAGACTCCCGATGAGATGCAGACTATGATGGATAATATTAAATAAACGTTAAAATTAAGTTCTAAAGTAAAACAGCGAAATTTAAAACAAACAAAACTTGTTCTATTAGTTTATGTGGTTTTATAGACGAGAGATGGCGCTACCGATACGAAAACAAGAATTTCTAGTTTATTCGAGACAAGTTCTGGAAGTTTTTTTACTATTTATAGCGACAAATAACAAACAACACTAATTTAATTTACAAGTATATTTATATACGTGATATATTTGACAATTCTAAAGCCGAAGATGTTGCGAGGTATTGAATAATGATCGGATTGTTAACTGATGTTTATGCGAATGAGTAATCCGGTACGGAGAATTTACTCTATTCGTTCTCGTCTCTTGGCATATTTTCGGGCGCAATTCGCAGTTAAATTCGCGCTCGCATCCGAGCGGTAGCGAGTTCCGAGGGCGAGCGTGTTTGTTGGGTCGGCGGACACCTCGTTCGTTCGTTCGGCGCGCCGCTCGCCTGTTGCGTCCGCTCCGTAATCACGAGCCCGGCACCCGTCGCGCTGGTTTTGTGCGTTTCGGCGTAGAATCCGCCGCAATCCCGCGATCAGTACGCCGTCGTCTCACGCCGGTTTTGCCGTGCGCGTCGCATCATATGTGGATATGTGGGCTCAATTGTGATATGAGAAACGCCGAAACGCCTATTTCCCTGTGCCTGGAACCGCTCGCAACGCTCAGTACCGATTCTACCGACTTGTTTATCTCATGCGAGAGACCGCCGTGCCTTCGTTGCGGTGTTAATCATATCAGTGCGCTCGTACGCTCGTCATTCCTAACCCTCAGTACGTTGTTTACCTCAAGTACCTGACCGTGGACTCGAGGAGATTACGCGTCGCACGAGGTTGACTGAAAGTTCGGCGTCGACATCAGAGAAGAAAATTGAAAACGCGCCAGGAATTCGCCTCTTTCTTACATAAATATCTCCGTGGAGCGAGGAGCAGTGAGTGATGTTGAAGTTGTTTGTCTCGTCGAGTTGACCGCGCGACTGCAAGATGGCCGACCTGGTGAGTGCTCGTCGCCAAAACAAATTTTGTTTTATCACTTAGTAACTGTTGTGAATTAATCGAGACACAAGTGCTGAAATCGTTTAACATTACGCAATTTATTGCGCCAGTGCGTGATGGTTAAATGGAAAAGGTGCCAGACTTTGTTTAGTCTGCTTTATTTCAAATTCCGTTTCGATTTATGCATCTATAATGTTGCTAGGTGCTGAAAGTTTTGCTAAGGTGGAAATAACATTCACTAGATTTATTCGTATCTTGTCTATTTAACATTGCCGAAACGGTGGAAAGTTTCGCAGCATGAATGGAACAAATGTCAAAATATAACCTCGAAATGCAAGGCGCTTGGAACTGCTTTTATCTCAACTTGTGAGTCACGCTGGGAATCGTGTGACGGATGAATGGGAAATTCAGAGATAAAAACACTTTATTTTAATTAAAATTTGTAACCTCTAAATATATTTCTGTTTGCATAGGCGAGAAAAGATAAAAATAATGAAAATGTTCACTTAAAAACATCAATCATTAAATTTATTTATAATTTTAGTAACAGGATAATAGAAATTTTATTATTTCTAGCACAGTCTAGAACTAACAGCATCACACATCAAACCGCACTAAAAGCCGCTTATTTATAAAACAAACTGCTAACTATCTATAAATTTGCTTCCGAGATAACAAATCCCGATATACAGTGTGTAATTTCTTCCAATTTTTTTAACTCGCCTATTGTGCTTGGCCATTTATTTAGTCGCAGCTTAATCCAGATGCATTAATGTTATCATGCAATAAAAAAAAATGCTTTTTTAATTGCGCGCGTGCGCCACTAGAAAATTTGAAATCTGAATTCGATCGACGCTAATATTGGACGACATAAATTACACATGGTATATCAAATTGCGAAGGCGTAACAATGCAACATATCAATATTGCGTATAAGTACCTTTTGTCCTTAGCATACACGTATAACATGAATATAATAAATCGTTTTTAGTGACATTACGGTGTGGAAATTTTGTACGAATTTTTATTTCGTACACGCCAAACCGAACACCGAAGGCGGATAATCTCGAATTCAAGGTTTGCGCTTTATTTTCGTAACTCAATTTTATGTGGATGTGAATAGCGTAAAGTAAAACATGTGCATGCATGTGCGTAGAGCGTCATCAACGCGACGAATTTTCGAATATATGTACAGCTGAAGCTGAAGTTGGAGATGTAACTTGAAAGGTGTCATTTCAAATGTTTGAATTGGCTGATAACTTAAATTAGTTGAAAGGAAAAGCAAGAATTCAACCACAAGTAGATCTAATTTTATATGTTATTGATTTTGTCGACGTGGAAGAAAAACAAAATTAAATTTGTGGGGAAAATGTTGAAATTCTATTTGAAACAAACACTACACACCGACTTGCTTTACGACTGGCATATAATTCGGGTATCGTTAACTCCTCCAAGATTTTGGTTTTTATTACTTTTCATTCTTGGCTTGCAGCATAGTTTTTCGCATCTTTGGCAGACATTGCGACGCTATTTTCAATGTCGCAAGTTTATGCCTTTCCTTTTGTTTACTCGCCTCGAAATTAAGCAATTTCAATTTAGTCGATGTTGATTTATTCGATTTCCAGAAAATTTCCCTCGGTAATTATTTGCTAGACTGCTATTTTGCATGTTTTTCGCATCTCATTGCGCCTCCGATAAAGGGAGAGCAGAACTCCGCGCACCGAATGTGAGCACAAATTGCGTGCATTGCGCTTCGTCGAGTGTAATTATACTGGAAACGGTCGGAAATGCATTTACGGTACGCCCGTATATATTCATTCCTGTACATTGCATGCGTATGTGTATGTATCTTGTATGTGTGTGTGTGTTGGAAGTTGGAAGCGATGGCACGATGGAAGTCGGAGAAGTAGAGTGGAATCGTGGTGGCTCTGTCCGTCGCGGGCCCAATTGCTTTAGTCACATAGTCAGTGCTCAGTTTACGTTCGCGGTCTGCCCTCGCCACACCGTTAATCAGTCGCGCTGTGTGTATATATCATAAAAAATTGTCGCGCGGGCCCTGCAACAACAGCCGTCACCCGGTTTTTTGCATCTCGCGATGTTGGTGCGGGTAGATTGTCTGCTGACACAGTCAGTGTGTGTGAAGTGAATTTATTGATATTACATTACACGTGGATTATACGTGGAGGAAAGTTATGTGAAAAGTACAGAAACTAACCTGTCAAATCATGTACGAGGGTAAAATATGTTTAAATATAGAAAAATATTCAATATATGAATACATCAACCACAAATATTTTAAAAGTAATGAATGATGATTTTTTGTTGATAATGTGATTTATTAGATTAGAAATTGCGGTTTTATAGATAATTCTAAATTTACTGATAGGTAGATAATGCTAATGCGATTTCAGCGTTCCATATATTTAATTCGTTAGTTTTACGTTGTTTTGCGTTGCACCGCATAGGCGCATAATGTGATTTGATTAAGGGCAGTGGAGCATTACTACGGCTTCTGTCTCTGTGTGCTCATCATCGGGGATTTCACATTCTCGCGCCGGTCGAATGCGCTGTTTATTGAAATAAACACAAACGCCTCCATTATTCTCATCCGCTTGGATTTTTCAAAATAATGTTTTAACCAATCTAGTGAATAGGGCGCACAGACAACAAATTATTTGTAGCTGATTGAGTTTTATATTCCCAGGATTCGTTGGCTTGGAATAATAATTGTATTTATACACAAAGCAAATAAAAGAGGGCAAGTGTTGAACTTATGTACTCTGTGGAGAAAATCAATACATTTAGTAAAGCACAGTTAAACATTCTAATATTTCGTGCTGATAATTGTGTTTAAGGCGCGGTGAGATTATATTGTCACTGTTATCAACTTCTAGTGTTGTGAAAACCTTGATTTATTTCAATATAAGTAAATTTTGTAAAGTAAACAATGAAATTTACGCGTACGCGCTAAATATTTCGCAATGTAGCGGAATGTTACCATTTATGTATTGTAAATTTATTTTTAATTTGGGTTTTGAGATTGTGTTACATGGACATGACCAAAACAAGCAATCAAATGTAAGTCAACCGGAAGTGGAGACCAATTACACGTGTGTTGGCACATCCTTTTTCAAAAATGTAATTTCACATTAGTGTTATTAGGATTTTATTGTTTGGACGACATTTGCTTTATTGATTTCGGTGATTTCTTTGATCAGATTGATAAAAGGTTAAATTACGTTAGGCCGATGGTTAGTCAGTCATTAAGGCGTAAATTTGAGGTTTTCGGCGCGCCGGTGATAGTGGAAAGGTAGGAAACGCCGAATATTTTGCGGTCAGCAAATGTCCATGACCTCGAGCACCTGTAGCGCGTCTCGTGGGCCGGCCGGCGCGTAGCGGAGAGTGCCACTACCACGAATTCGCGTCCACGCGAGAACAATCTCCATGCGGTGGCATACAAACTGACTTTGCTCATTGCTTGCCTCTTCTTTGCATCTACTTACTATCAAATGTCATGAATTCCCCAAGTGAGACATGTGTCAGATGTATAGGGGTCTAAATTTGAGTTGGGGTTTATTTGCACAGAGAAATTAAATTAATTTTAATATGTAAATTAATTATTTTGGAATTTAAAATTCCATGGGCCGCAAAACTAATGAAGGAAGTAAGCATTTCATATTTAATAACTTTTTTTACTTTTCTGTTACCATTATGAGTAATTATTGTTTACCGCATTGGACACGTTTAACGCAAAAGTTAGTAAACTTTCGTCCATGTTTTGTTTTGACGTTTGCGCAGTTATTACACAGGGGTTCAATGCATTGTGTCACGTTGCCCACACATTATGTTATACGCCAGCGTAATTCGAGTCCAACGACTTGAAGCGAGATAAACGTAAATTTGTTAAAAACACACACAAACCCGTCGATAACTCGTAGATTAATCACTCAACTTCTCAACACACGAAACTTTAAATTAACTATGCGCGCAAGGCGCAACGATGTCTATAAATCATCTGCGGCAATCTGCGCCAGCTCCAATATCGCAGAAAGCAGAAAAAAAAAACAAAGCGTTTACAGTTTGATTTATGCAAATATTTTTCTATATTCCGCCGGCGCGACTCGGTTACCCGACGGAGATTCTAACTGTTTGGACGGTGGCTTGTCCAATCAACGAGTCATAAATGTAAGAAACGCGCGAAACACAAGAAAATCTGCATAACCGACCGCGGAATGCTGATCTGGATCACAATCTCAATGTTGTGCATCAGGGACATGCATTTACATGACTGTGTTGTATGTTGGCACGTCGATTCACTCCATTAGTTGATGAAGAAACTTGAGAAATGTGCCAAAAGATCTGAAAGCCATGAAACTAAGCGAATCGTGGAAGATTGAGATTTGGCAGATTTGTGTCGAATCAATGAGAACGTAGTCTTCGTTTTGTGAAGAATATTGAATAAAATTAAGAGCATCGCGGTAATAATAAGAAAAAAACTTGGCATTGAAATCGAACAGAATGTGTGCTAAAAATAGAACTAGACTGAATACAAGAAATGAAGAGAAAACATGATGAAAGCTATTATTCAAATTATTTATGAGTTTTTAAAGAAATCAAGTTAAAAATTACTTTTTCTTTATTTTTTGACAAAGCATTAAGTAGGTTAAGATGGCACAGTTAATTCTACAAATTAAACATTTTCACGCTACTAATTTGTAGGTATTTTTAATTAAATTCATATTAGAAATAGATAATATTCAGAGAGTTACAGTTTAAATGCAAAATTATAGAAAAATGTATGTTTAATTCTGAGGTAGATATCTGAAGAGGTTATTTTGCATTTATGTAATAGGATGCAAAGTAATTATGCATTTGTTTACAATTGTCAGCACGTTGTTTACAATACGAGCACTTATTGTACAACGCAAGTGGCAAACGCGATCTGTTTACGCTAGCACTCGAAACGAGTCAATCGACGCGTCAATACGCGACCACAATGCATCATTACGACATTAAATCATCGCAATGCTGTGTGTCTTGTCATATTGTCAATCTTGTTGAGTGCCGCCGCGTTACGTTTTACTTTATTACCTACGATTGACACATGTGCGCATGTGCCGCCCATACGGATGTAGAAAATTACAAAATTGCAATACCTATGTGTTAAGTAATCTGTAACAATAGCTTTTCGCAAGAAATTACTTTTTGAAATATTTGTGGTTTTATTAATTCGCAATAATTAATTATTGAATATTAGTGGTAGAAGTGTGCGGATAAGTTTCTACCATGATGAAGACGATGGTCTTGAAGAAATCCGGCCTGCAAAGCGTCGATCGCAGTTCCTTCGGCAGCAGCGGCGGATTTAGCATCAGCAGCAAATTCAGTGCGAAACACTCGAAACTGAACGGCAAGAACGATCACAATGGACATCACAAAGGGAGTGTTGGGAATGTTAATAATCTGATGGTAAATTTACAACATAATAATGCGTATTAGAATTAAAACTATGCAATGCACATACTTGTAGCTAGACATAAAAAATATAGACAGTAGCCACTTTTGTAAGAGACTAATTAACTTTCACCAAATACTGCTAGAATTTAATGATTTAATTACAGTCATTAGTCATTAGCATTAGTTGTTTAAAGAGCTTTCAACCTCTTGAAACTCGAAACAAAGTGAATCTTGTTGCATTATTATATTTGATCTAATCAAGATGTTTAACTCGGGTTAATTATTATGCCTACTGAAAATAAAACCGGCGTAAAATCTCAATTTTAATTGTCTGTGGGAGTCGAGTGATTAGCCACGACGCCTTTGCGTCTAGATAGAACGTTATCAATTAAAAGCAATTAATGACAATCGCCAATTAGAAATCAATTTCATAAATTCATTGCGGTTATTATTACGTTTATGGCGATAGTTCACAATGTGTGCAAGTTGGTACCACGCTCTCGCTCGTAAACTGATTCCGTTTAAATTAATCTTTCATGCCTTATTTAATACCGTTATTAATGTGTTATTTATTGCATTATTACAATTACTGTTTTCTTTTTTTCCAACGCTGAATATTTGCATTGAATTATTTAGTGCCATTGTGTATCAAACGCGGAAGATGTTAAAAATATTTTTTATATTTATATTTGTGTTGATATATTCTATAGATTTGCTATAAATATAAAGTGACATGAATTGTGACCAAAATAGTGCTCTTTACCTTTCGTGCACTATTGTTTACGCAGTTGTGTGCTTATCAGTAAAGCGCAGGAAGATACATTGTGCAAAATGTAGGCAGTGTGTACAAATATAGCAATTACACGAATAGACGCATGTAAATCTATTTATATCGGCACTATCATCGCACCGTTTCCAGTCGTGATGTGGGAAAATGTTTCACTTTTAGCACTATTGTTACTCCTGGGATGCGATATGTGTATGTGTGTGTGTTATTGCTTCGCAAACTGTTTCGGTCGTCGAAACTCTGAGAATCGGAAAGAGGTGCTCGCGTTATAAAAGTGTGAACAATGCGTTTTTGTTTTCAAAATGTACTTGTTAAACATTTTTATTGTTTCGGCGTGCATTAAGAGAAGACGTACACACACTTTCCAAGAAAAATAGTGTAATATATGAACGAAGTAAAAAAAATCTGCACACATTACAAAGTGGAAGTTGTGTGTATTTTTTTCATATTATTTAAAATTAAATCTAGGTTTATTAACATGGTGAGACTTTTATTGCTGCCAGGGCTGAAGTTTATGCTCGTCCTTTTCGTGCGAGCAGCGCGAAGAGGCGCGACTGTAATAACCGTAATTCATACGCCAGAGATTGAATTCAGCGACGAAAGTAATTGTTTTAGAAAGTTTAATAAAATTAACGACATAAACTGTGTGTGCAGTTGTTGAGGATCATTGTTTTCTTCTATATTGCTTACACATCACGTAGACATGAATGAACAACAACAATAGAACACAGAATTCACTGCCGATCAAAATTAGTTACTATGAAAACAACGCATAATTTAAATAGGGTGCAGGTTTTATGATCTATACTTATTTTATTTAATCAAATGTAGATTTTACAACGTTTATATCGTCTATTTTTGTTTGATTGCGTTTTTTATCGACTGTCTGTAGATTGCAGTTAATAGCTGTTATCTGATTCAACTTTCCATTTTCAACGTTTTTTTTTTTTACTTGGATGGCAAACTGCATTTAAGGCTAGGTAAGTTCAAGAAGCGCAATTGACTCATCGATAGCAAGGTTTCCAATGCGTCGTGTTTCCGCTCACTTGTTGTTTGCTGCTTTCTGCTGTGCACGAAATAGCTTCCTTGTCAGTCGGATATTCATTAGTATTAGTATTACTTGCTCTTTGATTTGCGTTGGTTGTGTTCAGTTGTTTCTTTTCTTCCAACGTCGATTCATTTCCTGAGTGGCAATCACTTCGTGTGGTTTTAGTCGGTTCTGTTGAAGAGATTATCGAAGAGACGACGTTTGCTGTGATGAGTTTGTCGTGTACGTGCCACACTGAGTAGAAATTGAAATAATTGATCATTTCCTGAGTTCACGATCTACGTTGCACATCTTTACAAACATTGGGATTTTTATGATTACGTGGCTTGGGAAATATTATTTCTAGTTATTGATTAATTACTTTAGGGCCAATTAATTTATGTTAATTACCTCAGAATCTTATCAGCGTTTGCCGTAACTGATAACGGTGTTTTTATGCATAAATTGACAGGAGTAATTTATGTGTTTTTGCGAAATTTATCTTTCATTGTTTATAACTTTATATTGAATAATCTGATAAACAAAATTTTTACACTAATAAATGAGGAATTTTATCGTGAATCAACCTCAGAAATATCGTAATTATCACGCAAATAGTTTGTGCGTAATTAACAAATAAGTTAAATTCAAGTTAATTTGCGTTTTGGTATGCTTTAAAATTCAATTTGTTCTCGGTAAACATAATTTTAATGCGTCGCATGACCTTTTAATTTTAATTTAACATGCTTCAATTGCAAATGTGAAAATCATTGTCCTTGGTGCGATGCGACAGCGCTCGCGCGCAACAATTAGCACAATTCCGGTTTGGGGAGTTGTAAAACGTTTTACATCGTTTGCTTGTTTATGGTTGATATAAAAACGAGTGGAACGATTGTGAATACGCGCCTCGGACTTTATTCGGTCACTTGGATAATACCGAGCTATACCAGACTGATCGAAACACATGTGTATGATATATTAACAATCGCAATTGTTTGTAATTGTTTGTAAACTAGACTTTTAACACCGTTCCTGGCACACTAACTTTACATTTATCAACGTAGATGTTTTGCTCTTGCTGTGTTATATAAATAAGCAGCGTGCACTTGCCTAACAAGATGTGGTGGTTTTTATAGAATCATTTTGTAGTGATGATTGTCGGACCACACATGAGCCAAAATTGCTGGGCGTCACAAATGTTTTACTAGAGATGTTTTTTGGGTTTGTGAATCGTTTAAGGTTAACACAACAAGTGATTAGTGTTGGAATACGTTGAGAAAGACATTCTGAACGGATACTCACTCGTGGACTTGTTGTTAGTAACATAAACGAGAAAAAAACAAGCCATTATGAAGACACGCGCTAAAGACTACCCACTAACCCAAATCTAGAAATGTTTTACTATTATGCACACACTATTTGCTTGCAGATGAAACATTTCCTGTTTTTATTCAGTTTTATACACAAAATGTGCAAATTTAAAATTAATGCCATGTTTTTTTTGTTGTTGTTGCTGTTACCTGATGGTCAGTCAAATTGTGCTGTTTAAATTTGCACGTGATGTGATGCTTCTCAAATTAAGCATTTTCGTCCTTGGATCGTAATTGCAGATGCGAGCGCGAGACTGAAATTACCTTGATTTAATTCGATACATGCGCGAAAGAAGAAGCGGTTCAAAGTGCACGACAAAGTTTTGCATCAAGGTAATGCACGACATATCATTATTGTACATGAAGGCTTAATTGCGAACAAATTATATAACATCTTGTGAACGTTTGTATTTTAATTTCTCATAGATGTTGTTTGGATGATCGCCGTTTCAAATGTGCTAAAACAAAATATCACGGCGAATTGCATGTTCATGTTTTGCATTGGCACACTGCGAGCAGGTTTAATGTCTTGTGACGTACGACAATTACCTTTTTCCGTTCCACTTATTGTTTCAACGCCGCCGCGCCGTCAACGAACGCAAGAACAAGCGCGCATTAAACTACGAATCAAATGTTATTATTAATAATATAAAATGATGAATAGTAACGAGCGAGCGTTAAATTGTTAAATAACCCGAGCGTGGTGCCACAACTCAACTGAGTATAGTTAATATAGAAATTGAGAAATTTTATGAATGTGTTGCTGATGTATTTTGGTATGAATTTTCTGTTTCAGGGTGATTACATTCGTCATCCAGTTTTGTACGAGTTGTCGCACAAGTATGGCCTGCCCACGGAGCACCTGCCCGACTCGCAGCTTGCGTGCAAGCTCGAGGAACTCAAGGAAATCATCCGCAAGGAGATCCGGCGCGAGCTCAAGATTAAAGAGGGTGCTGAGAAGCTGCGCGAGGTGGCCACCGATCGCAAGTCGCTCAATCATGTCAGCGTTATTGTCAAGAACGCCAACTCCAAACTGGCCGAGCTGAAGTATGAGCTTTCAGAGTTGGAATCGCAGATTATCTTGACCCAGGGCCAAAGCTCGCCGTCTTGTCTACCTACCAATGGAGGTCAGTTAGTAATATCATTATTATTGTTGTTTAACATTTACATTTTGTGTTATATTTATGCGAATTGTTTCTATTTTTCGAGATAAATTGCTTCACAGCTTGCAAAACTTATACGAAGCCATTTGAAAGCCGGAAAATGTCGAAACTCGCACGTGTGTTCTTATATATTAAATTGTTTGCGTCTGCCGCTTAGCTTGGCGTTTAAAATAGAACTTTACAAGTCGAAAAAAGCGACCTAATTTTACTGAATGTTGCGGTTCGTACGCAGAACGCATCTTCGGCGTTAATTTCTGCCAACAATTTTTACATTCATAATTTTCATTCAATGAATACCAACATTATACGCAGTTGGTAAATAGTAATTCAATTCAAATCAAAAACAGTGTCACACGCTTTTTGTCATTAATATGTTGTTTGCGTGGTTCTCAGCACGACAAGCCTTGCGTAATCTTATAGTATCACAGCTATTACATAAACTACAATTGAAGATTTTTAATGCAGTAAACAGGTGAACGAAAACATAACATGTGTACCAAACGCGTTGAATTGATATGTTGATTTTGGTTTGGTAATAAAGTATGCATTGTTATTAACGGTGTTTGACGCGTTTTGCAAATCGCAGCAACAGGTTTACACGCGAAAAGGCGAACGAACCTCTAGGCAGACACGCAAAGTGGCGCGTAGACTTAATTACCTGTTAATTAGAACATGCTAGGAACTTGCGCCCGAGCCAATAAAAGCCGGGCAATCGAAGTGCGCGCGCGGCGCTACAAATGCCACGATAATAACGCCCGATTATAGTGCTTGACTACATCGCGAAAGAATTTACACACGCCGCTACCGTACACCACACTGCAAGCGGAGAGGAAGCGCACGAAGGAATAAATTTAGCAATCGCGCGCAGACGTTTGTTTGCTCAATATGCTCATTGAGTTTGCTGTGTGGTAGAGTAGAACGGAAGCTCATTGCTGCAAATGATTCTAATAACTTTATTAGTTTTATTGCTTTCTGCACGGCATTAATTTTAAGTGCGGTCAAAGTTACATCAATAGTTACATATTGATTTAAAACTAATAAAGTAAATAAATTTACAACATAATCTAAGGGGAGCTGGATATTCCCGCAACTCGACTCAAACACCCAAAGAGAGATGAACCCTGCGACCTTTCTCCTGGACGACTCAGGCAGAACTGAGTGTTTAGCGCACTTCGGTCTGCCCTTTTATACCTGCGGGCAACCAGTACAATGTGGTGGGGGTGTGTAGTGGTGGTGGGGGGGGGAGTTACAGGTTGCACCTGATTGCGAGAGCTGCGTAGTCGTGAGCAAGCATTGGCTGGCGCGCTTTCCCCCACCACTTTTTGCGGGTCGACCGTAGGTATAAAAGGGCAGCGCGCAGCGAATCTGCTCAGTCGTGCCTGAATGATCGAACAGTCCGGTTGATGCTTTCTTTTCTCTTTTACTCTCTCATCGGGTCAGTTTGGGACATCGCATAAAGGCAGGCCCCGCTGACATTGTTCTTAAAATGGGTCTCTAGTATTAATTATGTAGTTCAATAGTATATCTTCAATGCAATGAAAGCCGTGCGTCCTTAAACTTTACACTTTTTTAAACGCTCCATGATTTCGCCATATTGAATCATTCTGCTGCTTCGTGCGCTGATATATTGAACTTAACTATTGATTTATTGATAGCATTGTTACCTACTTTATTATAAACTTATTCTATTCACTAATGGTAAAACGCGGCCGATATAGCCATTTATATGTGATGTTAGATATTTGCAATTAAAGCGAAGGCACGATAATGCGGCTGCAACTAATGACGAGCGAAGCCATTGTTTCTAATAATAAACAGTTAATTGGTTTCAATAACCGTAACTCAATGCGTGATTTATATGTAATTGTTTACAGACTCTATGATTTCGTCGCCGTTATCATCACACCAGAAAGGACAAGATGGCGCGTTTCAAGATCCGCGATTGCAATCGCTGGAGAAGCAACTGAACATTGAGCTCAAAGTGAAACAGGGCACTGAAAATATGATCCAAAGCATCACACGCGATAAGAAATTACTCGCGGAAGCGCAGCAAATGCTGCTGGATTCCAAGGCAAAAATAAACTTCCTACAAATGCGTATTCTTAAAGTATGTTAGATTTTTTTTTGTTCGTGTGTGGTTCTAGTTTCTGGTTTATAATTGGTGATTATTTTTAATGGCAGGTAAAACATAATATTAACAATAAACACCACAGCGGTTCTATTCACGATTTATCTTCAAACGGCGATGCCAGGGAACTGGAAACTTCTTTAGAAGAGCGGATCGACGACATTAGACACCGTCTGCGCATCGAGGCAGCCGTTGTTGAAGGAGCCAAAAATGTGATTCGCTTGTTGCAAAATGGCGGCAAGGAAAAGTCGGACAAGAAAGCTCTGCAAGAGGTGGGTGTTTCCACTGGACCCAAATTAGTTGTCATAGTTTTATGTTATTCTTGAAACCTTTTCCCGCCTCCTCTTTCCTCTTGCCACACTTTTTATTTTTTTTTGTGATCGGTTAATTTTATACGTGCCTAATGTCGGAGGTATTCTGAAGTCGAGCAGTTTCGCAATCCGCCGCCGCGCGTATGAACGCAACGCTTTTTTCCGACGCTCGGATTCGTCGATTTCATGCTATAAGTTTTGTTTTCCTACGCATTTAAGTCGCGCGCGCGTAGATTTCGTAGCCGCGGCGTTTTTCCGAGGTGTTTGCTTGCCAAAAACGCAGCGTCGATCGGCGTACGGACTTAGATGCGCAGACCGTATGAAGCTTTCCAAAGCTTTTCAGTACGCGACCGATTGTACGAGCAATCGGTGTGCGTGCGTTGTTATACGAACGAGAATTTGAAACGCGCAACATTTGTCGAATGAGAATATTAACTCAAACGAGTGATTTACGAGTGAAACGATCCATCTGGATAAGCGATACGAGTTTTAAGAGAAGAAGGATTAAGTGACGGAGAAATAATTGAACGAGTGTGCAATTATTGTTTAAATATCAGTGCAGTTTTTAACAGTTTTAAAGTGCAAATAACGAAGAGAGCAACAAACACAAGGATTGCAAGCTTGATGTAGTGCACGAGCTATTTATATACATCATAGCGTTACATTACGAAATATTGCCAACTACATATTGCGCGTTCACATTACGACGACATTGATTTCGGACCACTTTCATCATTTCCACCTAGCTCTCGGGACTCAGGTTAACGCAAAACTTGCAACATCGTGAACGCACCTGTAGTGCAAACCGAATCGTCCGACCAGTGGCCGCTTTACGCATACTTTAAATAGGTCATCACGATTTCGCTCTCTGGGTGTGACTTACATTTACATTCCCGTCGTCACAATTAAGTCAGTGAACTCTACTAAAGTACGGATAATTATGTAATCGAAGTGCAGCACCCATCGAAGAAAATGTTTGGGTCTAAAACGGCTTCATCAGCAGGGACAGATCCTTCTCAACAATGGACTGTCCACGCTCAGTTTACAATAAGTCATGATGGCGTCACGGAGACTACAAGCACGCCTCAGGCTCACACCGAACAAGATGAAAACGGTGTGCGAATGGTATACACATGGTCCTCGCAGGATTCTCCACCACAGAAGGAACATGAATCAAGTTATGGTTTTCAGAAGGGTAACATGATTTTTACTTCGTCGCCACCGGTTTCTCGCGATAATACCAAAGGTCCTGGCATGGACTCGTCCGGGTACGGTAGTGAAATTTCTCCCAATAGTAATTATGTACATGGGAGATTACCTCTTGACGCACTACGAGAACAAAACCTTCAGAATAGACGTTGCAGGAGCACATGTAGTATAGTACTTTCCACGAATGTAGTGGAATTGAAGCCTTCGCAAGATGATTCAGAGGCCCACAGTCAGGGGAGCACTTCGCGCACGCATAGCCTGCGCTGCCAAACGCCCACGCTCAGGTGCGAGCAGCGTAAATGCGGCAAAGACGCCTACTACGGCTGTGGGGATCCCTGGTGCTACCATTCCAATTATGGCGAGGATTTGCGGTTTTCACCGGTGCCTGAAAGCGAAGAGTACGTCAGCAAACGGCCTTCCAGGGCTAGCACTTTTAATGTGAGAGATAATGAACGCTCTAGGAGTTCGCCACCGAGAATGGAAAAGTCGCGGGATGCGGCCGTTCAAACCTACGAAATGATCGACAAGAGCACTTCTCCGTTTCTACGCATGGATAGTTTTGATTTCAAAAACGCCAAAGCAAACAACAACAAAGATTACAGGGAAAGAAATTTAAAGAAACGTGGCGCATATAATGTTCGTCGTAGAACTGAACCAGTTTTTCAACGTGGGAATGAATCTTCTGCTTCGTCTTTTACACCGGACAGCTTGAATTCATCCCGGATGGTAATTATTAACACTGTTTAAGTGTGATCCATTTATAATAAATTTTGGGTCAATTTATTTTCAGACGGCACCTAAACGTATTGTAAGAAACCCACCAGTTCAAGCACCGCTCAAAACGCCGGTAACTCCAAAAGAAATGAAAAATTCGAATACTTCGGCTTCTAGTGATCCCAACAAGAAACCACGCACCGTACATATAGATGTTTATTGCACTGGAACTGAAGTGGATTCTGATTCTTCCTCTAGTTCATCAAACTGCAGTGATGAAAAGACTGGATCATCTCCGCAGACTGTGTTTGAGTCTGGGAAGGTGCGCATCACCCACAAGCGCTCCGAAGACAATTTGCCATTTCATATGAAACAAAATTCCGCTTCTAGCAGCGAAAAGTTGACAAAGTCAACAGCTCCGCCGCTGGCGGAACCGGAGGAAATCAATGATGGATTGAGTAGTGGTTATCCTTCGAGAAGTTCCTTTTCTGGAATGCGCGACTCGCGTGATTTCGCTTCAAGTTTTTGCTCGTCCGTTCCGCCATCTTGGTCTACCATGTCTGTTTCCGTACCGGATGTACCTGATGATACATCCTGGAAAGACACATATTCTGATTTAGGCAGTTGGAGTCGATCAAGTCTGGCTCAAACTGATAGTTTAGATTTTGTACCCAGAAAATTGACATCGTTAACTAATCAACTAAACGCGACCAGATCGAGTATAGACGAACAGCCCGAAATTGATTTGTTGAAGACACCCAGTGTTCAAATGAGCGATAGTTTTGAATATGCCGATTCGGAAGATAAGTCTAGGATTCTTCAAATGGAGAATATTTGGCAGAATCAGAAGCAAAAACAATGGCGGTCGCCTCAGGAAGAACGCAAACAGCATTTGCAACAACAAAAGATGCGGGAATACTTTGAAAAGCGCTTGGGAACTGACCAGCAAGCTAGTAATTCTGATTCTGATTACTCGGACGCAGGTTCCGAAAAGGGATGGAGTTTTATTAATGACAAAGCGGTACCTCGACGTCCACAAGATATAAAGAAGAAATTAATTGAGGATACCAATAATAACATGGAAACCGGAAACAAATCTAATTATTTTAATCAGAATAGAACAAGTAATGACCAGAATCCCATGCGTGGTGCCTTACTGGTTGATGAAGCTTCTAGGATGGTTACCGCTTGCAAATCTCCAAGTATCCTAATTGTAAACAAGAAAATGTCCGCCAATCCAGCGCTAAGGGCTCCATTTACTATTCTTCCTGGCGTGTTCACGGAGCAACGTGAAATTGCACGAAAGTTTGGTCGAATTGTGGACGTGTTTAAGAAGCCGGGACATCACATTGGTCCAGCGAAAAATCCTGACTGCACGTGCGATCACTGTCGCGAGTATTTTGCACGATTTGGTTCGCGATCGCGCGCCCGGTCCGTAGACAGTCACAGCAACTTTTTCAATTGGAAAGGTGCGGGGCGCGGGTCGGTCCCGCCAGAGGAACGAACATTGCCGGACAAGGAGGGCAATAGAAGTGTCACGTGTCTAGGTTATTCGGACTTTTAATTACTTGCAATGTTCTCTTTTCATAATTGTGCACTTTTCTTTTACGTTCTCTTACCACTTGTACCAAAATGTGCGTGAAACTAAATACCTCACAAAAACCTCACAGAAAAGTTACTTTGTTTAACCTCTACCGGTACCTGTTTTTACGTTAATTGTACATATTGTCTCCCTGCATTTATGTGAGTACTGGTGTCATAGTTTCCTGTTCGTTGAGAGTTTGTTTTTAATATGATGATATCTTGTTTCTAGGCTCAAGCTAGTTTGTCTGCAAGTAGCAAGAAACTAGACCTCCTAAAAAAGTCCCTCGAACTGCGTCGGCATGAATTGCCGCCCGATAGTCGAGCCGCCGAGTTGCTCAAGCGCGAACTGCAGAATGTGCAAGCTGCAAGTCCACACACAGTGTACACCAGCTTACAACCATTCGATTCGTCAGACAAAAAGTACAATACATCACTATCGACGTTTAACCGGACGGCGGCTGTGACTGGCACGCTGGAGGTTCGTCTCATGGGTTGCCAAGATTTGCTGGAGGAGGTGCCAGGTAGATCCATGCGGGATCGCGATGTCACCTCCAGCCCCAGCGACTTTAGGGGATTTATGAAGGGCGTCACGGGTCGCAGTTCCTCTAAAAGCTACATAGTAAAGAACGAAATCAGCAATGAAATTATGGCACTGATCAAGTTGGACAACCAACTTGTGGGCCAAACCAGTTGGAAACCATGTTCACAACAAGCTTGGGACCAGAGGTAATTGTAGAAATAAACTAAACATATTCTAAGGCTCACATGGTATTTTTTATTTAGATTTTCAATTGAACTAGACAAATCGCGAGAGCTAGAGATTGGCATCTATTGGAAAGACTGGCGATCGTTGTGCGCCATTAAATTTCTAAAACTAGAAGAGTTTATAGATGATGTACGCCACGGCATGGCGCTGCAATTAGAACCGCAAGGGTTATTATTCGCTGAGATCAAATTCCTTAACCCGATGATCACGCAACGGCCAAAGCTGCAACGACAGCGCAAAATATTCAAACAGGAAATTAAGAATTTCCCGCGTGCCAACCAAATGAACATCAATGTTGCTACTTGGGGTCGTCTACTAAAACGCAAAGGTGAAAATCCGCAACCACCTAGTCCTCCAGAATCACACAAATCGGATTCCGAACCAGCTGAGGACAAGGCGGAAACACCGGGTGAAATTCCCGATCCCCAGATTGGCGGGCTTGGTGGTCAGCGGCCATTAGGATTGGGGGCACCTATGCTTCCTGTGGAGACACCTCCAGCGCCCGCTCCTAGAAAGATGCAGCCTCCGCAAACTCCGCCTCCATTACCACCAAGGATGAATTCGTTGGAAGATGAGGTAGGTTATTTTGGTTGTGGTATTAGATACAAATTTCGGTTCAAAGTGATGGATCACGTAGTGAATGCTAGATTTTTCTTTTTCGATGCGCACACCGTATGCAATTTCTTCGTGTATTTCTAGAACGCGGCGTTGAGCGCGTTTGACTTCCTAGACGAACGGGAAACGCGGGTGGGGCCTCTAATCATTCCGAGCACGCCCAACACTCCGGTTAGTTATGAACACCATCATCAGCATCAGTACCATGTCGAGCTGCCGGTTTCTGAACCGGTGGTCGAGTTTCCCGACGACGACGAGGTAGACTTTTGTGGTTTTCTTTAGTTGTTTTGGGTATTCTAGCACTTTTTGTTGAAATTTGCACGTTTGCACTAACTAACTTTGGAGCTGTCACAATCTTGGATGAGGAGAAGTCAAGAATATACGACTCTGCATGATGTTTTGCTTGTCAAGTTTTCTTGGATTTGTAAATATCACAGCAATAATTCTAACTAATGTATTCATACATTCTAGGCGGTGGAACCACGTCGTCCTATTGCACGTGAACTTAGTCGAACCACATCGTACGAATCACGCCGGCTCTCCATGCCGAAGATCGGCATGACAATGGAGAACTTCAAATTGATCAGCGTTCTGGGTCGCGGTCACTTTGGCAAAGTTATTCTGTCACAGTACCGCAACACGGGCGAATACTTTGCGATCAAGGCGCTGAAGAAGGGAGATATAATTGCGCGCGACGAAGTCGAATCGCTACTCTCAGAAAAGCGCATTTTTGAAGTGGCTAATTCGATTCGCCATCCGTTCCTGGTCAACCTCTTCTCGTGCTTCCAGACAGAGCAGCACGTCTGCTTTGTAATGGAGTACGCGGCCGGTGGAGATCTTATGATGCACATACACGCCGACGTCTTCACCGAACCACGCGCAGTCTTCTATGCTTCGTGCGTCGTGCTTGGATTGCAATTCTTACACGAAAACAAAATTATTTATCGCGATTTGAAGCTGGATAACTTGCTTCTTGATACAGAGGGATACGTAAAAATTGCCGATTTCGGTCTTTGTAAGGAAGGAATGGGCTTCGGTGATCGTACCGGGACTTTTTGTGGAACACCAGAATTTTTAGCGCCGGAAGTCCTTACAGAAACTTCCTATACACGTGCTGTGGATTGGTGGGGACTTGGTGTGCTTATATTTGAAATGTTAGTCGGTGAGAGTCCGTTCCCTGGCGAGGACGAAGAGGAGGTGTTTGATTCTATTGTCAACGAGGAAGTTCGTTATCCTAGGTTCCTGAGTTTGGAAGCAATTGCAATTATGAGAAGAGTAATTTAAAATTGGGCGGCGTTAAGCTAGAGTTTTTACATTAACGTTACTTTATTTCAGTTGTTGCGAAAGAATCCTGACCGCCGTCTGGGTTCAAGTGATAGAGACGCTGAGGATGTACGTAAGCAGGCGTTCTTCAGGATGATCAATTGGGAAGACCTGCTTCATCGTAAAGTCAAACCACCATTCGTACCTACTGTCGTACGTATTGAACGATTATTGATTTAAGAATAACAAATTAATTAAAATTGTTATTTTCAGGATTGTTTGGAAGACGTAAGTAACTTTGATGAGGAGTTCACGAGCGAAAAACCGGCGCTCTCGCCGCCAAAAGAACCGCGAATACTGACTGACAAGGACCAACTTCTTTTCAAAGATTTCACCTATATGGCTGATTGGTGCTGATAATGCCAACGTTAGCTGTTGCACGTTTCAGCAAAACGAACAAAATGAGAAGGAAGCGCGCTGCGAACTAAAGCTCATCTTTCACATGCAATGATTTTTGTTACAAAGCCAACTCTTTTTTTATTGTTTCCGAATTCTATGAAGTAATTGAAAGAATGCCAACATTGAATGAAGCAATTGAATTAGATCAAGTTTAGATGATAATGAAATGTTAAATCAATTTGTAAGCATTGTTAATTGATAGTTTTTAGTAAGATCTCAAGTGGCTGCACTATATTTTCCAGCCAAGCATGATAAGAAACGAAAGAGATTATGGAAATGATCGATGCATATCTATTTGAAAATACGAGAGAAGTGATACTGAGATTTCATAAATTGGTGATAATATAATCGGACAAGCTGAAATATAACAAGTGCTTTGCAAGGCGGAAGCAACCCAATAAAAGTTTTGGTCGCGAATGCAAAAAATTAACATTATCAAGGTATAAGCAAAGACTGCATAATCTATAACTGAACAATAATTAATCTAATAATATTGAAAATGTGAATTTTAGCATTTGTAACAATTTTCAATGTAATGAAAGCCTAAAGAAAAAGCCATTTTATGTTTATTGATGAAAGAACAGTTCTATTTATAAGCAACGCAAATAATGAATTACATGGTGTATGATGTAGCATAATGTGCCTCCATTTGTTTATAGCGGTTGCAAGTGCGATTTAAAGGCGCCTGCAACTGATGTTGTATTAATGATAGCAATTCATTAGCTTTTATAATCCCTTACAACTATGAGCGTTCATAAATTTGTTGCATTTCAAGCCTGAACTGAGTAAATTTATTTTATTTATTAGACTCTGTGAAATTGCAAGTTTAACATTATGGACAATCACTTTTATCTATCTTGTTAGTATTCTTAGTCTTTATTGCCTTGTAGACGATATACACACATTACATTTATTAATCGTAATAAATCAACATATTTATGTACATATTTACCTAATTTTTCAATGCTTTAATATACATATTATAAATTATACTTTCCATATAAATATGAGTGATTTTAAACGACTCAGTAGAGCGCATGAATGGGTGAAATATCATGAAACTTAATACTGTACATCATAAGTTGAATTATAAAGTATGTAATTCATAAAGATAGAACTGCATAATGAACATTAAACAATAAACAAGAACACTTTTTTAAGATTCAGTACTTGGCCCAGGTACATCAGATGTATCTTTTTGTCTTTTTAGTTCAGGTACTTCCGTAACTTTCTTTTGCACCATTGATTTCTTTCGACGTGATTGTTTATTACTTTTTTTATTTGGAGGTGATCCTAATCCTTTTGATATTTCATAAAACACAAAAGTACTATCAGCCTCCCAAATAACCAGTACCACACTAAAACACATAAATTTAATAAATGTACATATGCAATCAATGCATTTTTATGTTACCAATTTGGTATGTGTATGTCAGTAATTAAAGCAAAATAATCATCCCAAATTTGAGGATTCAAAGCCAATGAACTGCTTATAGGAACAAATAACTTCATTGGTCCACTTTTCTCACCCACTCTTGTCTGACAATATGCCTTTTTAATATGTCCATTAAAATGAAAGGTTGTATCAGAAAGAGTTTGTTTATCCTGTCCTAGGGAATATATTTATTGATAAGAAATCACAATTATAAATTCAATCATTGAAATATACTTCTCAGGAGTTCTAAATATGTTAAAGCACATAAAGTGGCATCTTCTTTGGATTCACAACCTAAGGTAGTAATTTCCTCAATCTAAAAAAGTTACAATCATCAACAATAAAATGTACATTTTAATAGTGAAAAAGTTTTTACGAGTTTGTCCATTGGTTTGCTAATGATGGTAAAATATGTGTTCTCATAACCTCACGGCATCACATGGCAAATTATTATCCCAAGAATGGACATTATGGACGTTTGAATCTATATTCTTAATCCACGGTTTGAATCTTAAATAACATTTGTTATGTATAACTTCCAATCATGTACAAAAGCACTTCCGACTTTCCTTAAATAAATGGAATGTAAACATAACATGCATACTCCGTATATACTAGATGAGGTGCGCGCGCAGCGTACATTGGATACACGTAGTTCACGAGTATGTACCTGTGTACCAGTGATTTAGTTAGCCGTGCTTGTTGTGCGGAGAGCATGTGTTGCCTCGCGGTCTTTTCTCGACACTCTTGTCGGCTTTTCTAATTTTAATTCGGTAGTAGCATGAAAGTCGGTTAATCATCGAGAGTATTTCGTAATAACAAGTGCGTACAGCACACAACTAATAAGTGGTTTATCGCGAATAGAATTCAGACGAGCATGTGCACGAGTGTGTGCGGTCAGCCGTCGGATATTTTCCGACGGTTTCAAAATTCTATTGGATTTATTATTCATTTATCAATTCGTCGAATGAAACCATGTGTGTTTCTCGTGTACAAAGAAGTTTGCAAGCTCTTTTAACCGAAATCCAGTGCAAATTGACTAAATACGCTCTCAGTGAAAATACATTTATAAGTTTTAACAATAATGTAAGTAACATCAGTTCAACTAACACAAACAACTTTTAAATTCTATAGGAAGCTGTTGTGATACTGTGCTGTTTTGGAAGGACATGTTCCGCGCATAACACCTTTTCAATTGCACACTGTCCAATAAGCACAACATAGTATCACAAAACATTAGTATCACTTACACTAGTGAATAAGTTAACAGCATGAAATAATTGAAATTGACTCTTGATTGTATGGCTTTTAATAAAATACAAAATTAATAATAAAATGTGCAAGCACATTTCTTTATGAATCCTCTTTGTCGTTTTCAGAACGGGTTTTGAATGCAAATCAGCGCATACGTTTGTATGTATGATAGTATGTTTACCAGTGCAGTATACAGGTGTTGTTGTTTTTAAATACTCAGTTTTAAATAATATGGCATAGAAATTTTATGTGTGCAGCGGGTATAACATAACTAACTGTTCCTTGAATTGTGTTGTTGTTTTTAATAACATGATTAAAGTAGAAACATAAATAGAAGAATCAAATATGAATAACAAAAACACTCGGTGGTCGAGTGGAGACGTGCACCTGCTGGCATGCTAGCAAACACGGGTCGAATCCCAGGTATAGAAGGCATTTTTCTCAAATATAAAAATATCAGGTGAAATTTGGGTTGCATATATGAATTGCAACGAAATATAAGAGAAGTTGATATACAAATGGAGGCAAAATAAGAGAAGTAAGAGAGTAAATGGAGAACGGGAGATCAGAGAAATAGAAGAATGAGAGTAGTAGAGAATAGGAAAAGTAGAAGGAAGAGAACAACAGAGGAGTTGAGTAGAGAAGAGGAGGAGATAGAAGAAAGAGAACCAGGGGAGGATCAGATTTTTAAATTTTTTGGCACGTGTCGTTATAAGACAGTCACAGGTCGATCTCCCAGAGCGCCTCCGGCGCTCTGGTCGATCGCCCACTGCTTCAATTCGTCCATTGCTCCCGGCCCATCCTACAGCTGCGATGTCTCTGCGCTTCATCCCCGAAATTATCAGGCATATCAACAATTTTTATGGTGGGGGATCACCCCCAGAGAGAGGGAACTCCTTATAAGGACAATCCTCATAAGGTCTTGTTCAAATATTTCTAAGTTTTAAGTCGCCTCAAGAGAGGTGACACTTAAAAATATTCTTACAAGTTCTGACCTGTAGCTGAAATGAAAGAAGGAGCACACAAATCACACAGGATACTTTAACAATTTTTATAGTGGGGATCACCCCTGAGAGAGGGAACTCTCTTAGAGACCTGTTCCTGAAATGATAGAAGGGGTACACAAATCAAAGAAGTCAATATATCTTACTATTTCTTTATTAACAATAGAATACAAGTTTAGACTTTACAAGTCAACAGAATACATGTCGCCATATTGAAACAGGACTTACGACCTGCTAAGCCGCGCACATATAAGCAAGTACCACTTCGTACAGTTCTACCGGAATAAGGAAATTAGCAAATAGTTAATTTTCTACGTTATTGAAAATGAAAACAAATATACAGGGTGATACAAAAAGATAATTTCCAGTGCAAATAAAAAAATCTAAATACTATAGACCTTGCTCGTTTTCACTCGACAATCAAGGAAACTAATATACAGGGTGTAACAAAAAGAAAACAAAATCATTTTAGAATATACGTCAACGACAAACTTTGAAACACCACAAATATGGCCATTTTTTTTTCACGTGACATCTCTGGAAAATTGTTATACAGGGTGTTACCGAAAGAAAATCAACAATGTAAAAAGAAAATGGCTTCAAAACAATAAAGATTGGCAATTTTTTGCTGAGAAGGAAAATTGTATATACAGGGTGTTGTCAAAAGAAAATCTTCCATTTATGAAGAAAATCACCCCAAAACAAAAAAGATTGCTCATTTTTCGCCGAGATCAAAGGAAAATTTATATACAGAGTGATACAAAAAAGAAAAACATACAAGTTCTATTACCTGTTTGCACCTAGATGTCCAAGAGAGGTGATAGTTGCGGGGGTAGAACATAATAAACAATATAATTATTAATAATTATAATTTCTACTTTTAAAGAAATACTAAATCATGATCTCTTAAATCCAAAAACTAGCAAACAAGTCGATTACAAACAGAAACAAGATAGAAAAGCAATAATCAGACACGAACCTAACGGAAGCGAATAGACAGCCGACGGAACACGCAATATTGCACTACTTGCATTACATCGTGGATTAAATCCGACCATTTTCCGAGCTCCAACTAATTTTATTGAACGTTTTTCCTTATCGGGTGATGAATCCACATTGGACTGTTTAATTAGTCGAATAACAACAGAATATAATATTTGTGTTACACACCTTACGTTTTCGTAGGTGAAATTCTCCACAAGAGGCACAAATGGTGGTGATATTTCAAATTATTAATTAAATGAGTACACAAAACAAAACCACTAGGAATTCTTAGCCGACGCGAGATATCCGCCAGCCAACGGCAAACACGTGCGTATCTTGTAAAACCACGCAATTCAGGGTTCCACGCGCGATGTCTCAGAACTATACACCGCACTCGTAGATTACTTCTAAATCTTATCTTTGCTGACCATTTTAATTCAACTACCGACTTGAAATTACAAGAAACGCGATTAGTCGGCGCGAAAACCGCCGATCAAGTAAACGCGTCTTTACCACGCGGCACCGCACGTTCGACTAGGTAAGAAATAGAACAAACACTGCTGAGCGAGCCGGACGCGCCGCAACGCGATAACAAAAAGTTGTTTATTCACAAACACCGATAAATATCAGGAGTGAGAAATATGAACAATTCATGTTGTGGATGCAGTCCAATGCAATGAAAACATTGTATATTGTGAACGTACTCTCTTATTGGTATAAACAATATATCCTAAAATCCAGAATTGAATGCAGTCAATATGAAAAGGCAGTCACGGAGATTATCTGGGTGAAAAATCTGGGACAAACACGAAAAATCTCTGCTCTTAGCACTTAGCAAAAGGTACCGTACGAAAGTAGCGGTTGAAGTTAGCAAGTACAAGTGCGTATACACACAACTATCAATATAACTCACGTTACGGAATTTTCTAGAAATAAATTTTGATATAGGGAGATACAAAATTAAATTCCGCATCTAAGAAAATTATTCCTATTTTACAATAAGACCGCGTTCGGGTGTTATAAAGAAAAAACTACAATTCCTAGCCCAGCGAGTACAAGTGCGTGTACACACATCTGTCACTATAACTCGTGTTACGGAATTTTCTCGTAATAAATTTTGATACAGGGAGATACAAAATTAAATTCCGCATCTAAGAAAATCATTCCGATTTTACAATAATACCGCGTTCGCGTGTTATATTAAAAAAACTACAATTACTAGCGCAACGAGTACAAGTTCGTATACACACAACTATCAATATAACTCGCGTTACGGTATTTTCTAGCAATAAATTTTGATACATGGTGATACAAAATTAAATTACGCATCTAAGAAAATTATTCCGAACTTACAGTAAGACCGCGTTGGCGTGTTATAATAAAAAAAAAACTACAATTCCTAACGCAACGAGTACAAGTTCGTATACACACAACTAAGGGTAGAAGTGACTCGTGTTTAGAGCACCGTACGAAGGTAGCGGTAGAAGTGACTCCCATTCAGGGCACCGTACGAAGGTAGCGGTAGAAGTGACTCCCATTCAGAGCACCGTACGAAGGTAGCGGTAGAAGTGACTCCCAATCAAGGCACCGTACGAAGGTAGCGGTAGATGTGACTTTTATTCAGGGCACCGTACGGGGGTAGCAGTAGAAGTGACTCACATTCAGGGCACAGTACGAAGGGGGTTTTTCCATTGTATTGAAATATGTTCTATATATATTCTAAACTAAACAAGATAGAGAGGATCAAATGGCATATCCTTACGAAAAATTCTCTATAAGATAGGCTAGTTAAATTAGAGATTTAGTCAATTTTAAAAAATAGGTCATAAGAAAAAATCATGCAAAGAGATGGGTGACCGAAAAAGTGGCACAACGCAAAACAAAACATTTCTCTGGATATCAAGGGAAAATTCGAATATTATTGTACATTATGTAAAACAGCCGGCAAAGAGCACTGACAAGATCGCAACCTGCAGCGAGAGCTGAGAATGTCAGCCGACGGCACACAACAATCTTGAACTATTGTAATTCGCTCATAAAACGCGATCAAAAAAACATGTAAATAAAAACAAAAATAATTTCTATTTTGCCAAGGTATAGGATATTGCAAATATAACTAAATCTTGTCACAGAAAACAAAAAACTATTTTTTCATATCCCATAAGAAACACGAGAACATACCTTCTTGCAAAATGAATTTTTCACTTTACTGTTATCCAATAAGTTGTAAGCATTTTAATTATACACATTGCAGGAATAGTGAAACAGGCGTGTAATACTAAGAGAATCCGACGGTCGACAGTAAATCACTCATATTGTATCTCTGCGTATATTCAATCCGTGGTAAATATTACGCAATAACGCGATGAAAAATTGAAACAATTTACAGTTAATGACCAGACGAAAATGTGCGCGTGCGGATCACCTGACGATAAAAATAAGACTAACACCGCATGCAAGCCAACCGCGTGAACAGAGAACGTGGAGATTGTCCTCCAATTGAACGAGATAAGAAAAACTTGTTTGTTTGTAAACACTGAGGCAGTGGTATAATCCTCTGTAGTGGAATAAAATACAAAAACAATTCTAGTAGTTACATTGAATATTTATTATTTTCAGTTTTTATTAATTAACTTATTTCACTTAGTGCTATTTCGGATGAATCGGATTTAGCATGCAGTATTACAGATTTTATCATCTTTGACATGTTTCGACGGACTTTCCGTACGCACTTACGTATTCGGGGCAAAATTTAACATAATGCAAGAATGCAATTCGTCGTAAATTTATTTACTATATTTCAGCTATATCTCTGATTAATAATATATATGTATCTATATATTTATTTTTCAAAAATGCTACAGTTTGTAATTTGTATAATAGTTTACAATGTACAAATGAATAAATGACACCACTAACTAATAGGATCACCATAAATATTCGTTCGAACTTGCGCAATCGTTGGTTCCTCTCGTTCTGGCTGCATAATCGTACTGGTTTGGGATAGAGAACTCCTGTACAAAAAGTAACGATGTAACAACACACTATTGTACCCCTTTAACAAGATTACAGAAACACTTACTTATATCCTCCAGTCCTCTTTTGAGCAAATTCCTCTCTATTTTTCCTTCGTAGTTCCTCGTACGTGGTTGCTTGTTTTTGCAACGGCGGCATTTCCTCCTCATAAATTGGATCTATAAAACAAAAAAAAATAAATAAACAGTGATTTGATTCGCAATTCACAACTGATTACTTACTATCAACAGAAGGTCGGTGTGAATCATCCAATCCTTCATAATTCGGCCGCGTAGTATCAAGGTCGGAAGATGGTTTCACATCGGAATATGTGTCGCTACCACCCATATTACTAAAAGGAGCAAGTGCCATTCCTGGTCCAATTCCAGGCTCCAAACTGAAACAAACATAATATGTATTAAATGTTGATCAAACATTAAGTAAAATAAAAATTTACGTTTCTGTAAAGTTACCCTTCCTCCTCTGCCTCAGCATCTCTCCAATTTGACTATTTGGTAGTTGCATCAGTTTCTCAGCACATTTTTGTTGATATGAAAATTTACCAAGAAAATAACCAATGATAACAGCCATGGTAACTTTAGGAGCAGCACCATATCTGATATTACCTCTGATGTATCCTAAATAGAAATAATACAATTATATTAAAATCATAGATCTCTCAAATTAAAAGTATTTTGGAAAGTAGTGAACTAACCATTCTTAACACCAAAATAAGTTCCAAAGCCAAGAAGACTGCCGATAGGTATACACCTTTGAAAAAACGACTCTTTATTGCATTCTCTCATAACACGCATTTCCTCCGGTGAAAATTGATACTAAAGTTGACAAAATTACATAAATAAACACCAATATAAGAAAACTACATGCTGTGTTCAATTGCATTAATAAGTGACTACTTACAGGATCTCTTGCATTTCTACGCTGCGGGTCAAAGTTAATTTGTTCATCCCCATCTCTATTAATTACTGGATTCATTTTAATACTTTATAAAGACAAAAATTCGTATAATTTAACTAATAACACTTTATATGTGCTCATAGGTTAGACATTTCAAGACTGAAACGTATGCAACCCAACTTACTGTATAAAATATCAAAATATATCCCTTATCAATAAATACAATATTATTACCACACATTAATAAACAACAACTTCATAAAATAGTATTTGTAAAAACGTTAAATGTATTTATCAAATTACAAACTCCCACGGCTTAAAACCACATAATTTGACAGCATTGCTTAAACAGTAATAAAATCCTAAAACTTACAAACGAACGAACAATGTATGCGCATAAACAAGAAAAAAAACACATGACTGATAACAAAGTTTATGAAGCGTTCTTGAAGTGATCCATCAGGTGCCTAGAGATAATGATACGTTGAATTTGTGAAGTGCCTTCGTAGATCTGATAGATTTTAGCGTCACGCATCAGTTTCTCAACGGGATAATCGCTGTTGAAACCATTACCGCCAAAGATCTGCACGGCATCGGTGGCGCATTTATTTGCAATATCAGCGGCATAACATTTAGCAATAGCAGCAGCGTAGCTGTTACGTTTGCCATTATCAACCTCCCATGCAGATTTCATCCACGCGAGACGAGCAGTCTCAACGGCGATAGCCATATCAGCCAACATGAAAGCTACGGCTTGATGATTGAAAAGCGCAGTACCGAAGGTCTTACGTTCCAAAGCGTACTTTGCAGCTTCGTCCAGGCAACGCTGGGCTACACCAGTGGCGCTGGAAGCAACTGGAGGGCGAGTTTTGTCGAATGTACCCATCGCAATTTTGAAACCAGCACCTTCTCCAACAAGAACGTTCTCTTTCGGCACGCGGACATCTTCAAATGTGATGCCTCGGGTATCAGACGCGCGTTGGCCCATGTTGATTTCTTTACGGCCAGGAGTTACTCCAGGGGTATCTCGGTCGACGATGAAACCAGTGAAGGCCTTGGCAGCTGGAGCTTTAGGGTCTGGGTTGGTGCGAGCCAACACAAAGTACCTAAACACATAAAATTAAATTTAAAATAATAATAATAATTTAAATATTTTAAAGTTACCAGTTAGCAACTCCACCTCCGGTGATCCACATCTTCTGTCCATTGATGATGTATTCATCGCCTTTCTTTTCAGCGCGAGTTTTCAGACCATTCACATCTGATCCAGCTGATGGTTCAGTAACAGCATATGCCTACCCGGAATTATACATAGTTATTTGAATGCACAAATTAAGTTTTACTATTTACTTACAGCAACTAATGGTTCTTCAATTAACCTGCCCAAATATTTCTTTTGCTGTTCCTTGGTTCCGCTAAGAATAACTGGAGTTTGCTGTAAAAATGAATACAAATGTGATAGAACTATATCTAACTTGTTTTACTAGTCAACTTACACCAAGGCCAGTCGCTTCCAATGCAGTTGCAACACCTGAACAACCATATGCAAACTCCTCAGCAATCAAACATCCATCAAAAACGCCCTGATTCAATCCACCGCAATGTTCCGGAATGTGTGTATTGGTCAATCCCAATTCCCATGCCTTCTTAATCACCGGCCACGGATATTCTCCGGTCTTGTCGTAATCAGCAGCAACCGGAAGAATCTCTTCACGTGAGAACTTCCGCGCGACATCTTGGAATTCTTTCTGCGTTTCATTCAGTTCTGAGAGAACAAAACATAATTAACAAACCAAGGTTTCTATCATTAAAAATTGAAATGTGCTTTAATAAATAACTTGGTATTTTTATTACTTGCATTCATATTAGTATTTAATATTAACGCTGTCTAAAAATATTCCCACAAGTATCTGAACCACTGCGATAAGATAACACGCAATTTTGTTTTCAGTTCAATGTTCAGAATGTTGTACATCGATCCAAAGGTATGAAAAAATTCAACTAGCTTAATTACTAAACCAAATAAACAACATACCGAAATTGAAACCGTTTGGAAACGCAGATGCCGACTTAGTTGGAGTCGTTGAGAAGGCCCGGATGGATGGACGCACTGCACGCAGCACCTAATCAAAAAGAAACACGCAAATTGGTTAAAAAAAATTATTCTCGAAGCAATAAAAGTCCACAATATATACCTGTTGCATTTGAAATGAAGCCATGATGAATTGCAATATTAATGTAGTTATAGGGAATTGGCACACTGAATAGTTGAGGCGAAAGCGACAGAATGTACTTGAATCGTTTGAACGCCGCTGTCGACTGCTGAATACTGCCGAATGTGTAAATAAGTCGACGCGACACCGGCTCACATTCACTCACACAGAAGCACCAGGCGGGGCCAACACCACTGGATTATTGTTTGATTGTGTTGAACTATTGGACACGAGACCAATGTGAATCCAATGTGAGCGGTGTTTTTATTTTAGACGTCAAAGCGGACGCGAGTGCGTGTGTGCGAGCGCGTGTGGAGATGGAGACGAGCCTCCATTCGCCAGACCACACAAACTACATACATTCATATTCAAACATACACATCAAAAACTAGTCGAACGACGCGGACTTTGAACTGAAAGATCGGGAGGTTGTATACGCAGTAGCGTATTAATAAAATCGACTTTTATGGCAAATTAAACACAATTACAACACAAATTCCACTTGTGATACCATTTTATACTTGAATTCTACAGGCTTAATGTATTTTCAGGGAATAATAAAGATTTTCCACTCTGAATTCCTGTTTTCTTTAATATTTATAAAGTTCCTAACTGTATTAGTAGTGTTTGTGCTCCAAAGTTTAAATAGAAATCTATGTTTAATTTGCAATAATTGATTGTTTACAAACAAGTTACGTGTTAGCAACTTGTGGAATCGTTATTATGACTTGAAATGGACGATTTATTCGCACGAGTTATAATGAAATTGATAAAAAAAAGTTGAGCACGTGTTATAAACGCGTGTAGCATATTTAAATGTATTATTTATTGCCAAACATTTTAAAAGAATAATATAACTACTTTTTAGGTGCACATAACTTTAAAAATTAATTTTTTGCAATTATATTATATCACTTTATATTTTTACTATTTCCTTGATATTTAAAGATTTAATCAAATTGATTGTTAATATGAACAATAATCAACTTGTTGATCTTTGAATTTGTTTCACTGTGCTTAAAATTTGCGTGATTCGATAATTTTCCTTATCAGAACATTTTAAAACAATTAAAAAAATAAATCAATGTAAACTGCTTATAAAATATTTCTAAATATAAATATACATGTAATGTAAACAAAATCCAAGTTAACTACAGTATAATATATCTGTTTGTGTGTATTGCAAGCGACGCGTCCAAACCTGGAAATGCATTGCGGCGTCGCGACGCTTTTTAGGGTGCGGCACGCGTCACGCGTCCGAACCTCGACGACAACATTGAACTTCAGTACCGCTACCGACATCAAACGCACCCTCGCCGCCCGCATAAACCCGCGCAATGGACATGAAAGGCAAAGTGGTCCTGGTGACCGGCGGTGCGTCCGGCCATGGCCGTCAGTATTGCGTCGAGCTGTTCAAACAAGGATGCAAGGTAAATAAACCAACTGCCACTGCCATAACAATTCATTCAACTTATACGGCGTGTAGATTTCCATATGTGACATCAACACCGATGCAGGTGAAGAGCTGCTGCATGAATTAATGAAACAAGGCGGCACTGCTTCCTCTGTGATTTTCAACCCCTGCGATGTGACGGATTACATGCAATTCGAGGAGGCTTTTCAGGCGACCATTTCAAAACTCGGTGGGGTGGACATTGTTGTCAACAATGCATCCGTGATGAATGATCGTTTATGGGAACTTGAAGTTGATGTCAATTTGGTAATTACAAACAAATCAAACTTTTGATTTTAAAAGAACTTAAAACAAAACCTAATTTTTTTCAGAATGGTGTTATTAGAGGATTACTATTGGCGTTTAGATTTCTAGGAAGAGATCGTGGTGGACCTGGAGGGATTGTTGTCAATATCGGATCAAGTTCTTGTCAGAATCCTTTAATATCGTTGCCTGTTTTTACTGCAACCAAACATGCAGTGGCAGCCATGACTCGTTGCTATGGTGATGCATCTCATGTTAATCTAACTGGTGTAAAGGTAATTTACATAACCAAATTGAAAGAAGTAATTTCTAAAAGATTAATTTAAAGGTGGTGGCAATGTGCCCTGCACCAACTCCAGCGGCTCTTCAGGGTGATGCTCGTAAACGTTTGCTAAGTGGAGAGTATGAACAAACATGGCAGCGAGATGTTTCAAAAACAACACCTTTAAAGTAAGAAATATTTGTGTTTTTTTCATGTATTAACCTTATAATAATTATTTTATAGGTCAGAACATGCTGCAAAAGCTCTTGTTGAAATAATAAGAAAAGCACCAAGTGGAAGTTGTTGGTTAGTAGAAAACTCCAAGGCCCCGAGCGAAATCAAAATGTTTTCCTAATTGCTCACCGTCGAACTAATAAGAACGAAAACAAATGCAATCAACAATAATAAAGCTCATCGTACTATTCTACCACCAACAAATGCATATCTTTCAAAATTAGCATAACTCACATCACAAGAACGTAAAAAGAATTGACAACAATCAAATCAAATAATCTACACATATAAAATATAAGCATATATTTTAAAACTAAAGAAAAACTATGATAAATGATGACAATGCAAATCAACACAAGAATCGTCAAGACAGCTAATGGCAAAAGATAACACCACCTAATTATTTACATGTATAAAAAACGTATTTAACATTTTTGAAATTTTATAAAACTTGTCTACTAACAAACGCGATCATTCATATTTTTTCCAAAAAACGGTGTAGAAAGTATATAATGATATGGAAAAAACGCTTATTAAATGTATACTTATACTCGAAGCTTAATTTACAACTTAAAACTGTATAGATATCTAGGGATGATAACTTTCCGAAAGTCTAAATCTGTGCTTATGAATAGCTTTATGTTGGCCAAACTCTACTTTTTACACTCACTTTCGGATTGCATTTTGAAATTTTTGAGAGTTTTGAGACGTTATACACATAAAAAAGTATTGGAATTTTTAAAACAGATACATGTGATGGTCGAATACGCCTAATATTAATATACATGCATTAAACTAAATTAAATAAAACAATTGTAATTGAACTATTCTTTTACTTTGTAAAAGTTACAAGTTAAGTTTAAATATTTACGAGTTGAATTAAATTTTGAACAAATTTTGATATTTCTGGCATTGTATTACATAAACATTAAATTTTACTGATTTTAAATCAATGTTTTAAGAATATATTAATTGAATAATGTAAAAATATAAATGGATTCAAAAGTGTAACTGAAACGTAATGAAAATAAACTATTAATCATTTATTTACGCTTATTTATCTCACTGTCACCATTGACATTTGCTGCAATTTTCGTAATATTATACTTTGAAGTCTAAATTAATTTGTATTGGCCCTTGCGTGCAAAATGCACATTGATCACCACGATGTCATCGACTACGAGCGTATGTTTGCTTCGCAATGCATTTAAACACAAGTAAGCTATACATTTACCAAGAATCCAAATAAAAATCAATCGTACTCTTATAAAATATAGAAACTTCAAGCTACCAGAACCACATCATGTAACTAAACACAAAAACTATTCGACAACATGTCCGATGAAACCGCACTTCATGGGAGTTGACTGTAAAGTCGCTCTCATAACTGGTGGATCCGAAGGGATGGGTTTTAGTATAGCTAATCACCTTCTCAAAGAAGGTGCCAGAGCTGTGGCCATCACCGGATTGAACCTGTGTAATGGAAAAGAAGCAGTTACATGTTTAAATAATGCCTACGGTCGTAATCGTGCCATGTTTATCAATGCCAACGTCAACTGCATGGTCCAGTTGGAGGAATCGTTCAAAGTAACACGGGAAGCATATGATAACATTGATATTGTGGTCAATTGCGCAGCTGTGTGTTTTGGTACCAAATGGGAGGAAGAAATCGTCACCAATTTAGTTGGTACCATTAGAACAACTCTACTAGGGTTTAAATACATTGGTACCGAAGGCTGTGGTAAAGGAGGTGTTGTCGTCAACATGTCTGGAACTGGGGGACTCTTGCCAATGGCGCCAGTTCCCACTTTGAGTTGTTGTTATCACGGTATCGTAGGTCTGACGAGAAGCTTCGGGGATGATATACACTACAAAGCGTCTAAGACGAGAGTGCTATGTTTATGTCCTGGAATTACTTCCACAAATTTTCTAAAGAAACAGAACCCTGCGATGACTCACGATCTAGATAAAGAGTTGGAGAAGTACCTAAAGGATGAGAAGCGACAGAATCCAGACGTCGCCGGTCTGGCCGCCATTCACCTTATCAAACATGGCCCCAATGGGAGCGTGTGGGTGCTTGAGGGCTCCCGATTATTCATGACAGAGATTCCTCACTGGGATCAGTATTCGAAGCTTGAGGCACAATACATGTGATTTAAATTCATACAATGTAAATAATCCAGCAACGCGCTTTCAAATATATTTTTGCAATTTAAACAATCTTTGTTGTCATGACGCGATTAATATAAATAATAGTATACGTGAGAAAGCAATGTCACCGCATGCAAAATTTGTCGTTTGCACGTAATTCCTCAGGCTTTTCATTCAAATTACAGTTTTGACTAAATGTTTATTTTGCCATCATCAATTCGCTAAATTTCGTTCCGATTGGGGAATCGTGCTCACACAACAAAATTCTACATACATTTTGGTACAAATGCAGGCGGTACTCGTTGGATCATCAAAGATGTGGCGCCATTGCAGGCGGCACCTTGCTACATCAAGTCAGTTTCTTCGTTTTAATAGTTCCTCGTGCAGCGATTCGAAGCATTCCGGTGAACTGCGTGACAAAGCGGCGCTGGTCACAGGCGGTGCTTCCGGAATTGGGTTGGAATGCTGCAAGGCTTTGCTGCGAGGTGGTTGTCGAGGGGTGACAATTGCTGACCGCGACAATGATTGCGGTGAGGCCGCGCTGAAGGAACTTGCGGAGGAGTTTGGTAATGAAAAAGCAGTTTTTGTCAACTGCGATGTTACCAAGAGTGAACTCGTCGATTGTAAGTTGCTTGAAAATTATTTTTTACACGATGGTAACTAATTTTATTCTCAGGGGCATTTAAAACCACCATAAATGCATTTGATAGATTAGACATTGTAGTGAACAACGCGGGTGTGCTTAATGATAAAGTTTGGGAGAATGAAATTCACACAAATGTGGTAAGAATCATTCCAGGTGTTATTTAATAAAATGATGAGTTTTGTGTTTGATTATTGTGATTTTTAGTGTGGTACCATGGTTGGAAATCTTCTCGGTTTGCAATACATGGCCGCTCACTGCGCGGGAAAAGGTGGATATATCATTAACATTGGTTCCACGATGGGACTCTCTCCTTGTGGTGGTTGCCCCATTTATAGTATGACCCAGTCAGCTATTTTGGGATTGTCAAGAGCATTGGGTACTGGTCATCATGTTGACCGTACCAAGGTAAAGGTGATCGCAATTGCTGTCGGTCTTACAAAAACGCCATTAATGATCAATGCTACCAAAAACGCAATAAATACTCGCTTCTCCGCGGACTTTAAGAAAGAGATAGAATGTCACAAGTGGCAGAAACCTGAGGCGGTAGCAAATACGGTGCTTGCTGCAATAAAAGATGGAGAAGCTGGTTCAATGTGGATTGTTGAAAGCGGAAATAAACCGTACAAAATTTGCATGCCATGCTATCAGGATCTGAAAGAAACACATAAACACACCATTGCTGAATGTCAAATGCCCGGAAAATTAAACACTCCGCGCGGCGGTAAAGATGAAGACAAAGAAAAAAGCGAAGCGAAAGCAGAAGGCGAGTCTAAGGCGCCATTAAGGAGAACCTGCGGCACATGTCCAGAACCAAAGTGGAACGACGGTCCTCCGAAAAAAGACGAAAAAGACAAAAAACCAGTGAGTGCGGGGGCAAAAGGGGGTAAGGGTAAACCAGGTGCACTGCCTGCAAAGAAAGCAGCTTCTGATAAAAAGGCAGCTTCGGCCAAAAAAGCAACGCCAGCAAAATCCACAAAACCACCAGTCAAAGCAGCTAAACCAGCCAAAGCAGCAAAACCTCCAGTCAAAGCAGCTAAACCAGACAAAGCAGCTAAACCAGCCAAAGCAGCTAAACCAGCCAAAACAGCTAAACCAGTCAAAGCACCTAAGGCACCAGCCAAAGTTGTTGCAAAGGCACCGTCTAAGAAAAAAGCACCAAAACCAAAAATTAAATGTCCTCTGCCACCCGCAAAAGCCGGGGCAAAAGGAAAGTCAACTGCTAAAGATACACAGTCGTAAGTTAACTTTGAAATTAATTTTAAAAAGGAATTATGAATGTCATTTCTCTGTAGGGTGCACTCTGAAAAATCTGAACTCTCCTTCACTAGTCTTTCCTGCAAGTGCGATATAGGCGCTGAAGAAAAACGGTAATAAAAGTTGTACTCATAAAGATTGTCCTAATTAAAATTGTAATTATTTTTTCAGGGCAAAACAACGAAAGGCCAAAAAAAATTAAGCAAATGTAAAGAAATTAAGATTCCGAACAAATATTAGATTTATTGTATAAAATTTTAGTATACACAATAAACAAAACTTTCTACTCTAACACGTTGTTTACTTTCATTAGTTTTGAAACGAAACATATTATAACCTTCAAATCACATGATTACTACTTACTTGTAATCTGCAGAATTCTGCTTGCGTGAGTTTTTATAAACTACAATATGTTTTGATTTGATTGTTATTGTAATGTCAGATCTAAAAATCACTGTCGAGGCCGAATTAACCAGAAAATTTTATGTAGTAAGTAAAAGTTAATTATATAATTATAAAGGACCCAAAAAAACTTGAATTTCAGTCAATTATCATCCCAATTCATAATGGATCAAAATGGATTGATAGTTGCTTTAATTCAATATTACAGCAAACAGCTAAAGATAAATTGAATTTAGAAGTTTGCATTTGCAATGATGCATCTACTGATAACACAGCAGAACTTTTATCAGAATGGGAACAAAAGTTTAATGATAATCATATTAAAGTTAGGATGTTCACAAATACCTCAGGACAACCAAAAGGAGGTAATAAATACCAACAAAATTGTATATGTTTATATTTTATGAGCCATTTTAGTTGGGTATGCCAAAAACCAAGCTGTAGGTGTCTCAACAGGAAATTATTTGTGTTTCCAAGACATTGTAAGTAAAAATACTTCTTTTGTATAGAAAAATAAAATAAAAACAATTTTTAGGATGATATAATGCTACCAAATAGAGTGTTATCTCAATATACACTTGCAGAACAAGTACCTAAAAATACTGTAAGAATTTTATTTAGATTTTATTTTTATGAGCTCAGTTTTTAAATGTTTATATTCACTTTCTAAGTTGATTGGTAGTAAATTTCAAAGGGAACCAGAAGACTCTACTATAAGATACACAAAGTGGGCTAATTCTTTAACTGACAAACAACTAAATGAACAGATTTATACATCTCATGGTCCAACAGTTATTATGCCAACTTGGTTTTGTCATAGGGAAATCTTTGAAAAGTATTAATATTTTATATAAAAATATGAAATACTATGTATGTGTTTTTAGAATTGGTGGTTTTAATGAGGAGGGCAAAGGTACACCTGAAGATCTTATATTTTTTTATGAACATATAAATAACGATGGACGAGTTGCTAGAGTTGATGAAACATTGCTAATTTATAGATATCATGAAGAAGCTACAACTTTTTCTATTAAAGAGTAAGATTTTATTGATGACAATATTATATATTCGATATTAAAAAATATATATTTATAGAGAAACAATTTGGAATGTAAGAATGAGACAGTTAGAAAAAAATGTTTTAAATAAGTGGAATGCATTTACTATTTGGAATGCGGGTAAACAAGGTCGGAAATTCTATAATTGTCTGAATAAGAGTAATAAGGATAAGGTGATTGCGTTTTGCGACGTCGACGTGAAGAAAATTAAACGAAAATACTGTCCATATGATCCAATTTTGAGAAAAGCTGGCAAAACAGTAGATATTGTTCATTTTAAGGAAGCAAAACCGCCGTTCATAATATGTATGAAGCAGGTAATAATAAATTATTTTAATTTGATACATTTCTTTACTTTTATTTGTTTATTCAAGGATCTGACTAAAGGAGTTTTTGAAGACAATTTAAAATCTCTGAATCTGATTGAAAATACTGATTATATATTTTTTAGTTGACATAAAACATTAAAAACATTGAAGACACTAATACTATCTATTTCTTTACTGTGTGTAAAATGTTTTCTATAAAGTGCAACATGCGGTTGATAAAACCAAAAAAAGTTATCACCGATGCTTGCAGGATAAATAAAGTTTATCTTGTACTAGTGACGTTGTGACGCAATGCTACCAACTACTGTTTCTACACAAAAAGTCCCTCAGTCCCCACTCCACCAGGTGACAGTCGAATTTTCTCTCTAATTTTGACAGGCTGCGGCTGCCTTCATCTTGGCAAAAACGTGAAACCCTAACCCTGTCGCAAAGTTTTCAAACAAATAGAAAAATGTGTGCTTAACGCCGAACATTACTCTTCGCCCGCCGAAACATGGACTTAAAATAGTGGTTCGTAGTCGAGAATCGCATCAGCATGGCGTACTACGACACGGTAAGCAGCATTGGGCATCTCGAACCGCCATACCGCACACGGAACATTACATGCTTTTTTTAAAGCACACCCTTCTACTCAAATTTCCCGGCTGCCAATCCAGCATGCTATCATATTTCTTAGTTACTAATTCTCATGCCTGAAATCTTTTAACGTAAGAAATTATTCTGTTAGAACTTTATTCTCTTCTATACAGACTGCATTAATTTATTAGGACATCTATTTATAACTCTTACATGTAGTCCCAGCAATAAACATTAATCATTTGTTGAATATGTTGTGGGCAGTCTTTTATTGTCAGGTTGTTTTTTTTTATAGTACAATGTACAATTTCTGGACCTCAGTGGTGTTGATGAAGAGGAGCAGAAATGGATCCTCACATCATTACAGGGCAGTTATCCCTGTGTTGAGGGTCCATGGTCAAAGGAGATTGAAGAGATAGAACATACACAATCACCACAACCTGGTTAGTTCTTATGAATATAATTCACTTCAATTTTTAAAAAAGTTTTTATCACAGATAATCAATAAAGTAATAATGTTATTATAGAATGTACAATTCAAACAAACATAAACAATGGCATGCCACCAATGTCGTACGAGCAGTATCCATCGCCGCCAATGCTCATATCGAACCATGTGAGTCCGATTTCGGCGCAGGTCTACCCACAATCATACCAGGCCACCATCCCCATGTACCCATCGGCGTTCGTGCCGCAGGTACAGTACGGCACGCCAATCATGCCGATGGTGCAAGTGAATGCACCGATGATGTCTTTCGGCGGGCAACCGGTCACCTACGCCACATACCCGTCGCCCATTCAAGCCAATCCCATTTACAACATGCCGCCAGGCCCACAAGTCGTCAAGGACTCTGCCAACAAGATCAATATGAACCCACACCAATATCACCACAACCGCCATCATAACGATCATCATCAACAACAGCAGGAATATTGCGCCCCTGTGCGACTACCCCAACAACATGCGCCAATGCCAGTTCAACAACCACAACCAGTCATCCCAGCAAACATTCAGCAATCAGCGGCAAACAGTAATGAACGAGTTGCAAAAGCTTCGCAAATACAATCACAACCTCAGGCGCAACCAGTTCAACAACAGGTTCAGGTTCAACAACAACAATCAGCTCCGATTACGAATGGGCCCGTAAGAAATCCATCTCCGATTGAACCGGCCAATAACAAAGTTGTATCGCCATCAACGAATCAAATTCCGCCTGTTGTGACTAACGGCCATGATGCCGTACCTGTTCAAGCGAATGGAATCGGAAGCAATGCGGCGTCACCAACAAACACGGAAACAATCAGTGCGCCAAGCGAGACACAAATTAGTCCAAGCACGATGAGTGATAATGCTGCCCCAGCCAATAACTCTACTGCAAGCACTGAAACAAATGCTAGCAGTGGAAGCGCTGGTATGTCTTGGGCTGGTCTTTTTAATAAGAAAAACAATACCGATCATTCCGAGCGAGTGGAAACAAAAAATCAGAACAATTTGAATTCTATCAATGCATTGCCATCCAATAATAATACCGAAAGTGTGACCGTTGTGGAGGAGAATCGCAAAAAGTCACCGCTGGCTGAAATTCGTGACCCGAATTATTATCGCATGGGAGGTAAGTAATTGATGAGTGTTTTGTATTCAATTTCATCAATTATGTCATTATTGCAGAGGTATTGGTGAATTACACACCCGACAATAAAATAACCAGCCTGCAACCGCGTGGTCTCATCAACCGGAGTAATTACTGCTACATCAATTCAATATTGCAGGCATTGTTGGCGTGTCCGCCAATGTACAACTTGCTGCATGCGCTTGGACAGAATGTTACAAACGAATACAGAAAGCACACTCATATAATTGACAATTTGTATGTATACGAATAATTTCATATTGAATGTTTATTTTACATTCATTATTTTTATTCTCAGGGTGAAGTTTGTTAAAGAGTTTAATCTCTTGCCTGCGGCGCAACGCGTTGGCCGACGATCGGAAAAAGTGCAGAAAAAAGAACAAAATGTTGTGGTGACTTATGATCGCCCGTTCGAACCGAACTGGATCTACAAAATGCTTAACGGCATGCAAAGCGATTCGTTCGTAGTCGAAGGTCGTCAGGAGGACGCCGAGGAGTTCCTCGGTTGTTTACTGAACGGACTAAATGATGAAATGTTAGAGGTAATTTCTGGAATCGATATTTTTTACTGCGTTTATTGATTGAAATTGTTTGTGCAGTTAATGAAATTGGTGGGCCCCAAAGTCAACAGTGTGCCAGAGCCAGCGCAAGAAGATGAATGCAAGTCAGAGGATAACGATTGGCAGGTTATCGGACCAAAGAACAAGGGTTGCATAACTAGGCGCACGGAAATCGTACGCACGCCAATCAGCGACATTTTCGGCGGGCACATTCGCTCGAAACTACTTCGTACTGGTGACTTGATCACTAATAATATTCAACCGTTTTTCACCTTACAGTTGAACATTGAAGTAAGTATTGTCAGGAATAATTTAATATAAATACTAATACAATTTTTTAAATTGGATTAACAGAAAGTGAATACCGTTCGTGAAGCCCTAGAAGCGCTCGTATGCAAAAATCAATTGGAGGGAGTAACTTCATCGAAAACAAATGAGGAAGTGGAGGCGTGGCAACAAGTCACCATTGAAGAATTACCCGTCGTGTTGATCCTGCATTTGAAGTGTTTCGATTTCAAAATGGATGGCTGTACAAAAATTGTTAAAGCATTGGAATTTCCAGTCGATTTAAAAATTGATGCGAGTAAGTAAACATATTTTATCTTTGAACGACTGCGATAGAAACCTTTGTGCGCTTCTGTTTAGAATTGTTATCACAAAAAATGAATTATCAACCAAAAGAAAAACAGTACAAGCTGTTTGCGGTTGTATACCACGATGGAAAGGAGGCGACCAAAGGCCACTATCTTACTGACGCCTATCATGTCGGATACGCAAGCTGGCTGCGTTTCGACGATTCGTCGGTGAAGACCGTGCAGGAGGAGCAAGTACTGAAGCCGCATGGTACGCGCGTGCCGTATCTCTTATTTTACCGGCGCTGTGATACGGTGCGCAACAAGTGATTCAGCTGCTAACCACTAAGTAAGACGGAAGGTCGATGTGACTGTGACCATCGACGTCCATAAAGGCTGACAAAACTAGATTTAACGACGGCGTAGTTAGTTAGGAGTGGAGGCGATGCACGCGTTTCCGATTTGTTTTTAGCAAATTGACATAGTTTTGATTGCGTCTCCGCCTCACGATTGTTAATATATTACTTCATTCTGCTCATTGATTCAATTGTTTAGCTCGCTGCATTATGCTGTCAGTATCAGTGCGTGCAAGTCGATCATTCCTTCTTTTGTTTTTTAAATCTTGAAATATTAATTTCTTTGTTTTGATGGATTGTAAATACGATTTTTAACACACAATTCTGCATATTATTTTCTAAACATTGTAAACACGATTTTTAAGAAATTATTTAATTGTCATTTTAGATGAGGATTACTAATTTATATAATGAGATAGTGACTAGTTATTAAACTGCATAGATACCACCGGTGCAAATGTGAATAAATAAATAAAAACGTTGTACAAAAGTAAAAAAAAAGAAATAATTATGCACGCAAGCAAAGTAACGGCGAATTAAACCAGAATGATTAACTATTTATAAAAAAAGGTATATTATATTGTTAATATTATTAAATGTCAGTCCAGTCAGAAGTTATTATTATGATAGGCATTGAATTGAAAACGAGGAGATGGGAGCGGTACCACTGAGCGTGTGTGTGAAGATAACACCTGTATCTTATGTAACATTAATATGTAAATTTTTGAAGTACGACGTGAAGATGTTCCCTATACTATTATTATTATATTACTAACTTTGTTAAATAGATTTAAATATAAATAAATTTAAATAATATTTGTATTTGACGTAGTTTTAATGTTTAGTGTATTAAAATTCAATACAATTTGATTTCTTCAATCGAATAAGTTGCATTGTTAAGCAACTTATTCTTTTGATAGTTTCCGCTGTTCAAACTAGAAACAATTGGCGACAATTCCTGAAGTTGATCTATACAGCATAGATTAGCTTTAACCAATTGATTGAAATAGTTCAGAATCTCAACGATTTTCTGATCCTTAGTCAGAATAAACTTCTGATAATTTGCATCTAGAAGCACACAACCCCAATCGATTAATTTTCGTTCAACTTCAGTAACGTTTTCTCCTAGAATGTGCCCATCTTCAGATAATAGGTAACAGATATACCTTAGAAGTAATAAAGCGTTATTCAAGGACATATGCGCACGTAATTGTGGTAAAAGAACAATACTACTATGAGGAGACATTAAAATCTTATCAATCAGGTGACACCGCTCGATCGGTGCGAGAGAATCAGGCAATTTCTCATCGGTCACCTTGGAATTAAACTGTTCACTATCAAGTGACAGTAAATAATTTAACAGTTTCACGCGAAAATATTCCGGGATGTCTTCAAAGTATCCTAGACACTTTTCAATCGACTGCAAGTCATTTTCTTGCATATGTTTAGGTAAAATATCTTCAATGATTGCAGTTTCTGGCCACCCTTGTTGTGATAACTCTTGTACTCGATCGTTGTAGGCGGTTTTTTTCTGTTTTGATCGTTTTGTATCGTCCCAGTTAGTCGCAATAAGTTCCTGGACAATTGTAATATCAGGATCGTTGATTTTGACTTTGTGGCTGCCAACTAAAGTTGCTAAATGTTCGGTGCTTAAATGATGCGGGACAACCGCTAAATTTTGTCCAACACATAAAAATAAATTGTTTTCGAGACACCAGAGTTTTGTTCCGCTGGTGTATAACTTGAAAGGTTGTTTGCACTGCGTTACTTTAAATTGAATATTGTAGATGATTAAGAGTGCACCCTCTTGAGAATTATCCGCGCCGTACATAGCTACATAATCCTCATTTAATGCGAACATTGTTACAGCTTCCTTGCAAGAGATTGAATCTAAAACTGTTATAAATGTTTCTTCATTTTTACCATTTAGTGAATGTGAAAACATTTTTCCATCAGACCCTAAAAGAATTCGCATTTAAACAGATGTTAATAAATAATTAACATAAACTTACACAAAGTCAAGAGAACAATTTCCTGAATATTGTTCATAGACAACACATATCCGGACAAATCAACGCCATCTTTGTCTAGAACAAGTCTAATATTTTCTGTTGTATCATCAAGAATGTCAAAAACAATTGTTTTGTGATTTACACTTTCTAATATCAGTCCACCAAACAATTTATTCTTATGTTGAATGATAAGAACATCTGAAATAGTTTCATTCTCTTGGACAACTGCAACTGGTTCTAATTCCTTACGAGTTTCTAGTGCTTTATCTAGCAGAATAATAGCACCATTTTGAAACACAACAAATGTGTGATTTTTGCAGTTTACAAGAGTGTGAATTGGTTTGTTAAACTAGAAAACATATTTTTCAAGATTTAATTTACAGAAAATTTAAAATGAATAGTTATCTACCTTTAATTTTTTGTGTTTGTCCAAATGTTCACCTTCATCATTCCATAACTTCAGGTACATTTGATTAAAGACTGCACAATATTGTTGTTTCTCTGTGCAGTAAATTACTGGAGAGGTGAATTTATCTTTGGTGCGCCAACTAATTAACTGTTTCTGATCTGAAAGCTATTTTAATATTTTATTATTGAAAATTAAGTTTAAATAAAGTTATAATAACAATACCTTATATTTGATGGCAATGTTTTTGCCAAGTGTGACAAGAACTTGCCCTGATTCTGAATCATTATTAATTCCCAGCAGACTTTTTTGATCAATTATGGGACATAAACCATAATAAGAACCCAATTTTGCCATAATTAATGGATTTTGAATTAATATTAACGACGACTGTTATGAATTATTTGTTTGGTTATTTGAACATGTGCCACAAGCAAGCAAGAACACAAAGTATGCAACCTACATTACATGTAACCATATAAACATTTTAGGGGCTTTTATCTGGGTTACGTTGGTTAATTTCAAGCAGGGCAGTACCATCAAATTAACAAAAATACATTTTTATTTCTAAAGTTTTGTTTTAATTTAAATTCTATTTAAAATAATTATAAAAACCCTTATACATTGGTTAAATACTTTAAAATAAAGTTAGATACGATGATATTTTGTTTTCTATTTTTTAGTTGAACTCTTTTAAGTCTGACTCTGCACCAACAAAAGCTTCTTCATTTATCACTAGAACGAAAGCTTGCTTGGCGTCACTGGCTTTAGAGGTGTTTTTACCGCTAAAACTAACAACATTATTGTTTTTAATAAGTTTAACTTATAATTTAGTACCTACTGGTATGGTATAATGAAATGTGCTTATAATAATCAATTCATTTAGAAATTGAACAAAATGCACATAAAACAGGTAAGTTTTGCTAGTGACCATAGTTAAATTGCATGGTTGTGCATAAATATTTAAAGCTTCTAAACATATATATATATGTGCATATAATTTTAGGTCATTATCCAAGGCTTCAAAAGCTACAGAGATCAGACTGTAGTGGAGCCATTTGATAAAAGGCACAATGTAGTTGTGGGTAGAAATGGCTCAGGAAAGAGCAACTTCTTCTATGGTAAGTTACCAGTATTTATTGCTAAGCTTAAAGTAAAAACCTGGCTTAATTTTTACAGCCATTCAATTTGTTTTGAGTGATGAATACTCACATCTCAGGCCTGAGCAAAGGCAATCTCTACTTCATGAAGGTACAGGTCCTAGAGTTGGCACTGCTTATGTGGAAATAATCTTTGATAATTCTGACAACAGAGTTCCCGTAAGTGAAAAAATGGTCTATTATTCATTGTTTGAGTAATAGATTTAATAGTGTCTAAACTAAATAATGTATAATATATGCTTTCCCAGATTGAACAAGATGAAATTTTCTTGAGGAGAGTAATTGGAGCAAAGAAGGATCAATATTGTTTAAACAAAAAGGTTGTGCCTAGGAGTGAAGTTATGAATTTGTTAGAATCTGCCGGATTTTCAAATTCTAATCCATATTACATTGTCAAACAGGGAAAGGTATTGGTTCTTTGTTGGAATATTAATTAAAACGTTTATAAATACGTTGTTTTCATAGATTAATCAAATGGCTACATCACCAGACTCTCATCGACTCAAACTGCTTCGTGAAGTTGCCGGTACAAGAGTATACGATGAACGACGTGAAGAATCCCTTGGTATTTTGAAAGAAACTGAAACGAAACTTGAAAAAATAGAAGAATTTCTTGCAACAATCACGGAGCGTTTGAGCACACTTGAGGAAGAAAAAGAAGAGTTAAAGTTATATCAAAATCATGATAAAAATCGGCGCGCAATCGAATACTTTATCCTTGAAATTGAACTCAATGAGCAAAAACGAAAACTCGAAGATTTAGAACGTCAACGCAACGAATCATCCAATGAACAGAACAATTTAGCTACAAATTTGAAAAAGGCACAGGATAACATTAAAACTTTTGCAAAGAAAGTTAAAGACTCCAAAAAGGAATTTTCTGCATTAAAAGAGGAAAGAGATATATCAGCAAATGATCTGCAGCATTTACATAAAGAGAAAGCTAAATTGGATTTAACTATCAAGGATTTATCTGATGAAGTACAAGGTGATAACAAGTCTAAGGAAAGGGCAGAGAGTGAACTCAACAGGCTCGAGGTGTCCATCAAGGAGAAAGAACAGGAATTAGAAAAGGTGAAGCCACAATATGAAATGATGCGAAAGCGGGAGGAGGAATGTACACGCGAATTAACACTAAAAGAACAGAAGCGCAAAGAATTGTACGCTAAACAGGGTAGAGGAAGTCAATTTGCTTCAAAAGACGATCGAGATAAATGGATTCAGAACGAACTCAAGTATATAACTCAAGTCAATAATTATACCATACCAAGCAAATGTTAACTTTTTTTACTTTACAGATCGCTTAATAAACAGATAAAAGACAAAGTCGATCACAAAGAACGTATTTCTGAAGATTTGCGCCGGGACGGTGCAAACGCCATCAGCCTCAATAAGAAAATCGAAGAACAGACACAAGAAATGGAAAGACAAAAAGTTTGCATCGACGAACACAACAAGTCGATCTATGAATTGAAAAAGAGTAAAGATCAACATCACAGTACCAGAAAGTAAGATCAATTTATACTTTATATTTATATGTACTAAATAACTAATGTTTCAGTGAGTTGTGGCGTAAAGAAAATAATGTTCAGCAAAATTTTGGAAGTCTTAAAGATGATTTATTGAAAGCTGATCAATCTTTACGATCCATGGCAGGAAAACCAATTCTTAACGGACGTGACTCTGTAAAGAAAGTATTGGACACTTTTAATTCGCGAGGAGGACGCGAAGCTGAAATTGCTAAGTCTTATTACGGTCTTGTTATTGAAAATTTCCATTGCGAGAAAACAATTTATACCGCCGTGGAAGTTACAGCTGGTAACCGTCTTTTCCATCATGTGATTGAGTCCGATCGAGTTGGTACACAGATTTTGAAGGAAATGAACCAACAGAAATTGCCTGGAGAAGTTACTTTCATGCCGCTCAATCGTTTGAATGTACGAGGTCAGGATTATCCTGATGATGGTGTAAGTTAACTTTATATCATTTTTATTGTAATATTTTATTGATTTGTGGCTTGAATTTTCATAGGATGCGATTCCAATGGTTTCAAAACTTAACTACGATGAGAAATATGACAAGGCAATGCGTTATTTGTTCGGTAAAACATTAATTTGCCGTAATTTGGATGTTGCTACAAAATTGGCGCGTTCTACGGGTTTGGATTGTGTTACATTGGACGGTGATCAAGTGAGTTCCAAGGGTTCTCTCACTGGTGGATACTTCAACACGTCTAGGTCGCGTTTGGAGATGCAAAAGACGCGTACTGAATTGATGGAACAAGTTACACAATGTGAGAAGGAACTCGCTACACTACGCGAAGAATTGCAAACAACCGAAACCGCGATTAATAACATCGTCTCTGATATGCAGAAGACAGAAACGAAAAACAGTAAATCGAAAGCAATTTACGACAAAGTTAAGGGAGAAATTCGTTTAATGAAAGAGCAAGTATCTAGCATTGAGCGTTTCCGTGGGTCCAAGGAAAGATCACTCGCTCAGTGTACTTCTAATTTGGAAGCTATGCAAACCACCAAGGAGGGTTTAGAATCTGAGTTGCACCAGGAATTGTTATCGCAGTTGTCCGTAGCTGATCAACAAGAGGTGGATAATCTAAACGATGATATTCAGCGCTTGCAGAAAGAGAACAAGGAGGCGTTTTCGAGCCGTATGAAACTTGAGGCAGAAAAAAATAAACTTGAGAATCTGTTAACCAACAATCTCATTCGACGTCGCGATGAAGTATTACATGCTTTGCAGGAAATTTCTCTAGAAGATCGAAAGCGCCAACTGGTAAATTGCAAAACGGAGCTTACTGAAGTGGATAAAAAGATCGCGAAGGTTAACAGCGATACAACAGCAGCCGATGCAAAGATTAAGGAGTTGTCGAAAAAGTTAAAAAGTGAACAGAGCGAGTTAGATAGATGGAAAAAGTCTGAGAAAGAAGCGGAAGAAAAAATCAATGAAGACGCGCGACATTTGGAGAAGTACGCAACAAAGCAGCGGATGTTAGAGGAATCTATAGAAGAGTATGTTAAAAAGATTCAAGCATTAGGTGCTATGCCATCCGGTGAATCTGTGCAGCGATTTTCCAGAATGTCTTCCAGAACGCTTTTCCGTGAACTTGAAAAGACTAACAATGAGCTAAAGAAGTTCGCGCACGTAAATAAAAAAGCACTTGACCAATTTATGAGTTTTTCTGACCAAAAGGAAAAACTAACGAAGCGGAAGGATGAGTTAGATCGTGGAAATGAAAAGATTAAAGAACTCCTTACATCTCTTGATCAACGTAAAACTGAAGCTATACAATTCACATTCAAACAAATATCGCGATTCTTCAGCGAAGTGTTTAAAAAATTAGTTCCGGTTGGAAAGGGTAAATTGATCATCAGAAAGATTGACGATGATGAAGGTGGCGAAATTGCACCGGAAGATACAGCTGACGTGTACACAGGTATAGGAATTAAAGTGTCTTTTACCGACTCCGATGCAGAGATGAAAGAGATGAATCAGTTGTCAGGAGGGCAGAAATCGCTGGTTGCATTGGCGTTGATTTTTGCTATTCAAAAATGCGACCCGGCGCCTTTCTATTTGTTCGATGAAATCGATCAGGCGCTTGACGCGCAGCATCGTTTCGCGGTTGCGAATATGATTCATGAGTTAACAGATGAGGCGCAGTTTATCACTACTACTTTTAGACCTGAACTGTTGGAGCATGCTAATAAATACTACGGCGTTAAGTTTCGTAACAAAGTTAGTCACGTGGAATGCGTGTCGAAGGATGTTGCCAGAGATTTCGTTGAGGACGATCAAACGCATGGCTAGAAATACACGATATCTTTTATATTCTCTAGCATCTAAGATTACACATTGTTAATAATTCTAAAGATTAGTATCAAGCGTTAGCATTTTATCTAATTTTTTGTCAATACCATGCAGTAAATCGGATTAAAATATAACAAATTACCAGTAGTATTATTTCTTGGAATGCTCTCTGATCTCAAACAGGTCGCTCATGCCCAGAATGCTCCACACTTTATCCTCGGTTTCGCCCATATAAATTAAGCGGTACTTGCCTGTATATTTGTTGTGGGTGTTTGCCTTAAAAGTAATGCTGATTTTTTGAATGGGATCATGCTCATCTAATACTGTTGAGCTAGCCGTCTGTGGCTGCTTTGTTTTCAAGCGAGGACTTAATTCCTGTTTGGCCTTAGGTGAAGGACTCGCTGGTTTCGCCACGTGTTCGTGGAACTCGTATTCATCGATGCTATTAAAGTTCTCCTAAATAAGAATTTTAGAAAAGTATTTTTGTTTGTGTAAATTTTGATTATCAAATAAATACTTTGTAAACGCCAATCCAATCATTGCGATTAATGACGAATTTCCTGCTAAACTCGTATGTAACAGTGTTATCCTCGTTGTCCCACCAGAAAGGTATTTTAGGGAACTTGATTACTTCTTCTCCATAATCCGCAAATACCTAACATTATTATTTGTATTAATTGATACAAAAAAGAAAAGCAATTTTATAATCACCCACCTTAATTACAAAATCAGCCGTGACTGGTTTATGATCACTGAGGGTGTAGTCGGGATGCGACTGATAAGATTTTTGTTCAATGTGTAAGTTTACGTTACTCTCATTAAATTTGTAAAGCATACGATCACACCAAGCTGGCCGACGCCTGTAAAATTAAATTGTCATAACATTAAATCAAATTTCTAGTTAAAAAAGTATTTTCAAACCCGCTTACTTATGATCATAACTGCCTTGACCAACTTTGAACTTGAATGTCGGTGCAAATTTAAAATCTTCCTCGGTGAACTCTGCGAATGCTTGTTTTGTTCTTTTGGCCTCTAGTAACTGATCATGTTGGCGTAACTCTGCTAACTCGCCCCTTTCAACAAGTTGTTCAATTTCCTCTGGATTCTTATCATAACTCTCAGTTAGGCGAAAATTTAAATCACCCATCCAAATAGTATAACTAAACATACATTAATATTATGTTAGTAATGATACTTCGCAATTATGAGAACTTACTCATGATTCAAAATCTTTGCAAATTCCCGTACATGAAACTCTTGATTTTGTATTGCATCATTATATTCTTGAATACGATTTGACAATCGATTATCATGCGGACTTAAGTGCGAATTAACAAAACAGATTTGTGTACCATAAATACAAAATCGAACGATGACAATTCTATGACTTGCCTTGAATTATTTTTGTTGTTATTAAACATACAAAATTAATTAATGAACTTACCGACGAGTCGATATCACTTATATGTGACAAATGTTTTGCGTTCGCAAACACATTTAAAACTAGCCCTATTTGTTTAACTTTTATAGTTTTAATTTTAATGTGTCTGCTACCTAATAAAGCCATAAACTTCCTAGTCCATATATCCTCATGCAATGAATCCTTTACCAAGTCAATTGGTACTTCTTGAAAAGATATAACATAAAAATCGACATCATTTTCACCGTTAAGTACAAGAAGCGATCCAAAATCGGCGTCGGGTTTTCCTCTTTGTACATTATAAGTGACACAGTGTATTCTAAACGTAAACAAACATTTGCAATGTAAAAAACAACTTCGAAATATTTCTGATCAGATTACCTTAGATTTTCCATGTTTGATACTGTGGTGTTTGTGTAACTAACGTTACAAACCTGGGATTTGACGATGTGAGGAAATAATTGAAAGCATGTGATGTGTTGATTGCGGATTAATTACTGATTACAGTAACTTACAAATAGTATACGATGACACTAGCATACGTAAAAGTGGGATCGCTAATATTTGACGGCCTAAACCTTGAAACAATTTGTTTAGAGGTACAATTAATGTACTGTTAGGTACGTGCGCCAAACTAAACTGGAATAAAAACTGTTTCGCAGTTTTTGAATTATTTTGCCATTTCAAATTGATTGAACATAGTTGTGGTTACATACACCGCATTCAAAAACATGTTAGTATTCGATAAAAACATCAAAACATGCTCACATAATGTTGATAATCTCCGGCTCTTGGTTTCAATCCCAGGATCATCAAATAAACAATTAAAGTGTTGACCGATTTAGCTTCCAAGCCGGTTAGTTTTTAAACCAAGTCAAAATATTAAAATTATGGAATAAGGATGTAACATTTAATGGCATATATTTCATTAGTATGATCAACAACTACAAACTTGCAATCACCAATTTAAACTACCTGTATACGATTACATTTAAATACGTGCGATACAAAAGCATAGTAGACGAATATAAAAATTTGAACATTGAAAGAATCATTTCGTTTCTTACGCCAAAATAAAACAAATAAATATCAAAAATAACACATATAACAAAGTAATAAACCAGAATCCCTCTAAAAATAGTATATAAATAACAACAATTTGCTATATTGTTTGCTTTATCACAATCATTTGCAATCTGCAACAATGCGTTTGCATGCGAATAGCATATAGTTCCCGCCAATATATAAAAAATTATATCAAAATTAAAATTGTTCGCTCTAGGCAAGTTATTCATTGATATATAGGTACGCGCGCTTGATGTGTCAGCTAGTTGGTTCAAAAGTAGGTAAACTCTTTTAATTGTCAACAATCTCTTAAGTGTTTTGAACAATTTTTTTCCATTAGCCTGTGGTCAATTAGGATAAAATCTAATCTAAAACAATTTACAAGCAAATTGTCCTTAATCGGAATGCTCTTTGATCTCAAACGGCTCGCTCATGCCTAGTACGCTGCGTATTTTATCTTCAGTTTCGCTGATGTAAACTAAACGATATTTGCCCGTATACTTCTTGCTGCTATTTGGCGAAAAGGTAATGCTACTTTTTTGTAACAAACCAAGCGCGCCCAGAGCCGTGGAGCAGCTGGCCTCGTGAGGATGTTTCGTGGTCGGACGAGGACTATGTTTGGGCGTTTGTGCAGGAGTCGATGGTTTTGGTACATATTCGTAATACTCGTACTCATCGATGCTATTAAAGTTCACCTAGATAAGAATTGTATATCAATATCTTGTGTGTGTAAATTATGTTATCAAATTATTACTTTATAGACTCCAATCCAATCATCGCGGTTAACATCGCATTTTCGAGTAAACTCATATGTTACAGTGTTATCTTCGTTGTCCCACCAGAAAGGTATTTTGGAGAACTTAATTACCTCCTCTCCATAATCAGCAAACACCTAACATGTATTAAATAAATAGTATAGTTTGAAATATCAATGACAAGATATGTCACTTACCTTGATTATAAAATCAGCCGTGACCGGTTTATGATCACTAAAGCAGTAATATGGATGCGACAGATAAGATTTTTGTTCAGCATGTAATTTCACGTTCTCGTAGTTCCTCTCGTTATATTTGTAAAGAATACGATCGCACCAAGCCGGTCGGCGCCTATAAAATTAATTAGCGCATAAAATCAACTTTCTCCTTTCTAATTAATTAAATAAACTATTTAATTAAGAAACATGCACGCCAACATACTTATGATCGTAACTGCATTCACCCACTTCAAATTTGAATGTTGGTGCAAATTTGGGTTGAAGTTCGCTGAACTCTGAAAACGCTTGCTTGGTCCTTCTGACTTGATGCAACTGATCATGTTTAAACAATTCATCCAATTCGCCCTTTTCAATCATGCGTTCTATTTCTTCGGGATTCTTATCGAAATTTTCGTCTAGGCGAAAATTTAGATCACCCATCCAGAAAATGTAACTAAATAAATATTGTGAAAGTAATGTTACATGAAAACTTCTATGGTACATTCTTACTCATGGTATAAAATTTTATCTTGGCCCTTTAAATTAAACTCTTGTTCCTTTATAATATCATTATAGTCATCAATTCTATCAGATAATTGATTATCATGTGGACTTAAATGTGAATTTACAAAACAGAGAGTTGTTCCATAAATACCAAGTCTAATACTGACAGCTCCTTTATTTCCCTACAAAAATTAGTTTATATTTTAGAAGTGCATTAGACTGATAATATGCAATAATAAAAAATAAAGATAAACCCACCCACATTCCTGAAAAACCAGTACGTTTGTAACCAGTATCCATATCTCTTATGTTTAATAAATGCTTTTCTTTGACAAAGACACTGAGAACAAGGCCTTGCATTCGAATGGTCTTAATTTTAATGTACCTGCCAGCAAGGACATCCATAAGCTTTCGAGTCCATGGATCCTCATACAATGCATCCATGAGCAAATTTTGTGGTTGAGCAGAAACTTCTTGTAAAGAAATGACATAAATATCAAACAAATCTTTTGCATCAACGAGTCCAAGCAGAGGACGAAAATCGCCGTCTGGTGATGCTGTACCAACGTTGTAAGTGACAAAATGTATTCTGAAAGTAGGACAATAATAAATAAACAAATGTGAAAACATGAATGTTTTCTGCAATTTTTACCTTAGGTCCTCCATGTTTGGCGGTGTGTTAAAATATTAACTAGCGTTGCAAAATTGTTGCTATATATAAAAATATCTACTTATACCTGCGATCACTAATCTTATTTATCTAATCAATTACTTTAGAATACTGGCGAATCAAATTGATGGCATATGATGTCATGCTGATGTTGGGATATTTTCAACCCACTATGCGCATCGATGTTTGCATGTGTATGGAAGTGTCGCAATGACAGTAAATAAACCACAACCACACGCTTACATTTCAAATAATCAATGTTGCTTGTAAATTATTTATGATAACAGAATAGTATTTTTGACTTCATTGTGTGGTTAATATTTTGATTTCCGCATGTAAACCTGACAAATCAACATGTAAAAATAGTTATTTATGATAGTTTACCATAATAAAGATAAGATTACCAACATTACTAACACTCCTGCTGTGTTAATTATTATTATGATCACTAGATGCCGACACCAATATCAAATGTAAAGTTTAAAACCTAACGCAAAAAATTCAGTGCGTAAACGATTTAAAAATTAAATAACACACAAGGAAATAAAAATTCCACTTAAAAAACGATGCTATATCACTTATATTAATACATATCGCAAATCCTTATTATTGCCACATGGACTATACTCTCAACACTACACTTTTGTTTTGTCAAAGATTGATTGATTACCCGAATACAATTAAAAATCTATTAGGTAACAGAGTGTAAAATCAAATTAACCCTGATACAGTGCCAATAAATAATAAAACTACTTCAAAATCAGACTATTCAAGTGCCCAAGTCTTCTAAGCCACGGTGAAAAGTAATTGAAGCAGGCGAATAGATAATAATAGATATAGATATATTAAACGCAAATTTAACTTGGCATGCAAGTGTTCCGTGATCCACCAACGCCGCCAAACCAAAATGTTTCATCTCAGCAGTCTTGTTGGAATACTCTGCATCTTACCATGTACGTTACCTTTTAATATACACTCGTTTTTTGCTTTTAACTACGAACATCAAACGCTAAATACATTCGAATACTTTTAGCGCTTTTAGCATTAAATTCAAGATCAACAATAATACACATAACTGTAAAGGAAGGAGGCTCATTCGTGCACTATTTGGACACTGACAATGGCGAGTTACAATCATGCATGTTACAGACAAAGAAAGGAGAACAAATCAGTTTATACCCCGATCGCCTTCACGAAGTACCCACTTAACTCTACCATAAATAAAAAAAAACTCACTGCAACATTATCCTGTTTCAGGCTGTGAATCCCGTGAAAGAGAAAATTGTAAATTTCGGCAAACGCGCATGCGGATTCAAACTGAACAATTTCAACGAAGAAGATCCAATAAAATATAACTTAACGGCATCCATTTTAAAAGCTGGAGAAATATCATCGATAAATGAAACTTTAGAAGTAACACTATCATTAGAAAGTGTAGAAATTGCCAACAAAACTGCTTTGTTAAAATATGGAGAGCAATTTATCGTAACACAGTGCACAAAGCCCACCCGGAGTAGTGGTTTTTGTTCATTGTATTCCCCGCAAGGAAAATTGGTAGCACAAGGTACCAATTGTTTTTACCAAGTGACGTATGCATTCGTGGAGCATATTGGAGCATGGAGATGTGAATTAAATTTAGTCGGGAACTTGGAACCAATCACTTTCTACATAAATACATCACCAAAAAGTAAGTCATTTATTGGTACTTGAAGAAGTAAAATAAAGAAAACTAATCAAATATAATCTTCAGAAATGTCAAAACTAGAATCCTGGTATAAAAAGGAAAATGGCTATGGTATTATTGGTTGCCAATACATAGATGGAGATGATAAAGAAGAGAAAATAATAACTGATTGTGCAATGATAACACCAGAAAAAAAGTTGTTAAACATTGAACAACATCCTGCTTCAGGGAGATATGATCCTTTAGGTACAAATTTCACAAAAAAAATTTGTCAAGTTGAAGTAAATACTTCATTTTCCTCTTGTATTTATATTTTAATTAATTTTTGTGTTAATTTAGTTCAAATTACCTGCTCTACAAAATGAAATTGGAACTTGGAGGTGTGAATTGGGTGGTAAACGTGGTTTTGTCAACGTGGAACGAGGTAACAAGACGAATTGCTTATACAATAAAAAAATTAACGATGAAATGCATATTTTAGCTAGTGAATATCCAAAAACAATAAAAGTATTTAGAAAACCTGGAGGTACAACATCTCTAAGTTGTGAAGTGCCATACCCTGCTGTTACCAGCTTCGCTGTCAACCCAGAAGGTAAAGTTGTCTACAAAGCATCCTATGAAGAGTCTCAAAATGGGTATCTTTATTTCCAAATTTACAATATGAGCGCGAATGATTTCGGTGAATGGACGTGCCACTTTGCCAAAAACGCTTCCTATGAGGATGACGTTATCACCTTAAATGTAATATTTTGTTATATATAAATATCTCTGTGAAAATATAACATAATCATCTGCAGGTGGAGAGATACAACATGGTCAAAGCAAAAGTCAAACAAGTAGAAGTAAACGAAGGTGAATCACTTACTTTACTCTTCACCGCCAACGGCGCAATTTCCTATTGCGTGATAGAAGATCCCAAAGGTAATACCTACCACGTGCGGCCCTCAACCAACTCACCGTACATGGAATATTTTGGCGCTGGTTTCGAGCACGGTGAATGTGGTGTCAGGTTGAAACATGCAAGCGGGTTACATAAGGGTCTTTGGAAATGTATGACAACCACAACGTCTGACTCTGCTGGAGATCAGCAGGCTACAGCAATGACTCAGGTGGATGTGACCAGTCAGGATGCTGACGGTCTAACGGCCGCATCATCGTCGTCCATTTTGATTGGCATTATGTTTGCGGTTATGGTCGCCACTGCTTTCATTATTTACGCGCAGTTTGTTAAAGAGAAGAAAGCGAGAAAGGAACGAGTCAGTCCTTGTAATTCCTTAGGGGATGAAAACAGTGGCACCTCCTTTGTTCTGCACCACCTGTAGGTGTTAAAATTGTAAATCTATAAGGTACAGGTTAATAATTTGTAAAAATTATTATATAATGTTTAATAAATTGAAAGCAAATGCAGAAAATGCGTTCGAACAAATAACATTCGCAGCTTGTACATATGTGAGACGACGACGTATATGATTTGCAAAAAGTAGCGTCATTTCGTGTGCGTTATTAAAATAGAGTAGCCGAAAATAAACCGAGTAAAAGTCTCGAGTCCGAGTCTCATTATCCAATGCGATCCGATTGCCGGACCGCGGCGACTGAGCGAGTTTGTAGTCGCCTTCTGGGTGCTGAGCGGAAAATCGCAAGTGCGCGCGAGCGGGCCGAGCGCGAGCGTGTGCAGGAGGATTAAAAATACGAAGTAATACCGAGCGCAGTCCAACTGCATCTATCGACGAGTCGGATAATAATTTTCCAATACGAGCCCACCGTGACCACTCACGCCACCCACACATTGCTGGGGGCGCCGTTGACGTCGGTGCCGCTGAATCGCGAAACATGGACGCATGGAGTCCGAGGCGCGCCGTTGGTCGGAATGGACGCACCTGGGGCCAATAAGCAAGGTTGGTTTTGTTGTTAATAAATTACCATTCTAACGCCAACAAAGCTGGCATAATATTTGCCGACTTTAGATTAGCGCAGCTTTTTTTTTTGCTTTGCGTTATGTGTGGAATCGCGTGGTGCGTCGTTTATTTGCACGGCGATAACGGAAGTGGGAAGTGAACGTGCGCGTTATGCTTATTACTATTGCACTAATTTTAACGCTTTGCCCGTTAGCGGTGAGACGAAAACAAACTGAAAACCTTGTGGCGTAGAACGCTTGTTGCATGCAATCATCAGGCTTTTGGCACAGGAACTGCCCCTTAAATAGGTCAGGTATAAGCGCCATTTTAATTCCGAGCATTTGTGTTGTATTTTTTTCGTATGTGCACGAATCTACGCTTAAATAACATCGTTCTTCATTCAGTGAAATTAACGATCGTCTGCGACTTTTTTGCCGGCATTCATATCGCGCAAAGTTATAACGAAAATAACTCGCCGAGAGTTTAGGCAAGCGTCTACTAAAGCCCGCCCACCGGTTTATCCTCGCGAAATTAGTTCAAACTCACGAAGACAGATTGCTTAAACGCCATATGTATTTTTTCTCGGCGTGTGCATTTCGCTGACTTTGACGTGAATTTTGTGTGATGAAAGATGCCCCGCTGGGTACAAAGCTCTAAACAGAATGCTTTTCTTTAATTCTCAGTCAGCGACAAACCACCAGTGCCGATAAAAACGTACCAGTGGGAGGACATACGCCGCGCCAGACGCAAAGGTGGTTATCCTTGGACTTATCTCGACAAGCGTCCATTCGATGACAATTTTATAGACGATTTCAAAATACGCACGGACCCGAATTTGCGCAAAGCAAAAAGCTCCGTTAGTATGAATAGACATTCTGCAAACATTGAGAAAGTTACACACGTCGCTGAACAATCGCCCGAAAAAGAAATGGAGACGGACGAAAACAAGGAGAACATCATGGTTGAATCAAACGATAGTTCAGCCGATGTAAGCATCAGTCAGTATTTGGATAAAGAGGAACGCGAAACTTCTTCCGAAGAACTCCTCGAAATGGAGGAGCTCGCAAAAATGCACCAGGAAAGAGTCAAAGGATTGACAATTGGGGAGGAGTACGAATATTGGTCAAAATTGCAAAAGGGCGAAATTCCAAACGTGCTTGGAAGTGAATGGCCAATTCCTAACTTGTGCCTTAAAGCTCCTAGCAGGGCATCGTCAAAAGAAGTCCTAGACTCGCCAGGGTCTAGTAAAGACGCGGAAAAATCGGAAACATTGCGCAGCCAGAGAGCAAAGTCCGAGGAACCCGGCCGAAAAAGAAAGCATTCAATTGAGAGCAGCTACAGTCGTGTGTCCAAATATAGCTTATCGCCTCAGGGAATTATGAAAAAAATAAAAGAGGCAAAAGAGAAAATAAAATCATCGAAATTTTTCAGTAAATCGGAATCAAAATTGACGAAAAAACCTAAAACGGAACAATCAATTGTTGTTGAAAAGAAAGAGAAAAAGGATACGATAAAACCTAAAAAAGTTGAAGGTCCATTGTATATTCACATACCATTGAAACCACCACCAGGTGAAACAGATGAGTTTTCCCATTTAGAGTTCGAAGATCAAGGTACCACGGCGAGAAAAGTGAGTCCTATAGCAGAGGAAAAGAAAGAAAGCGCGGATGAAGCACCGGAAACACCAACTGAGACTGGTTCAGGTGTACAATTGATTATTCTTACCGCACCTTCGGATGATGAAATTTTAGACACACCTGCTGTACCAGAAACTCCTTCAGAACCTGAAAATGGCTTCTTTGAAACAAAGCGCATGGATGAACTTAAAAAGATAGCTACAGATGTTGTTGATAAATATTCGCCAGAAACAAAACGCAAAACTTTTACTTCAGTGAAGGAAGAGGAAGAAGAAGATCAAGGCAAGAAAGCAGCTGTCGTAGAAGAAAAAGAAGTAAAAAAAGTGGAAGAACCTGTTATTGTGGAAAAACCTCCAGTAGCACCGTCAGAGGACACAGGCGTCAAGAAAAAGAAGAAAAAAGTAGTAAAAAAAGATAAAAGTAAAGACAAACCCAAAGAAGAGGAAAAATTAATAGAAACCCAAAAAACTGATGACGATAAAATTCAAGAACAAAAAGAACAAAAAACCATCCCAGCAACAAAGTTAAGCATTGATGAAGAAGATGGTTTAAAAACCGAAATGGTCATTGCGCAGATAATCGACGATGATGTAAAGGAAAGTGATTTATCCGAAAAGGGCCAAAGTAAAGAAAAAGTTAAAGAGTCACCATTGTTAAAGAAAAAAGTATCGTTTAAACGCCGATCAAAAGAAGATAGTGATGGAATTTATGAAGACGTGCTAGTAACATCGGAACCTGTTCAAAAAGAAGAGAAAACGCCATCAAGTCCAACCCCTAGGACTCCTACTCCTAGTCAGCTCCATGACGAAAAAATTGCAAAAATGCACGAAGAAAGAACCAAAGGAATGACCGTAGCTGAAGAATATCAGTATTGGTCAAAACTACAAAAAGGAGAAATTCCGTTTGATTATGATCTCGAACCTACTCCACCACCTCAACCGGTAAAAGTTCCTGCTAGTCCTAGCCCAACTACTCCTACTACTCCAACTACTCCAAAAACTCCAACAACTCCAACTACTCCAATCAAGACTACTACTCCTCATCCTCTTGATGATGAACGCATTGCAAAAATTCATGAAGAGCGTGCAAAAGGAATGACGCCGTCAGAAGAATACGCGTATTGGAAAAAGGTCCAACGAGGTGAAATCATAATCGAATTACCACCAGAAGACGAAGAGGAGCGCCCACCATCTTTCACACCAACTACAACACCAAGCCCAAGTGTAGTTCCCGATATGCACCTCGATGAGCAAGCCACCAAAATGCACCAGGAAAATATCAAGGGAATGAGCGTCGCAGAGGAGTACGAGTATTGGTCGAGAGTGAAGTAAGTAGTAAACTATAGCATAATGTAATCACGCTTGGCAGCCGTTCAAAATAAGCGATGGCTCGTAATATTGCGGAAAGATGGCTTCAATGTTAGATAAAAACAGAAATAACGCAAAATGCCAGTGGCTGGCCGGCTAGCTAGCGAACAGGCAACGTTGTCGGCGGCGACGGCGACGAGCTGCTGGCCGCCTCGTCGAGTTTCGGGTCATCGTGGAGCTAACAATAGATCCGCCTAATTTTATCCAGTGGTGAATTGATGTTCAAAAAAGACGTTCGCGACAATCGCGCGGTGCAAGAGTACGGCAAGCAAACAACACACCGCCGGTGAAGCGGAAAAGAACGTGAGGACAATGCGCGACCGCGGCAGCGCGCTTCCGAATCCGATCGTATCGGACGCCTAAATGTCGCGCGCGTATAAATAAATCGGCGCATTATGGAGCCGTCGCGTCCGACGACGATTAATCCGCGCCTCGCGAGGAAGCAGCAACCAAACACTGTGCATGGCAGGTCCGCCTCCGAGGGCAATGCGCGCTACAACCGCCGTCCGAATGTCACTCGTGATGACTCCTCCGGTTCGGCGGCAATCACTCTGGAAGTTCGATGTGCATGCCAATTCTTTCAATGCAATTCCCTGCTACCCGAACGAACGGCTCGCCTGGCGTTGAGTCGGCCGACTAGCCGCGCCAGCCAGAAAATACCAAACCTAACGGTCAATCAAGATCGGTATGTAGCTGAACGAAAATTGAAAAAAGCCACAGACATGTATCCCGGATAATGTCACTATTAATAGTGAAGCTCACTTTGGCTTGGCATGCAAATTGCCACCAGACTCTGTTGTTTTTTTTTTTTTAAGTTAATTCGATGTATTAATGACATTTCAGTTGCCATGACTACGAGCCGGTAATTCCTCCAGATGATAACTTCCGTCCGATTGAAGTCCCGTCGGCGGATGGAAGGCCCAAAAAGCCGTCAACGCCAATCACAGATAGTGACATTGAATATCTTGCTGCACGAGCGGCTGACATTGAACTTCGTACCACCAAAATTACAATCACTAATAAGGAAGACCCGGCCGAGGCGCTTGTGGTCCCGCTCGAGTCCGCTCTCAAAGAAGAAACGAAATCCACGAAATCCGAGGTTAAAGAAGATGGCCACGGCAAAAAAATTCAAGATGCTTTTCAGAAACAAGCCACTAATCTAAAACGGCAAGCAAGCATCGTAAGCAAAAAGGCTAGCGAGCAGGCGGAAAAGATCCAAACGCGAGTCAAATCAATCAAAAAGCCGAAAATGCCCAAGCCAAAATTTGAGAAACCAAATTTGCCAAAACTGAAAATTGAAAAACCGCACATGCCTCACTTCAAAATCGAAAAGCCAAAAATGCCCAAAATACCGGATAGAATGAAAAATATTTCGCTCAGCCTCCCACGCAAAGGCAAGCGCTCGGCACGCCAACCCACATCGACGGAATCGACAGCCGGCGATTCCGAGAAAAGAACCGTATTCGACTTTAGCACTTATCCGAGAATTTTCAGAAAAAAGAAACGCGACGATGATGGCGATAACATTCACACCCCCAGAACGGGTACGGATGTTACGCCTGTATCAGAACGTACCACTCTACCTCGTTTCAAGTTCACGACGAGGTGGAAGGGCAAGTTCACCAAACAACCGCCGCCATCTTCGGTTACCAATGACACTATAAATTCTTACAAGTCTAAAGATAGCGAACGTTCGGAAACTCAAGGTTCGGTGCGCATTCCATTGCACTCTGAAGGATCAATGGATCGCGAGAGTCTCGATTTGCGGACGAATGAAGAACGCGAGGATTCGGTTGAAAGACGAATGCGATTGGCGGCATCCAGTCGATACGATGATGATATCGATATGAACGATGCCTATATGAAAGAGAATCAGGAGATTCATCGCGCATCCTCGTTCAATGCGAAATTCAACGACCGTTGGAATCACGGCAAGTTCCACGCCGACGAACCACCAGAACAAATGGTCACAGATCTGGATGATGAGGAGAAACCTCCCACGTCCATTCTCAAGAAAAAGATTGAAAACATTCACGCCGGTAGCTCCGATGATGTGCGCCGGCGTGGTGTGCTTGAGGAAATCAATTCCGATGAGTTCTTCCTGCGGCAAAAGGGAATCTCCCAGGATAATATCGAAGTCGGTGCTTATCTGAGTTCTGAAATTCGCGAAGCATTCAGAACCCCGAACAATGCACTGTCGCAATTAGAGAAGCCCGAACCGGAAGCGCCTAAGAGGCGACCATTCAAAAAACCGAAACGCAAGAAGACTCCGCATGTATCGCAAGAAGGCATACAATATGACCAAGACTCGATTCATACCGAACCTGACGTATCAACGTATCAAACCGATGATTTCGAAACAGACGTACAACCCGAAAGACCGAAACGTAGAGGAAGAAAGAAGGATGATGAAGCAGATATGAAATATATCGAAGATCAGATTTTATCTCGTGACGAGTTCATGGACGAGCAGCAGTTCTCCCACTATGAGAATGAACATATGGAAGGTATCGAGCAGCCAAACATTATCCTCTCCAGTTCGTATCATGCCGAGCATTTCTATCCGGATGATGATGTCCCGGCAGCTCCGCCAAGAAAACACAAAAGTCTGCGCAGCTTGAATGCCATGTCAGAGCATGATTCCATCACTGAGGAATTGAACGGTTACAAAGAGGTTCAACAAGAAGTAAGTTTTCGTAGTTCTGAGAAAAAAAATTGACTCTAAACTTTTGCGGGTTTTAGGTGAGCCAATACGAGCATGAATACCAAATTCCTACTCCAGACCAACCACCCAAACGTCCATTCAGAACACGTTCCCGAACTCGCTCACGTTCCAGAGGTACAGCGCTGCCAGACGAAGAAACCGTCGCGAGAGAATTGTTACAATCAACTAGCCAACAGTCATTGACTTGTACGGAGGAACCATGCCGGAAAGTACTCTGTGATTTTATGGGATATTCTGTTATAGATAAGTCACACATCCGTGACCCACCATTACCACCATGTCGCCGTCGTTCGTTGAAGTCGGAAGGAGCAGAGGAGGAACGATTCTTCACGGCACCTCGCCCAACCACGCAGAGGGAACCCGTGCGCCCATTGCGCAACTACAGCACCCTGGGTCCAAGTCGGCCACCTCGGAAACGTTCTGTGCCTAATCTCACCGATGAAGAAAAACACATCGGTGATCCGTACATCGAAATTGAAGACGATGACCACGCCGGCAAGAATCTACACTCGGGCGAGGTGATACAGAAAATGAAAGGCAGGCCTTTGCCAGCCCCACCACGCCCACCACGAAAAGTGAGAGATTCTAGTCGGGGAAGTAGAAAGAGTGAAAGATCAGAAGATCGGAGTTATGACGATATGGGTAGCAGGGAATTGCACGACGTTGAAACGTCGGTCCAGACGGAGCCGTTGCCTGACGACTTCGAATGTGAGGCTTTGGTTCGCGACCCTAATGATAGGATCATAACACCGACCGTTGACAAATACGCCGAAATCTCAAGACCAAAAGCCGTCCGAGAATTTGAACATCAAGAAACAATAACACATGGTTCGCTACTTGTGCAACCATTTGCACATGGCGAAGAAATTCCCACGGGTCCAATTGAAATGTACTCGAGGAATACGGAAAGAATTGTTACTGTCAAACGGGAAGCTGACAGTAATAAAGACATAGATTATGATGAGACTTCAGAAATACCGGAGGAGTTCACCAAGTTAAAGTCGCCAACGCCACAACCGCAGCCACCGCAACCACCACCTGTTCAACAAGTGATTGAAAGAATAATTGAAAAGCACATACCAATACAAATGGAACCTCCCGGCGAGGTAGAAACACTTAAGGCACAGAAACTTCAGGTGGCTGACTTGGACGTGGAAAGATTAGCAGTGGGCGAACTGCACGCCAATAAAATCAAAGTCGGGGACATCGAAGGTACTTCAATTAGTGTCAACGAGATCAATTCAAATTCAGGTAATTTAGTTGTTAGTGGTATTGAGTTACCAGCGAGCTTCTTTCAGCAGTTGGTAGAAAAACTCCAGGAACAAGCTGAACAAGTCGCCGTCGCTCGTCCAGCGCCTTCAATCGAGGCACCACAAACAAAGACAATCGAAACAAAAGAATCAGAAACTAACACTGACGCTTATCAGGAACCACCCACACCCTTACATACCGCACCACCAGTACCGGCGGTACGTACGCGCATACCGGAAGTAGGCACATCCAGACAACCCGCGGTAAGAATACCGTCAGAGGAAATTTTAGACACACCCGACATTGAACACACACAGCCCACACCCACGGTAGACACACTTAGGGAGCATATAGGTTACGAAATCGACGAGGTGATTTCCACTGCGCAGCGGGCAGTTCAACAGGAACTGGACAAAGATGCGAAATCTGGCCAAAAAAAAACTCCGTTTGAAGTCCGATTAGTAGATGTAGAAAGTGTGACCCCACCGGAAAGACCCCGTAGAGCAGTGAAGATCGAGCAGGAATCTATCGACGCCCGATTAGAAACCCAACACCCACAACCGCAAGCAGCTGAGGAGTCCGAGGAAACACCGCCACCGCGACCGCCCAAACCCGACTCCGACTACATGCCCTCGCAAGCACCTCCAAGCTTCTACGCTCTTCGATCTCCGACCGCATTCAAAGACTTTGACATCGACGATGACATTCCGCTGGCGCCCCGACGACGCCGTCACCACCACCATCAGCCGCATCACCGAGCGCCCGAATCAAGCAGTGAAGACATCGCTCCGAGTCGCCGACGCCATCGGACGCCCGAGCCCACCATCCCACAACTCACCGGGCAGCTAACACGCGCCTGCGTCACCGCTGCGGAGCGATCCTTTAAGAGACTGATCCAGCAGACTACCGAGTATGTGATGGGGCGAGTGGAGGGCAAGCGCGAAGTAAATGTCGCCGTCGTCATTTTGATCGTGTTCATCGCGCTGCTGTTCTTAGTCTATTGGAACGGCGATGGCAAGCAGGTTCATCATCATCATTGGGAATATTTTAATCCTCCACGGGATATTTAGATTTTAAGCCCATATTGAATAATTATTACGACGTTTCATTTTTTTTTTGTCAAAGGTGATTCTTTATATGATTAGATTGTAACTAATATTTGAACGGATAGCGGAGGATTCGCACGCATTGTAACTAGTCATTGGAAATTCATTTAAATTGTTACTCTTGCCGACAATTGTTGCAATATATTAATTAATTTATATCGTTAATAGAATAAAATTGTTTCAACTTATGTTTATTCTTAATTTTTAGAGATACCTACCTAATTCGTAACTTATTCAAAAATATCATCATAAGTAACCAAATCCCGTTTGTCCCGATGGTTGCCTTTTTGTGAATGATTTGCAGCCAAAGTTGACCACGCTTTTGATGAGGTTGCATCGTTAATTGGTTCAATTTGTGGTTGTCTTCGTGCCAATGACACATTCAATTGAATACCAGACACCATTGAACCCTCCATCTAAAAAACGAGAAAGTTGTTGCAGACTACAAATCTATCTCAAAACTTGAAACTCACCTCAGATATTGCCCTATCAGCCGAATCAACCTTATCAAACGTTATAAATCCGCGACTACAATAAAAATAAGTAAGTTTCAGTTAAACCTATAAAAATATCTTAAAATATTCATACTTCTTTTCAATTTCCATTGATATATTGACAATGGTACCAAATGTTCTAAAATGTTTCTCCAGAAACTCTTCGGTAATTTTATATCCTTGTACATAAATTGTATTGCCCTGTCTTGGCTTATCTGTTTTCTCTTTAGGCTTCTCAACAGCTCTTTCATTTTCCCATTCTCTTGCATTTGAATGTGACCCATAGAGATTTTTTATTCTAGGTGGTTTGTTCTCTGGATTATTAGGCCCCTCTTCCATTTGCACTGCTGAAAATGGTTGATATCCACTTACAGTTTTCTCAGAAGTTAGTTTCCTTTCTAGCCCCCTGGGCCTTTTAAATCCTTGTTCTGGTTGCTTTTGTTGTTTAGGAATTGCTGTGATGACACCTGATTTGATAAGTTTCTTTGCGACTTCGCGTGCATCTCGAGCTTCAGCGGGACGTTTCGGCACAATTATTTTCTCAGGTTCAGGTTTTGGAGCTTTAAGGGCTTGCAAAGCTTTTTTCTGCAGTAAATATCAGTGTTAATAAAGATAAATTATAATTTAAATTGTAGTACCTTTTTCTTTAGCTTTTGATATTTAGCCTGAAGCATCAACTCTTCTTCCGTTAAATTCGTAGGAAAATGTATATAAACCATGGTTTTTTACACTAATATATTGTTGTTAGTAATTTATAAATAGTATTTCAAAATAAACAACTCTGTTTACGCTCTAACCCCAAAAGAAATTCAAGTCACAGAGTAGTAACTTAACACTAACAATGATATAACAATTTTACGGACACAAACAGATTGTCGAAAAATGTCGAACAATTTGTGAGCTATGAGCCAATGCTAAAAGATCAAGTTCTAGAGCTATAAGCTCAAATTACAGAATAAGTGCTCTTGGTCGAAGGCAAAGTACGGTGTAGGCAATCAACTATACATAAAATTTGATACTATAACCTACGTTCACGCGACACCAAAATAAACACCGCACATGTAGTTTCAAACTTTCCTCTGGAAGGCTTTAAAAATGCCGAAGGAACAATATAGAGAGGCCGATGTGGCCAGAAAGATGTAAGTAAACTAATTTTTTTAGAAGAAATTAAATTAATATTAATGCAAACGTTTTAGTTCCCATGTGAGTTTTGGTGTTGAAAGTGCTGAAAGCATGCAACAGCAGGCTCATATTCACATAGTTTCAAAGAATTTATACAATCAAGATGCCCAACGTACCCCGATTCCCTACGGAGTTCTTGATAAAAGACTGGTAATATTATTTTTAACATGAAGTAAATTTCACAATATTTAATCATTATTAATAATTCAGGGCACAAACTCAAAAGACTCCCCCTGCTCAACATGCAACAAAAATATCAATGAATGTGTTGGCCACTTTGGATATATTGATCTTGAACTGCCTGTGTTTCATGTGGGTTACTTCAGGAGTATAATTTGTATTTTACAATGCATCTGCAAGAGATGTGGGGAACTATTAATGACTGAACAGGACAAGCAGCAGTTTAGAGCTAGACTGTGCAATCCAAATCTAAGCTACATGACAAAGAAAGCTATCAGGAAGAAGATTATTGAGAAGAGCAAGAAGATAAGCAAATGCTTCAAATGCAAGGGTGTCAATGGAGTGGTAAAAAAACTAACAGCTAGCAAATCTGGTGGTTCTGCTGGTGGAGTTTTAAAAATTATTCATGAGAAATTTAGGGGTAGAAAGGAAAGAGATCCTGTTCTTCAAGCAACTCTAGGTATATTGTTTTGGAAAATATTAATAAACTTTACATCATTCAAATGTTTTAGCTGAGTTTAATCCTGCAATTGAATTAAACCCTGAGTTGCAATCAGCAGTAACAAATATGACTTACATGGAAGCATTAACACCAATTGATGTTTTAAAATTGTTTGAACAAATACCCATTGAGGATATACCCCTCTTGGCTATGGATGCTACAAAGTACAAATTAGTTATTAATCTATTTATGTAATTATTAATGAAAAAATTTTCAGATCAAGACCAGTAGATTTAATTTTCACCAGAATGCTTGTTCCTCCGGTTTGCATAAGACCATCAGTTGTCTCAGATTTAAAAGCGGGAACGAATGAAGATGATTTGACAATGAAGCAATCTGAAATCATTTTCATTAATGATGTGATAAAAAAACATAAGTTGTCCGGCGCGTCGGTGAACATGTATCAAGAGGGTTGGGACTTTTTGCAGCTTCAAACTGCAATGTATATTAATAGTGAATTGTCTGGAGTTCCTCTATCAATGATGGTAATAATTTAAATTTTTACTTACAATCAGTAATTAATAATGTATTTTGTACCTAGCCGAAGAAACCTGGCCGTGGATTGGTTCAAAGGCTGAAAGGTAAACAAGGACGATTTCGTGGTAACTTATCAGGCAAACGAGTTGATTTCTCTTCAAGAACTGTGATCTCGCCGGATCCCAATTTGGAAATTGATCAAGTAAGTACCCACTTAGAGTTAAAAAAAGCTTTAAATAGCTCAAAGTAAACAACAAAGAATTAGTATTAGTACTTAATCTTAATTCTATTTTTATTCGATTCAAAATCGTAGGTAGGTGTACCGTGCCATATAGCAAAAATCTTAACATTCCCCGAGCGCGTCACAAGAGCAAACATAAACCTTATGAAAAAATTAGTCATGAATGGTCCAGACCAATGGCCCGGCGCAAATTACGTGCAACAAAAAGGCTCACAATTCAAAAAGTTCCTAAAGTACGGCAACCGTGAAAAACTCGCCCAAGAATTAAAACTTGGTGATTTAGTCGAGCGGCATCTGCACAACAACGACGTGGTCTTGTTCAATCGTCAGCCAAGTTTACACAAGTTATCTATTATGGCGCACAAAGCCAAAATTCACAATCATCGCACATTCCGGTTTAACGAATGCGTCTGCAATCCATACAATGCGGATTTCGACGGCGATGAAATGAATCTGCACTTGCCACAAACAGAGGAGGCCAAAGCCGAAGCGCTTATCTTAATGGGGAATAAAAGTAATTTGGTCACGCCCAGAAACGGCGAATTACTAATCGCAGCCACACAAGACTTTTTGACCGGTGCATATTTGATAACAAGCAAGAATACTTTCTTGGATTATCAACATGCGTCTCAATTGGCGGCTAGTCTGCTTGCTGGTAATGATAGCAATATGACATTGCATTTACCAACTCCAGCGATAATAAAACCGAGACCATTCTGGACTGGTAAACAAATTATGAGTATGATTTTCCGTCCTAATCGCGATTGCCCAGTCAAAGCCAATCTTGAAGCGAAGGGCAAAGCATATACAAAGAATCGGGAAATGTGCGTAAAGGATTCCTATGTTATTATTAGAAATTCTGAATTGTTGGCTGGAACTTTAGATAAGGGTCATTTGGGTTCTGGCGGAAAGGGTGGGAGTATATTTTATGTTATCCTGCGTGATTTTGGAGAGGATTTTTCGATTAAATCAATGTGGCGCTTAGGTAAGTAGTATAATTGGCGCAAATTATTTTTATTTACAATTTCTTATATAATAGCTCGAATGGCGTCATATTATCTGATGAATACCGGATTTTCCATTGGGATTGGCGATGTAACACCTGGTGAGAACTTAATTAGACGAAAAATGGCGCTATTAAGCGATGGGTACAGAAATTGCGATGGTTATATTAAGGATATGAATGAGGGAAAGTTACAAACCCAACCCGGTTGCTCTGTGGAAGAATCCTTGGAAGCTGTAATTTTGAAAGAGTTGTCCGTTATTCGTGAACACGCCGGACAGGCTTGTGTTGCTGAATTACATCCCACAAATAGTCCTTTGATTATGGCTCTTTCTGGATCGAAAGGTACGTGGAATAAAACTAGTATATACTAGAATCTGAAAAACATTTGTTATTATTAGGTTCATTTATTAACATTTCACAAATGATTGCTTGTGTGGGCCAACAAGCCTTGAACGGAAAACGAGTACCGAACGGATTTGAAGACAGATCCTTGCCTCATTTTGCCAGGAATTGTAAGTTTTATTAACGGTTATTACGTTTTTAAAGCTAATTAAATTAAATTTTTATAGCACGTACTCCAGCTGCTAAAGGTTTTGTTGAAAACAGTTTCTATTCCGGTTTAACACCCACAGAATTTTTCTTCCATACAATGGGAGGCAGAGAAGGCTTAGTTGATACTGCTGTAAAAACAGCTGAAACCGGGTACATGCAGCGACGTCTTGTTAAATCCTTGGAAGATCTTGTTGTACATTATGACGGATCGGTCCGTAATGCCGAAGGAGACATTGTACAATTTACCTATGGTTGCGATGGTTTGGACCCGACTTACATGGAAGGCAAAGATTGTCCGGTTGATTTTGACAGAGTGCTAGAACATGTAAAAGCAAAACATCCTTACAGGGAAGAAAAACCACTTGATGGAAATCAAATCATGCGGGCGACCAAAGCACTAATCACCAGCAGTGATAACGCTTTAGGGGCTTGTAGTGATGACTTTAAAAGAGAACTGAGGTAAATTATTTCTAACTAAAGATAATAGTTGTGAAAAATGATAATGTTGTGTTTGTTAGCGATTTTATTCATGGGATAGCAGCAAAGGTAGACGCAATAAATTTGAACTACAAAATTTCAACTGGTCCCTTCAAAGAGGTCGAACGTGTAACCTGCAGTCAACTAGTAACATTTGTTGAAACATGCGGACAAAAGTATACACGTTCCATAATTGAACCTGGAACTGCGGTAGGTGCGTTAGCCGCGCAGAGTATTGGCGAACCAGGAACGCAGATGACCCTCAAGACTTTCCATTTTGCTGGTGTTGCTAGCATGAACATTACTCAAGGTGTGCCGCGTATCAAAGAAATTATCAACGCTAGTAAAAACATCTCAACGCCTATCATCACGGCGTGCTTGGTGGATCCTTATGACCCGGAGTTTTCAAGAAGAGTAAAAGGCAGAATTGAAAGGACAACGCTTGGGGAAATTACTACTTATATCGAAGATGTTTACACCAAACATGATGCATTCCTGCTTATTCAGTTGAATTATGAGAGAATAAAGCTGTTGCAATTGGAAGTGAATGCGAATTCGATTAGGTATAATTTATGTACGTCTAAATTGAAGCTGAAGCCAAGCGATGTACGCGTGCAGAGCGAAACTATACTCACTGTCCATCCAAATCATTCGAAACATGGCTATAGATTGAATTTCAATATGCATGAGTTAAAGGACCTCATACCGAATGTTGTTATTAAAGTAAGGGCTCAAAATGATAAAAATATACCATCATATTATAACTAATATTGTTTAGGGCTTGCCAACTGTAAATCGAGCAGTAATCGCTAAAAAAGAAAAAGGTGGAAAGACAATGTACAACTTGTGCGTCGAAGGCGACAACTTACGTGAAGTAATGGCGACCTATGGCGTCGACGCCAGGAAAACCTTCTCCAATAACATCATCGAAGTTTACAATACGCTGGGAATCGAAGCTGCAAGGTAACGCATACATTACAATTTCTTCAGACATTTCCAATCGTTTCATTATTTATCGATGCAATATACGCTCTCTCTGTGCAGGGAAACAATCATGACTGAAATCAAAATGGTAATGGAAAATCACGGTATGAGTGTCGACTTTCGACATATCATGCTTCTGGCGGCGCAGATGACGCACACCGGGGAAGTTCTTGGCATCACACGTTATGGCCTTGCGAAAATGAAACAATCGGTGCTGAATCTGGCCTCGGTAAGCTACCTACTATTCACCTGATAACAATTCGTATTCTATTGCATTGCATAAAATTAGTCACAAGTATAATTGAAATAATAATGAATGAATTCTTTTGACACTTTCAGTTTGAGCGAACTGCTGATCATTTATTCGACGCGGCGTATTACGGTCAAACCGATCGTATTAATGGCGTGTCAGAGAACATCATCATGGGTATGCCTGCCCCGATTGGTACCGGAATATTTAAACTGCTACATAAACCGTTGAAGGTTGATCCCATCGTGGAGAAAACCCATTTGTTATTTGAATCGGCCCTCGATGATGATCTATGAAAATATTTTGTATATTGATATCTTGTTAATTAATTACTTTTGGTTCATGTTTATTGCAGCAGTTTTGAATTAAACATGTTTTTTATTGGATGCATTACAGATTATGTTCTTTTATCAGTGGCGGATTATGCTTCAGTGGGGCCCTAGGCGCAAATCAAGTTTGGGGCCCCTAAATCCGAAAATTTTCAAAAACGGTTATTAGCCCAGTAAAATTAATAGTTTTAGCGTACGGGCGCCGCAAAGTCTACTTCAACATTCGTTTGTGCCAAAAACTCATTTCCACACCACCATGAGGTACGTGGCGCGTTTTTTTTTATCGTGGTATCCCCAGTAAGCTTAATCCACACGCACTATATGCACTATGCTGTATCATGTTTGTTCGTTTCATCATATGGATATTTGCGTTTTCGTTGTCTCATCTCTTTATAAGAATGATGAGCTGTTAGGGATTTAGCCTCCTCTTCAACAGTTTCGATATTATTTCTGACCTCTGTTATAAATTCGTTTAATGATTTTAATAAACTAACACTATTAAGAATATTTGTCTTTGGTTCCTGTAAGTATTTGCTGGTAATTTCGATTCTCTGCAGGAGTTTGTTCCAGAAAATTGTTAACAGTGCCGTCTCAAATTGATCGAACTCTTTTGATAATTTTTTTGCTTCTAATTTTGAAATTGGTTTTTCATTGGGATCTGTGGTTACCTTTATCAACGATTGGTAAATATAATGATAATTGAGTCTTAGGGCTAAAACAGCGTCAGCTCTTGCGGACCATCGTGTATCAATTATTCTCTTGATACTTTTAGAATTCTTATCCTTCATGCATTCAGTTAAAATATTCCACCGTCTTGTAGATGCAGCAAAGAAAGTATATATATTTTGCAAAAACATAAAATACTGTAATGCTCCAGAACAAGATTCCGCTGCAGTATTCCCAGCCAAATTTAAAGAATGACTTCCACATGGTATGAATTCAGCTGATTTGGAATGTTGTTTTATGCGTGCCTGCAATCCACTGTACTTGCCAGACATGTTAGCAGCGTTATCATAAGATTGGCCCCTACAGTTTGTGATATCTAATAATAATAATAATAATAAATAATAAATATAATAAGAAATATTAACGATGCACCTTTATAGAAGCTCTTGTTGATTATTGACTGCAGTTTTGAAAATCACCCACGCCAAATCGTCTATGCACAAAACTTCGAGAAAAAACTTTTGTAGAACTAGTGTTGTCGGGATTGTGATTCAAGACTCACTGACCACTCTCTGTTTTTTATTTAATCCAACTACCACCCCAAAAATCTAGATAAAAATTGTAGGAGGATAAACGTTGGTACAACGTGTTCCGCAGATGTGAAAAAATGATAGAAAGACGAAATAATTAATATTCCAAAAAAGAGTTACCCGCTATTTTACAACCTCAATGGAATATTCCTCAACTCATCTCCTCCACAGATGTTGGAAATTTAAAAAAATTGGCAATACTACTACTACTCGCATTATAGCTACAACTTTCTAATGCAATATTCAAGAAAAGGTCACAAAAATTCGTGGCAGAAAACATCCAAATTTTATTTTAAACAGTTTGTCATAAAGAAATAAAATCGGAGATAAAAAGTTTTAAGTCAGCTATATATCCGTGACGGTTGCTTTGCGGACACGTGTGAAATGCCGTTTTGGGCGCCAAGTAAAAACCAATACGCTATTCATAAAGGCTGAGGTCAAAACGAACTGATGAAGTATTTGTGGAATTACTATGTCTATATGGGACATATAAGTGCCAGGGGCCCCTCAGGCAGTCGGGGCCCCCCAGGCAGCCGGGGCCCTAGGCGCGCGCCTAGTGCGCCTAGGCCGTAATCCGCCACTGTCTTTTATTATTCCTTACTCTCTTAGATTTTTTATTTTGACTCAGGTTACTTGCAATCACTTTGCGGGAAATCAATGCTTATCAAACATACGGTAGTGCGAATATTTTAAGGTAACAAGGTCAAATGTGTACGTATTAACTGATAATATTGGTTTAATATACAAATGTCTTCAAGTAGAGTCATGCAATTAAAGGAATTTTTGCTGCTATGCATTTAAATTTCCTGAAATTTAATTATCGTTAGTAATGTTGTAAACTAAATATATTAGCCTATAACACTATAACAAAACAATAAAAATGATATTTTTAAAAAATTTTATGACTGATAATATATTCTTTAGCAGATGTTCCTTTTGTCTAATTGTTTATGTTTTGTGATTATTCATGTTATTATTATACACAATCATCATACACACTCTTATCGTTATGAACTCAAAGTCAAAGTTTCCAAGCCTAACACAATAGTAAATTGTCACTCATAATTTCCTTCAATTCATAAAAACTAGACTAATGCTTAACACATAGCCTTATCTCAACGCGAAACTTGCAATTTAATTTGCAGTAGTAGTTATCTAAATTGTTGCAAACTACATTCTACTTGAAAATGTTTACCGGCATCAAAATAAGACGACATTAGGAAACACTAAACTACTTAATCCTTGATGATATAAGTCCCTGGATTATAATCTATTGTAAATTTTCACATTCATGCAAAATTTAAACATGGAAGAATATTATTCGCATTGTTGCTTACATACAAAGAAAATATAAATAACATATAACCAAGTAAGTAGCGCACTGCTATAATTAATTGCATTACGGGTACAAAAGTCGCATTCTCGTAAAACACGTAGCGAAGCAAGATATAAAACATAAAGGAAAGGCAAACAGGTTCAATGACAATTATATGCAGCTGTATCTGTGTATATCAGTTTTAAACTTTGTTACTATGTTTGATTGCAATTTGCTTTCATTTTTTTTTTAATTTGACGTACAAAAAACACATTAAAAAGTAAAATTTAAAAAATATTGCTTCTTTTCAAACAACGCTTATACTTAAAACAAAACACAAAAAAGTTCATTGACAATTCAAAATTTATAATTTTAACTTGGGTTTTTGTTTGCCAGAAATAAGACGCAGACCATTGAACTACCCCGCAAAGCTCACAAAATCTAAAAAACACTGACGCACCAAAAACTCAAAATATTCTAGTAATTTTCAGCCAGCCACAGTTTTTTCGCACTTTCACACAGTGACGATGGGTCGCGGCGCGGCGACAACAATAATGTTAATAAGTGATGATAACAGCCGCCAGTTCAACACAAGTTCTAAGCAAACACGGTAGTGCGCCGTCTCTTCTATCATACATGCATGCAACGTGTGACGATCGAATGCAAATGAACAAAAACACGCCGACAACCAACAAACATAAACATTGTTAAAATTGCCATTACATTACATTCAGCGCGCAATGCGAACGATTGGTAAAATGTGTAAATATGTGTATACTGCCCGGACGAATATAAACTAAAATATTAGTGCTTTTCAAAAAATATTATTTAATATTATTATGTTCTGTGGTTTGCTGATAATAAGTTGTGATTAAAATAGTGGGCGTAATTATGAGTCAATGCAAGCCCAACGGATTAATACAAAGAAGCACAACAACACATTAAACTTAGTGAGCAATAAATAGTTTCAAAGAAGAATCAAATAATAAAGCAATAAACTCATTAAATACTAAATAAATAAAAGACAATTACCTACAATAGGTATAACTACAATATTATCAAAAACAAACTCACCAAAACTATCAATTTTCTTTATCCAAGTTCCCAAAGATGATGCGATAATGTAACAAAGCTTACACAGAAGGAATATAAACTCGCGTCGCTTTTATTTTCGAAAAGTTCCAAGATAAGCGCCGCTGTCGTGCGGACGGATCGAACCGATCGCGGCGAGTGCTATCTCAATTTTAGTAATTAATGTATTTATCAACGTCTTATAAAGCACAGTGTATAGAAAATAAATGTAATCGTTTGGTGAATTTAGTGCACATAAAATAAAAGCTGTGCGCGGTAGCTGCTCCAGTCAGTCAGTCAGTCATTTGCTTGGGATCGAACCAGCGCGCTTCGTTTTTCAAAATTTTCTTTGAAGAACAGCGCAGACTAAACATGATTTAATATTTTAACCAACCAATGAGGAGGTGATTTGATCAACGGATCTACACGAACATATCTTCCAATTTAAATTTAAAGTGATATTATTAAGTAAAAGTTTAAACTAAAGTTTTCATCATGAGTGGCGGCGGTAAGTAAAAAGTCCTGTTAATTATTTTCCCATAAATATTGCAATGTTAATATTATGTAGTTAAAATAGTTTAATGTCAGTGCGCGTCAATTTTATACCTTTCTAGTTAACTATGTATTTAACAATAAATAATAGTTGCGCTAAGCACGTGTGCATGTTTTACTTTCTTGCGATTGCGAATGATTGATTGAAAAATTGCGAAGGTTGCAGATTCTACTAGGTGATCAATGGTATTGTATTGAATTACAAGTTATGATAAATGAACTATTAAATACCATATGATCAGTATCTATTACAAGTAAATGTGTTGCTTAGATTTATATAAAAGAAAGAAAAACAGGAAACACGTGGTTCAATGTAAATTATCACTTTTTTATCACTTTGGTTGATTACAAAGTAGTGTGTTTAATTTTTAACGACTACTGATGAGTTGGTAGTAATTACATTATAATAAAACTTTACGACTTTATGTCACAATGCGTTAATTTCGCTTCCAGTGATTTTCCCCACGTGCTATTGATTTTTTATCAAACATCAGAAGATATTACTAACCGTCTTACATCACAATCTCAATTACTAAACCAATAGATTCTTATCACTATGTACTCTCGGGTGCATTCCACGATATTACCTACTTATGGTAGAATTCTAAAATAAAATCAAATACAATCAAACCTAATACTTGATATCAATTTCGAGGATATGTGTTTTACCAAAAATTCTTCAAGAACACACTCTGATAATACGATTCTAAAAATCTACAAAATTTTCTAATCTACAGTTACTTCCTAATTTTTAAAATTTTATCATTAGTCAGTAATCAATAATTATTAATTCTAAATATGAAAATGTTCACTAACTTTTATCGATAAATTTTAGTCGATAAATAATTTATTGTCATACATTGATTCACCAAGCACATTTTTTAGGAAAATCTTCCTAATGGAGTCAATCATTTAAATTGTTTGATGACGATGACGTTTGCAATGATCTCTTTACAATCAATATAACTTTTTAATCTAATTTATTGCATAATTTGTTTTCATGTTAGCGATAAGTAGCACTGTTATCAGTCGTGAAGCAACTACCATTCAGTCAAACATTTGCAATATATATTTATCACTTTTATTGCTTTGTTATTAAAAGGAATGCTAAAACTTACATTAAAACTTGAACCTACCACAAATTTCAGGCATTGCAAAATCCTCCGAAAATGTCGGCCTCAAACGAGAAATGGGCCTCTTCTCGGCCATCAACATGATCCTGGCCGTGATGATCGGCTCGGGCATCTTTGTTTCGCCGGCATCAGCGCTCGAACATTCCGGCTCCGTGGGAATGTGCATCATCATCTGGATCGTTTGCGGCCTAATTTCGTTGCTCGGTAGGTTCGACAATAAACAAACCGATTAACGTATTAAACATGTCCAAACAAACGCGCCTAACATTCGCCAAAGAATACCATGACAATGACAATTGTATGAAAAGAATGTCGTTAATTAAGATTCTTCCTGCTTACAAGTACCTACCAGACTTTTTGGAACGGCGACACAGATTAAACTTTACCCGAAACATATTATACATTATTATATTTTGGTATTTAATTTTTAGGAGCCTTAACATTCGCCGAATTGGGAACTGTTGTTCCCAGATCCGGTGCTGAATATGCTTACTTCATGGACTCCTTCAGTACGCTGCATAAATTCTGGGGTAATTTACCAGCGTTCATTGCGTCCTGGGTGTATGTGGTGGTGCTGAGACCTGCAGAAGTAGCTGTTATCACGTTGACATTTGCCGAATATTTATGCAAACCAATCCTGGACGCATTGGGTGCTTGTGATATGGATACAGAAGCCATTAAAAAATACGTCGCCATTTTAGCTTTAGGTAAAAAACATATTTTTTAAATTGTAGCAGCTCATAATGAAATAACAACATTTTCAGGATTAATAACTTACATTAATATGACCAGCGTAAAACTCTACGTAAAAATCCAAAATATCTTCAGTTCCTTTAAAGTAATTGCGTGTTTAATTGTCATTTTTGGTGGCATTTACGAGTTGCTAATTAAAGGCAACACGGAACATTTGGGTAAAGGTTTTGAAGGGACCAAACTAGCACCCAAAAATATCGCATTGGCATTTTACAGTGGATTATGGGCTTATGATGGATGGAATTCCATTGTTACCGTTACCGAAGAAATCAAGAATCCTGAAAAGTAAGAATTACTTACAAATTAAAGTATTAACTATAAATATGTTATATAAAATTTCAGGAATATCCCAAGAAGTATCATGATCAGTGTGCCAATTGTTACATTCCTTTACGTTTTCATGAACATCTCGTATATGACCGTCATGAATATCGATGAAATGGTAAATGCGCAAGCTGTTGCCGTCGTGTTCGGCGAACGTGTCCTCGGCATCTTTTCATTCGTAATTCCACTTGGAGTCGCACTGAGTACTTTCGGTTGCGCGCTGAGTATTCAGTTCAGTGTCACTCGGTATGATGAATGATCTAAAACGACTTCAATTAGAATGTATATTTTCATTTTCATGTTTTAATTTTTTCAGATTATGTTATGTAGCCAGTCAAGATGGACACATGTTGGAGAATCTTTCATACATTCATGTCCGCAGGGCAACTCCAGCCCCTTCTGTAGTTATGCAAGTACGTAACTTGCACTAGTAAACTTACAAGAAACTATTAATAATTGTATTAATAAATTTTAGGGTATAATTTCATTAGCTTTCATCGTTGCGGGTAATATTATGGAACTCATTGAGTTTGCCAGTTTCCTCATTTGGATATTCTATGGCGTGGCAATGGTGTCACTCTTAGTTTTAAGAAAAACGAAAAAAGATACACCTAGACCTTATAGAGTACGTGTGATATTTTATTCTTGGCGTTATTTAATGAATTTAACACGTTAAACTTTAGGTTCCTACATGGATTGCCATCTTCATCATCTTTGTATCGATATTCTTATCAGTAGTGCCAATCGTCACCGATCCATCGCCCAAATACTTATTCGCGATCGGTTTTATTTTAATTGGAGTACTAGTATACTATTGGTTTATTTATAAAAAGAATCGGCCAAAAATAATGGGTATGTATATAAATGCCACCCACTTACATAAATATTAGTTACTAATTTGTTATCATTTTGAATGTTTTTAGATAAAGTGACCTATTATGTTCAAGTGCTATTTGAAGTGGTACCGCCAGCGAACGCACACTCCAGTTAAACCAGAGACATATTTATAATTTAATAAATTCTGTTTTTGTTTGTTTTTATCGTAATACGTAAAAATATATCTTTGGTAGTTTAAAATGTGACAACATGTTTATTTGTTTAAGAAATAGATAAAATTGCAACTTATTTTGCTGGCAAACGCAATAATATGTTTCTTACTACTTTAGTAAGTTAGCTAAATATTAAACAGACTATTTGATACTAAGGTTTATTTTTAGTCACACTAATAATCCAATTCAATATTACATTTGTAAATATTGGTTTTAAAGTATATATCAATGAACCTAACGTCTAGTTCATCTTCAAAAGCGCATTTCAAATAAAATATTCTAAAACAAATCCTTTCCACTATTCTGATATACCATAATTAAATTAATGGTGGTTATACTTATTAGCGTTACAAATTAAGTATAAAAATATGATTAATTAATAAATTAATTATGTAACGATTTATCTAACGACGGGTGAGTCTACATCATCGCAATTGTTAAACTACCTTTAAAACATCAAATATTTATAGTTAAAACCTTATTTTGCGACCAAATTCATAGAAAATCTTGAAAGATTTGAAAACTTTTATAATTCCTGCGTTGCCACCGTTGCCATATAAATCTAAAGTTCGTTCAGCTCCAGTGGGGGAGTCCGCCGCATGTTCGGCGCTCGCAAGCGCGACGTATGATTCAGGGCATGACCAAATTTGGGTTGTACCGCAATTTATAAGTTCATTTGTTATTTTCTGTTAATACAAGTTTAGCCACATCAACACTAATCATCATGCAGGTGCGTTAAAAATACCTTAAATTATAAATTACACAACATTAATATCATTTTCATATTTTAGAACCCAGATGAAGACACTGAATGGAATGATATCCTTCGTTCCAAAGGCATTCTACCTCAAAAACCAAAGGAAAAAGAAATCACTGAAGATGACATTGTTAACATGTTGGAACAAACCATCAAGGACAAACAAGATAACTCAAGTGAGTATTCTTCATTCTCATAAACTCATCTCTAAGCAATTTTAACAAATGTTTATGTTCAGAACAAATGGAAGACATGAACCTGGATGAATTAGATGAACTAGAAGATTCAGAAGATGAAGGAATATTACTTGAGTACAGAAAAAAGAGAATAGCTGAGATGCAAGCACTTGCATCCAAAGAAAGATTTGGATGGGTGCAAGAAATATCAGCACAAGATTACATAGGACAAGTTAATAAAGCTGGTGAAGGAATATGGGTGGTTTTACATCTGTATAAACAGGGCATTCCATTGTGTGCTCTTATTAATCAATTTATGCAGGAACTTGCAGGCAGATTTAAAACTGTTAAATTCTTGAAAGCCATTGCACAAACATGTATACCAAATTACCCAGATAAAAATTTGCCAAGTATATTTATTTACTATGAAGGAGAGTTGAAGAAACAAATTGTTGGACCACTTGATTTAAGAGGACCCAACCTAACTTGTGATGGTGAGTATTCTAATTTTAAATTGTTCTATTCAGTTGGAATAAAAATGTTAAAATTATTTGTAGAATTTGAGTACATCCTGGGCAAAGCAGGTGCAGTTAACACAGACATTAAAGAGGATCCAAGACCTAAGATACAGGATAAAATGTTCCAAGATTTAGCTGATACCAATGATTGGTAGCATTAATATTAACTATTTCTTGAACAAATTATTTATGTACTTACAATGAGGAAGACATCAACTCAGCTGGACTGCAATCAATTTTTTTATGCCTGAATTAAATGTATTTATTACTTTTTGTTTGTTTTTCATGGTTTAACAGAACGTTTTTTGCAATGCAATAAAAAAGAACAAATGAACGAAGAATAATTGATACAACACTGAACTGTACTACCCTCTAACGGTCACTTTCTGAGCTAACACTACGATTAATCCCGTTTCGTTTGTGTCCTGTTGCTTTACGTTTCAACTGGTATTTTTAATTCCAATGTCATAAACAGCTGTTGTGCGTCAGTGATTTAACTATTGCCTAGCGTGTGGTTTACGTACCAACCAGTATCAACAAAATTATATCGTGTTTACAACGATCAGCAACTAATGTATTCACATACGCCATTTACGCATTGCGCCACTTAGCATTAGCAGCCATGGAGGGATCTATGAGCCAAATTCCCGTCTTTGTGTTCCCGAACGCGTTGAAATTTTACCTGGGTGCCAGACATACACACAAGCAGCTTCTCACTCTCTACAATCCATATGATTTTCCAGTCAGATTCAAAGGTATATAATTAAACTTCCAATGTCGTCATTATAAAGTCATTATTCAGCAGTTTTTTTTTGTTGTTTTTGTATTATTCACATTTTTTGCAGTTTTGTCCACAGCTCCCAACAAGTATTCGGTGATAGATCCTGATGGGAGCATAGGACCTAGAGCTTGTGTGGATATTGTTGTCAGGCATACAGTGCCCATACTTTCAAACTGCAATGTCTCTGATAAATTTAGAATATCTATGCAGGACCATAGTACAAAGAAGGTTTACATTAAGTTATTTATGCATTATGATAAGTAATTATTACCGTGTTTCTGCAGGTGCTAGGCAAACGTGATATTGAAGCTAGATTGTTGCAAGGTGAGCCAGACAATATTTCAAATGATGGTGATTTTCAAGCTTTAGGCATTGGTGACAAGCACCCAGAAGATCAAAGGACTACTCCTTATCCAATGCATAGTTATAGGTAAATAAATAATAAATATACATACCTAATTAGACACAACCTAAATTGACTACTATTTATGTTGTTGTAGGACGCCATATCATCAAAATAATACTTTAATATACATGTCAGTTCTTGCAATGGCGATTTGCAGTATCGCCTTACTGTGGCCAACACAATCAGATCCCCTAGTTGAAAATTACTTCATTCCAAAGTATCTCTACATAACGAATACCATCAAACTGGTCTTTGCTTACGTGCTCGGCATTGTGACAATGGTAATATTAAAGCAATGATCAGCAAATAATTTTAAATGTAGGTTAATGAATGGATTTTTATCAATTGGAACGTTCTTAAATTTATGATTTACCAAAAGGTTGGTAAGCAATAAGAAATTTATAAATAAATTATGTGTAACTATATATTTTACAATATAGTCATGTAAGTTACCATGTATGTATAAAGGTATAATATTATTTGTCTTTGTAAATTTATTTTACTTAATATTTACAGATTAAATGATTTTATACATGTGATATGTGAGTTGATGATGGAATGTTTGCTGATTTAAAAATGTATTGACGTCATGCGAATTAAAGCGAAATTTTCAAGATAAAAAGATTTGTTTGTTTTGCTTACCAAATTCCTAAGCTATATATGCGTGCTAACTTCACTATGTATTAAAACCACATTTGAGAAAATTATTGAAATGCCGTGACAATCACAATTTTGCAATGCTTCGGAAGTTCTCGTTTGTCAACAACCAATCAGATGCTGGCTCGCATAGCGGTAATTTTAAAAATATTAACGACGACTTCTTCCACGACTAACCGTAACTAACCTTCAAGATTTCAATATTTACGCGGTTTTCTGTCTATAACCCGAATGCGTAACTTGTTGCTTATTTATGTGTGATATTAGTGTATAAATTTAAAATTTAAGAGTTCAAAATGGAAAGTAAGTAATCAGTTAATAACTATTTGCCTAATATGACATCTCGTAAGATAGTTTATATTTAATATAAAAAATCTCATCTTTTAGAACTATTAAAACGAAAGAAAAAAGCGCAAACAGATGGTAACAAAACATTACTAACTTCTGTATGCATAGACCTTGCCGAACTTCATTTAAGCAATAGCAATTATAATGCAGCAATTGACGAATACAAAACAGTTGCAATGATTTACAAACAGCAGAACAAAATGCTTGAATATGCCTGTGCGCATAGAATGATTGGTGAGGCATATACCCACTTATTACTCTATGACAATGCCCTAAAGCATGAGGAAATTTACCTCAAGGTAGCTCAAAAAGAAAACAATAAGATGGAAGAACAAAGAGCATTTGCCACCATGGGACATATTTATTTAACAATGTCATTGTGTTCAGAGGAACCAAATCATAAAAATTTAGAGCTGGCTGCAAACAATTTCATTAAAAGTTTAAATGTTTGTGAGAAGTATGATAATAAACTATTTTCTTTAAGATAATTGTATACATAATGTTATTATTTTATAGATTGAGTGGTGTTATTTCTAAAAGAGAACAAATGGATATGATGGCAAGATTATTTGCAAATCTTGGGGTGGTCAAAGAAGCTCAAGGAAAATTTTCTAAAGGAATTGAGCTAGTCATTAAGAGTGTGAATGTGTGCAAGAAGTATGATATTTTTGAACAACTTGAGAGGTGTTACACAACCCTAAGCTCTTTATATCTCAAAAGTGGTGATCACAGCAGTGCAATTAGTAATTTAAATCTAGCCATGGAAACAGCAGGTAGATTACCACAAAAAGTTTCATTAACTTGTTCATCTCTCCTGTCTAAAGCAGACATACTGATGAAAATGAATGATCTACAAGGCGCAAAACGCGTTCTACATAAAGCATATAAACTGAAAACGCCAAACAAAACTGATCGTGATACAATTGAAAAGAATTTAAAAACTGTCATGGCGATGAGTTATGCAGAAGAAAATTTATTGGTAGCATCAGTGGATGATCACCAAACAAGAAAATCTCTTTATGAACGCCTTGGGGATGGCGCATGCTATTTTAAAAATTATTCTACTGCCATTGACTACTACAAAATGATGCTGGACTCTGCATTAAAGAATAATGAATGTGGAAAGTCCCTGAGTCCTTGTTATAACAGTCTAGCACAAACTTATTTAGATAATAAGCAATATGACAAAGCAATTGAATATTATAACTTAGATCTGGAACTGTCTAAAGATAACTTGAGTGAATCAATAAACACAACTTTTAATATAGCATCCGCTATGGATAAAGCCGGCAAAGACATCAATTCAGTTTGTGCACTGTATAATCAGGCCCAAGAAAGGTGTCGAATAGCTGGAGTCAAAAAGGAACTTGCGAGGGTTTTGGAGCGACATATTTTGTATTTAAAGAAAAATTTCAGAGTAACGGACGCTGCCAAATTGGAACCCGAGTTTGAAGAGTTGAATTGTTTGCCAAGTGATAGTGATAGTGGCGGAGAAGAGGCTGAAGATACATTTGCACTGGGTGATGATGTAGATATTAATAACATAACGGATCTATCTTCAAGTGATGATGAAAAGGATCTAACAATAAAATCAACTAGGAAACGAAATAAAACTACAGCTTTTACAATAAAACGAAATGCGAAAGGTGAAACTCAACTACACGTTGCAACGATTGATGGTAATGTGCAATTAGTAGAAAAATTATTAGGGCAAGGACATGTTGTTAACATTAGAGATAATGCTGGATGGCTACCGATTCACGAGGCATGCATTTGTGGTCATTTAGAGATAGTTCAAATGTTAGTAGAAAAGGGTGCTGCTATCAATGATAGAGGTGGCGTTAAATGTGAAGGTAAGCAAGTATTTACTACTTCAATTATGTGATTTAATTTGTCTTTTAATTATTAGGCATGACACCATTGCATGATGCTGCATCAAATGGTCACTTAGAAGTTATTGAATATATGTTAGCGAAGGGTGCTTCCCCACTTGCAAAAACAGATAATGGCGAAACTCCTCTAAACTTTCTAAAATCATGGAGATCTAACGTAACTTTAGACGCAAATGAAGAAATCGTTTATAATCGCGTTGTAGAATCGATAGCAATCGCGTTATCGAAAGCCGGTCAACATGATACAACAAGTTCGCTAAACCGATCAAACGAAGCTCTTGTATACGTCGAAGATGATAATCCTATTTTAAATATGACAAGATCATCAAAAAAGCCCAATCACCCACGGAGTAGTAACAGTTTAAGATCAGATGCAAGCGACACAAAAAGCAATAAAAGTTCAAGTAGTACTTATTCTTCTGATCTGAGAAGAAATATTAATGCTGGTGATGATGATTTAATCACACAATCGAATGTTACTTGTGATTACAAATCTACTATGGATCTATTTCGCAAAACTTCAGGTAATGAACCGAAAAAGAGAAAATCTATTCAACAATCTGCACTAGTGTCTACAGATGAAGTAGTGGATGTTGATGATTGGTTGGAGGATGATTTGGGTGCCATGAACACAACGAACAAAAAGAAATGTCGTGTGAATTTATCACTCAAACGCGCAAATTCATTAAATTCTTTTACATCTGACATGGACGCACAATCTGATGATAGTGCGTCGCTTGATTTGGAAAATATTGATTCCAGTAATGTTATTACAATTGAATCTAGCGGTACAAGTGGCACAAGCTCAAAATCTGGCTTCCGGAAGCGTAAATCCCAACAGACACTTTTTAAGAGCGGATTTACTCGTGTGCGAGACAGTCCTAGTCCGGTTGAGTCAATGTTCAGTTGTGGTTCAAATTGGGGATCAGATAAAAGCGCGAATTGCAGAACGCAATCAAAAATATCAAGTTTTTTGTCCAGTGGTGATGTTCACTCAAATAGAAACAAGGATGTTAATACAACTAATGTAAAAGAAAGTGATATGAATTTAACACAACCACTGATTAAAAATCAAATGCTGTATATCGATGTACGGATAGATGAAAAATTGTTTCGGATCCCATTTCCGGCGAAGGACTTAGAGAGTTTAACGATTAGTTGGTTGGCGGAGGAAACTGCGAAGCGATTTTACAAGTAATTATTACAAATGCGAAAATTAAAAATGATAATGATAAAATAATGTATTTTTGTTGTTCTTTGCAATTAGGAAGGAAGCAATGAAACCAGTTATTGAAGTAGAAACCAAAAACGGAGCGATATTATGCGACGATGATGTTTTAAGCGTGTTATTTCCTATTGGAGTTACGCAATGCGAGGAACTTCGCGCAAAAGTAGTAAAATGGAACGTCCCACAATTAAAAGAACGTTATTTAGACGCGTGCCATTATTTTAATATGGGTAAGCCATTTTGTAAGCAGAAACATGAAAAATTTAGTGACAATTTTTTTATGAATATTTCAGAGCCATCCAATGAAATTTCAACAATATTAGACTCCACCACTGTAAATCTCGACTTATCAAACAAAAAATATCGCGATAGGTGTATTCCAATAGCACGAGCACTGAATCGTCAAACTAGTCTCTATGAACTCAACTTCAGCGGACTACTAGCCGGAAACAAAATGGTAGAAGTATTATGTGAGTCCCTTCCATCGCTCGTGAATCTATCTGTTTTAAACCTAAGCACTAATCACATTAATTGTGATGGGTTGTACACATTGTCTACAACATTACAATACACACCATTAAGATCACTAAACGCACTGGACTTAAGTTACAATCCATTGGGAAATACGTGTTTGAAGCATATAGCCGACTTAACTCACAGTCTGAATTTAGAAAAGCTTCATTTATGTGCAGTTGATTTCACTATTGGTGTTTTCAACAGCAGTTACAATCAAAATGTATCTTTAAGTCTAAAGAATTTAACAGAGTTAAATGTAAGTCACAATGAACTTGGAAAATCAGACTTAGCAAAATTTTTGAACTTTTTGTATGGGGATAAAGTTGAAATGTTGGAAATTGGTAACAATGGTGTTGAAACAAGCGGGCTTGGGCTAGACATATTCAAAATGTTACAGAGAAAATCGCAAGATCTGGAAAATCACAAGGTGGCGTTACGAAAAGCTGGATTATCATGGTGTATGCTAGAAGATGATGATATTTGTAACCTAATAAGGTAAGTTATTAGCTTATGTAGCTTTATGTTAGTTTCTAAATTTCTTATTTTAGGCCTTTAAAAGATAGTGATAAACTTGAACAACTCGATCTATCATTTAATGAGTTCTCTGGTATGTGTTTAAAAGAATTACTCACGACTTCACCTCCAAAACGCCTCCTTATTATGGGATGTGGCAAGTTGAATGGGGATTCAAATATGTTTGATACTGAATGGAAATTTATATCTACAAGTTGTGAATATTTGGAAAGCACTCTAGATTGTGTGCAGGATTTCCAGCAATGTGATACTCTAATTAATATGTTTAGGGAAAAATACAATGATCAATTGGATATCAGGGGGCTAGATGAGGGTATGCTCACATTATCTGTTTGTAATACTTAAATACATGCTTTGACTGAATGTTGTAAGTATTTTATGTTTTTATTATATTAATATGTAACATATATGGCCAGTCATTGCTGCTCCTAAAAACCTTAAAGTATTGCGTACTTTAAGATAAGAACATAGCTTTTAACATGATTTACAGTATTTATAATTAGTATGGCATTTATGATCATGAAAGTTTGTAGTAATAAAAGTTGGTGTCCAATAAGTTAAAAAGAATGTAGTCTGTTGAGTGTTTGGACCACATGAATGGATGTGCTGGTTTTTACAACAATTTGTTAGGTAACTTCGCTAAAAATGCTCAATTTGCGGAAAGTTTTTAGATCAGTTATAACATCGGCTCTAATTTGAATAATAATAAAGTTCTGTAACTTTATGTAGCTACCCAAGTTGGATCAGTGTGAAAATCTAACACTGATCAATTACACTGTTAACTTTGTTTTAAAAGTAATCACCTATTTAGTATTTGTTTCTAGACACTGAGAAACCGTTTAACTGTTTTAACATGTATGTTTTTGTAAATATTGAATGCAACATGCAACAAACATGCAAGATTCAAGAGGAATACAAGTTAGTTGTAAAGTCACGTCACGTAGAATGAAGAAAATTTGGAGCACCAATTTAATATCACAATAACAACGATAATAAAATATATTTTCATCTTTTACCCCGTAAAATTTCGTTCCGCACACTTCTTTCATGTATATTTAAACATTTAGTTAAGTCCACCCGTTGTTTCATTCACTTTACCAATGAAACTCTTTGGATCGGGGGCTAGAGAACTCCAATCTGTGTCAATACAATTTGTGACAATACCGCACGTTTTAACGTTGTCATGTTTCGCATTTCTTGCAATACAACTCGAACCCAATGTGTAAAACTTAGCGAAAAGCGTATCGATCCATTCCTGCAGGTCCGGCCCGAAACGTTTCGAGTTCGCCACGCTAAGTAATTCTAATCGTTCGCGTTCGAAATTACTCGGTAGATATTTTTCAAAAGAAGTGTCAAACTCTTTAAAGTTCTCCGCGCCTGAATGAATAAAATTTACCTGGTTCTGCGCAATAGTATTACCGCCCACAAAACTCAAAGGAGTGACTAAAAACTTCACTTCCGCCGCGGATTCATCATGATGTATCAATTTAATCGTCCACGCGCCAGGTAATAAAGGTTGCTTTAGGGTTGGTTTGCTAAATCCGGTAACAAACATGTCGTCTACGCTTATCTCAGTCACGTCCACCAAATGCCCCGCAGGATTAATCCACAATAACGTTAAATTTGTACTTTTGCTAGCTGCATGCGCCGCGTTGAACGTGTAAATCAAAGCTGCCTCCGAGTAAGGGCCTAAACTTCGCGCCAAATTACGTGATATCTGCTCCTTTTGGTCGTACTCGCTACTCACTATCATCGACTTAATCCGGTAAACGATATTAGACGACTTGGTAAGCAAAAGTGTGTTTTTCGGCTTGAACCAAGTCTCTAACTTAACTGTGCCTACATCAGTAACGTTCAAATCGTACAAAACTAAAGTCTTCTGGTAACTGTCATTCGTGTGATATGAGTGTATCTCTTTTAATTTGTAATCGCCTGCGGTGCAATGTTTATTTAATGTTTTAATCGTGGTACGTATCACGCTATCAGTTAAAGTCAATAGACTATCATCCCCAGTAGTACCCAAATCAAACGAGTTGTACACACTCTGCCAATAGGAATTTATATTGAGTAAATCCGTATGATAGCTGTCGCCATACAACCACTGCTCCAATTGCAGCACCACCGCTTGGTTGATAATCGGCTCGAATTTTCGCGCGAAATAAATCTGTCGACTCTCTGTATTTTGCACCCTTAACCAGTCCTCTGGTTTAAAATCATTGGGACTACACCCACACCAATCTACAATATGCTTGTATTGACACTTACACCCCAACTTACGCTTCCAATTGGTGACGTGCAGGTTGTTATCGATATAAGTGTTGCAGAATTTCGAATTACGCAACACTGTATGGAAGAACGACTCGGCCGGCAGGAGAGTGTAGGTGAAAAGCACCAATAGGCCTTCGACCAGTTCATCAGGGGAATCAGTCGCGATGTACTCGACAAACTTACGTGATAGCGCCACCCAATCGCTGCCACCGTCTATTTGAATGCCCCACGGAATTTTGCGGTCCCCAGTGCGCCACATGTGCGTATCGCATTCGATAAACGTTTTATCCAGACCCTGTTTCTGAATAAAACGCTGGACTTCTCTGCCATGCGACTTGACAAAGTTTTTCTCGCGATTCAGCGAGAGGAAGGATGTTAGGCGATCGAGTGTTTTCACCGGATAGTCCGATTCACTGAGATTTATGACAAAATCCCATTGCCAGTCTATATCGTCGATCAGTTCGCGCATCGCGGAGCGCAGCATTTTGAGCAGGGATGCACCACCCCATATCGTTGCAAATCTACGCCGCGTCAGTCTTACATTCGGAAATTGTCGTTCTAAGCTCAACAATTCCCTAAATAAATAATCTTGCCTCTGCAAAATTACGACTTATGGTTAAAAAGAACAGAAAGAAATGTCGTGGAAAAACTTACCGCGTCTACATGAATATAAAAATAATGATCCCTGTGATATAAAATCTTGATCAACCTCTTCACTTGTCTTAAAGCTCGTCCATTCAGTGTGAGAAGGAATACGATTCGTACCTGTTTTATATTTGTACTTCCTGTTGACGCGATGCGTGGTGAAAATTCTACAAATACATTAATAAGAACCATTCAAACATAACCTATCCTAACCCAACTTTTTATGCCTGTTTGAAAAACATTCATTGTAAAATATCCACCACAAGCTTGATGTGGATCTGAGGGACATTTCATATTGCATGATGAATCTGGTTGTTTGGCTGTTGATGGAGGCTCATCATTTCCACAAAAACACTCAATCCTTTCAAGAAAAATGATTAATGCCAAAAAAATTATATAAACATAATTCGGTACTTACGAATATTGTACACCGGCATAAGCAAACCCTGACTGAAGGCACAAACGTATACAATACTCTGGAGAGTTGGCATCCTTGTTCTTGCCATAATAACCACTGAGCAATCTAAAGTTCTTTTCATCTTTAAAGCAGCCCAACAGCTTGCCAGGATCACGTCCTTCATTTGGACAATGATTATGTAACTCTGTTGGATACAAAGAACCACTCTGAATAAGGCACGTAATATTCGCAATCTCCTGCTTGCATCTTTGAGTTTTTGCTCTATGAATTGCAGAGACAGCTTCTTTGGTAGATATTTCACAAGATGGCACAAAATCTAACTCCTCCAAACGCAACCTTACTACATGTTTAGTGGTTGATGGAATGACTGTTGAAGGTTTTGCCACCTTCTTTATCTGCCCTTCATCATCATCTATAACAAGAGCATTGTTACTCCTTCGCGCCGAATTCACGCTAACTTCGGCATCTTCATTCCATGAATTTGGCAAATTTAAATTGTCTGGTTGCAAGATAAAAAGTCTAATGGCAAGAAACAATTGAAATATAAAGATTGCAATGCCAATCAGAAAAAATATTTTGTATCTTCGTATCCAACGATTATCTACGCTCTTCACTACAACCATTATATTATCTTGTAATCATTGTTCTAAAATGTAACATCGTATAATCAATTGTTTGTTATAATCTTATTTTGTATGTTACTCACCTAGTGCAATTCGTTTTGCAAATAAGCTTAGGTTAGATCCACTTTGAGATGTTTTTCTTTCATTGTAGCACTTCCTGTGACACTATCTAAACGTTATTTTTAGGATACATCACATATTACGTTACTATTCCGACCCAGTTTCGTTTAGGACTATTATAAAGACTATTTATATTTATTAGCTTAATCAAAACGCAATGTCAACTAGATCAACTAGACTACTTCTTACCGCCTTGCTACTTGACAAAGTTGTTAGTATGTAGTAGTGTAGTTAGCATGTGCCCTGCCATCTAGAGTGCGTTAGTTCAATATCAAGCAATGATTTCTAACATTTTATTTAAATTTTATTATGATCTTTATAACTCAAAGAACAAGTTTATAGCAGAATACCTAAAACATTATGAATTAGATTACCAATACCGCCTAATAGTCCAGTGTTTGGGGGTTTAGTTGGTTTTAGAGTTGTAGGTACTGTTGGAACAGTAATAAGAGTTGGAATCATGATTACAGGTTTAGTTGTGGAAGTTCTTTCTGTTGATTCGGTTGATGGTTGATGAGTAGGATCTTGGGATGGCTTAGTGGGTTCGGTTGAGGTGAGATTGAAGGGAGAAGTTGAAGTAACCACGGTTGTATCAGTAGGTTCCTTTGTTGGTTCCCTTATCTCTCCAGTTGAATTGCTCATAGATCCATGAGTTGGATCGGAGGGCCCATCAGTGGGTACACTTTCCGTTGTAGTAGTAGTTGGCTCGGTGTATTTAATTGTAGTAACAATTGTTGCGTCTGTATAACTGGTACTTAGAGGTTCTTCTGTGGCTTTCTCTGTCTCATCCGAGTAATTCGTTGTAGAAATTGTTGTAGTTTCGGTAATGGTGTTTAACTCAGTGGGTTTAAGTGTTGGTTCCATGGTATCCTCAGGCATTCTGGTAGTTGCAGGTTCGGTAGTTGGATCGATAGGGTCAAGAGTGAATAGTGTTTCGGTAATCATAGGCGAATCAGAGGTTTCTTTGGTTGCATCAGTGGGCAAAAGGGTGGAAATTGTTTCAGTAATGTGTGTTGATTCAATAGGATCAATTGTTGACAGCCCCGGTACTTCAGTAGAAATTGTACTCGGAGGTTCTTCACTTGAAGAAGTTGATATTATTGTTTCAGTAGTCATGGTTGGTTCACCAGATTCTTTCGTTGCTTTGTTTGTATCTTCCGTTGAATTTGTAGTTAGGGGTATTTCGGTTGAATCGGTGGACCAAAAATTAAAAATCGTTTCAGTAACAATATTTGGTTCAGTGGGTGTTATTGTGGTCTCGATTGTTCCCACAGTTGAATTGGTAGTATAAGGTTCATTAGTAAGTGCAATCGTAGTTGTGGGCAATGTTACAGTAATCAACATTGGTTCTGTGGGTTCATCTGTTGTTTGTTGTATTTCGTCAGTATAATTTATGGTGGAAGGGTTTTCAGTTAGATCGGTGGACCAAAGAGTTGGTACATGTTCGGTAATGATAGTTGATTCGGTTTCGATTGTTGGCTCATTTGTTAAGTAAATGGGTGTAGCTGGAGGATTATTGGTGAGGATTTCAGTTGTTTCAGTTCTTTCAGTAGTATACTTTGTTGACTCGTTAGTTCCCCCTACAGAATTAGTAGTTGAAGCTTCGCTAGTTATATCAGTTGACCAAAGAGGAGGTTCACTTTCCTTGATTGTTTGCTCGGTATTATTAACTGTTATATTGTTTGTTGCGTCAGTGCTCACACTTAATGGTTCAAGTGTAGTATTGGTGAGCCAACGAGTGGATGGAATTTCGGTAATCATGGTTGATTCGAGGGGTTCCTTTGTCCATTGCTCTGATTCCTCAATTGAATCGATGGTTGGTGTTATTGTTTTGGTTGGATCGGTAGGAGCAAGAGTAGGAATCGGAATAGTTACAGTGACATTAATTGATTCATTAGGTGTCAGGGTTGAGAAGGCGGTTTCCTCGGTGGGATGAGATTCTGCAGGTTCTTTTGTTGTGTCCGTAGGTGCTAGGGTTGAGGGGACGATTTCTTCTGTTGGGTGGGAACTTGCAGGTTCTTTGGTTGTTTCCATAGTATCCGAAAGCACAGCTTCTTTAGTAATCGTAGTTGCTTGAGTAGACTCCCATGCTGGCTCCTCAATTTTCTCAGTCGTAATTATTGTGATGATTTCTTCTGTTGAATCAATAGTCCCATGAGTAGGCGTAGTTTCTGTAATTGCTACTAACTCAGTAGTTTTTACTGTTGTTTCGCTTGTTGTATCTACAAAAATGGTTGTTTCAGATTCTTCAGTTGAATCTATAGCGTCGGTAGTCCAAAATCTGATTGTTGAATCTGTAATAGTGGTTACTTCAATAGGCTTTCCTGTAGGTTTCTCAGTTTCCTCAGCTGCCATAGTAGTTAGGGGTTCATTAGTTGTATTAGAGAATAATCGAGTAGGCATAGTTTCGGTAATTATAACAAACTCAGTAGTTTTTATTATTGATTCGCTTGATGGATCAACAGAATTGGTTGTTCTACACTCTTCAGTTGGTTCTATAGCATCGGTAGTCAAAAGAGTGGTTTGCGAATCTGTAATCGTGGTTACATCAATTGGCTTTGCTGTAGGTTTCTCAGTTTTCTCAGCCGACATAGTAGTTAGGGGTTCATTAGTAGTATCAGAGGTCAATCGAGTAGGCATAGTTTCGGTAATTATAACTGACTCAGTAGTGTTTGTTGATGCTTCGCTTGTAGGATCAGTGAAAATGGTCGTAGGAGGTTGCGTAGATCGTTTGGTAGTAATGGTAGACGAACCTGTAGTTGGCGCTTCGGTAATCATGGTTGATTCTGTTGGTTCCTCTGTTTCTACAGTAGAATTGATAAGCGTTGATTCCTCAGTTGAATCACCAGGGGTACTAGTAGTTAATGTTTCCTGACTGGTATAAAACTCAGTAGGTGCAATTGTACCTTCAGTAGAGTAAGCAGCCCAAGTAGTTGGTGATCCAGTAATTATTGTAACAAATTCAGTAGTTACTGGTTCTTCTGTTTGTTTAGTAGAATCGGTAACAAGAATTTCTGTTGTTGGATGAGTCAACGTAGATACTTCAGTTCCACCTAAATTTTCAGTGGTTGCTTCTGAATTCAAAGTTGTGGAAGGTAAGAAAGTAGTTTCTAATGGTTGAATCGTTGTTATATCGCTAGTTGTAGTTATAGTGGTAGTTAGGGGAGAGCAGGTAGGATTCGTACATTTTTTACTTGACGCCATATTAAAACTAAACTATATAATATATTCGAATAAGTTTAATGTCCCTATATAGCCTATATATCTGCCTATAATTATAGTATGGTACAGCTCCGTCACAAATCACACAGACAGAATTATGATCAGTTTTCCAAAAAATGGAAATCGTACGAAAGTACCCCACACACGGGGTACCTTCGTGCATAGTGTGGGGTACTTTCGTACATGATGGGGTACCTTCATACAGTCAAAGAAAATAAACAATTGTTGATTAAATTTAATCATTTATTGAGATCAATTTAACACAGAATCAGCATTTTTGTATTAAGAACCAAGATATATTATTTAGGTATTCATAGGTATCATATAATATGCATTTGCTTCATTATCAGTCTTTGTAGTTTTCTTTTGCTTCTTTAAATTAAATGACTCTTTCGATTGAGATTTCCTCTTTATTGAAGATGCGTTATCTGCATCTAAGACAAGATGTAGAGCTTTGATGGCCTTAGCTTTTTGTTTTTTCTCTTGCACTTGCTTCTTCAATAGTCTTCCTTTTTCTATTTCTGCCAGTCTATCTTTTTCCGGAGTATCAGTGTAAATTCTAGATTTGCCTGGTAGCTTTCCTTTCCTTGTTTTCTTTATTGAATCTCTGTCCACTCTAGGATATGGCCTGACTAACTCTGGGGTGATCAACCCCACAGCTGGTGAGCAATCTGTTACTGTTGTAGGTGATAGCAAAGATGGAGACACAGATGATGAACAACTTGGAAGGTTTTGTTGAATAAACTCTGTCTGTATGGGGTCTGCTGGTATGGTCTCTGGCACATCGTAATCTTGAACGGCTACAGAACTTGATTGCTTATCTTGCGTGGATTGTAACGCTTGAAATTATTCCTCCAAATGTAACTAGTTCTCCCCTCTCTGCTGACACAAGTTGGCCTATTTGTTTTTGATTCTTTTCAGCTAAAACTTTAGGTGTGCTCAGCACTGTGGAAATTCCGGACTCATCAAAATTAAAAATACGATCTGAAGTAAATTTGTACTTTGTTAGAACCTTTTCAAGGTTATTATAAAAATCAGTTACAGCAGTCTTGTTAAAAGCAAATGATCTAGCGGCGCTGGTATTTTCAGGCTTTCTAAGACTCAGGTTTCCGTTTCGCCTGCGGAAACTATCCAACCATTCTTTACCAGCCATTTTATTATGATGCCAACTCGGATGAAAATTAAGCTGATTGGCTTTTGCAAACTCATATGCCAATTTTCTGACCTGGATGATCGTCAGACCGTAGTGCATTTTGGAGCATTCAATAATGTAATTGTTTAAAAGGGCTTCCTCCTCAGTTGAAAACACCTGATTTGACGTAAACTTGGAAGTGAACGCACGGGTAGGCATATTTTCGGCAGCTTCTTGTTGATGAAACTTTTCAGACGACTTTCGAGTGTTGTTGGTTTGACGCCATATTTTTGTGCAGATTTTCTAATAGATAATGTCTTATCCAAAACTTCTTTTATCGCCGATTCTATTGCACCTTCATCTACCTCTCCCGTCCTCGTCCCTTTTTAATATATATTCGCGGCATGGTTCTGTAACAATATTAGATTTTACTGAAAAATAGATACATTTAAATGTCCAGTCAGGCACGGGGAGCATTCGTACACGTACGAATCTACCCCACCCTACCTGTACGAAGGTTCCCCAACACCAAAAAAAACAATTAATATCGAAAATAAAAATAACCGCTGAAACTGGGCCAAAATCTATATTTACATGCTAAACTAAGTTATTCCTTCACAAACTGTGTACATTCACTTTTACAATAGGAATAAAGCGTGAATAAACAAAGATGTTTAAAAACATAACCAAAAAATACTTACTTGGCGCGAAATCACGTTACGACTCGTTGCGTCGAAGCCGGCGGCTGCACTGACGTCTCACCCCGCGAGTAACCTATGCGTGCGAGTGGGTCTCACGCACACAAACACAGACCTGTCAAAGTATTCTACAGTGGTAGGAATAAGGACTGTACGAATGCTCCTACTGTACGAATCCTACCTGCTCTCCCCTATAGGTTGCGTGGTACCAATTGATGGGACCGTAGCTTGCGTTGATTCAGTCGTAGGAACAGTAACTTTTTGAGTTGTTTGTGTTGTTTGAGCAGATGTGATTGTCGTAGGCACTGGGGTCGTTGTAAAAACAGGCATGGAAGTAGATCTCGATCCACAATTCGTTTCAATTAAATAATTACAAGCCTTCAGCTTTGTATCCCACATCAGACCATTATTGCAAATTAATCCATACATTGTACGATTATAACAAACATACAATGCCGCACAATATTGCATATTAGAATAAAATACTTGATCAACACAATCTACATTAGTAATTATATCTGTGGTTGTACTTGTCGCAGGGGGCATAGTAGTACTTTGAATTGAATCAGTAGTAGAGACAGGGTTTGGAGTAGTAGTTGTACTAACTTCTGTAGTAACAGAATTTGCAGTAGTAGTTGTATTTCCACAGTCTATTAATTCAGCGTTATTGCAACGTTTTAAATTTGTATCCCACACAAATCCGTCAGAGCATTCTAATGTATATAACGTTCCATTTTGGCAATAGTAATATTCTTTGCAATTTAGTTGATTAGGATAGTAAGATCCTTCAATACAATCTATATTTTCAGTTGTTGTTATAGCGCTAGTTGTAGGTTGCATGGTTGCAATTGAGGGAACTGTTGCTTGCGTTGTTTCAATTGTTGGGACAGTAACTTTTTCAGTTGTTTGCGTTGTTTGCGAAGTTGTGATTGTCGTAGGCGCAGGGGTCGTAGTAAAAACTGGCATAACAGTAGATCTTGATCCACAATTTGTTTCTATCAAATAATTGCAAGCCTTCAACTTCGTATCCCACATAAGACCATTGTTGCAAATTAATCCATACATTGTCCGATTGTAGCAAATATACAACGCTGCGCAATATTGCGTATTAGTGTAAAATACTTGATCAACGCAATCCACATTATTAATTATATCCGTGGTTTTACTGGTAGCAGGAGAAATGGTAGAGGTTTGAGTGGACTGAGTGGTTGAGACCGTGGTTGGGATAGTTGTAGTACTTGCTGTTTTAGTGGTAGTAGTGGTAGGTTTAGTAGTAGTAGTTGTTGTTGTGGTTGTAGTAGTTGTTGTAGTGGTAGTAGTGGTCGTAGACACACAAGGTGAGCTAACTGCGCATTCATTTATGTTAGGGTTCCAAACCGACGATGATGGACAAGTAAAGATATAGGACGCCCCATTATAACAATAGTAATATTTTGAACAATTGCCAGAGTATGCAAAAAATCCATTTGAAGGGCATACAAAACTTTGAGAATAACTATGATGAACCAAATTCAGAAGAAACCCTAAAATTGACTTTTAAAACATTCAAAACTTGCATAGAAATACTTTCCTTACCAATAAAATATATTTTTCGTAACATGTTTAAACGCAAAAACGTTCGCACTTTTCGTTTTAAATTTCATACTGGCGTCAATTTGATTCTTTTTTTAACTTATCATTTTAAAAACTGCTTAAATGGATTTCTTGTACAAATAATTTTAATACGATTAGATGTTAATAAACAAACAAACAAATCCTTCAAACACATAATTACTTTACACTTAATTCTCCACAGACGTTCAGAAATTAAACTTTAAATTTGTTAGCTAAACTTGTGCAAGATAACCAAAGTATGTTGACGATTCAAAACAGAAAATAATAATGAATATCCTTGCTTCCCCGCGCATCCGCCAATGCCGGCAGCGCAGGCGACCGGCACATCTATTGATTTTAATAGTTGCTCTAATTTAGTCAGCTGCGCGAGACGCAAAAGCGTGTCATCTTCAAGAATGCCGTAAAAAGTGTTCCTGCAAATAAAAAAAAAACGCCGACCACCACCGCAAAACATCATGGAAGAATCCTGCAGCTATGCAAAGCTGAAGAAGGAGCGAAAGTCGTCGCAGACAAACGAGTTAACCGATCTAAACATCAGCGTTTCAAACTTGAACATATCGCCGCCAAAGGATCCATATAATTTAATCTATATTTCGTTTATATTAGGAGGAGCAGGATTCCTAATTCCTTATAATACGTAAGCTAAAAAAAATAAAAAATAAACAAACATTTTAATAAAATATTCATTATGCATTATAGATTTATTATGGCTATGGATTATTTTAAGATGGAATTTCCGTCAACGCAGGTCGTTTTTGACATGTCCTTAATCTATATTGTACTTGCGTTTTTCACAGTGCTGGGTAACAATTTGCTTGTTGAAACGTGCAGTTTGACCAGCAGAATTACCTTTGGTAAGTAATTTAGTCAATCAATAATAAAATTTCAATATAATATAAAGTATTACCTTTCAGGTTACATGTTATCATTTTTAACATTGTTGTTTGTCGCCGTTGTGGAAGTTAAATCAGCTATTTTGAGTCGAAATTTGGGTTACGCTGTTAACATGGGATCAGTGGCTGTCGTCGCAGTTGGATGTACAGGTAAAAAACATATAACAAACGTATTATAATATGTTAATTAATTCAAATGAAATATTTCCTTCTGAATCATTTTCTTGTTTCCATTTCAGTGCAACAATCAAGTTATTATGGATATACGAGTATGCTTCCCGCACGTTATACCCAGGCAGTAATGGTGGGAGAAAGTAATTACTTTCCAATCAGCATTTTGTAATTCTGTAATTAAACTAAAATTAATTTTTAGGTGTATCTGGTGTATTCACTTCCGGTGTGCGAGTGTTGACCAAATATATAGTGCCGGACATTCGGCGCAGTACCGAAGCTTTCTTCATTGTGTCAATGGGCACAATAATTTTCTGCTATATTGTCTACCATCTTGTGCGAAAGACAGATTTTATTCAGTTCTATTTAGCACTGCATGAGCGAGCCAAAACCAGGATAGTATTAGAACCAGCTGAAGATGCAGGACTGGTAAGTAGAAAATACTAAAATTTAAAAAATGAATTCGTTGTTTAAATTCATAATTTTAAAAATGTTTAGGTGGATAATACCGAATTACAGTATGGCATGTTGAAAATTCAGAACAGTCCACCGCCCAACGCGTGCTTAAGTTTCAACAATCCAGTTTACGAACCAAGTGGACAAGCTCCAACCTTCAAGGTGGAAGATATTGTTATCAAGGGACGCACTCCGAGTATTAGTGGTGGACGAAGGTCCATTAAACGTAATTATATCAATTAATTCTGCAATAAATTCAAATTAATGTTTAATTTATTTTATAGGTGGATTTAAAGCAAGATTGGAAATTGCCAAAAACATTTACCCTTACATGATATCAATTTGTTTGGTTTATTTTGTAACGTTATGCTTGTATCCAGGCGTGGCTTCCGAGATTTTCAGCTGTAAATTTGGTACATGGATGCCTATAATCATGATGTCGATTTTTAACGGATCTGACTTGCTGGGAAAAGTGCTGGCAGCTTCCACCATGAACATGTCGCGCACCAAACTCGTGCGACTTTCCGTGCTACGCGTGCTTTTGGTGCCGACGATGGTAATAGCCGCGCAAGGTCAGGTACACCCGGCAATGTATGCAAAGGACGTGTTTGCATTTATGCTTTCAATTGTCTTGGGGATATCTAATGGTATTCTGGGAAGCGTTCCGATGATTAAAGCACCGAGTCAAGTGGATGATTGCTATAGGGAATTAACAGGTAATTATAGGCAACACATTTTACACAAAATACACAAGCAAGGTTAAGTTTTGTTTCTACAACCACAAAAAAATTAAAAATTCTCAGACACCTTTTACTTTTAATGACCATGAACGAAAAATTGTGATACCAAATTATTACTGAATTTAGTTTGTGATTTACGATATTTTTTACCATTAAGTACGGAAAAGGTTATCTCCTTGTGCGATTTCGTAATATTAATTAGGTTTTACATAAGAATTGTCCTGACTGATTGGGCGGTACAACTAATCATGCTATCTTCAATCACACGATTACAACTCTCAGACTCAGTCACTAAGCTGATCACCAAATCGTTGCGCATTGCATGCACAAACCGGGCGCGCAACGCATGAAAACCGCCACAATTTGACCCCGCAATTGAACCGCGCACAAACAAACACATAATATGTATTTGCTATCACCACAAATGAAAAGATAATTATTACGTAAAAACCGTGCAAACACACCACTAACACACCACGTTGCACGTTTATTGGCAATGGTATAGCGGTGCAGAATTAAATTTGTCTCAATTTTTAATTTCCAGGCAATCTAATGACCTTGTTATACAATTTCGGTTTGATATCTGGTTCGTTGACAGCGTACTTCATCGAGTCGGTCATACCATCATATCCATCCAATTTTTGCCAGCGCTGGGAACCGAGAGGGTTCAACTTTGGCAGAGATCCAGCAATTCGAACATCCACGCTGGCGACAACGCTTTTTGCAAGCACATTCGGACCCGACATAGACACCAGCTCGTATGCGTATTCTACAGAGTCCACTAGCAATTTCACTTCGTTTTGATTTGCGTAAAAATTTTGTTAAACCCTAAAGATTACTAATACTGATAATAATAGAATTTAACCACGGCTGAGGTTGATGATGTGTGCTTGTACAATGATTGAGACGATTACATCTCGTGAACACTGCATGACATATGATAACGTGATAAATATTGTAAGTGTATTGTTGTTGTATATAGTATTAACTATTAACTGTATATTTTATAAAAAGAGTATATCACGAGAGTAAAATTATGATAAATGATTAATATATGATAGCGAAATGCTGCTGTAATCAAAATGTGTATACCTATATTATAATGAAAGAAAGATTATATTTAACCGGAGAGCATCATGGTAAATAAAATTTATCTTAAGTAAAAAATTTTGAAAAAGTCTTTCAAAGAATTTCATTTAATTTTCCGATTCTTTAATATTAAAAATATTAAATTTGGAAGAACTTAACTTACATTTACAGCACTTAGGAAAAAAGCTAAAATTTCTTCTTTCTTTTTAATTTAAAAATATAATTTTATGAATAAACAAAACTGAACAATATTTAATAGAATAAATATTGTAATATGCATGTGATTAACATCGGATGACAGGAAAAACTTGTTTGTCTTTGAGTGCAATTTTTATTCATTACCTACGCGCACCGGTCGTCGCGAAAAATGACAAATTACAAACATTTCGCATGCAAAAAGTGCCGCCACAAGCGTACTCGTACAGTATCGAAATTGGTCGTCATTTCAGGAGCCACTCATGCACGCACAAACATATTGATTCGGCATGTTTACATGTTTAGTGCCCAACGTCATTTCGTCATTTTGTGCTATCAGATGTACTCGCACGTCCAAAAACTAGCAAATTACGACTTTCAGCTAACATTGGAATAAACAACCAACAACCAACAAGCAATTTTTATTTGGGTATCTAGTTTGGTGACCCATTTTTCCAATCATAAGTTTCGGTAAATAAAAATAAATAACGCAATCAAGTCGTAGGAAATTATTAGGTACTCGGCACGTCAAAAGAACTTTACTTGACGCATTAATAATTTTATTTGGTAAATTATTACTGCTTTGCAAATAAACACGCAAAAAATGCTTTTCGATAACGTGCAGGTAGTAAAATTTATGATTTTTGGAGCAGTTTTTATTATTTTAAAACAAGTTCATTAAATTTATTTTACGTTTACGTAATATAATATCTTATACGACTGCGTTTTGAATGAACTTTGAGTGTGATAAACCTTTGCACGTAAATGCAAACGAACGTAAATTATCTATTTGCTTAAAATAGTCTGGACGCGGAGATGACCTCGCATCTTCTCTTCAGATTACGACCATTATGACATTAAACACGCAGCAAACGTTAATCTTGAATGACGACAACACATGCACCGCGCGTAGTACGCGAAGCAATTAGCGACTTGTTATTTATCACCGGATCACAGCTTTTTTATGCGCCGTTCATGTCCATCGTAATCGACGCAATTTCGAAGTGAGACTGTCAGATTTTGAGCCGTATGATCTGTGGCCGGAACAATGCGTCAGGTGATGTAGGCTGACAATGCTCAAAAAAACAGAAAGAAGTTCACTTTTAATGCGCAACAGAGCGAGAAGAAAACGCAGTTTGTGTGATGTGTGTGCTTGATCAAGGTCAATTTTGAGTATTACTTTCCGCACTTCCACACCAAGTTAGAAGAAAGAGAAGTAGTCGTAATTTACTGAAATGTACACGGATGACATGAATCGTCGCTCGTGTTAGTGCCGGACGTTGAAAATATGTGCAAACCGTTGATCCATTGTTGATTTTTTTTGTCATCAATAAAATGTTCACGTAGGAAATTAAATATTATTACCAAATCAATTTCAGTAAAAATTTTAAAGGTTTAACTTTTATCTACAATTCCTAAATGATAATTTTTATGTCATTTATGAACACCGCCATTTTGTAAACCCAAATCTTAGAAATTTTGAATTTTAATATGATATAAAACGTAATAAACAAAAATAACAAACAAACTACTATTATTTTCTACTTCCTAACCTATTTTAAAAGGAAAATGGCCACCAGCTTGTAAATAACCTAAAATATTAAACTTTTTACCATATTTACCAATATTTTCACCAAATTCATAACAAAAACAATAAATTAATACCATTTACGTCTGATTAAAGTAACAAATTTCCCATATAAACAATTTTAATGCAACAATGGCAATATTGTCAAAAAATGCCATAATTGGTTTTTAGCACACATTTCACCTGGTGTTGATAAGTCTTATCAAGTTTTTCGTACGTTTCAAGGTTGCGAAAATTCGAAACTCATGCATACACAATGAAATGTAACAACACAGTGGCAGCCACAACACAACTTGACGAAGTAATTTGAGATCCGACATAATGATGTTGGTAAACAATCGGCTTTGCGGTAGTCCGCCACTAACCTACTGCTCGTGGCAACTCTCATCAATACTTGATACCTACTCGCTTCCATACGAACAAAAAATAAAGGTAGTGGGCAACTTAAAAACAAGAGTCTTTCTATGTTTTTCTTTATTATCCAATAGCTTAATTGTTGCCAAGGTGGCGAGACGACGCAACCGCACCGTAATACTATGGTTGGCCGATTATAAAATCAGAATTCAATGTGAAGTTCAATGACACTCTCTCGTCACATTTCTATGACACTCGTAATGCGAAACTCTTCCTCCACTTTTTTTCGTGTGTTTTGTTATGTTTTGCTTTGCACTCAGACACATTTTTTCATATTTTTGTAATTGATTCATTATTGTTATCACTAAGGTTTTAACTGAAAAGATTAAACAAATTTTTACGTAGATTTTACCGGTTATGAATATTCCAACGTAACCGATAGGTACTTTGTAATTTAAATACAATGAAAACCAGTTGGAGGGACAATATTTGAATATGCAACAATGACAACGATTACACGAATCCATAATAATTGCATAATTCGAATGCATAATTCAAATTTATTATTGATTTTTAAGTGGTCGCTGATTTTTCACCACTTAGGAATTTTTTTTCAGGATAATAGTAAAAAAATTTGTCATTTGAGTGTTCAAACTGCTTTTTACGCATGTTGCCAATGGTAACTGAAATTTTATTTATTTTTTTGTGATAAAAAATTGTATAAAAATTAAAAACATCTGAAAACTAACAAAATATTATAATTTTATCATAATGTAATGCATTTTTATCAATTTAACTAATAACGTGCCGAAAATAGTACTTTTCTACACTCAGGATGTAATATCGGATAGATTTAGACTAAACACTAAATTATTATTTGTGTGTATCGTGAAAAGAAGCCGGGCGGCCGGTAACTATAGAAAATAATGGATGGCAAATTACAGGGGTTGCGAGGGGATCGAAAATCACCTGTTGGCGACGAGCTCCTTCTGCGTGTGCGGCGCTCGCGCTCCTCACGACGACGAGTATCGACCGCTCTTTGCAGCACTCGCGGAACACGAGCGCGGCACGCAGCCAGCCCATTGGCCCGAGAGCGTGGTCTGACATAAGACCATATCCCGCATCGCATAAATAGTACGGCACGAACCGCGTGGCTTCAGTTTGCGGATTCCCCTGGTTTGCCGCGCGCAAAAAGAGTTTCCCAACACTCGAACAACTCCAAACAATTCGCAAGTCGAATTTACAAAACACGCCCGAATCTAGTTCGACAAGCAGGCAAAGACCGACGAAAATAATTGACTGTGATTTTTGGATTAACTCTCTGAACGGTAAGTGAAGAATTTTAAATAAAAACAACAAACAACATTCAAAAACTTGACGAAATTCAAAACATTTTCGATTCACGCAATTTCATGCATATTTAGATTAGTTGTGGGTTTTTCGTATCGATTTACTTGGGAAAATGGGAAAATGTGCCGAATCAATATTCGATGCCGTCGTGCTTTGATGGCTTATGTATGGCTTCAATTATTAATTGATAACGGGAACAATTGCGTTCAATTCGGAAACCCGAGAAAATTTTTCATTAGTTGACTTTTCTCATTGTCATTATTTACAACACACATCACACACTTTTCTATTTACTTGCGCGCGTTGTGCGCAGTTAGTTAAAAATAAAATTACAATAAAAGAGCCCCGGCTTGTTACACTGAACCGTTAATGTTCGCAATAATTTCGAAGAAGCAAAACTGAGCCGCCGCGGCGCAGCGTTTGCTTTCCGCTACAAGAAGAACACAAGTCGTTGTTCTCGTTGCTAGCGGCAACGCGAATTCACAAACGTGAGCGCGAATCATCATACTCCTAAAATAAACAATGCAAACTCGTTTATCGCGACACGTTTAGGAATCGGATTACTGTCAAACAAAAATTTCATATTCGATATTCCCGCGATGAGTCAATTCAAACGCATAAAACTTGATAATGCGCAAATTGACACAGCGTGTTAGGAAAACTTTACCACTTACAAAAAAGGATCAGCTGTTTGAATTATTGCGTAATACAAATTTTTATTAACATTCTTATCATGTTGTTTGAATGATTACAACGAAAATGTGTAAACGGGTGTAACCAAGTGAGTAATCTGCATACATATATATTCACTCGCGTGATAACATACATTTAATTAATTAGATGGCCAACTTAGTAGCATTAATTGTAATAAGTGCCTTGACCTCCACCCACTGATAATGAAATTGAAATTGTCGCGGTCGCGAATCATCGACGCTGATAACCTTTGCCGATGTAACATCATACATCACGATAAGCAACTCAATTACATCACACACAGAATGTGATTTATTAATTATGATAAGCGTAGAAACGTAAACGTAGCGTAACCTGACCACATAAAACATTCCGGATCAGATGACAATTGCTTGATTTTCATGCATTAGACAATATCTATTGGCCTTTGCAGCAACGCGCGCGTCGCCTTCTTTTGTGTTCCTATAAAATTTGATTTCCGCTCAATTTAAAAAATTATCGCTGACTTATAAGTCGTATTTCAGAAGATGAATTTATAACTTGCCCATGACGATTTAGCGTTAGAATGTGAAAAGCTTCGACGTCATTAGATTACATTAATTGCTATTAAAACGTGCTTCTTTATAATATAGATATGATATTGACGTCATATTAGTTTAAACATACAGATTGTATTACGCTTGGGTGATAAGTATCTTCAAAGTTATTTTAGAACTGCGTCACAATTAAAAAACATGCAAACAAATTAAATTTGTTAGTCCTGCATTGTTTTCCACCAATTGGTCCCACAATTACACGAGTTACTACCAGGTACAAACAAATAGATCTTAATTAATATTTTTTGTTTTGCTTGTTTCAGAAATATCAAAAAATAACAAGCAACAATGCCCGCCAGAGTACCAGAAGTTCGCAACGGCGATATGAGCCGCTCCCACAATGACGACATCATTATTTCCGGCATATCTGCGCGTCTGCCAGAGAGTCAGACCATGGAAGAGTTCAAGCAACATCTCTTCGATGGTACCGATCTGGTCACAGACGATGAGCGCAGGTGGACCACAAATCTACACGGCCTGCCTTCGAGAACCGGCAAAATTAAGAACATCGCTCATTTTGACGCCACTTTCTTCGGTGTGCATGCTAAACAGGCTCATGTCATGGACCCACAGCTACGTATGATGCTCGAGTTGACTCATGAGGCATTGATTGATGCAGGCATCAATCCCTCTGAATTCCGCGGTAGCAATACGGGTGTCTTTATTGGTACATCAGACAGTGAGTCTGGCGAAATTTGGACCAAGGATCCTGACCAGATCAATGGTTACAGTTTGACTGGTTGCGCTCGCGCCATGTTCCCTAATCGTATCAGCTACACTTTTGACCTGCAGGGACCTAGCTTTGCAATTGACACTGCCTGCTCCAGCAGTATGTTTGCCCTTCACCAGGGTTACATGGCAATCAAGACTGGTCAATGCGACTCTGCAATTGTTGGTGGTGTCAATCTAGTACTCAAGCCCAACTGCTCTCTGCAGTTTCACCGATTGGGCATGTTGAGTCCCGAGGGCAAGTGTAAGGCTTTTGATGCCGAGGGTAATGGTTATGTGAGATCTGAGGCGGCTGTTATCATTGTTCTGCAGAGAGCCAGCAAAGCAAACAGGGTTTACGCTTCTCTCTTGGGCTCCAAGATCAACACTGATGGTCACAAGGAACAGGGCATTACATATCCATCTGGAGCTATGCAAGGCAAACTTGTGAAAGAGTTGTACTCTGAAATTGGCGTTGACCCGAATGATATTCAATACATTGAAGCGCACGGCACTGGCACCAAAGTGGGAGATCCACAAGAAGTCAACGCCATCGCTGAATACTTTTGCAAGAATAGGAAAACACCTCTTTTGATCGGTTCAGTTAAAAGTAATATGGGTCATTCAGAACCAGGCTCGGGATTGTGCGCCGTTGCTAAAATTCTCATTGCTATGGAAGCTGGTGTAATTCCCGCCAACTTGCACTTTAACTCTCCCAACAAAGACATTCCGGCTTTGAGCGACGGTCGCTTGAAGGTTGTATCACAACATGAAAAGTGGAACGGGGGTATTGTCGCAGTCAACTCGTTTGGTTTTGGCGGTGCCAACGCCCACGTGGTTATGCGTTCCAACCCCAAGCCGAAAACTACCTGGCCCGCACCGGAATCACCCAGGTTGGTGACCGTTTCTGGCCGTACTGAAGAAGCAGTTCATTACTTCTTGGACCAAATCAAAGAGAAGGGACACGATGAAGAGTTCTATGCTTTGGTGAATCAAATTCACGCGCAAAATATCAACGGCCACAATTACCGCGGATTTTCGGTTTTGGGCAATGATGAAATCAGAGATGTAGCAATGGTGGGCAACGAAAGACGCCCCATTTGGTGGGTGTTTACCGGTATGGGTTCTCAATGGCCTGGTATGGGCAGAGATCTGATGAAGATCGAACTCTTTCAACAGACAATCAAACGCGCCGCACTCGTTTTTAAGCAGTACAACATGGACTTGGAAGAAATCCTGAATGGAGATGAAGAATCCCTATCTAACATCAAAAACTGCTTTATTTCTATCGCAGCCATTCAAGTTGCTTTGGTTAATGTACTCAAGGCTCTTGGCATTGAACCCGATGGTATTCTTGGTCACTCTATTGGTGAGGTTGGTTGTGCTTATGCCGATGGAACCTTAACACTTGAGCAAACTATGCAATTGGCGTATGCTCGTGGTATGGCTATTACCGAAAGCAACCTCCCTGAGGGTGCCATGGCCGCCGTTGGTCTTACATGGGAAGAGTGTAAAACAAGGTGCCCAAGTGACGTGTACCCTGTCTGCCATAACAGTGCCGACAGTGTTACAATTTCTGGTCCCCCAGAATCACTTACCAAGTTTATCAATGAGTTAACCGCTCAAGGAATCTTTGCTAAGCGCGTCAACAGTTCTGGTTATGCTTTCCACAGCAAATACATCGCTGACGCAGGACCAAAACTGCGCAAGGCATTAGACACAATCATTCCCTTGCCAAAAGCAAGAAGTTCACGATGGGTTTCTACCTCCATCCCTGAGTCTGCATGGGGCACTCCATTGGCTCAGCACAGCAGCCCAGCTTACCACGTCAACAATTTGCTCTCGCCTGTCAACTTCTACGCAGCAACAAAGAAAATTCCAGAGAATGCAATTGTCATCGAAATTGCCCCACATGCTCTGCTCCAAGCTATTCTTAAGAGAAGTTTGGGTAAGGGTGTTACCAACATTGGTTTGGTAAGGAGGGGACATGAAGACAACGCTCGCTTCTTCTTATCTAACATTGGCAAAATCTACAACGCTGGTGGTCTGCCCAATATTTCTAAACTGTATCATCCCGTGAGTTTCCCAGTTGGTCGCGGAACCCCCACATTGGCCTCAATGGTCCAATGGGATCATTCTATTGAATGGGATGTTGCCAACTTCTGTGACAAGAATTCACGTGCTGGTGAACTTGTTGTCGACATTGACTTGAGCAAAGAAGAACACAAGTATTTGACTGGTCATGCCATCGATGGACGTATTCTATTCCCTGCCACCGGTTACTTGGTAAGTTAACGAGATTAATATGAGAATAATTGTTTTCTTATTATTGTTATTTCTTATTTAGACCCTAGTATGGAAGACTTTTGCCAAAATGCGCAATCAAGACTTTGAACAAACTGCTGTGGTCTTTGAAGATGTCAAATTTATGCGTGCTACGATTATGCCTAAGGATGGCATGGTTAGATTCTTAATCAACATCTTTGAAGGATCTGGTGAATTCGAAATCTGTGAAAGCGGATCTGTCGCTGTTGCTGGCAAAATTCGTGTACCGGAAGAACCTGCCAAGGAATTCTTGACTCTGCCCAAACTCGTCACAAAGGCCGAAAAGGATGATCATCCTCTAGTCAAGGCCGATATTTACAAAGAACTCAGACTGCGCGGTTATGACTATGACGGTATCTTCAGGGGAATTGATTCGTCCGACCCTTACGGAAACACCGGTAAATTACAGTGGGAAAACAACTGGATTAGCTTCATGGACACTATGCTACAGTTCTCCATTTTGGGCCAAAATGTCCGTGAACTGTATTTACCTACTAGACTGCAAAGGGCTGTTATCAACCCGGTGGAGCATCTTCAAAATGCCGCCGAGACCATGCCCGTTTCCAACTACAAAGAAATCGGTGTTTTCAAAGCCGGTGGCATCGAGCTGAGAGGCTTGAAGGCCAGTTTGGCCCCACGCCGTCAGCAAGCTCAATCTGATCCCCAATTGGAGCAATACCAGTTCGTGCCTTACAACAATGTCAAACAAATTGTTGATGAGAAAGTCGCTTTGACCGTAGCTTCTCAGCTTGCATTAGAAAACAGTTCGGGCGCACTTAAGATGAAGGTTGTGGAAGTTGCGCTGGGCAGGCCAACCGAAGCCTTATTGATCCCGAAGGTTCAAAGCATTTTGGAATGCCAACCTATGCTTGCCGTTGACTGCACTGTCATTGCCCAGGGTGGTATTGACGCGGCTGTCATGGAAGAAAAGACTATCAAGATTGCGTCTAAAGACCCAGCTGCTGACGTCTTTGAACAGAATGTTCATTACATTCTCATGTCCGACGTGCTGGTACATAATCAGGCATCTATTTTGCAAAACGCTGTTCGCTCTCTCAAATCAGGTGGTTTCATTCTCTTGGAAGAGCCAAGAAATTTCAATGATTTTAAACTTCTCAAACAAGAGAATCTTGAAGTTGTATACCAACAACCGACTGAAACCAAAATGTTTATTTTGGTGAGACAATCCGAGGAAATCCCACAAGATCTGTTTGTCATCATGATCAACGAGAACAACTTTTCCTGGGTTGAACCTCTCAAGGAAGCCTTAAGAGAATCAGAAACTACCAACCAGAAGATCTACTTGGTTGCGCAAGGACAAGAATTAAACGGTCTTGTTGGCATGGCCAATTGTATCAAGCAAGAACCCGGCGGTGTGAACATGCGCGCCATTTTGATTCAAGACAAGAACGCAGAGAAGTTCTCTCTGAAATCCAAATTCTACGTTGAGCAACTCCAAAAGGACCTTGTCCACAATGTATTAAAGAACGGTGCTTGGGGTAATTTCAGGCACTTGACTCTGGAATCTACCAACAAAACTATGTTGCAAGTTGAGCATGCTTTCATCAACACCATGACTCGCGGTGATTTGGCCAGTTTGAGGTGGATCGAAGGACCACTCCGTTACTACGAGGGCAACGATCCCAAGACCGAATTGTGCTCTGTATACTATGCCCCATTGAACTTCAGAGATATTATGCTCGCCACCGGTAAACTGCCTCCAGATGCGCTTCCAGGTGACTTGGCTGGTCAAGATTGTATTTTGGGTCTGGAATTCTCCGGTCGCGACAGTCAGGGCCGCCGTGTTATGGGCATGGTTGCCGCTAGGAGTTTGGCTAGTTCCGTTTTGGCCGATCCAGGCTTCCTCTGGGAAGTACCTGAGAAGTGGAGCTTGGAAGAAGCCGCCACCATTCCCGTTGTATACGGAACCAGCTACTATGCACTTATTGTGCGTGGACGTCTTACCCCCGGCCAGTCTGTGCTGATTCATGCCGGTACTGGTGGTGTAGGCCAAGCATCTATTGCTATTGCATTGCACATGGGTTGCACAGTGTATACCACTGTGAGTAGCCAAGCTAAACGTGACTTCCTGAAGAAACGATTCCCGCAGTTGACTGATAACAATATTGGTAACTCACGTGACTGTTCTTTCGAGCAGTTGGTTTTGAGTCAAACTAAGGGTAAGGGTGTCGACATTGTTCTGAACTCATTGGCCGGCGATCAACTGCAAGCCTCCGTTCGTTGCTTGGCAAATGGCGGTCGCTTCTGCGAAATTGGCAAAGTTGATCTGTCTAGCAACTCTGGCTTGGGCATGAGCGTCTTCTTGAAGAATACCACATTCCATGGTATCTTGCTCGACGCTTTGTTCGATTCTGACCATCCCGATAAGAGAGAAGTTAAACGTTTGGTCAATGAAGGTATTGCCAACGGCGCTGTTCAGCCATTACCAAACACTGTGTTCGCTGAAAATCAAGCGGAACAGGCGTTCCGTTTCATGGCTAGCGGCAAACATATTGGCAAAGTTCTCCTCAAGATCAGAGATGAGGAAAGTAGGAAGACCATGATACCACCAGTGAAGACAGTCAACGCTATTCCCAGGAGTTACATGGATCCTAACAAAACCTACGTGCTTGTCGGTGGTTTGGGAGGTTTTGGCTTAGAATTGGCCAACTGGTTAATTACTCGTGGAGCAAAGAAAATTGTACTCACATCTCGCAGCGGTATTAAGACCGGTTATCAATCATTGTGCATCAGGAGATGGAGAAATATGGGTGTCAATGTGGTGATTTCTACATCTGACGCAACCTCCGAAGCGGGTGCCAAGAAATTGCTTCAGGAAGCATCTACTGTTGGTACAATCGGAGGCATTTTCAATCTTGCTGTAGTTTTGCGTGATGCCTTTATGGAAAACCAAACCGAAGAAGATTTCGTGACAGTATGCAAACCAAAGATTGACGCAACTAAACATTTGGATGCCGCATCTAGGGTTCTAGCCCCCAATCTAGACTACTTTGTAATCTTCTCGTCAGTTTCTTGCGGCCGTGGTAATGCTGGTCAGGCTAACTACGGTCTTGCTAACTCTGCCATGGAGAGAATTTGTGAAGCTCGCCAAGCTTCCGGTCTACCTGGTGTTGCTATTCAATGGGGTGCTATTGGCGATGTTGGTTTGATTCTCGAAACCATGGGTGGTAATGACACTGAAGTCGGTGGCACTTTGCCCCAAAAGATTGCCTCTTGCTTGTCCACCATGGACATTTTCCTACAACAGCCACACCCAGTCGTTGCCAGTATGGTCTTGGCCGAAAAGAGGAAGGGTAGCGGTGACGCCAATCAAGTAAAACTTACTGATGCCGTTGCCAACATTCTGGGTATTAAGGACTCGAAAACCGTTGCGCCAGTTGCCTCTCTTGCCGATTTGGGCATGGACTCTTTGATGGGTGCCGAAATCAAACAGACTTTAGAAAGAAACTACGATTTGGTAATGTCTGCACAAGAAATTCGCGCATTGACATTCGGCCAGCTTGTCGACCTCGAAACCGGCAGCAGCGGAACAACCACCGAAACTAATACACAAGAAGACAAGAATCTCTTGCAATTCGACGAACAACTCATGCCCTCTCAGTCTATTATCAAGATGACCAGCAAAGACACCAAAGGAAAGTCGCCTGTATTTATTCTGCACCCGATTGAAGGTGTTGTCACCGCTCTCAAGGGACTTGCAAAGGACATCCAAGCACCTGTCTACGGTCTTCAATGCACAACTTCCGCTCCGCTAAGTTCCATTGGCGATCTTGCCAAATTCTATATCACTCAAATGAAGAGCGTCCAAGAAAAGGGACCTTACACACTTATTGGTTATTCATTCGGTGCCTGCGTCGCTTTCGAAATTGGCGTTCAATTGGAAGCCAAGAAAGAAAAGGTAAAGCTGTTCTTTATCGACGGATCACCCACCTACGTAGCCACACACACCGGCAAGGCAAAGGTGCACAAAGTGGAAGCTGGTAACAAGGCGTCTGAGCAAAGTGAAGCGTTATTGTATTTCATTCATCAGTTCGTGGAAGTTGACCAACAAAAGGTAATAAACCCACAAACTACATTCTATTGTTTACATTTACTAATCTCAATATTTACTTTTAAACAGACTGTTGCTGAATTACGGGCATTAAATACTTGGGAAGAGCGTGTAAAGCGTGCAACTCAAATTGTTAGTGAATCAACCAAATTCCCCAAGGAACAGATTGCGGCTGCTGCTGAAAGTCTCTACTTCAAATTGGTAGCTGCCGATCAGTACAAGGCCACCACCCGCTTTAACGGCCCAGTCGTGTTAGTGAAAGCCAGCGAGAATTATGTACAAATGGGTGAAGACTACGGTTTATCACAAGTAAGTATATTTTAAATCTAAATTATTAAATCCCTCTCGAATCGAACGCAAGAAATCGATTAAACTAATTTGATTTTTGTATTATTCCAGGTGTGCCAACAAAAGGTGAAGGTAGAAGCACTTAGCGGTAACCATCGATCTATCCTAACCAACCCTCAACTGGTACAAATCGCGAACGCGCTTTGCGAAGCGTAATATGCGCACCAAGGAGGAATCTGAATCTCTAGTACACTCAATGACTCCGACGACTTTTATATAACGCACTCGTGTGTGTGAAACGCATGCAAATGTGCACTAGTGTAATTTATTGCTAATTGTAAATAACGATATTTTGTGATTTAATCTTTCGCGGCGTTATATTGATTATAATGGTAAATTTTTCTTTCGAAAACGGTATTTATAGATGATTTAGGCAGGGGCATTCAGTTTATTTTGTAGTTGAACCAAAGATATCTAAATGACAAACGTGGTGGAAACAGCATCAATATATTTGCAAGAAACAAGGAAAATTGTAATTTGTACCAACTTTAACTTTGAAGCATGCCGGTTTGTTGCTTGACCGTTTGCTTTGTTGTTACAGTTGCAAAATACTCAGAAAAAACTTATATTTTTATTATATTTACCTAATTTAAACGGCAGTAATTTGTTTTGTATTGTAATTTACAAAATATATAATTTTCCAAAAAATATTATCTATATGTATACCTTGACACATTTCCTAATACATGCACCACGAATTGAAATAATTATGAATAAATTAACGGTTTGTAACGGCTTTATAACCAGTTAAACAAAGCATTTAAATTTATAAAGTCAATAAACTAATCGAAATTGCGATAAGTTTTCGCGCATGCGCAGCACCCACCGCTGTCTAACCTTCAGCTGACGAGTTCATAGACTACGTTCGCAAAACATTCCGTAAATAAACAAATAGTTAACTAAATATTAAAATACTCAAATTAATTTTAAGACTATAATGACTATTCAAACAACTACCGCCCGAAAACGCAGCAAACCACCCACAAAGAACGATGAAGCATTGCCAGAAAACACAACTCCATCATTGTAAGTCATTAATCATTCAATTATCTAGCAAAGAATAGATTCAACATTGAAACAATCAACTTTTATAAATTGTAGACGTTATGGACCCATGCCCCGATTTCCACACCAACGCGTCTGGAGCAGAGGCATCATCATTGTTGGTGTCATGATTTACATTTGGTACTTTTCCAAAGTCTCCAAAGAAACAGTTCTTGCCTCACAGAAAGATACACTACAGAATAGAGGGCAACAGTTTGATTGTGATGCTGCATATCTGACTGATATTAATAAATTTCACAACTGTATACCAAAGAGATGTGGCAGATATGTCACTGATGTACTGTTATTATCATCAGAAGCAAGGAAGTTGTTAGAGATGGCAAAGACTGGTTTTGAACTAAGTAGCACAAAGGGTAGTGCTTCTATATTTGACATTCACTCAGGAGCAATCACAATGGATGATAAATTTGTTAATATACACTCACTACCAGACTCAAAGAAAGTTTTCAAGCAGGAATTCATTTATGCTTATAAAGTTGTTAAGGATAAGATACAACAAGCAATTGCACAAGTTTTTCAGTTGGATTACAATAGTTTATATCTGACACATCCAACATTCTTTTCAAAGTTGACTGATGCTGAACCACTGACAGCTCATGATGAATATTGGCATAAACATGTCGATAAAGTAAGTTACCTCTACTAATTAATGTTAAATACTTTAAATAAATGCATGTTATTATTTCAGGAAACATACAAAGCATTCCATTACACTTCCCTAGTGTATCTTACTGACTTTGGCAAGGACTTTAAAGGAGGAAGATTTATATTCAGTGACAGTGAGTCTGAAGACCAGCAAGCAACTAACATCACAGTTGAACCGCGCTTCGGACGCGTTTCAATGTTTTCCTCAGGCGCAGAAAACACACATTTTGTTGAGCGTGTTACAAGCGGCACACGATATGCAATTACTGTATCATTCACTTGTGATAAAAAGCAAGCAATTAAGATTCCTGAACCTACTACGTGATTTAATTAAATTAGCAATCACTACAGAAACTAATACAATTTAAACATAAGATGGTAGATATTAATAGTCAATTTTAGATAGTGTTCTAGTCACCAGACATATATGTTAATATCCGTAAAATCTCTCCTGTTATTACTATTAATTTCATTAATAATGAAACTTGTTCATTTGATCTGACTAGTACTTAACAGCTGACTTCTAAGTAGAATATTAATTGAATATGTAACAAGTGACCTAAAATGCCTCATGTATCACATCATATCATTGTACTTCTCAAATTAATATGAATATTACATTAAGGAAAACGGAACAATTGCATCTTCGTGTCAATACAAATTGCGTTGCGCCTTGGGAATTAGAACGTTGATGGAAACACCTTTAAACTTTCAATCGGACACAATCGAAATTATTAAACTAGGTTGGCATTTTAAGTCGGCTTCTCGTCCACGTTAATAATTACTTATTACTTCAGAGAAGTGCAACTAAACTAAGTGTGATTATATTCTGTTAAAATTTCTTAATTTTATATTTTACTGTTGCATTATAAGGTAATCATAACAACTTTGACCGAATTAATTACTTACGCCCTTTCACCTTTCGAAAATGGTGACGTTTATTGCATGTTTGTACAAGAAATGTTTATCTAATATGTATTAAGTTTCAATGCTCACTCGGTAGCTGTGGTGGCATCGGTCGGTCGCGAAATAATCAATAATGAGAAGGTCGTGCTCTCCGCTACACCGCAAACAACGAGCAACGTTTACACCTGTTCGCCACCCGTTCGAAATCATTCGAATGTACCATCAGTACGCGTTGTACCTTCGCGAAGGGTGCACACAATAATCCCCAACTGACAAACACCACGTAACAATAGTCACACGTCGTCAAAAAAACAACAAATTTCTATCAAAAATGAAGGCGTCACTTCATTTTGAGCTCATGGTTTCGAATTAGCAAGCAAATATGATGCGCGTCAACGCACACATGTGTAGTTGTTAAGTGCAAGAGTGTCTTTGGTTTAATTAATTTACCAGTTTATTAATTTGTGCGCGTGTGTTGTAATTTACAACAACAAGATGAATCGGTACATAACTCTGCATCAACTTGGCGATGGCACCTACGGATCGGTGGTGCTTGGTCAAAGAAAGGACACCGGCGAGAAGGTGGCCATTAAGCGCATGAAAAGGAAATATTATTCCTGGGAAGAAGCAATGAATCTACGCGAAGTTAAGGTAACAATTGCTTATTATATGCACTTTAATAACTTGTGTGAATTTGTGATCTACGAATTGTTTGTATTTTCTATTTCGTGTGTGTAATGTGATGGACACATATGCGGGTACATATCGATCGATAAGTGCATTCATTTTTATCGAAGAAGAAACCATGTTGAAACACTGAAACACTGCATTAATTATGACTTTCACCTCGAAATCATTTATCATTGATAGAGCATTTTCACGAAATAATTAATACAAACATGAATTATGCAAGCAAAAATGAATGTTGCTCAATTAATTATTGAAGTGAGCAAATATTGATTATCTCCAGTTAATTTCAATTACTGTTGGCCAAGAAATTATTGAGTTTATTAATGATTACAGTCGTTAAAAAAGTTACACCACACGAACGTGGTGAAACTCAAAGAAGTCATACGTGAAAATGACGTGCTGTACTTCGTCTTTGAGTACATGCAGGAAAATCTTTATCAACTCATCAAAGACCGTCGCGTGCCTTATCCGGAAGCAACCGTCAGAAATATGCTCTACCAGGTAATAATAAATCACTCCCAAACTATTTATACAGGTTATTAAAAGCGCAAATTAAAGATCCTGCAAGGATTAGCATTCATCCATCGGCATGGATTTTTCCACCGTGATCTAAAACCGGAGAACATTCTCTGCTGCGGGCCGGATCTGGTGAAGATCGCCGATTTCGGCCTAGTTCGTGAAATCAGGTCCCGGCCGCCTTACACCGACTACGTTAGCACGAGATGGTACCGCGCGCCTGAAGTATTACTACACGCGACGACTTATAGCAGCCCCATTGATCTGTGGGCGGTGGGTTGTATCGCCGCCGAAATTTACACATACCGCCCGCTGTTTCCCGGCACCACCGAAACGGACCAGCTGTACAAAATCTGCCAAATTTTAGGAACTCCCGATAAGGTTAAAAGTTCAAAAATCGCCATTTTTATCCTCTGATTTCAACTGACATGAAAAATTCTTTACTTAGAAAATATGGCCGGATGGTTACCAATTGGCTGGCGCCGTCGGCTTCAAATTTCCGTACTTTGTCAAGACGGAGTTGACCTCAGTTGTGCCACAAGCTAGCTCCACAGCGATTAAGCTAATGGAGGTGTTGATGGATTGGAATCCAACCAACAGACCCACCGCGCAATCGGCGCTCAAAAATGCGTATTTCCAAGTAAGTTACCGTAAGTCACCATATTGTACATCGACTATTGCGAATTATTTTTGGCGTAGTGGTGTTAGAAATTTGAATATATAGTAGGATCGGCACTGCGGTGTTATTTATGACTTTATGAGTTATGAGATGTAGAATATGCCAACTTGAGGGTGGTGTGGCCTAGTTTTTGGTTTGCGTCAAGTTGTACCGCCTTGAATAAGTGTAATAGTAGGGTAGAAAAACTAAGTTTATAGTTTGTGGAATTCCCTATTCGCCCAAGGAGTAGAAGTTTTGTGTATCGCGTGGGTCTATTATTCACCCATTTGCGCAATTTTACAATCCTGGTTTATTTTCTCTACTTATAGTTCGATGATTGCAGTAATTTAGAAATTACACAACAAAAATAAGTAAATCCTACGCTTGAAAATCAATTTCTTACAAAATACTACTTTCTACTTTTAAAATATTTAAGTTTTATGTAAAATGTAAAATTGTCACAGGTCGGTCAACAATACAGCGCTTTATTGGTTTCCCAAGATAATTTCAATCAATATTCCCAATTAAACGGTCTGCTAGAGTCCACGCAAAAGTCGATTTACTCAGGCAAACCGCGCCAGCCCGAAGTGCAGGCGAACAACGTCAGCAAGAACAACGAAAAGAACATCGAGCTGGAAACAGGCCCCAAAGCACAGGTCGGTAAAACAATCGACCGGCAAACAACGCATTTGAATGCATTTGACGACATACCTGCATTCGAAAATAATATACTAGTGTAATTATGCGACATTATCGCTGATTTCAGATAACGGTGCAGCCGCTGGTGAAACCGATGCAAATCACACGCAACCAGCCGGTGCAAGCCGTTGCGCCCATCGTTTATAGTTTCGGCCAGAGTGACATGAACAACAAATACATTCCGGATAATCGTCAGTTTAAAAAGATGTCTTGGAATAAACTCGACTACGATTTGGATGATACGTTATTAATGGGGTAGGTCAGCCATTTTGTTTCTTAGTACCTTAACCTAAACAAGTCACACGAAAATGTTGCCTTATTTTCCTTAATAACACGTTTATACGGTGGTAAAACATCATTACACAGAGTTAGATGACATTGACTCCGATTTTATCGAATTATCACAGTCTTTTTTTAACGTAACCCCCATACGAGAGCAACAACTAGTTAATAATTCCTAATGATTCACCCACTCTTTTATTACCTCTCTATCCTGACATCCTTCACTTGTTTTTGTTTTGTTTCGTTTCTAATTCCTTTTATGACGCTTTGCCTAATAATAATATTGACGTCACACTTTTATTGTGCTTTCAGTAACAAAATAAAAAACGCCGACAATATGAAAGAAAACATTTTGGACATAAAATGGTCGAATCTACAGGACCTCATCGAAGGAAAAGCAAATGGCGCGCCGTCTGCGAAAAGTCAATACCTCACGGTATCAAGATATGTCGCGGGCCAACGGACTGAGAAAAGAAGAAGCCAGCCAAACATAAATATGTACAACAAGAAAGGTAAGCGCACATCATGTGTCCATCGTTTTGTTTTTGTTGCGTAGTATTGTCTCCAAACTCCAAACAACAATTCGAATGTCAATGATAATGATGATGATTACGATTGAGGGGTTATGTTTCGTGTGATGGGCGGGTTGTGTTTGTTTGCGTTGTTGGTGCCTACCTTCAAAGCATACAAATCGATTTAGATATTAGAATGGATCGGCTGATGGCCTTTTCGCTAAGAGTCAGGGTCAGTCTTGTAATCGCGTAAATAGTTTCACAATACTACGCTAAATACATTAACTGACGTGGTGTAATTATATTCAACACTCTAGTCCTACCCTGGACTGTTAAAAATAGTTATTGTCATTAGATAATTTTACAAAGTATTCTATCGTGTTTGTAGCGTGAAACGACAGGGTGAACAGTAAATGTATGACGTTTTTTACTACGCACCAACAAAAAAAAAAGACAATAAATTATTAGCGTTTTTGTTGAATGCTGTTTAGGAACTTTTGTATTCTTGTACGAAACAACCATAATAATTAATTATCTTGTCAAAGTACTCACAATATTTGGCCGCCCATGAATATATTACTACAAAGTCTAAGCAATTCCTTTATTCTTTTGTTAACAATTTCTTTATTAATGTTTAATCCAAATTGACAAATAAGACCAGGGGTAGTTAAAGATTACCTTGGACGCGTTCAAAATCATGAAAACATTAACAATTCAACATTCCAATAATCAAGTTCGGTCAAACCGCATTACCGCACACCTCAGGGTTGACCTTCAGCCTTGGATATCAGAGTGTTATCATTCGGAATCGTGTGGCGCTTGCATCACTAATGCGTGTGTGTGCTGGCTATACACAAACGCCAAAACCACGATGAATGCAACGATAAAAAAAGTTACATGCATTATTAAACGATTTACTTGCGGTGCGCGTGGGCGGCAGGTATTGTTTCATAAATAGTAATTATATTGCTTCAAATGTTTACGCTTTACCCCTGCAATGCCGCCCGACCGTGGATGCAGTTTGATTGCGTGTCACTTTGACAATGAAAAAGTTAACTTATTAATAATGTGGTCAATTATTCATTTCTTTTAGTAGAAATTATAAAAACATCAATCATTTTGTTTGCTTTTCAGACTTAGGAATCTCCTCGATATTCAATGACACAATGCTAGAGTTTTCCGGTATTCAATCGGGAAAGCAGCGAACGTTAAAGAGCATCACCGGAAGCAGCGTGGTTCAGGGAAGAACAGACTGGGCGGCAAAGTAAGTTCATGAACATTCTGCTGATCCTTGATACGCTGATGATTATGCGCAACACAACCTTCACACCCTTAATGCGTTTTTTATGATGTTTCAGATACTTGAAGTAGCAATCATCATTTGGACTAATCGACTGTGATAGACTTTATTACACTCATTGGGTTCATGAATGTCATTGTTGTTTTATTTCATTTTCGTTTCTAATCAATTAAATGATCGGTTTAGATACAAATTACTTAATCTACCTATATGTATGTGTTAAAACTTTATTTTAAGCATCAAATGTGCAAAAAAGAACTTATTGAATTGTTACTAACTAGAGGGTTGTGAGAGGACGCATTTAAACAGATTTACGCAAAATTTAAATGATTGTAAATGTACCAATGTACCAAATACCGACATGTTTTATATAGCTATAGTATTTAATTATTGTAATATATTCACAATAAATTCAAATATTAAATTTGGGCCGTCTGTGTGTATTTTTAGTTAGTACCTGAATTATTCTAGTGGTTTTCATGTTAAATATTTAGTAGATAGAAGAAAATCGATTGTGGTTATGACCGCAACAAGTTTAATTATTAATTGAAGCAAACATTAATTTTTTAATTTGTGTGTTAATAAAAATAATAAAAGTGGCTTTGAACAAAATATTTACTTTGAAAAGTTATTTTTATCACTGAATTTGAGTGACACATTGGTGATAATTTTATATTACATTATTAATTTGTTACGGAAAAAATAAAGAAATACTTTTAGTATTATTTTAACTAGAATGATCTATTTTTTATATTTTTAAATAATTTTCTTGCGTTTTTATTTTAAACATATTCTAAACGCTAACTTAAACAGTGCTTTTTAAAACTTATACATTTCTTTAGCTCAGAAAAACTAGCTTCTGGAGTATAGTTAAAAACAAACCTCATTAAACAATCAATTAAATAAGTTAGCAATAAATAAAGAAGCAATTTATTTAAAATGTCCCTAACGCCATCTATCGTACTTTATCAAAATAACCTCAACTAAATACCGATTATCATCATTCATTCTTCAACCTCGGTTCTCACTAGGTTGATTCGATTTATCAACAACGTTAGCTTGCTTGTTTCTGCAAGTAATCCCGCATGTGTATTAAAAAGTGCTAATCTGCACAATGGACATTGTCAACTTGATGCAGTCCATGTCCCTGAACGTGCCCGAAGACCCACAAGAATCTGTATTCCGTCTCAACGCCTGCATCATCAACGACAATCACACCGACATCGTCTTCGCCGAATTCGCAAACCGCTGTTTGATAATCGCCACGCAACACGAACGCGCCGGAAGTTTATTACGCGTTTCAATTGATCAACCAGAAGCTGTAACCGAAGGTGTCGAACCAGTGTATTCTGTTCAAGTCCTCTTTGGGGTAGGAAACTTGGAACAACAGGCAGTTGCAAGACATCTTGCTGAACAACTAAGATTAAATAAAACTTTGATGACATTTTTGAATCTGAACGACTATTCAGTATCAACAGTAAGGACTTTAGTAGCTGCTTTACAAGAAACGCGCAAAAATGGCACTTACTAGAGTGACTAAAGCTCAAAGTTTTTATGGACAGCTAGTGATTGGTCCACCTGCATCTGGAAAAAGCACTTATTGTGCAAAAGTATTTGAATTCTACAGAGATAAACTCAATCGACAAGTTGCTGTTGTTAATTTGGATCCTGCCAATGAGAATATGGATTATCAACCATCAGTTGATATCATGGAACTGATCAAAGTGGAAGATGTGATGGAGAGCTTAAAATTGGGACCTAATGGTGCTCTGATGTACTGTATGGAATACCTAGAAACTAATTTTGATTGGCTTGTTGGTAAACTAGGGCATATTAAAGATTGCTATTTGATTTTTGATATGCCAGGCCAAGTTGAGCTCTACACACATCACAATGCCACAAAGAACATATTTCACAGACTTGAAAAGATGAGATATCATCTCTGTACAGTACACATGATTGACTCACATTACTGTTCGGATCCATCAAAGTTTATCTCAACTTTACTTCTCTCACTATCAACCATGTTGCAAATTGGTCTGCCACATGTCAATGTACTTAGCAAGGCTGATTTACTAAAGAAAAACTCTGATAAATTAGACTTTGGACTGGATTTTTACACAGATGTATTAAATCTGGAATATTTACTAGACTTGCTTGATGATGGACCATTTACAAGTAAATACAGGAAACTCAATGCAGCTCTAGTTTCTTTAGTGGAAGACTACAGCTTGGTCAACTTTATACCTCTAGATGTGTCTTCAGACAAAAGTCTTTTGACACTCAAAAGTGCAGTGGACAAGGCAAATGGTTATGTATATGGGAGTGGTGAGGAGAGAAGCATTCAAACATTACTCTCATGTGCCGTAGGGGCGCGAACTGAATCAGAACGTTTTGATTCAGATTTTATGTGAAGTACTTCTATTTAACTACACAATTTCATTTCTCATCTTATAAATAAAACTAATTTAAACCTGATATTGTTTTCAAATGTAAATTTAATTTCTAGGTTGGAATAATAAGTAATTTAAGGATTATTCATAGTTGTTGTGGTGTTTAATTTAATTTTCCTTGCTCTTTTGCTTGTTAAGCTGTGCTCGAAGTTGTTTGTTGAAATCATCTTCAACATTGTCGTCTTCCCAGTTGTCCTCCCACACGCTAATGTCTTGATCATCCTTCTCTTTACCAGTCCAGTCTAAAAATACAAGATTATTTATTAAACAACGTAGATTTTTCATTAAATTTATGGCAAACACGATTGATGAAGAAAAGATAACCTCCAAAGATGAATACGATCATAATACATGGAATATACATCACCTTCCACTGGAAACTCTTCGAATTCATCATCTTCTTCAAGAACACCAAGATCGAGCTTTGGTTTTTCGGCAGACATGGTAATTAATGTGGTTTTTGCGACTTGTCGTTTGAATTTTATACACGAAACTGTGACTTGCAGTATGAGCAAGCTTCTCCAAACAATTACAGCGCCAGTTCGCACAATCCACGACAATTACGGAATGCAACGACATCTATGTTGCTAAAATGTAAAATTTTAATTTGAATACTTATTATTCTGCCTATTATTTTGTAATTTCGATACCCGTTTGTTTTCTTACTGAAGACAAGAGATAAAAAACAAGTGGACCTAATAACAAATATATAAAATTATTATTTGAACCAATTCACATGACAAGACCCCAATTGCCACATACCCTGAACGTAATTATGACTTCAATTCACCCGAAGGTCAGGGAGAGAGGACTCCGGCAAGACTCCTCAGTCTATACTCTCTGCAGGCTGTCCTATAATACCTGCGGGCGACCCAAACAAAGTGGTGGGGGTAAGGCGCTGCTATGTAGTTGATCGCGAGTAAGGGAACAAGATGTGGGTACCTGTAAAAACAATTGATAAAAAAAGAGTACATGTGTGTCACCAGAGAATGCGTGTTTCTCTGGTGTCTCCTCTGGTTATCAAATTCAATACATACAAATTTGTAAAAGGTCCCTAAAAAGACAATTCAATTAAATACAAACCTAAAAAAATCAAAAGATTAATAGATTTTTATCTAAAAGAAAGTATTATTGGCACATGTTTATATCAAAACTAAATAGGAAAATTGGAATCTCATTCATACTCGAAATAAAAGAATTTATATGTTTTTCATATAATTGTATTTTTATAAGCAAGGAAAAAGGGAAACTAGAAAGGGCCTAATACGATCCTGCCTACACAAGGACTTAAAATCGCGAAGTTAATGTTAATGTTAGTAATCGCGGTGACTTCTGAAAGCGGAAAACTTCATTAAACACAAATGGCGATTTTGAATTAATCTACTTGTTTATATATATGTTTATAGTTTGAACTATATTATCAATTTGATGTAATATATGAGAAGAATGAAAAATCATTCCAATTGTTTAAATTAAAAAAAATAATAATTTTACCAAGTAGTCAATCAAAATCGCATAATAAATAAAATGTAATAATTTATAACATGAAATCAAAACCTAAAAATAAATAGGTAACACAAGTATCATTCACACACTAAAGGGGTGGTTGGAACTTAGGAAACTTAAAACTACCGCAATATTTTTACTAGACCTGCCTGTATTCCCTACCTAACAACATATTTAACTGATAATCACAGACCGATTGAAAAATATTTGCGCATGTTTAACATATCCGCGACCGCGTTAGACGATCTGTGATTGAGGGTGGCGAGACGGTTCTCGCCGCGGTATAACCAGTAATAAAGCCTTGTGACCTGCTACACCGCCAGTGGGCAACAGGCTTTTGGTACCATGTGCAAGCACATCGTCCAAAGATTTAACACGTACACAAATAAATAAATAAATACATATATGCATTCACACCAACAATAAAAAAGGATTTCATTCAACAATCTTCAACATTCATACAACACCCGACGCGCGATGTTTTACGGTCGCGAATTATGTTGGCTCAAATGTTTGGAATTACGAGCAAATAATAAACACGTTGATGTTGTTTTATCTTTGGTCTTCAATCTTTGGAAATGCAGCGCGCCTGAAAACGCCGAATAAAACCGCAAAAAAAAAACACGAAGTTTTACGTTGGCTCAAATAATTTGATATTTGAAACTTGCATCTATAAATTAGTTGCTGACGCGTAATCTCGGGTACATCCGTATTACCCTGGTATTGTAGCACGCCTGAAAAATCCGAATAAAACCAAGAAACCAAAAAACCAAAAAAACACACCTAAAAATCAAAAAATCATAAAACCGAAAAAAACCTCGCGAAATAACTTATTTTAACGGAATGACTCGATAAATAAACGGAATTCGCGTGTAGATATGCGCATATAAATACAAGACAGCCAGTTTGGTGTCAGGTGTACTCACTCAGCTCATAAACATCCGGCGTTTCTAGCAATGCTGGGTGGATTATCCCTGAACCAAGGACCTAGCCACGAGAGCGATTCCCCTTCGGCTGTCGCATACGCAGCAAAACGCTTTGCGCATCCGTCAGTCAGGGGCACTCGTGACTACCCTCCGGTCCAGGTCATCACCACACCTACCTTACATCCGGCTCCTAGAAACTGGGATCCTACGTCAGAGTTTCTCAGGAGGACGCGTCGAAATTTTTCCAAACTTCTGTCCAAAACGCTGGTAGGTTGCTTGTAGTGGATCTAGTCTCTCCATGCCCCTGTTGGTGGAATACCTTGGTTGACTGGATTGAAGAAACGTACTACGCGATTTTTGCCGATTTGAACTACACGACGCGCACTCGATTTTGTCGGAACTCGGATAAAGTTAATGTTGCGATAAAAACTTATAATGTTTTCTTGGGACCATCTTTCTTCGATTGGTATGCACAGATTTAAAAGCGAGTAAATAAAAATTATTGTAAAACGCGTCGCGACCCGCACTCGATGAGTATTGCGTTACACCTCTCCAGGTCAACCGAAATTACCGTTTATCAGTTATTTCTGTAAATATAAACCATTATTAAGAGGAAATATTAAAAAGTAATTAGATAAGATGAGATAAATAAAATATCAGAAAATAAAAATTAACCCCTTTGTTACGTTCTTTTTTCAATGTTTTTGAAAGAAAAGTTAAAGTGAAAGAAAAAATGTGAAATTTAAAAATTAAATTGAAAAACTTCCAATTGTCCTTTTTCTGGAATCTTTTAAATAATTGCAATTAAAAAAATAATAAATGATAAAAATAAAACAAATAATAAAAACTAAAAAGTAATAGAAGAGAAATGTTGCATTAAAGGAGAAACAATACACATAAATACGGAAACGAACGCGCCCGAATTACAAAATAATGCCAAATAAAATCGAATATGTACCTGAAAAACAAGCAGAAAAAATAATTAGTATGTGCAACTTTATAAAAATATTGGATGTTTTTAAAAACATGTCCATATTATCGCGCACTTCACTTTTGTTTCATAATTATTCGGTTACGATTAATGGTGGGACATGGAAAAAGAAAATTCGCGACGCGGCACTTATAATAAAAAACGTCTGAAAAGTTAACTTCAAAACTGTTGAAGCAACTTTCAAACAAAACCTGTTACCAGTAATGATGGTGGTATAATTGCTTAACCTGGATCTATAAGCAATATAATTCGGTCGACTTAGATTTCTAAAATGTAAATATTCGTAAATAATGTAGCTTTAAAAAGAAATAAAAACGTAATAATATATTGCACATCTCCCCATCTTCCCAGTCTCAGCTCCTTGAAATTAAACGACCGCCACAGCTCCTTCTTCTTCTCCTTAATTCTCGACGTTATTGGCTCGTGTGGAAAGGTGCATCAAGCGGTACATGAAAGGAAACATAATAACAATCAGGCAAGAGCCACTCCGCCTTCGAAATAAACATCAGCGAAGCTATTACTAAACCCACAGCCTACTTAATGTCTTTTCAGAGACCAAGTATCGAAACACCTTACAACACTCACCCCAGTACACCGCTTATGCAACTAAACACACACAACCGCCACAAAGTAACGGCAACTTGTTGCTTCGGTCCGATTACGTTACCACTGCATATTGTAAAATTTATTTATTCTCATCAAATCAAGACAAACCACCGAATCACATCACATCACATGAACTATATTTATGCAGCCCAATACTAAACTTAACATGCACAAACAAAAAGAAAGAAAGAGAAAGAAAGAGAGAGAGAGAAGCTCAACGTGTCTTTCAAACCGTACAAAAATATACACAAAAATAAAGTGCTAAAATCTACAAAAATCGAGTCAAAACTCTGCGAAGTTTCAGACTAAAAGAGATAAACCGCATTCCAACGCCGATAAAAGTAAACAAACAACTGATAAGGACGCGATCGCGCAAGAATAACGCGCAAAGACTATGCGCAGAGGACGCGCGCCTAGAATTTACACACACGCACGCACACACGCTCGCGCATGCAAAAAAAAACCGTTGCAAATCGTTCACACGAAAACTTGTACATTGAATACCGGAAAAACCAATTAAATTCATGAAAATCCAATTAGATCATCTTGTAATACCCGATTCACTCTACAAAATGAACTAACTCGATGGTTACCAGCATAAAAATGGCGTTTGTTACTCCTTGGCAAACAAATTTCAACCAGACCACGCCGTCCCCCACACCACTTTTCATAAATTTTCAGTTTTAACGAGTTTTGCGCAAAAATTATATAAAAGAAATACGTGCATCTTACTCGTAATCACGTTGAGCACTGTTTTCCACCTGGTAACGGCATTTTTCACAACTTTTAAAGATTTATTGCAATTTTTTCGAGGAGCTGCAGCTGCTGCAATGGACGATGCGAAGCGACTGATACGACGCGGCGCACCTGAGCAGCGCAGTACCAAACGACGCTAGTGGTGTGATGTGGGGTGGCTGCCCTGCTCCTAGATTGCCATTACTTAAATCTAGTAATAAACTAAACATGCGCGCAGTGTTTCAACATAAAAACAAATAAAACTAAATAAAAAATTTGACAAATCTGCAAGAATCCTTCATTACAATAAAAGGTAATGTATAAAAATGAACATTTAACGTTTTTATTGTATTACTTTGTTCAAATCGAAATAACACATCATTTGTTGGGTTGGTGGTAGTGGTTTAAAGTTATAACAAAAAGTTTACGTTGGTTTGTACATAGTAGTTACATAAATAACACTTGATATATGTATCAATCACCATCATTCTATCATCAATATCAGTTTTCTTTTATATCTAACAGTAGTTTAATAGTAATATATATTACAAAATATACGTATATATTTATAATTTAGATTAGTTTACTCTTAGATTATCTCCAGTGTATGTAAAGGTAATTAAGTTTTTAAAACAGTTAACCTTTTACCCGGACTCTGTGGTTTGATATCACTAAAAATGCAAAATTATCAAAATTGGCAAATATTTTCAGACAGGGCTCAGATTTGTTAAAAACATTTGCCAATCGATGGTTTTCATGCCGAATGATTCATGTTACAAAGTCTTTATATACAATTCGTCACCTACTTTGTAACAAAAACCAAATGGATACGTTGAACATGAAGGATTAGACAAAATATTATGTACATACTTTCACATCATCTTAAGTGTATACAGATTAACAATTATACAGATGACATCTATATAAAAACTAGTAACGTCAATGTAAACTCTCACATTTCATTTATTCAATCACAATCATCAATCATGCATTGTTTTGTTTCAGAACACAAAGAAACTTAATTATTATAAAAACTAGTCGTTATGATATGACAATCTAAGTACTTTTATCTACGTAAAAACATAGTTTTAAATTAAGATCTGAATGTCTTCTTTAAAAGTTCTTTTTTTATTTTCTAGTCCAAATGAAACTGTTTTCATTTCTGGATCATAATCAGTTTAGAGCACAGTTTCGTTGGTACACGTGCGTGGCCCATTCACCAGCGAGTATCTCGACGAACTACCATTGCGATTTGTGACGGTGCCACGAATGAAAAGCTCTTTGAAAGTTTCACGGAACTGCCGCGACATGCCGCAGTAGATAGCGAAGTTGATGGGGTAGCTGACAATGATGAGAAAGTTTGTGAACAGGACCAGCACGTGGGCGATGTCGTAGTTGAGCGGAAAGTGCGGAAATACGCTGGCGAGGACATGCAGCAACGTCACCACCGCCAACGGAATCTCGACGATGAGAAAGACAGTCACCACGACGATCAACATCAATGTCGTACAGTTGGAATCACGCAGCTTCTTGCATTCGGACTTTTGGTTCTTCTTCGACAGTAGCAGATCACGTCGTTGCTGTGCTTGGCGCAACGCACGGAATAACAGCACATTCAGGACGACAAGAGCAATGCATGGTAGCAGATGCACGAAGATGATCCGGAAAAGGAAGTAAGACAAGTAATAGCCATCCACTGTCACATATTGATTAATCCAGTTAGCTGTGCTCGTCACGCAGACGTTGGTTTGATGACCGTTCCAGGTGATTTCTCGCTAAAACAGAATAATTGGATTAGTAATTGCACATTCCGAAACAATATCAACAAACTAGTGGTAGGTATACAGATTAAATCTGTTGGATATTGACATTTCGAGGAAATTTGGATTTGCATAAGCAGCGCAAGTGTAAACTTCCAGCATAATTGAGACGTCATTAACAATCCGTTTGATTTGAAGTTTGCTGCATTCACATTCCAATTAGAGGTCTCCTGTTTCGACAATTTCATAATTACAGAGATTCTGCGAATGCCGCTGCGCGCTGCAACTTAATAATGATTCCTCTATTGAAGAAATTTGAGGTGAAAACATTAAAGTTCTATTATAAATAACTATTCGTAGAAGAATGTAACTATAAATATAATTGGAGCACTCAGATTTCAAAATATTCACAGATGCTATACAAATATTTTCATAAATCAGGCAAACGCATTCAGCGATGAAATGAGACGGCATTTTATTGAATGGAAACCAATTTGCAATAATAGAATTTTCCTTACTATAACTCATGATAACAACGCGTTTGATATGAAGAAATAAAGTGCATTCGTCGGGAATTCGCAATGTTTCGCACAAAAGGGAGCTGTACTGCAAACGGTTCATAATTTAAATGCAATTTTACGAGGAAAGTTGCGCGCCGCATTTAAATCGCACGGAAACGCATGTGATATATGTAGTGAAAACGATGGCTCGCATGCTTGCGTGCTCCTTAACGAAACGGAACGTATGCGAAACGTTCGTGCAAAGTGTCTAATGTGTGTAATGTGCATGCGGTCCGTGTCGTTCCGGAGTCCTACTTCCACCGGGCAAATGCGAACGGACGCATGCAGGCTCGTATAAATTCGTTTTATGTATTATACTTTTCGCAGCGGGAGGAAGCTGCGAGAAGCGAGTCGAATAGATAGGATTTGCCCACAAAAAGTAGGAACAAACGCGCCACAAAAGCTGAACCCGTGTGTTTAGACGTCGAAGAGTATGTACATGTGCATCCTGTTATTCTTGTTATTATTTTCAGGATACAGAACACACGACGACTTTGCTTTTGTGTTTGGTTGGCTGGCGACATTGTTAGCTTTATTTTATGCGTCGTCCGGGTGAATGGCGTACCCAGTGCGCGCATTTAATACGCCATTAATGATGTCGGAAACAAGATATTACCGATAATGCAGGAGCTTAGAATGCTTTGCGAGCGCCGCCAGGATTGCGCCGATGAAAATATACGAATGGTGCGCGCGGAATAAAACTTTACGACGTATTGTTGCTTTAAAAGGACACAAATTGGAAAATATCGTAATTCGCTTTAAAAATGTACATTGGCGACGATTTATTCCAAAGTGGATTTGCAACATAACAACATTACAACATCACAGCACAAATTTATCACTGGTTTTATAGTCAAGCAGATTATTTTAATATAAAGTAAAAAATTACACTTTGTCGCAATTTAACAACGTTATTAAGATCTAATATCATCAACGGTTTAGCTTTACACCATCCAAACAAGCCCTAAAAGTACGAATTTTATTGAGGACGAAAACGAAGAGCGAATGGCTAATTTGGAAGTTAACGAATATCACTGCCACTCATCTGCACTGCGGAATTATTAAACGTCGTAAATTATTAAACGCCCGCCAAGTTTGAGATTTGCACGACGTGCCGCGACAAGAGTACGATACGAAAATATCCGCTGATGTTCGAAAAAGACGTTGGCCCACAAGCGCGCTCAACGTGTCGGTCGATTAATTAAATTTCCACGCTGCTCAGCGAACGCGAGCATGATATAACATTGCAATAAATTAGCCAGAAGCATTTTGATATAAATTCGAACAAAGAAGCATTCAAGACAAGAAAATGTAACACAAAGCGCGCACAAAAGATGAAACAAGACCAAAAACGAATTGAATTGTTGTCAAGTTTTTCTCAAAGGATTCAAAGGATTCCAGTATTAATTATGCACCAGGTGGCAGCATCGTCGGTCTAACCTTAGAGGCAATTTTGAACATGTCTAACACGTAAGTAAGCAGATCTAAGGCGTGGGATCTTACAAAAGTTGTAAACCCTAAGATGAAACTTGCTTGCGGTGGCAAGAAACAGGAATGCATTTATTAAGACAACCTCAATGAAAAGTCCGCCAACTACTTGCGGCGCACGTTGTGGTCGAGGGTCGTCGGTAGCTTCCTGTTATTCCGCGTTCCGGAAAGCAGCAGCAGCCGCCATTCGCCCGTCTTTCTGATTCACTTACTCGACGCTACGACACCGCGCTAATTATTCGAAGCCGCTGCAACCGGAATTAAACCGTAATCTCCTTATTAGTTAAGCGCGGCTTGGGCTTGTGCGCAGGATGCACAAACTGAACCCAAGTGCAGCAAGAAGGTCAAAAGTTGTCGAGTTTGCGCGATATGAAGCAAGTTTACCACTACGTATAAGAAAAGAAATTGTGCAGCGTTAATTTATCGCTTTACTTTGTTACGTAGTTCGGGTTTAAGTGTTCATAACTTGATTTTATGAGTTTTGGCCAAGGTGGTTGGTTATTAAAGCACAGCAACGCAAACTTTTATCAATATGAGAAAACCGGAAAACTCGAGTCTCTACACTCCACTACAGCGACTTGTTTACCGCGTGGACAAACAAACCTATATAACCAATATAATTTATCAAAATACATTTGCGTTATGTTTAAGTTTGGCTATGTTTAATGTTTTGAATCAAAAGTAATTTGTAAAAAGATTATTTATGATGCCGAGTGGAATAGGCCCACAGAGGATTAGTCCCTGAATTGTGGAAACATTGAAATACAGATTGCTGATATATTATAATCCACAAATAAAAAATATCCTCTTTCCACTTTGCGGACGTGAATGAACGCACGCGAGCAAAAACAACCCGCCACATCGAGCATAAATCACCCGTGTCCTCTCGTTTTTCCTCGCCTCCTGCACCGCCGCCATTAAAAAATGCGCAAACGTATTCTGATGTTTGATTATAACACACCAAATGGTGTTACTCGTTTGTTGGCCACACAGATCGTATATTATATTTTAACACCCCGCAGCGGCGTTTTTAAACCCGTAACATTTATTTCAATCACGTACCGTCGCCCCGCGTCTTTTCGCAATTCTTCTCTTTCGTACCGTTGTCACCAAAGCGAACAAAACAACGCCAAAGTTAAATGTGTTTAATTAAAGTGATGGGCTGATGGGAACTCCAAGTTCTCACGATACCTACCGCTTCGTAGTCCTTCTCAAACAGCCTAATGCTCTGATGCAAAGCAGCCAACACCAAGATGTATCCGACTCCTTTGTAGACGTTCGGCATGGTGCAGAATTTCCGCGCTAACGGCGCATGGCACACGTAAATGTAACGCTGCACTGCTAATGCAAGAGTCAACCAAATGCTAGCCGTGTGGAACATATTCGGTATCACCTGTAATCAAATTAATATTATTTTAATACCACTAGCGACACCTATGGAAAAAAAATTACAAATTAATTATCTTTTTTGTTTTTTATTATTACTTACTTCATGCATCACATTCCAAAAGTAGCATATACTTATCGGCCACAATGGCTTGTAATGATTACCAAACGTGTACATGTAAATCAACCAGGGCGCTGGAAAGAGCAGCGTGAACATGTCACACAACGCCATCGCCATCAGGACTACATTCGTTGGTGTGCGCATGTGCCGCTTACTGAGCACCACCACTATCAGCGTGTTGAAGATGATTGTGATGACGAGAAGGAACGGCATGATGTAGCCGTACATCGGGACGGCATACGTGATTGGCATCTCGCTGGTGACATTGATGTAGCTAAAATTCTGCCCGGTATTGTTTAAGTTAGGAAGTGGCGTCGATCCTGTCTCGTTGGCGAAGGTGTCATTGGGGAAGGACGACTGCATCGTCGCCTCCCCGTCCTCAGCTGTACTTGGGTAGTACTCCATTATGTTTTCATTCTAAAACAATTTCTGTAATTACAAAAACGTAAAATTAGTAAAAATTGCAGGTTTAAAAATAACAACGTTGCATTTATAACAAAAATTAAAATAAAAAAAACGCAGCGATTAAATTATATTAGGTAGTTATGTGCAGGAAAAAATCGTGGTATATCTATTTTAATTACGTTAATAGGCGTTGCGCATGTTGCGCCCATCTCGGTAATTTTATTCATGCGCGGATTATCACTGAGCAAGCTTACACTGGCTTATAATACACTAAAACTGATTACGCACGCGAAAAATGCGCTGATTACTCGCGTCATTAATTAACGAACAAAAATAAACTGAATTAAACTGCTTGAATAATTAGTACGTTTCATCATGTGTCTAGTTTAGTCGTTAAACTATTAGTTCCAGCGCTGGTGTTTACGTACTCCCTAAATTTAGATTTCAAGATTTAATTAAACCAAGTAGATTAATCAAGCTGATTACAATTTGTGAACCATTGCTTCAAGATGTGATCGACAATAGGTTGATGTTTGTGCGCGCGCAAAGGAAACAATTGTCGCATTTCCCGGAAGATTAAAAGTTGGTAGCTCGACACGCTCGATCCCACGAAAGCTCTCTCATTTCCGGGCGAGGAAAGCGAACGCGCGTAATGCACAAACTGCACCGTCATTATTGCGATCTGTTATAATTCCGAAAACGTGCAAAGACTACGAAAATATTTTCGAAAGTTGCTAGAATCAACAAAATTCACTTCAAATCGAAATTTTGATTTTCAATTAAAATTGTTAATGCAGTGTAAATTTTGTTGATTTAAACCATTTATAATATCATCAAACATGCATTGAACAATATCAATTAATGCAACAAAAATATGAGCATCTGTTTCGTTTGTATTAATTGATATTGTTCAATGCATGTTTGTTCACAATTTGGCAATGACAGAAATGTAAATAGCAAATACTAATATGAAATTTCAATTAATTTATAACCTGCAAACCATGTTGTATTAATATTGTATCGTGAAACATTCAGCTACAAATTGGTTTTTAAACATTTATTCTGTAAAATATTTATCGAATTGAAACAAATTCATTTTTAAATATAAATTTTGCGCATTGGTGCCTTTGAGGTGAGAAAAAAAACTAAAACTAAAGTAAATTTTTAAATTGGGCTTCTTTTACATTGGAAAATGCGAACGCAATACGAAAATACAGTGCCTACGAAACCAATTACCACTTTACATCGTTTTTATTCCTTTCAATTTCTTTTTTACTGCCTCCACATACGATTCGGATACGTAATACAAACTTTCTCAGGTTTCCAAACTCCGAACTACTTCGAATATGTGATTCCGAGTGCAAATCTTGAAATTGAACACTTCAAAGCACTTTTTTTGTGGCTCCGCCACTTTTAACATTACTTTTGCATGTGTTTTATTTGTACTTGCTTTGTTTTGCAACTATGAGATTGTTTGAAATATCGTAGACACAAACCACTTTTGTGCCTGCAATATATTTCATTTCCATTATTCTTTATAAATTGAAAGTCAGCTGCGGGAGTACATGTATTTCACGGTGGCGGAATTATCTCGGATGTAGGCATGTAGGAGAAGAAAACGGTCGAAACTTTAATTTCCTGCTGGCTGCGTTTCTGTTTTACGACATCTGTCGACAACCACTGCACGACGTCGTCCTGGAATTTTATGGTGCAATTAAGTGTTTTTCGCGTCAAATGTCAAACGCAGCAAAACGTGGGCTAATGCTAAGATATTTCGATTTTCATATTTACGAAAATTAAACTTTAATTATTTCAACGTTATCGGAAAACTGCAAACTGTACTATAAAGTTTCAATTCACAGCTTATAACTCATTAAAACATAAAAATAAAAATAAATCTGAAAACATTGGATTCCGTTAGTAAAATGCTAAAAAATAAAAATTTCTCGTTTCGATTTTACGCGTGGCAATTTACGATTGCAGAAGCAAAAAACCGTTAATACACGTTTTTCCGGTGGAGTAAAAATGCCTCAAACTGAATGCTACGTGCACTCCATGTTAGTAGCAAATATCCGCTCGGATTGCGTAAAGTTCGAAGTGCATTGAGGCAAAACGACGATGGCCGCTATAGACGCAGCTCGCCGTTCGTCTATAATTCACTTTTGAGCAAAAAAATGCGCGTTCTCGCAAACGTATGCCCTGAAGAGTAGTCGTTACTCGTTATCGCCCCAGCAAAGCGTGGCGAAAGGAATGCGTGATCGACATATTTTTGCTCGATACTTTTTTGCATCGCTTCCGGAGCGCATCGCGGACGTCGGTCCAGCTGTTGCCAAGTGCACGCCGACTGAATGGCGCACTTAGAATTTGCGCATATCACATTCGCGTCCAAAGCAATTTACGTGTTAATGTTAGAGGTCAAAATGAACTTCCAGCGAAATTCAAATACTAAGTGCATTTTTAATCAACTGACTTAAGTAGGTGGAAATAACTTCCGGCAACAAAAATTGCAAACATTTTAAGTTCATCACAAGATAACTTTAAATCCTGTTGAAAGCTTGTTTGTCGAAACTTGCAACTTATCACTTTCTAATAGTATAATACCCTTAATGGACACATACAAGATGTCACTTTGTAAATCCTTGCAAGAAGTGAAGCTTCCATTGATATTTTACGTGCTTTGTCAAAGTTGTAGCACATAGAATTCAGTTCGCATGTTCAACTTGAACGAAAATCGTTTACGCTCTAATTATTTTGCGCGCAGCTCGTGCTTAAATTGCATTTCGCCTTGTTGAGAAAATAAGGTGCAAGCAGAAAGAGATCCGCATCGGCTAAATTGGAAAACAAGTGCAAAGTTATGGTAAATCTTAATTAACGCTGATTGCTTCCGAAGTTACGTAATAGACGCAGTTTTACAAGCATTACTGAAGTACCTATACACCTTAAACAGAAGTTGTATAAAATCGCTTTAGTTTAAACAATGGAAATTGGGTGTAAATGAAAACTTTACTTAATTTTTTACTGTTTCAACAGCTGCGGTGTCCGAGTGGTTAAGGAGATGGACTTGAAATCCATTGGGCTTTGCCCGCACAGGTTCGAATCCTGTCCGCAGCGATCATTTTCGTTTTACTTCAGATAAATTCATTTACGCATGCGCACTAGCTGTCATTGAGGTACACTGATAAAATTGCAGGTAGCATATCAGCTGCGGTGTCCGAGTGGTTAAGGAGATGGACTTGAAATCCATTGGGCTCTGCCCGCACAGGTTCGAATCCTGTCCGCAGCGAACCCTTTTGGTTTTTCTTCAGCTAAATTCATTTACGCATGCGCAATACCTGTCATTCAGGTACTTTTATATACTCGCAGGTGAAATATGAGCTGCGGTGTCCGAGTGGTTAAGGAGATGGACTTGAAATCCATTGGGTTCTACCCGCACAGGTTCGAATCCTGTCCGCAGCGTATCTTTTTCAACTTTTTTAATCAAAATATTACCATTGTGTAACTAACACTTCCTATATTGCAATAGTTTAATACTTTCAATGGCATTGTCTCCGAGTACAATATCAATTGCCAAGAATGGAAACTTGAGAGCTCATTAGGGAAAGCACCGATGGACGTTTTGTTCCTCTTAAGACTGTTGGAGTATGACGTGGTAGTGGTACCTTTCATGTTCGTGTGTGGAAACTTCACCAATATGGGAATCAATGTGGAAACCGAAGCGATTGCATCCAAAGTTTCTGCTCTCAGGGAATTACATGCATACATCTAAGCCAAGTCGAACGTCGAACGCAGTTGTCCCGAGTTACGATTGAATAGGCTGCTGGCAATGCCAAGACGATGAATGCATAAAATCGCGCTACGCTTCCCTAATACAAGAACAGTTTCTGAGCTGGAAATGCCCCTCTGTAATGGAATTAATTATGCGCGAAATGTTCAACGCTTGGATAAACCAGCAGAATATTTTATTGCTCCATAATCTAACCACACAATCAAAATTACCACGAACAAGCATTTGTTTATAATATTTATGTATTCTATCAAAGTTAACAAAGACTTATTGTTCTTTGAGTTTTGTTTTCTGCGTAAATCCGGTATTTTTCTGTAATTTTGTAAATAAAACATGGCGGTATAAGAAGTAGGCAACCAGAAGTGCCCCTAAAATCCCATCTGTTCGTATTGATATTGATACAAGCGCAAAACACGCGATTTGCGAGACGCAGACGTCCAAAAGTAACAATCATAAATCAATTATATTGCCTAATATATTATATATTTCCTTTTTGGCCCAGCAGTGGTCGATTTTTCGTTTTTTTTATATTTATGCTCCCCGCGATGCACACGTAGCGATTCGTACGCGTGCCAACGCCAAGTCACGTGTGCTCACGCACAAAATTTACACAAGAAAATCTTGCAAAAAAAACCTTTCCCTTTCCATTTCTCAGTCCTCAGTCAAACAGATGCAAGTTACTCCAATGTATCCGGATGTAAATCTTATACGGAAACAAGAGATAAAAGTCAATAGTTAATATCCGTAACAATAAAAGCAATAAATGTAATTGTCTGGGACGCTACGTTTCCGACCTTCTTACGTTCGTAACATCTGCCAAAAGAATGCATGTGAATGTATCGGTGTGTGTGTGTGTGTGAAAATGTCAATTCAAATAATGTGCTTTTTTAGCATCGCACACCGACAAAAAGAAATAAATGTGAGTGGCCGTAATAAAAGAAAAGGTCGTAAAATATTCAACAAGATGGCCGACTTTCCGGCTCTCTTGATTACCTAACCTACAACGTAGTAAAGTTAAACGCCATTGCTATTTTTTGTATTGAATTTTTTTCGCGTGCTCGAGTATAAAAGGTAATAAAAATCGAATTATGACCATGATCTCCGTATGCGCGTATCTTGGTCCTTTCCGTTGTCATCTCGCATGCTTCCGGCTTTGTATCACATTGTATTTCAATGACCCAGAGCGTATATGAGTATATCTTGCAGAAATATGTTGCTACGAATTTTCCCGTTCCGAATTCCAAAGGGAAAACAAATAAATATAGTGAAAAGAAAGCATATCGCATATTCAATCCGCGAATTTGTATTTTTTTTTGCGTCAAAAGTTGCGTTGTTCATTTTGTTGTTGTCTGTGGGTTTATTCTCGTTTTTTTCTTGCTTCCTATCCACTGCGCGATGATTGTCCGGATGACCGCTTCGCGTTGAAGAACTAGAACTCGCCTGGAAGCGACTTGACATGTTTAAATCACTGAAAGGAATTTAAGCGCAAAGAAATACAAATAAATTCAAAGAAAATATTTGTTTGTGTCTTATAGGTACATCTCTTAGAAACTGAATCATGTGATATGAGCTGCCGTACAAGTACTGAACTAAAATAATCCGAACTATTGCCCATGATTTACCAGTTTTACTAGTTCAAAAATTGTAAAAAGTGTTGATGTGGAAAAATAAACCGAAAAAGTTACGAACGTTTAAATACGTTAAAGGATAGGACACACGTTTGAATAAACTGGAAAAGTTTCGGCTTTCAATTGAGAAGTATCCCTCATGTCCCGCACGTCGGGCCGGCGTCGGCGTGCTCGCTTGTTCGCTGTCAACTAGCGTTAACATCGAGGGTGGAGAGTTGGGTCGTTTGCAGGAAGTGCCGTGAAACGAGTGAAAAATGGCGTCATCTTTGCCGCTTACCCGGGGAGGAAATCGTCAAAGTTTCTACACCGATCTTCAAACACCACGGACGTAAACTTAAATGAAAATGGAAATGCGAACGGGGAACATTCGTAGCATAAACGTGAATAAAAAATGAAAATAATGTGGAATAGAAGTTGACTTAAACAATTGTTTTATAAATTCGCTGATATTGATTTCTCTATTTTTCTTTTGCTTTGCAAGCAAACACAGATAATACCCGCACATAAATAGTCACATCTTCGTTACGCACGTCCGGGTCAAAAGAGTAGGGAAAGCATCATCGCTTGGCAAAATGTGTTATTGCTCGTGTAATGGCGGTCAGAATAGAAGTCACGCTCGAAGGATCAGCCAGAATCAAAGGATAAATAAAGAATAAAACGCCGGTGAAGAGTTTAGCTTCCGGCAAATTTTATCCTGCGAGTAATAGTTGACATTGTAAAAATTTTATAAAAATATAGAAACGGAAAACATAACAAGATACGATGGTGATTTTAAACTCCAGCGCACCAGATGGTTGAATTGGCATCTAAGGACGCGTTTTATTGCAGTTCAAGCGTAATAAATTTACGAGAAAGTTATAGTTAGGTACGTCGATGAAACCGGTGGAAAATCTGACGATATTAGACGGCTCGTTGAACTATAAAATGTTTATTCGATTGTATTACGCACTTACCAACATTAGATGTGTATTCGAATGATTTTCCGAGCTTTAATGCAATACATAAACTTTTAATATTTTAATCTATACCTGACAATAAACGCTGTTTATACGAACGCCATAAACAAGAATTAGATTGGTAAAATACTTAACATGCACTTTGCACCCAATAAACATTTTTGAAGTTTGATAATCAAAAATAAGTGCTTTCTATGTTCATGGTATTTGTACATTGTGCGGATCCTTTATGAAGGCGTGCATTGAATGCGCTCCGGAATCGTAAATTATTGCCCAAACGCAATTTTGTGAACTACTCGCATTCTGGCGCCGACAATAAAGCGATGAAGAGGAATGTCGATTGCGTGAACAACTTGTTTGCGTGCGTCCCCGCAACACGTTTTGACAATGCATTCGATTTCCATCTTCGGCGCGCGCGACGAGTGAAATGTAAAGTTGTGAAACGGGCGCACTTAGAGACGCACACATACACGCACCCACACACACACACCAAGAGACAATACCAATTTGGCCGCGCGGCTCGTCGCCGGCGTCGAGGCGGTTAAGAGTTTGGGAGAGAACGGAATACTAATTACTAGGTCGTCGACGCGTGCGAATGGCCGCCCACGCAGACAACCCGCCCCCCAAAACGCCGAAATGACGAGGATGACGAAAATGTCCAACGCGAGAGACGCGAGGCCATGTCTGTGGATCAGCTGCGCGAAATTAGAAAATAACGATGAGCGCGCCGGCGTGTGAACTTCACAAAGGGGTCATGGTCGTACGCCCAATCGTCTGCAACCCGACACACAGCGAAACGCGCGCGGAGTGTATATTGGGTGGCACACCCATTAGGCGTCAATGTGTGTGACAACAGTGTTGCGAACAAAGTGTGAGCGACACATAAATGGAAGTTTTCCCTAAGTAGCGACTAATCATGGCCGTGAAAAGGCTAACTCGGCGAAGAACTAATTAACAATCAATTGTTTTCGCAGATATTGAGTTATCTTTGTTGTCTTTTCCTTCTGCGAAAAATAAAATTACACAAAAAACTAACGCAATCAAGGATGTACACGAAAAAAAGCGAATATAACTTTTTCGGGGCCTTTTTGTTCGATATTTTATTAACTCGCTCGGCACGATCGAATTCCTTTTCGTTCGAAAAGACTTTATGCCGTATAAAAGGCTTCTTAACTCAGCGTAGTTATTCGATATTGTTTTCCGCTCGGAATCAATGCATCTTCTACTCGATCAACTGGACAACGCACACAAAACGAAATTCCGATCGGAATAAAGTTCATCCGGTTCCTTTGATTATTCTACCGAAATATTTAGAAAGTTACTTCTTTTATAACCCGAAAATACAATAAAAAATATTAAAATAATAAACGTAATAAATTACGAGTATTAAATATTTCCACACTCGCTGTAATATTCCGATTTGATATTTGTTTTCGCAAGACGCAAAAATACAAATGATAGCTTTTCAACACTCGAACCGTTTGCTTTTATCTTTTATGGAAGGCGATATTTTAATAGCGTATTCTCCGATTTGAATGGCTATAAACAAACGAAAACTTAAACAAACTTTAGGCAAATCTCAAACAAAGTGGACGTTTAGGCTCGCAGCGTGTGCGTAATAAAATAATAAATTGATAAATATTTAGCTCGCTGCGAATAAGAATTGCATGCCGTGCATGCTTGCGTTGGAATTTTAATTTTCCTTCCTTCGGTGGCGAAGCCCTCGAAGGGTTGAATTCAGGATAACGGACACAACGAGTTGGAATTTCAAATTTTCGCATTGGAGAAGTTTCATGCTTCATAACAAAGTACCTTAATCTAACCTCATTTTAAAATATAACATGTTATTTGGGTTGCATACAATTCAACTGTCTGAAAAGTGTTTACCCACAATTTATTCTCCAGTCTACAAAAATATATTGTATGTCGTCGTTAATATCAATAAAATTTTAAAAATGCTTGTTCTCCGACGAACACAGTTTACTCCAAAGAACCGTGCGAATTTTTACATGACGAATGACTTTGCACCGTTTTCATGGAAGATGAAAGCTGTGTAGCGGTGAGCTAAGTGAAAAGTATAGTACGATGTCTCTCGAATGCCTCTAGCCACAAAGATGGCAAACGCCTGGTGTGTGTTGTCGGGGGCTAAACGCAATAAATCAATCATATTTTTTGCCAGGCTCCGCCACCAACGCCGCGAGAAAGTGGCCCCGCGCCACATTATACTAATGTGCGGTCCCGCGAGGAGTCGTTTGTTACAACCGCATGACAGACACTCGAATGGTTTTTCATGCGCGCGGCGCGAAAAACATGCAGCGTACAAATAGCGAGGAACCGCGAGGAAATGCATTATCGATGTGGTTTTGCAAAAAGTCAACAAGCACGAAGGGAAAAAAGGAAGTAATGCTGCTAAGCAAAGATAAGCACTAAATCATGCGTCAAGAAATATTACCATGTTATTCAAGATTGCTTTTCAGAATTATTTTGCGTGAAAAAATACAAAATTTTGAAAAATTGAAACAAAATTTAATTATTTTCAAGTCATAGAATGACACATCAATTTTGTAGAGCATAAGTTGATTATGATAAAACGTACAAAACAACAAAATGACTTCTGACGCGGTGTCAAAATGGATGACAATTGTTTTTGTATTTTTGGTTGCCTATATTGAAACTTTTGAACATAAATTTTATAAATTAATAGAAACGTATCAAAATATTATTGTTTCCTTAGAGCAGAATATGCTCCCTGGCTCTGTATGCAATTAAAATCAAGTGCAACATTTGCATATTAACGTGTTTACATAGTCCCCGGTTCACAAGCAGTTTTCTAATTGTTTGCAATATCACCATAGAAACACGCATACATTCCGCTCTGAAACCGCCGCGGGGCCGTTGATAAACAACTCCAGCACTACGACCCAGACGCCGCTGGGAGCCTCAAAATGATTCGTTTTCATTTCAATTTTAATGTTTGTAATGTCGGTGTCGCCCGCGTCGCCCCGACAGCACCCAACTTGTACGCGACAAACATTCGTAGCGACGTTTAATCGAAGCGGCGCGACGAGCGTTCGCTTCCCTCAGTATTTATTATTTACCAGTTTCTACCAGCCCGAGCACAATTGCTGCATTATTACGGTGTGCATTTACAATTTACTACACACTTACCACAAAACAAGAACATCTAGAATACTATACAGCGTTGTAAACTACTAAAATGGAGTTTTTACTACCGAAAAACAACAAAATGGCCGCCAAAATGACAAGTAAAGAATTCGTAAGTCACTTACATGTCACATTCCACACGAACACTGTCGATTGTTGTCGAATTATGTCGTAATAATCCTGCAACAAGAATATTTATTATTCTACAAGTAAAACATTAATAATTTTGACGTTTTGTTTACTTTATGAGCGCTCATTTGTTCGCAAGTTTTATTTTCGTCTTGTGATGATAGGAGAAGAACGAAGGCAAAGAAAGGAAGAGGAACCTTTTGTATCTGATGGAGGGATACATGCGAGATTGCTGTCTGCACGACGCTGCCGACGCTCTTGCGTCGGAGGCTCAATTGAGCAATCAATACGAACTGTGCGATAACGTAGATCTGGATATGATCCTGCTGGATTACAACGGTTACTATTACACGCGTTTCGATAAGTATCCGAAGATCGTGCGCCGGATTAATCAAAACAATGCCGGCACGAACGGGGCGGGAGCGCCCAAGAGACCCGGAAAAACAGCCGCCAGAGGGATTACGAATAAAACAACCTCGCCGCCGACGTCTGCGACGACAACTCCATCCACTACGTAAGTTAATAATTAAATATTTTATTTTCTAGATTAATTTTCACAATTTTTTTTTTAGAAAACAATTGGATTTACAAATAGGAATTACCAACTTAAGTAACAAAAAACCAGAGAATGAAATCTCATCGTCGATGGTGTCAGATGTCAAGGACAAGGATAAGGACGCAGATAATCGCAGCGCGGCGGCGTACTCGTCGCTGTGCGACTTCGAAGGATACTCGAGCGAATGGCGCGAAACGGCCGACTTAATTACGAAGGAAATTGTGAGGAAAAAACACGCGCCTCACATCTCCTGGTCGGACTGCGTGGGGTTGGAGCATAGCGTTGAACTGCTACGCGAAGCGGTCGTCTATCCGCGAGCCAGGCCCGAATGGTTCGAGGGCCTGCTGGCGCCCTGGAAAGGTTAAATTTATAATGATGATCCTTCGCAACGCCCTCTGCCGCATTTATTTCTGCGTCTACACGACGCCCGCTTTGTTTCGCAGCAGTTTGCCGCCCATTCTAGTCGGGAATTGCAGTTAGGGAAAGTATTAGAGCTACACTTGTATGATATAAAAAAGAAACGAAAGTGATCCTCAAGGAGAACGCACGCATACTCGAAACGAAGCTGAGATGGCAAAAAAACGTCGTTTTATTACTCGTTTAACTAAAACACTGCAATTTATATTTTTTGCCAAGATTTACTACCCTAAACGACCTTTTTTATTTCTTATTACCTCAAAGATAGGTATATTAGGAGATGATTTAAAAATTAGAGATTTTGTTTTACTAAGCATTTTATGCATTTTATGCACGTAAAATTAAAAAAGAAAAATGTAGGATAATTTTAAACACTTATAAATCCTTGCTTGCTGCCTGCTTACTATCGCAACTAATTTGAATTTATTTAAATTTGCATTCAAGGCATTCTCCTCTACGGCCCGCCCGGAACCGGAAAAACTCTCTTGGCGCGCGCCCTCGCCGCTGAAAGCGATGCGACCTTCATCAACGTGACGATCAGCACGTTCGTGAGCAAGTGGCGCGGCGAATCCGAGAAAATGTTAAAGGTCCTCTTCGACGTCGCACGGTGAGTAAATATTGTCGCATCTAGTTATCACACCTTTCGGTGCAAATCGCATAACTCTTATCCGCCTGATCGCAAAACATCCGCACAAACACACACAGAGCGAAAAAAACATGCTTACGCAAGCCAACAACCACACAACTCGTTTTAATTAAAACTAGATACTAGCCAAACAGAGAATGGACCATAATGCGGTGTAATTGGACAAACAGAGGCGCGGAATGCTCGAGATGTTGAGCGCGAGTTTCTTCGATGATCCCGGCTATCATTAAGCTCCCCCGGCATGGACGCAGCGTGGAATTATTCATTAAATTGCTTTATTTAATATTCCGCCGAGTGGCGCAGGCGGAGTTGGTTCATTATGGAATGCGCATGGTCTCAATTCGCAATACGGCAATTTGTTTTATCCTGCTTTTTTTTCACTGTCAGCAGTTTACCTATTGCTGCATGCAGTTCAAAGAGTGCTTTAAATTATCGTGCACACGAGGGTAATTTAATTAAATGGACATTTTCGGAAATGCAATTACTGTGATGCAATTTTAACTTAACATTATTTAAATTAGTGTTGAAATTAAGTAATTACAACACGCATTTAATTGCATTTGTGACAACATGAATGCGGGCACAAGTTGAGAGTGAAATATAAATGTAATTAGGAAAGTTTTAATAGCTAATAACTCGTTTTGCATATGACGGTGACTGTAATTGAAAAACTATTTAAAAAACATTGATGAAGGTGACATATCTTTATAAATCACATGAATTAATTTATTTCTGTTTTAAGTGTTTTTCCGAGAAAAAAAATAATTTTTCAATTAATACAAGGAAATTTTCTTTTGAACTGCATTGAATACGGTTGAAAATGATTTGTTTGACCTTTTGGTAGTCAAAAATGTATTATTTTAGCCAAATTGAAAACAATTGTGCATTCGGTTGCATAACTTGCACATAACCAACATTTCACGATGCGACAGCTATAAATTGGCAACAAGCAGAGCCAATTTGCGACTTTTCCATCAATTCCACCCATAGCTCGAGCGAGTATTAATTAAATTGCTTGTTAGCAGTTTTACTGTCATGCCCACACGCCCCATATGCTCTGCATGACTCCATCAATCGGACGCCATCAGGAAAATTGCAAAATATTAATTAAACCTCTCTTTATATCATTTTTATGAAAAAAAGTTACATCACAACGCAATTTTAATTTAAACTTTAATATTTTAACATTCCAATCAATAGATACCAGATAATTAATCCCATCAATGTAAACATTAATTTTATCAAGTTTCGTAAGTTTCTTATAGGAAAACAAAGTTTAATTTCATGTCCCAAGTTAATTGAAGTCAGGCGCTGCGCAAAGCTTTGAACCTGGAAGCCTAAAGGATCGAATGAATATACATAATCATAAATAATTTCCATATTTCTGATTTGAAGTGGATGCGATCGGGCGTTGATACCCTCTTTACACGGATATGCTTTAGCGTTAGAATTTCCATTTGAATATCATTTGATTCGATGTCGTCCGCTTCTGTCGGTCGGTTTCTTACTCAAACTCGTATTTGCATTCGCATTACACCTCGTTGAATTTCAAGATGTCCCTTATTCACCTCATTCACTCGGATGATCAAAGGTCACATACGATTCATTAATTCTGATATTGATTTCAATCACGTAATAAATTTATTGATTTATTAATATTCAACCTGCAAGACTTTATGCTTTTGTTTACAAAATGTGTAAAACTTATGACTTGTATTTTTTCGCCTGATTAAATTTCGATTATTTAGGAGCGTATTCGATGGAAAAATCAGGGCTTGATCTCTGAGCGTTGGATATTTCCGATCCGGCGTGGTTCTCGAGAGGGATTTCGCCGACCGGAAAGCGTTTCGCCGGCTTTCGGGCGCTCATTCGTATTCAACGATCGCGCGTCCGCTCGGTCTTTTGAGTGTCAATGAATTGGAAGCGGTGTGTCCTCGGAGACCGATCGGCATTTGTATATTTTATACGTTTATTGAAATTTGGTTTGTGCCATCAAAACTGTTGACAAGAAAAACTCAAAAAGCAAACATAACCTACGTATACTCGAGTATATAACCAATATTAATATTTAAGCTTGTTTGTTCTGTGGTGAACACTAGAAGAGTGAAATGTCAAAGTTGAAAATATGAGAAGCGAATATCGCGCAGAAGGGCAAAGGGAGCGTTCCAGCTCGTATCTCATGCGCAACGTCGAGGACGCTGAATCTTTATGCATCTGACCTTGTCGTTATCGGCTCTTTGTTGTCTCGCGATGAGAAGTGATCTTTTGTATTCGAGGGTGCCGGAGTGCTTTTAGGCCACACACGGCTATCTCCTTGACGGTTTGAGAGTTTTTATAGCGCAGGATCACAAACATTTATAGTTTACACACATAACCACACTTCGAAGGTGGCGGCTGTCAGGCGAACATTGACAGTGACAGATCTACTAAAATGGCGCCCGTAGTTATGTTGTTAGTTTGTATATAAGTTGTAGTCTCGGTGGCATTGTTGGTTGCGCTGCAACTTCCGGCTCTAAACTCAAACTCAGGACTCGAAGTAGAGATCCTGTGGTTTGAACGGGAACACGCCAGAGACTATTATTATAATGGTACGTACGTGACGGCAGCATGCTTCAAATATTCAAATTCGACGATCTAAACTGCATGCCTGCGCCAAACAAATAGCTTGTGTTTCGAGCGTAGATTGGGTTGCATACCTCGATGCACTTTAACATTTTGACGAATATAAATTTTCTGGTTTAAAATATCACAGACTGTATGCTCCAACAACGATATTCATCGACGAATTGGATGCGTTAGCATCGCGCCACGAAGATCAACAGCACGAGGCGTCGCGACGCTTTAAAAGCGAACTACTCATTCAACTGGACGGTCTGCTTCATGGCGGCGATAACGATGGCGTATTCGTCCTGGCAACAACCAACGCACCCTGGTAATCCTTCTTTTATCTCGTGTTTTATTTCGATTTTTTGCTGTTTGCTTGTTTGAGCGAATGCCCGGCGAGGAATGCAATTGCAAATACTCTCGACGCTGCTCACTGGAATCTTTTTTTGCAGGAATTTGTGCGGTGCTGTATTACGTCGCTTCGAGAAGCGCATCCTGGTGAGCGTTCCAGAGCAAAATGAACGCAGTGCACTCTTTCGATATTATTTCGACAAACATCCGGTGAATAATTTTGCCCCGAGCGATTATCAAACGATGGCAGAGGAGAGTGAAAATTTTTCCGGCGCTGATATTAAGCTTGTTTGCCGCGAGGCGGCAATGTGTGCGCTGAGAGAAAAATTATGTGAAATCGACGCGATAAACGGTAAAAAACAAAAATGCTACCGCACGAAATTTTAATCATAAGCATGCACAAATAATTCGAAAGTGTTTGACAAAAAGAACAAAGTGTTCCCCGAAATGAAAATACCTAACATGACGAACCGGCAAAAAGGCCCACCATAAAACTTAAAAGAAAACTCGCTCGGTTACAAATTCTTAACGTTCCGCTCATAACGATAACGAATTTTCCTCATATTAAAACTCATCTTTACGACGACAGACGCCCGTCGTAAAAAAAGTCCGGCCGCTAATAAGAAAATCTTTTTGAAGTTGTTTTTTCGGCGCGTATTTTCTTTTCACTGTAGTTAATCTTGTTTACGCGATGCATTCATCGGGGAAAATTAAGAATATTCAAAGATTCAAACATTCAAAGCATGTCTTAAATTGTATGTGTGTGTTGTTTGCAGATAGAAAGAATTCGAAATTAAGACCGCTTACAATGCGCGACGTCCGTCTCGCTTTGAGCAAGATTCGACAGACAAGCGACTTTGAGACATTAAAAAAGTACGCCAATTGGAAGGAGCTTTATGGCTGCGCGTAAAATGATGGTGGCAATGTCAGAAACTGCTCACAATGAAGAAACTATCTGAAAAGCAAAATGAAACGCGCAAAAATGTAAAATATACTATGTAAACGACGTGACAAAGTTGAGCAGACGAGATTCCGGTGAAAATTGCAAATTGCAAACATGAAACGAAAAGAAACAGCAAAAATTTTAAATGCAAATTGCACCATTGTAATATACATTGTATATTTTTATTTTATCTCCAGTAATTGCGCACAATTTATTTTCGTGCGTAAAAAATAAACTGTTGGAATTTATTTCGATGCTTAATTTTATGGTTGGCAAAAGAAAGAAAGCTCAGTGAACTCAGTGTACAGCCAGGAGAAAATTGATGTCGTACAAGTGCGATAAATAAATAAATAATGAAAATACATAAAAAACAAATTAATCAAATCTTAATTCAGTATTTTCTCATGTTTCAGTTGCGCAGCATTTTCCTGATGTAAATTTATGCAACTTAACACACTCCCAAAACATAAAAAGGTTCATTCACTTTGTAAACAAGAGTAGAAAAATGCGCTCATTATTCACAATGTAAGATAATGAAATTCTATCCGAGTAGGTCCTCTATTTTTCTATTTTCGTGAGCAAATGAAAGCCGACGTGCGAGGTGCGAGGTGCGAAATGAAAGAAAGTCAAATTGTAAATATGCCCTTCGTCCGCGCCGTTTGGCGTTTGTTCACACCGGAGTAGATGCATTGAGCAAACACCAGCGGCGCCAATCTCTATTCCATTTCGGAAGCAGTCTGCTCGAGCACTTTTTCAAACCGAATCTAATCAAGGTGTGCGCGTCGTCTGCACAAGTCGTTCCCGGCATTCCGAGCCTCGTTTGTGAGCAAACGTCGTTCGTTTCTCCACCTTACTCGCCACCTCCTCCTCGCTCGGCTTTTCTATCTTACTTCCAGCGTGAGTCTCCTGCTTTCAGGACAAACAGGACGTCGCGCTACGTTGAGTTCTACATGTGGCGTGCTGGACATCCGTCCGACATTTGTCTCCCCCCGCTTGTTCCCACTTTCATCCTCGATATGCTTTCACTTATATTATTTTATTATTTATGAAGAGGCAAGCAAGCGAGGCGGAAGTGTAAGGAACGCTAGTGGAAATGGCCGGAAAATGTGTTAGATAAATTACGTACGTATAAAAGCCAAAAATGCTTTGTCTGTAAAAATATCTCTCGGTATATTTAGATATAAAATGATTACTTCTAGAAGTAATAGTAAAATAGTTATCTAATGTTGACTTCACGGGCTTTTAGTTTTAGTTTTAATTTAAACTTTACAGCGCACGTAGAATAAAATATTAAACTTTGAAGATAGTGAGGAGCAACTGTGAGGAGTTGGAAAACCAACATCGGAAACAAACACTAAACTTTAGATGGCTGCAGTCGAGTGGAGTTGAAGATGAAATTGTGGGTGTAATTGACTTTTACGAAAACTACTGCAGTACTTTATAAATAACCAATATAAATAATAATAAATTTAGCTGTAAAAGAATAAAAATCGAATTTTTTTACGAGAAATTGAAAATGTTATTTCATCAAAATCTAATTTTTTAATTTTTTTTACAAAATATATTAAAATTTTGTGTTATTGTCACACTTTATGTTTTTAGACAAATTAATTCTTGCATTTGACGTGTGCAATACGTGCAATACCCGTATGTTTATGTCAGTAGCAAATATTTCACAATTAATTGGCTCGTCCAGCAACGATGCTCTCAGCCTCACTCGTTAATCCGGATTTCTTCCTCAACCAGCTTGATTAATTATACCCAACATCATAGATAACGCGCAGAAAAAACCATTATAAATGAGTAGGTGAAAACACACTGACGTAAAACAAAAAGTAAAATATTATTTCTCATTAAACCTAACAAATCACCGCAAAAAAATTGTTAAGTTTATTCAAGAGCAAATATTCCTCTAGACAGCTCAATTTGAAACGTCAATATTTACCAAATGCACACGTATTTTCGCGAATTGTAGGCTTTGATGGCTTGCTACAAAGCTATCGCATTACCGCAACCAACGTGCATTTCCGAGGATCGCGTCACGTGTCATAATGATAGATCACGCATCACGCATCGTGCACCATGCATCTGTTCTTCCGCATAGTGTGAGCGCCCACTGGCTCAACTATCAATGGCTGTCGGTTAAGTAAACTAATTAAACACAAATTTCCTGCAGCTAATTAATCTCAGCCGGTGCTGGTGCCGGTGTGGGTGGCTCGGACAGACCCAGCGAATCATTGGTATATGCATGATTAAACATCGTGGAATCGGCACGAGAGGAATAGAAATAGAAATCACGCGATGCGAATTGTGAAAACGGACGAGAATGAATATTTTACTGAAGGATTAATGGCTTCGCAAATCGAAAACATTAATATTCCAGCTGCTGTTTCCTTATCATCAATTGGATACTTTGATTATCTCTACCTTCAAACACGTCAATTTCGATTTTGTAATTTGTATGGAGACTTTAATTTGTTTTCATTGAGTTAGGAATAAAACCACAAATTTAATTTTGTAAAATTAAGGCAAAATGATTTTTAAATTATTATTTAAAATTGTTTTTAGGAAAAATAAACGTTTCTCTCAATTTTCCATATAATTTATGAATGAATATTGAATTAATTATTAAACTATTATGTAACTTTCAAAATTAATTATGCACATTCAGTAAATATATTTATCCTCAGAATGAATCAATATTTCATGGACAGAAGTTATTCAAATTTTAAATATTAATTAAATATGAAATAACTGCAGTTAAATACTTGGTAAAGTAAATTATTCAAGAAACAGTCTCGACAAATAAAGTAATAAATGAGTTTCTAAACTTAATGAATTTCTTTTAAAATGCTCTGCTGCATCAACTACTAATAATTTGTATAGAAAATTTCACCAAGGAATCTCTCCTCATAAATTATTCTGAAAGCACATTTTTCTTCTTCACAATAATGTAATAATAAAAAGTACGCACTTACTCTAAATATTATGTCCCAAAGTAATAAGCTCCAATGTTGTGCATTACAAAGGATTTGAAAGTACAGCTACAATGTGATATCGGATAATGCATCACAAATTTGGTATTCACAATAGAAACTTGGCTCGTATCGCTCACTAAAACTAATTACTGAATTTAATAATAGATAGCATTGACACAATACTGTAATAGAGTATTGTTGTAATTCTCAACAATTGTAACAATATAGGCAAAGAATTGTGTGAATAAAAGTAGTATTTAAATATACATTAAAAATGTAATTAAATTAAATAAAATTGCAGTAGCATCCCATTATTTTAATTAGTACTCAAAATCTCTAATTACAATTTGAGTAATTTACGATAATTAATTATAAAATTACATTCTTGTAACTGATTTTGCACAGTTAAAATACATAAATTTTAATGTATTTTATACCTAGTGATAATGAAAAATAAAATAAATTTACAATTTATTTTTTAATAATTGTGTCCAAATCGATGTCAATCTTATCGCATCACCAAAACCCTTACAAATGATAAGATCCAACACGATAACAAAGTAAATGACTTCCAGCTTCTTCGAAAATTTTCTACTAATCCGATTCCGAGGAAAACATACTGCCCCAGAAGCAAACGAGAGCAGAAGACACAAAGAGGAAATAATTGACGGCCGTTCGCTGACGTTATCGTCAGCAGAATTGACGTTATCAGAGAAACGAAGAAATAATGCGTGCGAACGGGTCAAAAATGTGCGAAGTGCTGTGTTTTACTGCGTGCTGCGACGATATAACATTTTCTTGGAAGACAAACGAGTTTTCTTTCGATGTCGGATAATCATTTTAGTATCCTTTCGAAATCACATATAAAGATTAACTTTACAAAGCTAAAAATAAAGAAATATCATTAAAGAAATTACCGAAAAACTTTTTTTGTAAAAGAAAAAGTCGGATATTCATTCACAAGCTTTTCGCTTAGTTTGTGGTACAAAGTTATATGCTCGGATCAAGTTTTATGCCTTCGATACTATTAGAAAAATCATCGCCGCAAATTTACGAGCAACGCCAACGATGAAAAGGTGGAGGCGCCGGGCGGCACGAGATGTGCGTACACTCCGGACGAGAATCACCTTTTAGGGACACGCTACGTTATAAAGATATAGCGATATATAACCGAGGCCTCTTTTCAGCCCCGCCGGCCACTATAAATCAGTACGTGATTATGACATTTCGGGCGCGGTTATTTTGTCGGTAGGTAACGGCGGTAACTAAAAATATCTCCGGGTGCTTCAGCTTGGGGCGCTTTTGTGTGCGATGTACCCGCCGGGGAAACTTTTGTATTCAGCGCATGCATAAACTCTCCATAACGATTACTTGCCCGGACCCTGTTTTAAATGCGGGGTAAGTGCGCGCCCTGCGTTTATTATACATACCTATATAAATAAGCTGTTAAACGAAAAAAGCCTACAAAAGCGAGTGCGACCCTAAAAAAATATACGAGCAAAGTGAAGCAATTAAAATCAAGTTTTTATTTCGCACAAATCCGAAATATATACTAAAAAAGCAATTTCTTGTCCAAAAATAACAAAAATCATTATTTTTGCTCTCTTGAAATAACGCTTTGAGTGATACTAAAATATCATGAGCTTTCAGCGTTAACACAAAAACAAAATAAAAACGGTTTGTGATTCCGTGATGCAAATGTTAAAGTTAACCTAGCTTTAAAGCATTGTGGGTTGCCTACCACTGAATTTGAAAGTCTTAAGATTGAGAATATTCGCCGATAAATATTATTTGTTATCATTCTATCATCACAGACTTGACCCATGCTTGTGGCTGGACGATTTAGCTTAAATATTGGTTTAGGCAAGACACAGAACCCTTTCGAAATCGAATGTAAATGCCATCAAGGGTTATTGATAGCGTAGCAATAAGGAACACAACGGTCAACATAACAGTCAACAATAATCGATACTAATCGTGAAAATACGAGCGATTATCCTCGCGATCCCAGTGTGTATTCTCCGGAGCAAGCTTGGCGGAGTCGTTTTATTCGGAATTTATTGATTCCTGCCGCTGCGTTTCGCTATTTCCAAGTTCATAATAGAAGAGGTAGTAACAATAAGTAATTGTTATCGGGGCCTAAGTGGAGAATAAATTAGTACTGATGGATTTAGTTTATTGGGTCGGGAGCAATTTGTCTTCATTATGCTTAGATTTATTGTCGGTAGTTAATAATACCCAAATATAAAAGCGGGATTATTTACCGTTGACAAGTGTTTTTGTTCGATTTATTATTACTCTCGTGATTTGCAGACAATATCATTATATTTAATTTAGATAGATGTCATTTGTCTCTTTCAGATATTCAGAAATTTTGCTTGTTTGAAAACAAAATGAAAGCTGATTTGACGTCAAACGCAAAATTTGTATCAGATTAATTTAAGCAGTAGCGTAAGTTGGCTTCATACCGTATTCAAATGTGGGAAATAAGGCAAAAAATCCTCATTAATTACTCCCAGTTTAATGATATTAAATTCCCCGCAGAACGCATAAACTCCCACCGCTGTTAAAGCCGAACAATAGTGCAGTCGCGCTATACCGAAATGTTTCCGCCTTTTGTTCGCGGTAAACAAGAGAAACTGAATATTAAAAAGACCACACGCGCACGAGTGCCGGATATAATCCAGGAAATTAACAGGAATAATGGGCGTAATTAAAAAGGCTTATAATTAATCATGCAAACTTTTTAAACTAGGGTTATATAAGCGCAATAAAAGTTTAACAAGTTTCATAAAGAAAAAATAATGATTGACTTGAAAAAACGCATAATTTTCATGATATTCAATCATAAATATAAAAAATATAATAAAAACTTACCAGATAATCCATTAATCAAAACAGTGTGGCCATGAAAATTCTGAAACATAAAAAAAATTATTTAAAAAAACACTATTTAATGTATTTAAATAGAAAAACATTTTAATTTCTTCAAAAAATATATTTGACTGATGGCGGTGTTAAAAGTGGCGGAAACACGTGGTAAACTAACCCGATATCAACATCAGCCGCATAATATTAATTTTTATTGAAAGTAATAACATTTAATAGACGCAATTAGTGTGTAATTACCGCGCGCTGAGCAACTCGCGCGTTTCTAGAGATTGCTAGTTGGGTTTATTTCTCGGCGAAGCCAAAACCCAAGTTAAATAGCAAACTTAATATAAAAATATATAATGGTTATGTAGTTTAATAAAAAGTTTATGTATGAAATCAAATTTATGATATAAGTATTTCTATTTATATATAATACAAATATACTACCAAGATAATTTTAATCTCCTCATTCAAACCACAAACAAAATTAGTAATATTTTAATCATTCTTTTAAATTGTCAATAAATTTTGTACAAATCATGATAAAAACCTGGTTTCTGTACCAATTTATCTTTGTTTCCTACGTGATTAACGAATAAAACTGAATTAATTACCTACTCAGTCATTCCCTGCTCCTTTCAACTCAAACCCAAACAGTTAATTAAAATTCCCAATCACATCAAAATGTATTTACAGTAAATTAATATTGAAACGTGTTTATGTAATAACAAAACAAACCTAAATAGCTTAACTTGAGCCCCAAAAAGCCGGTTATATCCACCAATAGCACCGAAAGCTGAACATTCATCAGAGTAATGCAGCGTGACGCGCAAGTGCGCAGCGACGCAAAACAATTAAAACAAAGCCGCCTGAGCAAACAACCGGCAGTATCATCAGCAGTATCAACAGGATATGGACGACGACGCAATATTAGTCAACTGCGTATCGATACACCTTCGATGATTTCGATGATTGTGATATCGCAACCGCACCACTATAACATCGAGAATCCACATCGGTAAGCTACAATGATAACAAACACAAACACAAACATCAACAGAAACACACCATTGCATAGACTACTGATTGCATGAATATATTATATGCAATATACAAGGATGATTTTTTTAGCTTCTGGATTGCGCGTTTATAGCAGCGGAGTTATTATTAGATAATATAAATAAATTCCGCGATATCGTTATTGAATTCGCAAGGTTTAATTATAACGCTGCAGTTGGTACGCAACGCGGAACTAATGTTCATTTAATACCAAATTGCAGTAAACATTACGTTTACATAATGATTATATTCATTTTTTAAATATTTTGCATGCAGTTATTAATATCCAGAATTAGTTGATTATATTTACATTGTAGAGCAATAAAGTGAAAGCAGAAAATTAATTTTATATAAAAATTGAGTTTTTTGTGTATACTAACATGAATATTGCATTTTTAAATTAAAAAGTATAAAAATTAAGAGTTGTTATGTACCTATAACTAATATTTTAGTAAAATTTTCAAGTAGAAAAATTCATTTTTCAGACAGAAATTTCAAAAAAACATTGTTTTCACTAATAAATTAAAATCTATTGATAGCGTTTTATAAATCATGTCATCACTCTCCTATTCATATTTTCTGATTTCACCTTGATGTAAAAATACACGATTTAAAAATAATCCAATCTTATAAGTATGTTTACACATACTTCTCGCTTTTCTTTTTTAAATTTAATTTAGTGCCGATAGATAAGTGTGAATTGTTCACGCGCAGCAAAGGCATGCTGAAAAGGACAAGAGAGTTACGAGAAACCATACTAACGCGTTGATTTATATATCAATCAGTCTGGCGCTCGCCTCGAGGCGTTCGGCGCGCGGCGCGATCGCAATTAGCACCGTCGACGCCCACGTCTTTCGTACAAGTGCGCAAAGGAGGCGTCAATGAAATCTGTTCGCCGGCAATCGCCGGTCCGGCGGCGGGGCGCTAAGTGATTCCGCTAATTAAATACATTAGTTTTACACGTTTGCAAACATTGGGCGCGCGAGGCGTGCCGATGGTGCACTTCGACACGGGCGCTAATAAGCGTTGCGCAAATAAACTGTCCGGAAGAAGATGATTTATGTTGATGATATATTGATTTAACGCCTTCCGGTGCACTAGTTTAATATTTTATCACATTCTTACACATATAAATCGTTGATATGATTAGTTTGTCAAAAAATCAAGTTTTTCAATATTTTACGCTCGAAAACAAGCAAAAATTTAATTTATTTTTTCTTAAAATGTTAGAATATTCATACAAACGACACTTTCATCCAAGTTTTATGACTTTGAATAATATAAACTTAATATTGAAAATCTTTGTCTTTTTTCCAAGTAAAAGTTGTTTGAAGGTAGATACTTGTTGAAGAAAAGTCGAGAGCGAAGAAAATTCAATAAACTCGATATTTGCGCACAAGCCCAACACGTCGCCGCCGAACGGAAGACATAACGACACGTACGTCGCGTGCGAGCCGGAAAAAACTCGGAAAACTCAAGAACGACATGCACGTCGCACACTTCCCAAATGTGTGTCCGCCCAATGTCGCGTCGTGCACAAAACACGTCGAATGTAACGTGTGCGAAGCATGTAATGTAACTAACTCTTAACTCTAACATTTCCCTCGCTCTGAAGGATAACGCTTCAAAGAAACCCGCTCGCAAGTTTACTCGAAAATGGTGGCAAACGCGCCGAAATGAACCGTGCACATTGTGAAAACGTTAAACTCTTAAATACACGTCCGTACTGTTCCGTTTCTTTCAGAAATCTCGCTTTCACATCTTTATATTTAGGTTTATCGGTGGAATGGAAAATGTACCACGCAGATTAAGCTGTATGGCAGGAAGAAAATGAAGAAAAAAAACATGTCATGCTGTCAAAGGTATCAAACGGATACCACGGCTTTGATTTGCATGTTTTTTTCTCGCTTTTGCAAAAAATGGCTAGCTAAAAATAAAACCGATCAGTGATATGAACAATTTTCTTTTGATTTTTTTTTGTTTTATTCAAAAATGATCAAAATTATGTTTTTTCAAATGTATTCAAACCGAATAAAAAATAAAAATAAAAATTTTGCTTTGATAATTTGAAAAATTGTTGCGATACATAGCAATTTTGAAAAAGCACACGATGATAAATTAGATTTTTCAATGGATCGCATTTATCTGTCGAAATCCACGAGAAGCATAGTGCAGTTTATCCGCGTCGCGCGTTGCGATTTTTCCGGTGCTTGTCAAATCGTAAATCGTAAAATTGTCAAATGTTTCTCATCGCATTCTTGTAGCGTACGAGGCATTACAATGCTGTACAATGCTTTCCAGTCTAGTAGGAAATGCATCCGATGCATTCAATAAAAATCAACTCAAATGTCTCTAGAAACATCCAAAGAATTCCAGTACAAGTAAAAACTATAACAAAATAAAACAAAAATGTCATACAAATGCTGTGAAATATTTCAGTTGTTTATCAACCAAGACATTAATGCTACATTGTTAATATTAATGTGAAAACAACAAAAGTAAACATTTTTTTGTAAAAATAATTTGAAAATTTGTGTAGCTCGAACTTTATACAAAAAAGTAAGTAAACACATAAAAATCAATATCGATGAATATTTGATTTTCATATTCCTCTTTTAGGGTATTTTACCCCATATTTGTTTACTCAATCAACCAAATATTGTTTGTCTTTGATGTGTGGTCTACAAAATACACTAAACATTTTTTCCCGTCCACAAATCAAATATAAATCGACGGAAATTTATTTCCAACAAATTTTAATTTCATCCCTGCACCGTAAAAGATGTAATACCGCATAAATAACATATTTTCTAAAATTACACCAGCGGAAGCTTTACTTGATCATTTTCCCTTGGCGCTGTAAATACGTCGAACGCAATTAAAAACGAGACTTGTTTTTAATTTTGCACGCCAAAGTCTCTTCCACCCTTTGGAGCGTTGTACACGCCGTCAATACAATGCGTCACAGATGTTGCTGTTGCTGTATATTTTTTATTTCAACCAATTTCATAGCGTGCGCAGCATAACCGGGTGAAAAACTGCGAGAAAATCGAAAAGTCCAGTTAACGAACGGTTATTCAATGTGACGTTTAATCAGTGCACATGGAGTATACAGAGGCTCTCTCCTATGGTGCACGAGGCAAGATATAACACTGCACGTGGTTGGTTGGTTGGTTATCGCAATAACGCTAACGAAATAAAAACACCAACTTACAAGAATCAGCGGAAAACTCGCAGCGGGAGTGCAGAAACACGAGTTTTCAAGGAATTAAATGTAATTTTCTCAGATTTGACCCTGGCATATAATGTAATTTTGTACAATTCGCTTCGACGGCCGAAGACCGTAGACTCGCAATTCGATGAATGGTTACATCGGTTTCATTTGGGAATTGCGCGCGCGCTCCCAAGGCAACGGAAACCGCAGCAAACTAAGAAAATAACGCACACACTCATGCACGTCACGTACGCGCAAGTCAATCAAGGATAGAAATTGAAAGAGTGCAAAAATGTGGAGAAAAACAACAAGTGCAAAGAAAGAAAATGTATTACCCTTGCAAAAAAATGATTTTAATCAACAAATTGCATTAATAAATTCAAAACAAAACGAAATACAAAAATTAAATCAAATGATATGCATGATATGCAATTATAGTTTAGCAGCATGATGTAAAATTCAATCGGGTAAAAAGTTTCAACTGGTTGACGAGTCCAAAGTTGAAAGTTTTTGCTCACAGCAGCTTTTTACCCGAATCAGAAATGACAAACTTTTCGAAATTAAATTGGACCTGGGACAAAGCGCATAATCCAATTTGGGAATTGAAAGCTTTTCAGTTTCATAGCATATATTATGCATAAATAAAATATGTACCGGTATATTTCCCAATTACTTAATTAATTTGCGTTTGTTGAAACGTGTTTTAACCTTCAAATAATTTCGGCCGCGTCGTTAGGAAAACTTTTAGAAGCTTAGCTTCGATGCGCACGCAGTGGAGAAGGCGGTGAGAGGAAGTGCTGATTATGATAAGCGTTAATGACGCGTGCAGACATTTCATGATTAAATGCTTCCGGGCGCCACTTCGTGCAGATTGCAATTAATGCAAAACCGATTTCTGGCTTATAAACTATGATGAGATATCGATATGCCTAATATTTTAGTAAAAAAAAGTTATGAATTATTCGAAAATTAACGTTTAATTTGTGCACGATTGCTATTCATATGATTGTTTACAGCAAATAGTAATTAACTTGATTATTATTTACGAGCGCGCGTTCGGCAAGTCGGTCATTTGTTAAATTATAATTAGTGCGTAATTAGCGGTGTTTATGTTTGGTTCTGTAGGCGTAATGGTGTGTAGAGAACCAGCCGGAAGCGTAAAGCAATTAATCATCGACGGACGCCATTTTCGTTATTTATTACAATTTGCAATCTGCAATTTGCATCCAACTGCAACTAAACATTGCCTTTTTGATTTATGTAGTTTCAGTTCTAGGTTATATCAGTAGTGCGTAGACTACGCATAGTAATCATATTTTAGAGAAAATAGGCAACCCAAAGTGGCTACTCCAAAGCAGTCTTTTTTAGGCAACGCTTTCAGTTGCTTTAATAATCACTAAAACCTTGTACACATAATTAGATCTGGTGGCAACAAAGTGACGGCATGTACGCTCTGGGCCCCCGGGAGAGTCCAGTTCTGCGAAAAACGAAGTGCCCGAAAAAACGAATCAGAAAAGTAGCGCGTAGATGCAAAAAAAAAGCGAACCACTGCGCCACCGCGCGCAAAGAGTGAACATTTATTAGGTTACACACTTTTTCAGCCTGCGTTCATCTACTCTATGTGTCACTCGCGTACAAAGGAATGAAATTTATGCCTAAAACTTATTTCTTGTCAGCGTACAGCGTAACAAACGTGATTAATTAATTCACCACATTTATCACCAACCAAATTAAAAATATTCGAAATATTTATTGCTTATATGCCGTAAAATTAAATATAAAATAAATTGTTTGCTATAAAATATGAAATGGTTTGTTTACGCTTCGGATTTTACGGTAGCTTGACTTATAGTTTGTTTGTTTGGTTTTAATTCCACTGTTTGTCGAGAAAAGAACGACAAATGTGCGTCGTTTATTCCCTGAGTGGCTGCTTGAACATTCCGTCTTCTGCCATCGAATTGCACTGACTACTGCACGGCGCTGTCAACATTTAAATGACGCCAGAGACCGACGCAACCGAGTGGAAAAGCAAAATGCTAAGCAGAACCGATGCGATGCGAAGTATAAAAAAACACACGACGACGACTAAACGACCGCCTTGCTGCTAGGCAACTGCAGTACAAAACCACGCTTCATAACATGCATTTATGCCTGCTGCGTCGCGTCCGCTTGTGCAATCGATGCCCAGCTTCGAAAAACTTGTGGCCATCCTTTCGAGATTGTACAATTTTTCTATGCCGTCGCGTCCCCGACGTCTGACATGGATCCATTTGCTCGGATTTTCACATTGTAGAAAATGTTCGAAATGTAAACAAAATCAAACATTTCGATGCGTATATAAAATATATAAAATGTTACAGATAATATTTCACGATAACTAGAATGAAAATTCTATCGCCGACGCGATCTATTTTTGGTATTCCGTTTGATTTCACATTTGAGAGACGCGCAGAAATCGGGGCTGCTAGTAGCAATTTCTGATATCGAAGAAATGCGGAACAAAAAGAAGGCGAAATTCGTGCTCGAACGCTCGGAAACGTGTAATACGATTATTTTTCGCGCGTTCTTTTCCCCCGCTGAATATTACCGCCGCAAATGGTGCGCTCGGCCGAAATTAAAGTGGAAATCAAAGTGGAATTTAAATGAATTACAAGCGGCGGGATGTTCCAATGCGTTACAATCGAATCAAACTGCGATAAAATCCCCATAACAATCGAACAAATCGCAGCGAAACCCAAAAAGAAAAAAAGGAAAATATATGCGCAGAATAATATTCCGGAAGGTAAGAAATAATTACACTTTTAATTTACAGCACCTGACGAATGGGTAATGAGATAACCTCAAAACGAGAAATAATTATCGTTGCGTTCGTTACGTGCGCTCGTCGTTAGTTAGCGCGCACGAATGTTACACTGATTTGATGTGACATTGGAAGAACCACAACACGCCCGCCGAACGCGCAAGAGGCGGCGTGTCGCAAGCGTTAAACTTTAACGATGATAATTAAATTTTAGCAAAATTCTCAACTCGACGAAATTTCCCTGTAATTACTAGCATTATTACATATAGTACTTAAGTAAGTTCGATACAAGACTATACTTCGTGTATAATTATTATATTAAATATTTCCGCGTTTAAATTGATTGAAAACACTCGTAAGAAACAAGGAAAATTGAAAAAAATACTCGTAATCCTTTAAATTCGCAGAATTTGATCTAGTTTTAAACTATTTTTCAAATTAAGTAAACGTAAGTAATTTCTAGTCAACCTTGGAAAGCATATGACGTTTTAAGCGTTGGCGAAACGTGTGTTTGCTCGAGGAATATTTTTTCTGAAAAAGACAGCGCGCAAATATTATTTTTGCAAACATCAACGTGTCCCCTCGAGTGAATTATTCACACCTGAGAGCCATTTCGCTCAATGTTGAATGAATCAGAATAAATCATGTTTCCATTTTCCAGTTTCCAGTTAATAATTTCACATTTTCATTTTGGTTCATAAAACATAATTATTATTAACAAATATATAAAAAAACTGCAAAATAGAAGTAAAATATTAAATATTTTCTTATGCAAACACTTGTTATACACGTTTTCATATTAGTTTCATTTTCATGTTCTTATTCTTCGGACCTGAGCAAACCTGGCCGTCGCATGAATAGAAATAACGAAATGGCGAAGCGAAATGAATGTATTATACGCGTCTGGCGGTGTCACCTCAAGGTTCAGGCTTTATTTTTTTCCACCAGCTCTCAATGCAACGCCGGCCCGTCCTTCGCAGGACTCACGTAGGCAGGCGTCGCGCCCGAATCGTGACATATTCAAGGTGGGAGCGCTCAAAAAAGCGCTCGGAATAAAAATGCAAAAAAAGATATCACATTCTTTTTGCCCGCATGCTTCCTGCCCATCCGCGGGGAATTCAAAGCTGCGACGCGCCAAATCTTCATACAGATTTTGAGCTCTCTTTTTGACATTTTGATATGTTGCATCAGGGTGCCAAATGTATATTTACACAAAAAATTACAACCAAAATATTTCGTCCATAATTTTCAAAATATTTTTATAAAAATTGAAAATTTCCTTAAAATTCCATTTGAAAATAAATATTTTCACGCTACAGCAATTTAATAATGTATATTTTTCAAAACGCAAGGTTTACTCAGCTGTAATTGCTAATTTGTCTCCTTAATAACTTCCCAGCGTACGTATACGGTCGTCAACTCTTTAACTGCAGTAAAAAAATATTAATAAACTCGTCACTCAGTACTGGGGCGTCTCTCGACGAGATGAGCGAGAGCTTTTAATAAACACGTTACGTGACTGTGAAATGCACTCGAAATGAAAGAGGTGCAAGAAAATGAAATAGTAGCATGCTCGTAAAGATGCAAAAATGCATGCATTAACGCGCACGTAAACAGATATAAAATTCACAACGCGCACAACCTTAATTGCCAGCTGTATTCATCAACAAATGTATTTTTCCTTAATTTATCTGACATTTCAATTTAAATTAATTAGATTTTGCAGGGCTACAAATATAATTATGGTCAATTATTAATTATATTTCCAGTGAATTATTTTTGTGCATATTTTTATTCCAATTTAGACTGTCACATTGATTTGTGAATTCAGTTAGTACTAACGTGATTATATTTCGTAATAAAATGTGATTACATTTTGAACAAAAAAAAGTATATTACCTTTAGGTCTCTTCCTTTGAAATCCTTCTCGCCTGCAAGTATCTGTAACAAACAATTTTAAAATGAATTCTTTACATGTTTGAGAACTCTTGAAAAATCATCAGCTTTCAAAATTTCAATATCAAAAGCTGTAAAACTTCTATTATTACCATTTTATTGTCACTTAAAAAAACACAAAAAAGCAAATAGCGTTAAAAGATTTAATTAATGGCGTTTCGCAACAGATTGACAATCCTTTTGTGCAAAATTTTTGAAATTGGTTCCAGGGAAAACAGAGTCGCGAATTGGGCGCACTCATGTGCATGCAATTTGTGAAACAATGCAGTTTGTGATGGCGTGCACGCCCTTTAACCTCGCCTGTACGAGTTGGTAGGTACATCGATTCAAAATTACTTCATTCAGGTGCCCGCTGCACATCTACGCATCACTTTGTGCGCGATTGTTGAATTCTATTTTGACCGCCGGAGTACGCTCGAGTGCGCACGCGTTCAATGTGGTCCAAGCGGGTGTAATTCCGCGATGGTGGTTCATTTAATTGAAGCAGCCGGTGTTCCATTGTTCGTAATTAATCAGACGACAGACAGCCGCTGTTGAAATAATGGTGAGATTATTTAAGCTGAGAAAATATTCGCAAATCTCATTGGAATCAAAAACAAAACCAACTCAAAAAAAATTAAAAATTATTCCTGATTTTATTTTTGGTTAATTTTTAATAATATTGTAAAATTTGTATAATTTCTGTTTGCCAACAAGCAGACCAATACTGAAATTGGCTTAATTACAAGATGACAGCAAGCAGCCGGTCGGAATGCGACCGCTGGCAAGTCCATTCCGGACAATACGGAATGCAAGCAATTATCCTCATAATTATGCCACCATTCCGAGAACGACCGCAGTCGCGTCATCAACACAATCCGAGCACTTTTCGGAAAGTTTACAAATATTCCGCATTCACATATACCTACTTTATTCAGAGTGTGAATGCACAAGTTAATTTCAAACGCGCAATTCTCATCTTTCATCTACATCTAGATCCTGCATTCGACGCATTCTCATCGACTTTCTGCGCGCAATTTGGATGCATTCCAACCACAATGGTGGAGGCGCCAGTGCAGCAGCAACAGCAGCGGCGTCTGGAATACTTGATTCACGATTAAGCAGATAGTAAACGCGGTATTTAATCCGCTTTACACAAGCGACAAAACGAGTAAACGTTGTGTCAGAATGTCGGAGGCAGCGCTTGTGGCGGCGGTTGCGTTTCAAGCGCAATTTTAATTTTATTACTCACTAAAAGAGACGATTTAATATTCTATTTATAACTGTTCGTGTTGAAAAGAGATTATGAAAATGTGAAAATTAATTAAATTGTAGTAACAGAGATTGTGTGACATTGTGACGCACGAAATAAAACGATGAATTATAATTCTAAGATAAGATTAAAGAGTTTTTAACCATTTATTTGTTGGGCACACAAAAGTAAACTTGAAAGTAAAGTAGTAGCTAGCGTGCGGTCGATGTAAAACTCGCCGCTCCGAAACTAATTAACCTTTTGTTTAATTAAACATTTATTACTGGATTAATACGTATAATTAATCTTTGAGGGAGCGCCTGGGAATTCTACTTTTCCGTTTACTCTATACCAACTCCTTTGCTCCCAAAAGACCCGAACTGCCCAGCGCGGTTGGATTGTTAGACTCGTTGTGTTCCTGCGATCTGAGCTGGACTTTGAGTAAGCTCTGAAAGCTCAACCTCCACGCCTCCGCTGCCTCCACAGGCTTTACTAACTCTCAAGGCTTTGAGCTTTGGAGCTCAGGTGAGATCGCAATCGAACCATAGCATTGGGAACCGCTACAAAAGTAACGCACTAGTGAGGGAAGATCAGCGACCACAAAATCCGTTTGTTTCCGGCATGCAAACGATGAAAACAACATGAAAACTCGCTTGAGTGAGAATAGATTCATTATCTAACATACGCAACAAAAGAAGATGAAAATAATAGAAAAGAGTAACTGGGAGCAACACACCACTAACACATTTACGCAGGGTGTAAATTTGCGTGCAGAAAGAACACGCAAGAGGAGGCTGGAGAGAAACTTGGAGCTCATGAATTATTCATCGTGAAGCGTGCGGTTTAAATGATGCGGACGTTAATATTTTGTTATTCCGTTTGTGTTTTTTTCTTTCTTCATCTTACTATGCTCGTTTCGTGCTAAATCGACAAAAAACGTAGTGAATTATTCAAGAAACTTAAATAAGTTCAAGGAATAATGTCTTTTAATTTATTTCTGATGGAAAATTTTGGAACTAGAGCTTAAATTTGGCTTAAATGCATTGGTGCAAAAACCTGTTGTGTCAAAACCGACGTAAATACTAACAAAAACACGTGGATCAGGCCACAGGAAGAAAAAAAAACAGAAAGTGTCAAAACGGTGAAAGCTCCATGCCCCTGAGCTACTCAGCTTAACCAAATGTTTTCCATTTTACAGAAGTTCACAAAAAACTCAAAATATATACAGTATGTTCTCAGAAATAAAAAAAAACTCTGTAAACACAATCATCTTCTTCTTCTTTACTTATTTATATTTAATCTGTATGATATTGGAAAGGAAATATTTTACTTTTCCTATTTACTTTCATTTCCTATTTTATCTGTAACCTGAGAGACTTGAAACAATGTGTATTATCAACACAAAAAACCGTAAAGTAACAAAAAATACAAAACAAACATGTACGAGGCACGTTTTTCGTTTATGCTCACGTTGGTTCAGTGTATTGGAAGACGGAAATTGATAAACAGACAATGCGCATCCACCGCGTTTACGGCGCCTTCACCACGAACAGAAAAACAACCAGTTCACAATGTGTCGTCGCCTCGTCGTGCAAATGCGATCTGGCTGGCATTTACTTCGATATTCAATCATAAATCAACCCGCCAAATATTGGGTTTTTTCCTAAATTTAAAAATTAATTAAAAATTAATTTCAATTATTTCTAAATATTTAAACAAAAATAGAGTTTGTTTTATTTTTTTCCTTTAAAAAATTTAAAATTCCTACCTAAAAAACCCAATTAATGTTTTTTTCGGATGTCTCCTAATTATTTATCACCTTTTAATCCGTGACTAATTAATTACTGCCAATTGGCAGCCAAAATACTTCAAGACCTACCTAATATTTCATTCATTAAATTTGTGCGCAAATAAAAAATACAAACAAAGAAAAACTTAATTACCGCTTAGGGCTGTAACTCAACGCGTTAATTAGTCGCCGAGCGGTATACGCCAAAAACTTTGGCAGATTTTGGGGACACATAATTCGGAGTATTTTGCGTGCGCAAGTTGGCGAGTGAAGTAAGGTCCACAGTACTCTTACAACTGGGAACTTTTTTCTGGTTTCTCGCTTGTGTCGTTTTGCCAAGTTCGCTTGCTTTTTCACCTCATTTGCGCAGTTGTTTATCGCCATTATTTTCAGATGAGCAAAACTTTTTGCCCGCCGGCAAATAAACGAGCGTAACATTTACACTCAATGGTGTGTTTTAACTTTTTTCATACAGTTTTATTTTGATGAAAATATTTCTTATAAAAGGACTAAATAAATAAAATACGAAGAAACATTTTCACTTCATTTTCATATGTCAAAGAAAAAGTTGCTTTTCACGCGTAAGAAAATATTTTTAATTAGTTTTCCTTGAAATTTTAATCATTTGTTGCATGTTTTTTAATCTTTGTTACATTTTAACCCTTTGCTCCTCATTATTTCTTCGTTTTTTAAAAGCACGTCCGCCTTTTCAGTGTCTCACGCCAGCGCGAACAATATTCTCATACTTTGTTTGCATTTTTACGTCTTGCACGTTTTATACCATGCTTTCTAGTTCTCGCCCTGACTGCTTTTTCACGCCGCAAGTATGCTCGGTACGTGAGTGTGTACCTACATCCTAGACTAGCGCGGTATTTTAGTTTATTTCTGCACGTGCTGTTGTGTCGTCGGCTGGAACGCACGCCTGCATATAAAGTAAACGAACATAAAGCAGCCCACCGTGCCACCGATGCGCCGGCCCTTAATTTCAATAGCGCCGTATTGTGAAAAGGAACGTAAAGCGCAAAAGCCCCAAAGCCCGAAAAATGCGAAAATGTCTGGGTGACGGGAAAAACTGCGCATGGACGCGTTCGTAAACAAAAGCTTTTCACAATGACAAAATGCGAACTAAAAAAAATACACTCGTTGTGATGGGCAAAAATACAAAGCTCTGTTTTCTTTTCATTTTACACCTACGGGAATCAATATAATTTATGAATACATTTTTAAAACACAAAAGATTAATATTCAGACTGTTTTTTTCGGATAAATCTTATAATGACACGATTTTTTGCACTTTCAATCCGTTAAAACTTTAACCACGTTACTGCACTTTCGAAAAGCTTTTAGTCTTCTTTCAATATCATTATAGCGAAATAGAGCTTGCAAAAAACCGGATTAGCATCACCAAAATAATGTGTTATGACAATGTAAATTAAAAAAGTAAATTTATTACCAGGAATATAAAATAAATCCTGAAACCTACAAGTGATTGGCAGTATGTAACCGAATCTACACCGGTCTGTAATAGGATTTTGAGTGCTTGACATAAAATTGTTATTCATCATTCTCTCAAGCGCATTATAAACACATAAATATAAAATTATTACTTTTACCTGTATCAACTCGAAAAGGCTATTAAACCAATCACCCACATAATGCAAATAAAAGCGTTGAAAATGGTACTAAAAATGTCATAAAATAGTTTTTGGAAAATCCATTCATCAATAAAAACCAATAAATCAATAATTTCATGAACGTTTTTCGTTATATTATATAATGATATGAATAAAATTTAATATTTTAAAAAATTTAGTAAATTTAATTTAAATTTGAATGAATTAAAAGAAAAAACTAATTTTTATAAACACCTGCAACATAATTATACATTCTTTAATAAAGCGGTGAAAGAAACTGTTTATTTCTAATTGGCTGTAAATATCAGCCGGAAATAGGCAGTAACTGCACGAAAAACAACAACAGCGCAACATTAGCCGCAACAGTAAGTTACATTTTAATTTTCTTAAAAGCCGTTTCGTCCTTCATGCCTTCTGCTTTCATTCCGACGCCTTTTGTGCAAATATTGTATTGTTTGTACCTTTTTTTCTTCCTTCTCTTAACCTTCTTCGCCTTTCCGTTTGCATTTTCTTCTGCTACGTTTTTATATAAATTGCTAGTTTTATAGCTTTTATTACTTTCTATTACTTGTAGTCTTCTATAAGTATTTGCACGCAAATTGGTAAATAAACGTTTCATAATAAAAGAAAAGCTTATTATGAAAATATAAATTATAGTAATTGCCTACATAATATTTAAATCAGTTAATTACACAACAAAAATAATAACAATCTGCAAAGTTTTAGTAATAAATCATTTTTACTGCATAAAAACTGTAAAACACTTAGCATTTTTAGCGGAAGAAGATAATAACACATTATGAAATAATTAACTTGAAACTCGTAAGTATTTTGCATTTACAAATTGCAGCAAAACCTAATTTATTCATTACGCATGAAAAATGGCTTGTTTGCGCCTTGAGAATCTAAAAGCACTCGCGCGGTAACAGTTATTAATGTAAAATAGTAGTTATTAATGTTGCGTCCAAAAACGGAAAATTACAAATTGCAAATAGTGAAAAACCACAACCACCACCACCGGCAGCGGCGGCAAGCTCGTAAGCTATACGTAAACACATTATACAACACAGCGCACCGCAGAGAGTATTAAAATGTACGAGTGGCTCATTAATCATTTTCGCTCGCGAGTGCGGGCGATTTTTAAATTAATCACTCACCCGACCACCGCGGCGCCGCGTAAGTAGTCGCGTCTCGCGCAATACATTTTAATTTAATCATTCAATTACGTTTGTCATAATTCGCAATTTTCCACCGAAAAGAAACGCGCGCCGAATTTCAAGTGGAAGTAAGCCGATGAGAAATTGCGAATTGGGAATAACACCGCGCAACTTTTAATGCATTTGAAAACACTTTGTGTGTGAGAAGAAAAGAAAGCAGTGGGAAAAAAGTTTAACGCGTAGTAAATCATCTAAAAGCAAGGAAAAAAATATTTTTCACTTCGCAAAGAAATCAAAAACAAAAAGAAAAAAAAAACTTACCAAAGAAAATTTATTTCGAACTGTAGAAATTCGTAACTTGGAAATTGTGAGAGACTCAACAATATGTTAAATGACGCAGGTTGACAATTAATATTAATTAAACCTAAAGTCCACCCGGACGTAAAGGGTATGATAAGCTGAAATCCGTGTGTTTGTAGCGATTTCAACCTGCCAGGCGCGTTTCCAAAGGCGTAATCCTTGCGCGTCTGTTTACGTCTTTCTGTTTCTATTAACATAACAATGCAAACCTGCGGTCGAAACCCAAGCAGGCCACGTGTGTACTTAGGGCACCGTTTATGCTGTGCTTTCATGCGTGCAATTGCGAGAAAGTGACACTGTTGCAATGACAAAGTAAGTACGTACAAATGTAAATTGGGTTGCCTAAGAGCAGCGCCACCTATAAACATTTCCATTGCGGGGTTGTTAAACCAACCGCATTCCGCGCAAACAACAACAGATTAAAAGTTGAATAACACCTGACACGCATTGTGACGGTAATCTCAACAAATATCCAGCGTAAATGTTAAATTTAAATGTTTACATAAAATTAAAACTAAACTTTGCTCTCAAGCAAATCTAAAATATTTACGCAGCGAGTTCGAACAAATCACTCCTGACAAGTTCGAAATTTGCTGCGAAGCAATTTACAAACAAAATAATGTCGCCAGTTCGTCCACTCACTCGGGCTTAATTATTAAATTTGCTTTTATCGGTGGTGTAGTTAGATCGCTCCATCAGCGAACCCTCTCGACCCGCTCTCACAACACTCAACTCGTTGAGCGTACACAGCGCTCAAAAGAAGCGCAAAATTTATTAACGTCTGCGCGTATTTGCAAAGTTAGTGGAATGTTGGCTAACACTTTTAGTTGCGCGCAAATTGCCAAAAACAGCATGCGGAGCGCTTCGATTCGCAGCGTAATCAAACATTTATGTTTTAATGGGCCGTGCAGTTGTTGGTGAAATGTCGCACGTCGTGTTTTTGTCGGACCCATGTTTCAACGTACCTGGCGGAAACCAGGTTAGATTCACTGTCCGGAAAGGAATTTTAGTAGAAGTTTTGTTGACATATTAAATTGTGTTGATATACAGTAAGTCTACAGTCAACCACATAAAACCAAACCAGTAGCGCCATCTATTACCACATAGATAAACTTTACATAAAATGTTGACAGTTGGCAATAGCTTTAAACATATAACCAATTAAAAAGAAAAAAAAAACTCAGTAAAATGCAAATTATTCATGAAGCATACTAATTACAAGGATACTGAATGTCATAGGTGGAATACTTCACGCGCAGCTTACGTTAATGAGCAATTAGAACGCCTCACATTACACACAGCTTTTCAAACACCTTTGCATCACCCCAACGTCGACATCCCTCCACTGGCTAGACAAATATGATTCCATAATATGATGTAATGTAATGTTGGATATTGGAGTGATGTCACATCTGACAATTCATGAATGCAACTCATGTGTGAACAATTTGCTGCGCACTCCATGAATATTATAATACCTGCTCAATGCAATAATACGACATTAAGCGCGGTTGAAATGTGTGGCAATTTAATGCGCAATGCGCAACTGTGCTCTTATCACGTATTATCCTAATTGCGTATTATAGTCGTAATATCGACTAATTTAATATGCACTGGTAATTATATTACTAAATTAAATTACTAACAATATTTTAGAGATTAAATAAATACAGTATTTGATATGGAAAGAAACTTTTTTACTTTGTTAAAAAAATTGTCCACTAAAGTATAGTTTTGTATTAAAGTCGTTATTGTAAGGAAGCAACAACTTAACGATGTGTCGTTTCGCATGCAATTCGTCGCGTCGCCCGCCAGTTTTGTATATTTAATTTCATTGCCGGCGCCTCCACCGCACGTGCCTGCTTTTTACATCTCCAATACATTTTACAACTTTGTCGCGAGCGACAATTTTAGGTGAGACGTGCTTGTGATGACTTTTAAACTTTTATCACCGCCAATGTATTTGATCTTTACAAAAATATAAGAAAACTATGTTGCGAAATGTATTTTATTTATTATATAGCTGAATAAGTTATAAATCTACTACCAAAAGGTCAAGAAAATCATTTATTTATTTCTAGTATTAAACTATCTAGGCAATAATAAAACGTGGATGACAGACGTTCAATTTTAAAGATTTAACTGCTCATAAAACCAAAAACTGTTTTCTTAATTCACTCGAGTTACAAATTCACATAATCTACTTTCTATTCGCACTGCCATTAACAGTAAAAGTACAAATCCAGCATGCGTAAAATCGCCGGTGTTCTTTCGTGCCCCGCTCGAATTAAGTGCGAATTAGTCTGCTAAGAGTCTCTCTGAGCTTTAACTACTCATTAAGCGCAAGGGGCCGGAGCGACGCGCGTCTCCATTAGACCAACAACAAATTGCAAACGTAAATACTTAATACATAAAATACACCAGACGCTTAGACGAGTGAAAGCGAGTGGGTGAATGATAAAACGGCGCATCGCATTAATTTTAAGCCTAATTTATAAATGTGCGCTTCACAGCGCTTGAATAAATAATCCCACGCGCATCATACAAAGCGCACTCTCCTTTTATTTTCTTACGCTTTTTTGATCGTGATTTATTACGCGTGGACAAAGGCGAGCAATGATTAAATACTTTTCGGTTAAAATCAATCATCGTTTATTATGTGCGCGGTTTGAAAAGATTTCTTTTTTATTTTAATGTCAAAATATAAACAGTTATCTTATATATTTTTTTGGAATATGATTAACTATTAAATATTTTTAAATATTTTATTTCGTTTTTTATATATTTATTTTTCTAGTCTACCTTTGAAATCCTTTGAGAATACCGAACGTACAAAACTAAATTAATTATAAACTCTCTCCTTGAATAAGCAATTTTCGGCAAAACGCAATTCCCAACAAACTACCTCAATTCACATCTCTATTTTTTTATCCGCTGAATTTTTCTTATTTTCTCAATAGACCACTCCAACATGTCCACTCGAAGATACACACTCGATTCGCTCAATTCAACGCCGACGCTGCAGATCGAACTCGCTTTCAAAGAAACGCACAGCCCCCAAAGAAGCAAAAAAAAACTGTTTGAATGTGCATCGCGATGAATCTCCACGGACGTCTCGAATGAAAAAAAATACACGAAACAGCGCCGGAAAACATCTCCAAACGAAAGAAAAGTAAAAGTAAAAGTACGAAAAGTTTAAGATACTTGTTTTTTAGTCTGCGAGTGAATAAAGTTGCAAGTTTGTTTTTGTACACAGATATATGATAACTTAATAGTGAATTTTTTTTTTTTTAGTTTATTGTTTCCAACTTCATTGTCGCAGACGTCCACGTCAGACAAAATATATAGATCCATGAGATCAACAACCTCTGTCATTGTTTGCTAATTTTTTCATTGTATGAGTTAAGAAACTTTACTGTTAATTAACTTTAGAAAAACTCACCGATTGGTATTTGAAGCAGAAGAATAGTAACTCGATGCAGATGCTTTTTTCGATCTCCTAGATGTCTGCTACATCTGAAACAATGAAAGCGGAGATAATCCATCTGCCTTTTCTGTTTTCCGAGATAAAATAGGATGAAAACGCGGAGCGGCTGCAAACTGTTGCAGTCTAAATGGAATTTTTGTGCAATGTTTAAGTGAAAAGCATTATTTACGTCTTTCTCTGCAATCAATTGACCTTAATTTCTTTTCACTCCATTCGCACCACGTCTCCACCGTTTATCCCAGTTAATTGGTAACAGAAAACCTTTAAAACTAGACAGTATCCCGTATCTTGTGTTTGAAAACACTAATTAAAGATCATCCATATAACCACCATCAAAATAATGGTAAACATTAACTTTACAAGTTGCTTAACTCAACATTGGGCAGATTTATAATCTGTTAGTCTTTAAAATGAACTATGCAAACAAAGTTTTAATTAACGTTCAATTAATGCTTAATCAAACTTGGAAACTTTTTCACGTTTCGTTGTTGGCACGAAATTGCACTTGGAAGTTTCGAGAATAAAACGCAGACATCATCGAATCATCGATTATATCGCTTCAAAGCTCAATTAGCCTGCGATGGCGTTATTATTCTCTCGTACTTGGCGGAGAAACGTCGATAACCAGATCATCTGCACGTAATTGTGACTTTTGCAACGAGCGGAGTCAAATTTATTTACACGCTTCATTTCACGCTGCGATTCTCGAATGCAGACGTCGTTTAAAAGTTTGCGACTTGCCAAAAACTAACATTATTAAGTTAACTCAACTTTGCCGAAAGAGTTAACTCAATGATGTTAAAAGTACAAAAAGACGTTAAACTTTTAACTATGCACCATTGTAAGTACTATATTTTATTAATGTCAATTTTTCCAGTAACTTTTTTACTGAAAAATATAATTTTTTACTATTTTACGAGCAAAAATTTAACTTTTTTATAGAAAAACATAAATAATAATCGTAAAAACTTAAATTATTTCACAAATCTCTATAAATAAACCAAATTTATCACCATTTTCAAGTATATTTAACGAGTTAAATTAAACTAAGCAAAATTGCAAGCATTTCATCATTTTAAATAAGATTAAACAAGTGTCAATACAATCGAGATAATAGCGTGAATGTCAATCGCGTTAGAATCGACATTCCTCGCAAAGATTAATAGCGCGCATCCTGATTGAAGATCCGACCGCAGGTTCGCACATAAATCAAGCAGAGAGATGCGAGATTAACACGCACGCACCCCGCCCGAGGAAGTGCGCTTCGCGTTCGGCGCAATCGTTTCAAACGCGCCCTCACTTGACTAGGTTCCATTAAAGGGTTGTCCAATTAAGAAGTCACCCTCAAAAATGTCGCCAACACATCATACATATCAACCTACAGCCATCAAACGCGATAGAATCAAGTTTTAAATAGTTTTATACACTTTGTTTAGTTTTACAGCTTTGATAACGGATTAATTAAAAGTTTCTGATAGCGTTTGGTAACCCTGGGTGAAACACCCTTGATTATACGACCTCACATAGTTCTAGACTGTGCGAGCACTATCGAAATGTGATGTAATGATGTACGATGTTCACGAATCGAACGTGTCGCAAGTGTAGCGACAAAGCGTCTGCAGTTGAGAGTTGAGAGTCGAAATAAAACAAATAAACTAAGTTATTGCTTGGAAACTCAATTATTTATTGAATTCCAAACCATAAATCAAATTCTAACCTTTAATCATAAAATTTAATAATATTGTATGTTTGGTTGCCTATATATGTCTTATTTATTCATTAATATTGATTCTGCAATCGATAAATGTTTTGTTAAGTGTATAAACCCTAATTGCACCCTTCTAGCAGTCAAATTAACGAAAATTGATGTCCGATGATTGATTAGTACTTTAATTCGCTTAATCCACCCCGAAATACAACCAAAAGTAACTTTATCTACTAAAATAATAAAGAGATATTTTATTTCACTGTTATTGGATGCGATACAAGTCAACGTGACCTGTTTCCATGTCCATTATTTTGGGTAATATACAACATACGTTGCAAGAAGCAATAATGTGGTAATAAAGACCATGCGTCTCGACGAATGACAGAAAAAAACCCGACGATGACTTCGCTTTAATGACCATAGCAGTGTAATAAAAGTCGAATTAATTTTTCGTTTTCCTCGCTACATTCGTGCAGATGTGAGATGAAGTGACAGTTGGAATGTTGACCAAAACTATGTTTACATTGTGTCTTACACCTACAATGTGTGCTTACATTTATTTTATTTCTACGTTCTGGTATTTCGTGTGAAAATGGGAGCATACTGTGGGCAAACAATGTTTGATGTTTGTTTAGTCTGCAGTATTCTATTACATCGGCGATAACATCCAAAACCGAAAATAACATTCAATAAACGTCTATTCACGGCCATTATGACCATTAGGCGCCATGTTTGATCGTTTTTAAATTAAAATACGTTAAATTGAGTGATATTAATGGTCCTTTAGGTAAAACATAAATAAAATGTTGTTATTTTCTTTTGATGATAAAATAAATTCACAGAATTTTTCCGCCATCTGGTGCACAATATGCTTCACTCCTTTTTTATTTTCTGCACGTTTACATTTCAGCAGCATTTAAATTAGTTTCGAGTTGTTTTCATAAAATTTCCATGCGAATGGCAGTCGTTCTTTTTCCTCATCTGCAGTGTCAACAGCAATAGCCAAACAACCCTTTTGTCGACATCCAACTGATAAGAAAAAAGCGTCGAACCGTTAACTCCGAAAGTTTTAATTTGACCCAGCGCAAACCCCCACTTTTTCCTTCAAGGATCAAAAACCGTCCAAGCAGAAGTTTAATTCGACGTTTAATTATCTGCGTTTGACACGTCCGCGCATCTGCTTAATATTTCCGTAATTACTGATCAAATCCGCTGCAGATATTAATTAATTTCATTATAAGGCTTTTGCATTTATTGTCATCAACATGTTTACTTGTTTTCAGGAAGGCAATATTGAAGCCGTAATTGAATAGTGCGCGATATTTCCTTGTACAGCACGCAAAAAAATGTTTTCACTGTTTCAGCAGCCTTGTAACGCAAATAAAACAGAAAAAAGGCAGGAAAACAGCGCCATAAAAGCACAATAAATTCACGCGAAAACGTAGAAACGAAATACGCACGTTCGCGAGATTCTGTGGGGAAAATCGACGCGCACTCAGCTCCATTCGCAATGAAATTAGACACCGTAATTGGTATCTAAGTTACGCGTTATGCAACCCCTTGTGGATTCATTGCCCATTTCTGTATTTGAGTGTATCACTGTTTACCCCACGGGCCAAATATACATAATCGTAAATTTGCTAAATTCGTAAATACACATTACGCGGCGAATAGCGATATTACATCACACTTATGTTATATAAATAATTCCGGAAGTTGGGACTATATTAAATATTATGAGAATATATTACTAGACATATCAATAATGTTGTAACATTTAGGTTTCCATTAGAATATCTAACCGAAACCAACATATTAATGTTGTCAGAGTCGGATGGACATTAATTAGAGTGGTTTAATTAATTTTCATTCATTTCACTTCATATTAATATCTCAACTTGAAATTATGATGACAGTTCAACATAAAAACGAAAAAATTAAAAGTTATTAAATATTTTGCTTTCTGGTAACATAAATTAATATTTCGCTTACGCGACGATCATAACCTCAACACTGCTAAAATCCAAGACGTTCTATTAAAAACGACGCGTGCTTTGAATGCAAACTAAGTATAATCATCCTAATACCTTAGCTCTTAGCACATCAGTGCTGAAACAAATTCCGTCGTACGTGTCGAAAATTTTACGACGTTGAATTAACCTAACTTCTGACAGCGCGTAGATAGTCTATAATCGCTTAATCTCAATTTTAAGTGAATGTTTCCTGGTGAGAAATTACCAGGCATGAAATGGAAGCAAGAAAAAATGAAGACATAAAAAAGATAAAACACAAGAAAGCCAAATTTGAGTATATTTGAGTATAGTATATTATACAGGATACTGTTTTGTATGTTTTGAGACAAAGGACGGAATGGAAAGTAAGTCTACGAAAAAAAAGTTGAAAACTGACAAATGCGACGTGATATTTTATGCAGTCGGGCATATATTTTATGGGCGCAGTATGTGGGTACATAGGGAGAAGATAATACGGGTCGGGATATCTTCTTGCATGGTGTGTGCGTCAAAGTGCGTGCGGATGGCGGACGCGTGTGCATAACGTGCAAACATACATCAACATCCGGGAGGCTTTAAAATAGGTTAAAATGAAGCAAAAAAGGGAAAAAAATAGTGAAAAAATAATAAATTCACAAAAAAACTAAAAATATTTCAGTTGTTTTTTATGGTAACTGATATAATCAAATTGATGATCGTCATTGAGTGAATTTAAATGTTCGGCAATTTATGACAGAAGATCCTGAACACAAGACGACACTCGAATTACACAAGATGAGCAAATGGTGCGACAAAGCGCCTCAGCGTCGAAGCAAAGCAATTAGAATCGCAACCAATTAGAGTTGACAAATAATATATGCTTTCAGTAGCGATAGAATGGCTGCGGTGAGCAACTCAACCGGGAATGTGCACTCGCATTACCGACACAATCATTTCCAACGAGCCGTAAACATAAATTGCTCTTCGTCATGACAAAACTATCGCTTCTCTTATTCACGTTCACAAATAAGGTTACGCCACATCAAATTATGACATTGGTATTTCTCGTAGACGTTTCAATTTATAATTTTACAAAACATAAAATATGATTGGATGCAATAAAAATCTCGTTAAGCACGAGTATTGGAATCAAAGATTTCTGTGCATTGATGACGTTTATGCCGCTAAGGCGTTTTGCAAACGTCGGCTCGAGTCAAAACGACGCTCGCGTGGGTATAAAACGCACGCATTTATTTCGCTTGCTTCCGGACCGGAAGCGAGGCGACAGTGGTGACACCTGCGCGTCGTAAAATGGCGTGCGAGCCTCGTAAAAGCGGGTATACGACGCGATCGTATTAGCATTTTCAACATTTCCGCCACTTCTGGTGCGACCGATGTGTTACACGGTTTTCCGTGCGCACGAACAAGCCGGAAAAGAAGCGATAGTAAACTGCGTGCAGCGAAAGGACCACTGAAGTGTGTCCTACGACGAGCGTAAAACTAAGTAATTTACTGCGGCATATAAAAATTGTATTTTCAAAACTATTATTAGAAAAAAAACCAAAATCCAATTTAAAATAAGCCACTTGTAAAAATATCTTAATAACATCTTTTCTAACCTCAAATAATAAAAAATTTCCTGGGAATGCCAAAGTTTCATAACAAAACTCTTATATAATAATTACTTTAACAACTTTCATATGGGAAGCTAAAATATTGCTGCCTACATTACAGCCACTTTATCACTAACAGACGCTGAAAGAGATTTCCGCCTTTCAGCCGACAAAAACCCCGACGCTATGGTAGCCGAAGCCAAAACTTTCACAGCACCTATCCCGCTTAATAATAGCATTATTAGTATTATTAGAAGTGTCGGCGTTGTTGGTTAAACGCCTCGGGTATTATCCTGCTCACGTTTCGCTAACGTGCTCCTTCTCGCCGCGCAAACTGTCATTATAGTTAATATTACGCGAACGGATATCTTTTATTATCCTTTGTTACTTTCTTCCGGTTTGTGGGATAATGCACGCTACGCTAAGTGATCTGCGTCCGCATTGATTAACTCGGGATGACAAAACAATGCAGGAGAACAAATTGTTTTCATAAAGGTATAAAATAAGATTATAGCAAAAATAGACGAATTTATTAGTAAAAATGCAAAAAATTGTTTACTACATTGACGATAAATGTCATAATAAAATATTTTGTTGAACTGATACGATAATATTGCAATTTCAACAAATTTCCGATGTAATGCTTACAAAGCTTGCTGAGGAGAAGAAATGATTGCATTTCTGCAAAGTTACTGCAACGTCCCTCAGACAATTCCGTATTACTGTAGTGTAATCCACCGTGAAGCCTCCCTGAGTTGAAATCGATTGGAAATTGTACTAACTCCAAAGTACAGCAACTTCAGATAATATTCAACCAAGCAAAAGCCAATCGAATTGAATTTATAACAAGAAATATTTAAAAAATATTTCTACACCCTGTATATAATATAATTATTCCTTCTACTAAAGTACCGCTGGCATTCGATTGAAGCAGGCACGCACAGCGCATTCACACTTTAATGAATTAGAAACGTAATTGCATAAGACATCTGAAGCGTTCAAGAATGTGCACGCATTCGTCTTCAGGTGCACTCCAGTACTCCCTCGTAAAGTGAATATCAGCAGACGCGCCCCCGAAATGCATTCGTTCGGCTATTATTAACGTGATTTATGTGCGCCGAACGTCGAGTTGTGTTTCGACGGCGCAAAATTTTCTCTGTGCAGTGTGGAGGCGCCGGGCGCTAACGCAAAAGAGGCGATGAAGCGTGCATCTGAATTTCCATCTGGAAATAAAGGCACGTGTAATGCTGTAACGCACGTCTGGGCGATTACTTCGACGCCGCAGACTCGCACAACGGCACTGCCAGTAAAATGAACTTGATTAAAGACTCAAAAAACGATATTTCGATTAAATATGCAAAAATAATATTTTACGTTGTATTTTTATAAGTATTATCTTGTTTCAAACTGTAGTAAACAATTTAATTATAGTGAAACTTAGTAAATAGAGGCACTTTGCACATTTGAGTTTCACTAGTTTCGTCCCGATTTAACACTCGTCGTTATTCGAAATTTACGAGTATTGTTTGTTGGAAGATAAACAAACGCGCGTTCAATTTTGACTTTACAACGGCGAAACTTTTGTCGAATGCATTTAACTGCATCCTGTCGGTGAATACGCGCCGTGTTCTGCGGATGCCGGTAATGCTAAACGCTGTTTACCATTCAAGCAGCCGCATTATTTCAACATTACTCCACGGTAAGTATAAAACTTTCCAGGCAGCAGCGCGTCAACAGTAAACTAAAGTAATGACTGCAAAATAAAATGTAGATAAAGTTTGCAGATTAGTTTTTCGTGTTTACACCCAAGCATCTGGCAAAAACATAAAAAAACAAAGTTGTGACTTCAAAATTTCGTGATGGGCAAAGTTTTCTTGTTAGGAAGCAGATTTTTTGCTTAAAATATTAACAGAGATGTTAATTAATCTGGAAAACTCTTATTTCCAAAGAACAAAGTTGAATATACACTGTATATTTGCTTATAGTTAGAATAAGTTTATCTATTTTTTATAAATTTATGATTTTTCTGAATTTATTTGAAGTTTACGAAAAGAAACGACAGCGACAAGTAGACTTTAAAAGTTTTACAAGTTCCTAAGTTGGCAAACTAACATTTGAAGGAGATCTAAAGTTGTCTAAACGACTAAACCGACAACCGCCAGACATCAGACATCGAGTGCAAGAGCAAGGATAATGAAAGGACCATCGAAAAGTTACGACACTGCACACTGCACAAGAAAATCCTAAGGATTTCTCAATTTATACCCGCAACCATACATACACCATGGTTGACTAAACTCTAAATATCTTTCATTTAACCTTTTAAAAAAATATTACACTAAAACACACTGTATAGCTGTGCCAAATTATAGTTCGAAATTCTTTACGGATTTACATATTGATAAGATCCATAACTTTCCAACGAGGAAAGCTACATAACTTTTCAACTTCAATCCATTTTTATGTCACTTTCGAGCTGCACTTTTTCGTTATTTCTTTTCCGCGAAAGTTAATAAGTGCGGAAAACAGAAACTGCACCGTCAGAATTGATGCAACTTTTCAAGTAGCTTATAATGTCACGCTCATACTTTGTAGCAATTTCTGTAAAAGTCATACTCAAAATATAATAAAAAAACATAAGCAAATCTTCTGCGAGCGCGGCACAAATATTAAAAAGCGCCGAATGCGATTAAAGTTTGCAAACAATAAGAAATTGATTGATACCATTGCGGGCATATTGTTACACTTTCTGTTTGCAATGTGGAAATGAAGATTGTAAATCGATCGCGACTCGGCACGTCTGAGCCTGAGTTGAAACTCGAGAAAAGTGTTCGGCAAGATTATCAAGCAGCACGCGCTTGCTGCGCGCGCGCGTGAACATCCGTGATTGAAAACGTGACCGCGACGATTGCGAACCATCCATGCGAATACGAATCGTATTGTCATCTTTCAACACTAACGCATTTCTATCGCCTCCCTCAATTTATTTATACACCAGCACTCAAACGTTATTATTTCATGGTTTCAATTCGTGCGCTTAAAAAAATTGTGATAAATTTGAGCGGAATAAATTGTGTGTGTCTTGATTTATACAAAATAGCCGCCGGCGCGGAGACGCACTTAAGAATTATACGCATCGATAAATCACATGAATCACAATATCGGATGCGAAATTAATGGGGATTTACGAATATGTGCGCGGGCGGCTTTCGCTCAAAATGGCCGTCATTGATGCTAATGCGTCATTTATTATTGATGCGTATGAAACATCAGTCGGCATGGTTTGTCGCTCGGCTGCGCTAATGTGAGTACGAATCGACTGGTCGAGGAGCACAACATGTGGAAGCATTTCGCGAGCAACGACGCACGAATTAGCGATCATCAATCTCTTGCGTTTCTATGGTCACAGGTTGCCATGGCAACAGGCAATAATATACTGTGGTGTAAACAGAGAAACAGCCAATAAAACAGGTTAGAAAAAAATATACAATGGGAAATTTTATGAGAATTCTCAGTTTATTTGTCGAAAACCGTAATTTCACAGAATATAAAATTGAAACTAATAATTTAGCAGCTGATATTCATTACAGGACAATTGGTAATAGTAAAAATATCATTTTATTGCTCTAAAACAATAAAACCCAAACAATTACATTTATATGTCTCAAGATTCTTATCACATTTTTAATAACCGAAGAAAATGAGTAGCAGTGAGCGGAAAATTGCATTCGCGATCGATGCAACCAAACATACACGAAACTATCATACATTTACCATCCGCACACATGCGCAGGTCAAAAGCAACTCGTAAACTTTTCAATTATTTTTAATGTTACGTAATTAATCTTGCAGTTACTACCAGCGTGCAAAGTGAAAACGTAAAAGAACTCATAAAGTGACGATCTGTCAATAAATTGATGTCAATTTATGTAAGCTGAATGTCGTTTACTGCAAGACATAAAATATCACATATAAAATATACTATCAGATTATTTTCCCCGTTTTCTTTTACTTCGTTAGGTCATTTTTGATCAGAAATTTTTATGAAACTAAGAAAATTACATCTAAATATAGTAAATTATGATGAATGAGTTCTCATATTGGTTAACAAATTGTCCTGCGTGTTTTACCAACATGGCACGCGTGCTTTACTTGCACTGCGATAAGAATAAGCGTGCTAAACGTTCAGAAATATTTCCAGCTACAATTACTCATAAAATTAACCCAAAAACACTTTTTTCACTCCTTTGAGCATAAAATATTGACTGTCAATATGCGTGCATGTTACATAACCTTAAAATAAACTTACCTAAGCTGAAATTTCAACCGTCACGGAAACACCCGGAGGGAAAACCTGCAAAAACAGCCACAATAAAAACATGTTCCTTGTACTTATCTTTATCATGAAATTAAATTACGCAAACATGCGTCATTCATTCAACATCGCATTCAGAACCACCATTATATCCTTCAGGTTCCACAATTGCATAACAACGCAACATCTCCGCATGAACCATCCAAACGTATTTAGATTTTCTTCGAGCGATGCAAACGACATGCACGTGCATGTCTAATAGCCGCAGACCGAGCGCCGAGTTATTTATACGATAAATATATTCAATTATTTTGCGTGTGCAATTCACAAACGTAATAAATCCTCCTGTGCTAAAACCGCGCACGATAATAATAACATATTGACATGAAATTGGTAAATATTTTTATTCGACGACAAAAACAATAATAGAGAAGCTTATGAGCAGCTAATAAAAAAATTCCTACGTAAACCCAAACAGATTTAGATAAGTAATAAAAATAATATTAATCAAATTTATTCGTAGGTGACAATAAAATATTCTGCATCTAGTATGGCAACCTTGAAAGAAATGATTACGAAATAATTTGATTGTATCGTAGAAAGTTGTCGAGCCGGCATAAACTTTCAAGATGATATAAACCTGGTAAATCCTAGCGATAATTTATTCCTAATCCACTTTCCGCTCGCGTTCCGACTCTCCGGCTGATATAATTCGCGTCGGATTGTTTGTCTAATGATCGTACACTATTCTAAAGTAAACTAAAGTAAAGCAATGCCGGCGGTGCCGGTGCTAGGATTCGGGCTATAATAAACTATCGCGGATCGCACAATGTGCGTGCGCCGCAAAAGTGAAACAGAAGCGCCGCGCCGCGCGAGCTTAATGCCAAAGCCAACATTGAAACAGGCCGACAAAATTGCGAGCCCGATTCGAGATTAAGATGGAATTTGTGTTCGAAGATTGAGATTTGAGTGTACGTGAATAAATTCCCAACTTAAACCTACTCATTCATATAATGCGCATGCGCAAGTGATTTTATACGTAGTTATAAAGCAGTATGCAACTAAATATACAACTGCAGGCAGTAAAATGATTACTACTGTTGCAGTGTACACGTAAACAATTAATCATTAAACTTTGCAAAACTGTTGACATGCGAGCACCGCCCTGACCTCCCTGGTAGTGTGTTAACGAATTTTAGCCTCACGCGTGCAAAGTAAATTAATTAACCCGCGCATAATTAAATAACATTAGTGTGTTCGTGTGTTGCTCATGTGTTCCTGTTGGTGCTGTTGTTGTCGGCCGGTTGTGCGCTATCGAAATGAATAGTGCATAATGTGTTTTCGTAACTACCTAACTAACTAACTAAGGAAGCGGCCGATAATTTAATTAACGGCCGCACGTAACGAGATAAATGATCATCCAGTTTTGTCTTCGCACAGACGCAAACTTTAGGGATGCGCAGCGCGTGTGCTTCAAGTTTATCTTAATGATTTACCAAGACAAATCGCTTTGCAAATAGTACAAAACGCGATGTAATCTAATTTAATCTTCTAATCTAACGACCCGATCAGTATTTATGTGTCGCCATTATGTTGACAATTAAACACGACTTAATCTACATAACGTAATTATCAAAAAAAGTTTTGTAATATTTTCCGGTTTAATTTTTTATTTTTCGAGCTTGTTTTTTTCATCACTCATAAAGTTGAAGTAAAGTTTACAAGTTTACAAGTTTAAATTAAAAAATAAAAGTATGCGTGCGCGTGGAGTTCGAAACCGAGAAAATTAACGTCGACGAGTTAATTTCCCCGAATAAATATTTGAGAATTCGCGCTGGAGGCAGCATTGCGCCGGTGAACGAGTATTTGCGACTCGCCGTGCCATGGCGACCGCAGCGCTGCCGAGCGACGACCGCAAGACGCAACCATACCTACACCGCCGGCTAGAAACGCGTCAGTGTGGTGGCTGCAGCACATCATCAAGATTTCGATTTGAGATGATTTCAAATGCGGCAAAACGCGAACTGTTGAACGAGTAGAAGTATGGATTAAACTCGAATCGAATCTCAAGTTGGATTTACACAGTGTGTTTAAATATACATTTTAGTTAGAAATTTAGAAATATGTTAAGTTGAATAATGCAAAAGGTATTCATTACATTAAGTATATTACAAGTACATGAGTTTATAATAACTCAATTTCTTAGCATTTTGAGATGAAGTGGAGGGATACTACTTGTAGATGTTGTGATTATCTTTCACACAATGATTTTATTCGTGTTCGCAGCCAGAATTTCGAAGAATTCAATACTTGAAGAACAAATATCAGCAGGAAAAGACAAACTTAAATTATACACGTATTCTTCGAAACATAACTTCATCCAATATATTTTAACTTTATAAATTTTATATCTGTATCAACTGATGTAACAGATTAAGTTTAATACCATTTGTCATCATTTTAATCGTTTTATATGATAAAATCAACTAACTTCATTAATTCCATAATGAATTATATTGTCATCAACACTTAATTTAATTAACGATTTTCAATTATTGCTTTATTCCATATTGCCCATATCTATATTTGCTATATTTATTAATATAGCCTGTATCACCTATTAATTTATAAAAATGCCCAACTTTTTGGAAATTTCCATCCGTTCTTGTGAATGTTTTGCAATTAAAACGAGATTGCGAATTCAAATCGAGCGAGCAGAGTAAAAGCGAGAGATAAACGCCGCAACAACGCGACGCGCCCAGTTAAATACTTAATGGTTTTCGTAATTTCCTACCGTTCGAAACATTGACGATTAATTGAAAATGCAAATTGATTTGTGTCTCTGAAAGCGCGTCGCGTCGCGATCCGAGCGTTTGTGTCAGTTAATTGAAGAGCAACGAAATGAAAATTTAATTCAACTGCTCTCTGCACTTATTTCCCTGCAAATATTTAATTATATAACATGTTACATGATATTATATATGATATAGGCAACCAATATATATATATATATATAATTAGAAAATGTTTTATGGGTTGCATAAATTTATAAAGCAATAGAATAACAGAAAAAAAAAAAAACTAAAAATGTATGAAAATTTAGGTTAAAAATTCCTTCGTGCTGTATTTTTAGAATTAGTACGGAACACCTAAACTTATTTGCGTGTGTAGCCAGCCGTCAGCGGCGGCGGACGCATAAAGCCGCGCATATTTATTTGTCTTCTCGCCGATCGTCACTCAGCCAGCTCATAAAACACGCACTCTTCTTCCTTTCAATTTTCGGCGTGCGTTTACTTCAACCGCACTTCAACGTTAAATCAATCTGCACAATGCATATTATGCCTGCTACCCACACGTACACTTCAGAGCTTTCAACATGTTTGTCATTACCATCATTACAGCTAAATCAAATGTTATACGTTTATTAACGTCACATTTAACTTGTATGTGTTAAAAAAATCGTAAAAATCATAATAATTCATAAAATTATTATTTTATTATTATTATTCATAATAATTAAAACTAAAGCATTATTAAAATTTTACATGAAGTGCAAAACTTGAAATATAAATAATATGAGGCATGCACATTAAATACTGCAGTCATTAAATTACAGTCTGTATTTGAAGAATATACAAACGCACTTAATTAGTCTCCGCCCAGTCTACCTTAGCATCGTTTACAGTTTAATGCATTTTATTAAGTAGACTATAAAAGTTTAATGTTTGTCTGCCGGGGCATTAAAACAGGATAACGAAACCGGGTCAGTGTGTAATAGAGAAAAGAAAATTCAAATAAAAAAACACACAAAACTAAGCTTTATAGCCTGTGCAAAACTGTGTTGCTATTTTTCAATACATATTTGTCTGCAATTCGAATGTAAAGCGCAATATGAAACTCGTTTAGATAGTCGAATATGCTCAGCAACAGGTGTGACTCCTGGCTATTTCGCTTCAGTCAGAAGCTCACCAAATAGACTCGACCGCAAATCGCCCGGCGCCTTCACCAAACCGCAAAACAAAAACAAAAACAAAAACAAAAACTGCTTCAAACTGTCAGTACAACTCAAAAAAATATTAATTCTGCTAAAAACATACTTCAAAGCGGTGTAGTAATTGAATAAAAATAAAATATCCATAGATTTTAAATCGTTGAAAAAAATTTAAATATTTTGAACTAAAAAATATTAAGATGGTCGCAAAAAAAGTAAAGATAAATAAAAACGAAAATAAAGATAAGTGTAAGCACAGGGATAAGTTGTCAAGACGTTTTTGCTTAACAATCATGTCGAGTGATAGCGCTTTCTACTCAGCTCTTCCTCAGATTTAAATCTTCGAAATAAATTGAAACGCGTATTTTCTGAAAATATCTCTTAAGCCAGTGCACAGCTGCTTTCTTCTACATCCGCCGCGAGTTTTACAAACTTTCCTTAGAATTATAAACATTCGGCTAAAGTGGATGTCCAAACGTGTTGGAAACGTGTTAGATTATTCGCAAAGTCAAAAGTTTAATTTAAAATTTCACCAACGGTTGATCTTCGACTTGAAACTTCATAATCCGCTTTCGGAAGTATTCTTAGAGTGGAGTATAAGCAGATGTTTTACAAAAGTGAAAAAGCGCACTTTTTTGTAACTGGAAACACTGTATTAATTATTCATTAGCGGATGCATTTGCCACGTGCACTTTAAGAACATAATATAGAGACTTTACGCTTGTGGGAACAGAAAAAGAAGAAAAAGTAAAGTTTTCGGATGTGCCGGTGCTTCACGGCGTCGTTGCAATGTTTCATTCGTTGCGTGCTTCCGTTGTTTTAGTTTTTCTTGTTTTTTTCGTAGTGCCGCTCTGATTGTTACGTTCTAACTTGCCGTAACTTCCCAGCTACCAGCGAGAGCAATAAAAAGTAAAAAAGCAAGTTTTATAGTTTTTATTTTCGGAAAGTCACGTCATAAATTACTATCTAGAATCTTGTGAGGTAGGTAATTATTTCCACTAAGTTAACAAAATTGCTACAACGATTTCTAGCATTTTATTGGCAGCGA